GCGCAGAGGCTTCGCCAGAGGAAGCATCGATGGAGAGAACGTTGGTATAGTTGTTGGTGGAAGAAAAGTCACCGCCAACAAAGACAGTGTTGTCGTGAGCGACGACAGTGTTGACTACCCAAGCCGAGGCGTCAGAGCCAGAAGCGTTGAGAGCGGCGTCGAGAGAAAAGCCCAAACGAGCAAGGGGAGTCTCGGTAACGTTGCTCAAAGCCGACGTGGCAGCATTGACATTCAAAGCAACCGTTCTCGGCCACTCGTAGACACCATACGCAATGTTGTACGACAGGTTGGTCATCGAGGTAGAGTTGATGGTGGTGGTGCCGTTGGTATCGGGAGTGCCGGCAGAAGTACCATTGAGTACAGGAGAAGTCGAGGTGGTGGACGAGTTGGCGTTGTTCCCCTGGCCAGACAAACTGGTGAGGGTCATCTGCACCTTGTCGGCGACGACAGTATATCTGTTGCCCCGAGCCGGTCTGGCGGGACTGGATGAGAGGGCAAGACTGACGGTGGGGGTAAAGTCGTCCGTGGAAGCGCCGACGGTACCAGAGTACACCAAGGTCTTGGTGTCATAGTCGACCTGCTCAGAGATGGTGCTGGTCCAGCCCATACCACCCGAGAAGGGGAAGACTTCGATATCGACGCTCGTCCTCGAGTTGCAGTCGCCAGCATTCAGACATCCGGGGATGAAGATGTAGATGTCGTAGTTGCCCGCAGAAGAGACGTAAGGGTAGAATGTAACGGAAGGATAGGTGGGATTGGCGACAGAGTTTCTAGCCTCGAGGTACGAGTTGGTGGCAGAGTCTGTGGCGATAGTCCTGCTTTCCCAATCACCAGTGGTCTGGATCGACCCGTTGTTATTGCTGCCACTAGAGCAAGTGACGGTGTCATCAGAGGAAGACGCGGCAGAGATGTACGCGCCTATCAAGACGTCAGTATGCACCAGATCAAGTGCGAGACACTCACCGTCAGTCAACAACGACACACTGCTCAATCCAGCACCATCTCCGAGCCACCCCTTGAGCTGCATCTCAAATCCAGTGAGGTTCTGTGTACCCTCAGTAAAGATGAAATCTTGGGCAGAAGTCGATGAAGAATTGTAAAGGGGACAGTGGGTGGTGCAGGTGTTGACTTCGCCGGTGATCGGGTCGGTATACGTCATGTTGAGATCGGCGTACCACGGGAGCATGGTCAGACTACACGCCGTGTCAGATGAAGATCAGCTGTGCAGACATGAAAACTCACCAGAAAGTCGTAGTTCCTCGACCCTCCACAAGTCCGTTTACGACTCGAATACCGGTCGCCGCTAGGTAGCTCTGCCCGACAACGTTGACACTGGCAATGGTATTGTCTTGGGCTAACCATATTCCACTGTCGGGGCACAGGAGCACATCCGTATTAGAGTACTCAGATTGGTCGGTGCTCGGGCCTGCTTGTATTTGATACGAGGCGGACGATGAACTGGACGCAGACACCGTTAAAGGTGTAAGGTAGCCAGAGTTGCCGACAGTGGTCGTATTATCAGGGGCGGACTCGACAGAGGTGGTAGTGCTGTTGCCTGTTGTGCCGTTGGTGATCGAGGAGGAATTGGCTAGGACCGTCGAGTTGGACACGTAGGAGATGGTGAAATCACCGCCAAAGTAGATACTCGACCCGTTCGATGACGGTGATATGCTCTCCACGCGTCCATTGAGACCCCCAAATGCAGGCGTCTCCCAGACACTGGACGCCGTTGACCATAAAGCGACATTGCCTCCTGTGCCCGTGGGCGCGTCAAAGGACCCTCCAAACCAGACTTGGGAGTTGTCGTCGTCACAGTAGACCGTGTCGACTTCGCCCGACAGTCCAGTGCCCAGCGCATTGACAGAGCCGTCGGCGAGGGCAAACGACGCGACATTATTGACGTCGGTGCCGGAGAGGGTGGTGAAAGTCCCGCCGACGTATAACGTCCCGTTTGAGGAATCATCCGTCCCCGCAGACCAGCACAGCGCGCTTATCACCCCTCCAGCGTCCGTGCTCGCCAGCGGCCTGAACCTCCCCTCTGCTGTCCGATAGAAGAGCGTGTCTCCGTCTGTCGAAAAGGTGGTCTCTGAGGATGAGGACGAGGCGTAGGGCGAGTCGTCGGACCACCAGTCGAGGCCTGAAAAGGAACCGCCCAGGCCTACGGCGCCCATTTTGGAAAAGTCGACCTGGGGGAGGGATGAGGGGGCGGCGGAGTCGGCCATGGCGGGGGCGGTAGCGGTGAAGAGGAGGAGGAGGGAGGCGAGGAGGGTCGGATGGCGGGTTGGTGTCGGGGGCATGTGGAGTGTGGGATGATTAGGGATAATTTGAAAGAGCGTGCTGTGTTGTGCTAGGCGTTGTAAAGGAGAGTTGGCGGTGCCAGCGTGGTCGGCAAGAAGGGCGGGAGTATTTTCAGGCGCTGGGGAGAACGGGCGGAAGGGGCATAGAGAGGAGAGGAAATACGCGAGAAGCTGAACAGAGTTGCATGTTTGCCCGCGCCCTGAAGACACTGCAGAAACACAGACGCGTCCGTGCCATCCCCTCCTATTAGTCCATCCACCGCATGCATGCTTCCGGGGCATGGCCCAGCAGCCGGGGGCATGTACTGACGGGTAGTCTGTCTGATGGCATGCATGGTACAATGCAGGCAGGATTCGAAGGAAATCTATATACGATCAACGTTCAACGTGGAATGTGGCTTGACAGCTGCTGGACAGGTGCGTTCATCACGCGTGTACCTCATGCTGACCATACGTTCCGCCCGGCACCTGTCGAGGGATGCATGGACGAGGATATGGCACATTATTCAGGCGAAAGCATGCCATGTTGATTCATAGAATCGGACGCGACGGAGTGCGCCGCCAAATGCCGAGAGTGTGTGTGGCACTTTGACGCGTCAGACAACGAGGGATTCTACTGCCTCTGTATCGAGATTATCAGGTTCTTCAGAGAGGATAGAGGTCAGCTGTGAGCTTAGAATTCACTTTGAGATAAACTAACGCTGGTCAGACAGTAAATCAACCAGAGCTCAAACTTGCCTAGAAGGGAAATTCGCGCAACAATCTCCAGGCACGCACTTGTCCCGCCTCATCAGCCACTGCGGTGCTGACGTTGAACGAGACATTCTTCGGTATAACTCACGCATCTGTGCATGCATGGGTCCAATTTATGGGAATGATATGTATCATGTCGTCAGCTACTCAATGCATCAAGAATGAACGCTCTACGAGGAGTATGAAGCGATATGAATATGCCATCGCTTGATCCGCTCTTTCCGACACTTTTTCGTGGGCTCAGGTGATTTGGTCACGAGGCTTCCCATGCTCCATATCCTCCTGCTCGTTCCCAGATAAAATCTCATCTGTTTCACCAATTCATCTCTCATCCATCCATCCACCTTATTTCGTACCAATCTTGCTTTCAGATTGCTTGATACATCCCACACCTCTACACTCAGCCCACCCCCTCCCTGCACCCCTGATCACACTCTCCAGAAACCAAAAACAGTCTTCGTCCACCAGTCAAAATGACTGCCTGTATCGTTGTCTCCGTGGCCTCTTTTGTCTGTATCGTCGACGTGAAGCCCAACGTGTGCGTACTCTTATCAGCGGTCCATCCCGCAAGCTCGGTAGACCGGGAGGCTGACGACTTTCTCCTCACAGCAGCATCCCCGCTGCATTTACCAAAATCTACCAGGGTGGCAAGTCTGTCACAAAGTCCAAGGGCAAAAAGACTTCCTCTGCCTCAAAACAGTTAGTTGTTCACACTCAACAAACTCGTCGCTGACTCGCCACCAGCTTCATTCACCACCATGCCGTCAAGGCTTCTCGAACCTCTCTCCCCGCCCCCGCCTACAAGGCTCACCATTACAAGGGGTCTACCAAGGTGACCGTCACCGCAGTCCCCCAAAAGTGGGCTGCCGGTCACCTTGAGGGCACCACCAAGGTACTTCTCCACCGCACCCCAGCGGAAGAGGTGTAAGTAATTCTCTCTTTCTCTGATGATGTACTGACTTCTCATCCAGTACTCTCTCCCCCACCTCAACCTCTACCGCCCCCAAGGCCAACTACAAGGGTACCCACCTCGGTGGTACCCGCGTCCGTCTCACCCCCACCCAGTGCGCTGCCTCTCACCTCGGCGGTACCAAGGTCCGCCTCTCCCTTGCTCCCATTTCTGGAGCCTGCCCCCCAGCCATCTCCCAGGTGTAAGTAGACCTTCGCAAGCTATCAAGGAACTTGCTGATTCTCTTCGATAGGGTGCCAACCATTTTCTTCGCCCCTCCCGCTCCTCCCGCAACCGTTGACTGGACCGCCAGCCACCTCGGCGGTACCAAGGTGCTGCTTCAGCGCTCCAGGGTCAAAGCTTGGGAGAAGATGGAGGAGAAGACTCTCGCCACTGCTACCCAGGCCCCCAGGCGGTGGGCTGCGTCCCACGTCGGCGGTACTAGGCTTCGCCTCTCCCGCACTGCTCTTTGAGCAGTCCGATGGACATTCTTCTTTCAATGGACAATTTCTTTCTCTTTCATCTTGACTCTTTCTAGATATAGACATTCATATATAGTATAGACATATACAAGTATAATGAGTATAGTGGACATTATATAGACGTGGTTAATGATGAGCATGTATATAACGTAGTCTTCCCTGATATCGACAACTATCGTCAATTGATTTCTACTGCTGTTCTATGCAGGTTCTAGATGATAGATCAATCCGGTCTACCAGTTCATGCCCAGTGCTCTAGCCATCCCCGACCATCCGAACAGGAAGCAGCGCGAACAAGGGCACCAAACTAGACACATAGACCGTAGACGTAGTTGATGTGCAGCATGTATGTAAGATGACTCGCTGTCTACTTCATTCTCGCTGAAGTCCCGCACCAAAGTCTTGAGCGCCAGGTCTGGTTAGGCACTCATGCCAGCCAGGCCGGCGCACAGTGGCTTGGCTATGCGTTATACAAACATGCATGCACAGCTCCTTCTCCAACATCTGCCGCCCATCTTCTTACTTCCCGCCGCCACCACCTCCACCCTCCCTAGGCTCATCTGGACCCATCTGCACAGCAAAGAAGAGCGCCAGTCCGACAATGTACATCCAGTACTTTTGCAAGAAGCCCTTCTCGGGAGGAGGGACGACTGGGGTGCCGGTGGTGTCCACGACGGGGGGTGCGCCGAGAAGTGGCCTGTGAGATCGGGTCAGCTTCGCCTTCTTACAGGATCGGACCTACTCACAAGACTGTCTTTGCGGTTCGCGATGTCTCAAAGATGACACTAGAGAGGTCCTTGGGAGTCTTGACGACGGACTTGGTACCGCAAGTGTTGCTCTTAGGATCAGAAGAGTGGACCGAGATTGACAACGGTCTCGTTCCATTCACTTGCACCTTGACCACAGGAGGTGCCGACAAGTAGCACTGCGTACCGCGTCAGTATGCCATACCCATTCCAGCCGTGTTCCAGACTTACGGATCGCGTGGAAGCGATGAGCCACTCCCCCTCATCGTCCCCTTCTTCCAGCTGTACTCCCACTTGATACCACCCAGTCCCATCATCTTCCACTTCATTGCCCGCACTCTGCTCTCCTACCGACAGCGAAAGCTTTCCGACCAGGCCAGAAGCTTCGTCCGGTATGCTTATTGATCCTATCGATTCGAATGAAGAGAGGGAAGCGGTGGATGGGGATGAAGACTGAGGGAGGAGGCGCTGGTAGACTGGGTATTGCTGAGATGCAAGAGCTAGCGGTGCCACTAGGAGGGCCGGGATGGTGGCGGAGAGGAGCATGGTGGGCTGGTGGTGATTAGAGAAAGCAAGACCATCTTCACTTCATCACCTCGCTCATCCGACCGCGACCAGAACGGGATCAAACGCGCTCATCCAAAAGCAACTCTGGTCAAACGTCAACTCTGGTGCAGGCTGCAGCTGTCTCTTTTTCTTCCTACTATAAACTCGTCTATATCCCATTGCATGGCTCATCCAGCGTGAGTGCATGTCTGCAGACTGATCGTATATCGCGTATAGCAAGACTTCAAGTCGAAGAATACATGTGCGCAAATGATGGCCAACTCTCTAGGATACCCGTCCTCTCCACCCCAAAAGCCCAAATAGAGACACAACTGAATGCCGGCCGGTTACACGACCAAGAATATGGAAGGAAACCCTATTATATGATACACCTCTAGCCAACCCCGCCTTCAATGGCCCATCAGCCCGACTCAAGGCAGCTCTCTCCCAGACACCGTTCTCCTTCTCCCATCGGGATTCACAATCTTTAGCTTCTCCTCCTTCTTCATCACCTCCCAAATCGTCGTCTTCTCCTTGAGTCCCAAAAGCCCCATGCCAGAAGAGTTTCTCTTGCTAGGCGGCGATCCTAGCAGTGAGGTGGGGCGAGATGGGGACGATATGCGGGAGGGGGTGATGGAAGATGGTCTCGCAGGGGAAGAAGCGGAAGGAGATCCATCGGCGAAAGGATCAGAGTAGGAGTAAGAAAGTGGTCTGGGTGGCGTAGCCGTCTTGTGCGCAGGCTCTGCAAAGCTGATACGCCTAGCCGACTTTTGCGACGATTCCCCGACGCTGACTGGTCTAGGCGGCGTAGCCGTCCTCTGTATCTCCTCACTCGACCCGGTATTGCTCGACCTAATCGAGGCCACTCTCTCCGGAGCGTGAGAGTACATTACCCTAGGGGCAATCAAATTCGTGGGCGTCTTGGCACCGCGCTTGTTGATCGAGTTGACCACGTCCCTAACTGGGCGTCGACCCTTGCTGTTGCCAGAAGGAGGCTTCGCTTTGGGAGTGTCGTTGGAGGAAGCCTTTTTGGGAAGGGGAACGTGGCGCAGAGGAGCAGTCGGAGCTGGGGGATGTTCAAACTTCTTCGGCTCGATTTTTGGGACAGTCCGAGGTTTGGGTACTGTGGGGGCCGCAACGACGGCCGGAGGAACGGCGATGGGAGCCTCTGGGATAGTGGTCTCGGGCGATGGGCTTCTCTCAGGTGAAGTAGGCTCTCGACTCTCAGAGACTGTCGGCAGGGACGAAGGAATACTAACGCTCGAAAGTCGGTGATCCGACTTGACAGGAGCGATAGGGACGTCATTCAAACTCAAGTCCAAAGTGTTTGGCCCAAAGTCAAAGTTGGCCATCAAATCTCCTTCGTCCTCGACGGCAGTCTGGTAACTGGACGTCCTGGCCTCTGCCCACTGATCTTCCACAGACGAGGTGATGTCGCTCTCGCTCGCTTCCTCATCTTCGCTCTCCATGACCCTCATAGTATCATCTCTCTCCTCATAGCCCATCAACCTGTCGTCTTCATAGGCTTCAGGCGCTTCCTCCACAACACCAACACTCTCCGAGCCTTCGTCCGTCCCTTCTCTTTGCACCAGTACCATATCCCTCATCGACCGCGCCGAGTTGATACTCGACATGCTCGGTCCTGTATGATGCGCCAGCCTGACCGCATTGGTAGACCAGCTGGTGGGAGGGTGTGCAGACTCGGGGGACGAGGTGGTAGGAGAAGGATTGGTAGGCGCAGAAGGAGCAGAGGACTGATCTCGGGATTCGATAGGCCACAGCGTGGGCTGAGGTGCCGGGTCTCGAATTCCAACCTGACTTCCAGCTCTCGAGCGGTCGCTCGCTTGACTGTTCTTTCTGAATACCGACACGCCAGCATCCGCCATCCGCCTCAAGAACGACTCGTTCCTCCTCAAAGACGTGGGCTCTGCAGGCTCAACAGGCGAGAGCGAGACGATACTCGCTTCATCCCGGACTCCACGCTGAACGCCATCGACAACGATACCTTCCTCAAGATCAGATTGCTGCCTGGACGAGTCTGTCACTCCCGACCTCCCTGACCGGGCAGATACGTTGGTACCAGTATGACGTGCGTTTTTGGTGGATAGCCACGAAAAGAGGTCGAGTGGCTCGGTGGGGCCAAAGTTGGGAAGCTGATACCTCTGAGCAGAGTTGACTGATCCCGCCTCAGACTCTTTGGGTGTCGGAACAGGACCGCCTTTGAAAGGCACCAGTATAGGCCCACTCAAATCGGTACCACTCCCCCTCTCACTCTCTCCAGACCTCCTCCAAACACCCAGATCGCCCTCAGAGTCGCTATCAGAGTAGCTCGCGGGACGAACATTATTGTATTGACGGGTATCTTCGTCGCTCAGCATGTCGATTCGCTCGTCCCGGATCACGCTCGCGCGAGCAGGCTTGTTGGGAGAGTTGGGAGCGTAGTAGAGTGATTTGCCGCGCTGAGGACGAGGGCCGATGAGGCGGATCCCTTGAGCTTCTCGCCTGGTAAGCTTTTGAGAGGTTCCGGGGGTGACAGTGACAGGATCCTCGTGTCCAAGCGAATCGTCATGCAGCTCGGTATAAGATTCAGCCCAGCGACCAGCGCGAATTCGAGAAGAGATGCTCGACACCTGCGCATTGACCGCCCCCAGAGCAGCTCCCCATCCACCCTGCGCCGACGCAGCTCCAGGAGCAGGGGCATTGGGCATATTCTTCTCTCTCATCTCGTCCATCAAACCAGGCCCCCTCTTTTCACCTCCATATCCACTGGTAGCGCCGCTAGGAATACGGCCTCTAGGTCCGCTAGCAGGCCAGACGGGCTCCTTGCCATATCGACGACGTTGAGATCGCCTGCGGATGACCCAGAAGCAAAGGCCGAGGACCAACGCAAAGAGGCCGACAGAGCCGACAATGACGCCGACGAGGATGGGCGTGGTGAGCGGGTGAGAGTTGGCACCTGCGTCGCTCGGGGCTGTGGACTCTGTCGAAGTTGTTACGGGATTGTTCACTGACAAATGTGGGTCAGCTTTGGTCTCACTGATTATTATCGGTCTGGGAGGGGAGAGGCGGACGCACAAGTCGGGCTGCCACTACTCTCCGAACCCGGGGTCGACACTGATCCGTCGTCCGAGCCCGCCGAGCCTGACGTTCCGGTGGACGCAGGTGCGCCGGTCGAGGCACTGCCAGGACTGTTCGGCTGCCCGATGGAAGAGGGTATGTTGTTGTTGGTGGTAGATCCGCCAGACTCACTCTGTTGGGACGAGCTGCTGCTGTCTCTACCCGAAGACGACGATGAAAGGGCGGAAAAGTCGGTGACCCAGGAGAAAGTGGAAGTGGAAAATATGTAGAGGGTGCTGTCAGCTGGTCCTGAGGTGGAGTATCCTGTGATGCGGTCAGCAGTGTCGCATGTGAAAGAAGAGCGGACTTGCCTCCAAAGATGAGAATCTGGTCACCGACAGCTACTGCAGAGTGATCATATCTCGATCCAGCGCCTATACTGTCGTGAGCTTTCTTCTTCAAGGTTGAGAATCGACTCACCATCCACAGAAGACGTCTGCTCCCATACCAACGTATCAACATCCAACACCCACACATCTCCATAAACATCCCCCAACCCAGCACTCGCTCCTCCGATCAGTACCACCTTCGTCCCATCACCACTCAATGCCGCCGTCGCACCCCTCCTCCCGGTGGGCAGACTATCAGAGGAAAGGGTAATCTCATCCCAGGCGGGAGAGTCTGAGGAAACGTCTAGACGATAGATGGAGTTGAACGAACGGACGTCGGCGTTGCTCGTAGCCTGGGAGGTATAGGCGCCGCCGAATACGAGGAGGGTACCGTTAGAGAGGAGCACGGAAGTGTGGTGATACACCTGTTCAGGAAAGGACGGCAAGGTGCTGAAAGAGGCAGTGGAAGGGTCAAACTCGTAGACATCAGAGAACGTGACGCCAGAGCCATCGTCTTTGAGACCGCCGGTAATGTAGACCTTGCCATCGGAAGAGGAAGCTGCAGAATGGTAGACCCTGTTCATAGGCTGAGATGCCCAGCCTGTTGTTTGGTGAGCGTAAGAAGCGGAAGAGCTGGAAGTGTCGAGAGTCATGAGCCATGTAGAATCGTTCGCGGTGGTGCTCGCTTGATTGCCACTGCCATCTCCGCCGAAAGACAAGAGCTGCCAGGTATCGCCAGACTCGCTGACAGGGGAGATTGTGTGCCACGAGGCAGTAGGCCCCGAAGAGGAGTCGAGCTCGGCCCATGGTGGTGAGGAGGCGTTGAAAGATGAGCTGAGAGGGAGCAGGAGGGTAGAGGCAGTGTTGGGGGCGGAGGAGTAGGAGAAAGAGGAATCGGCTTTACCGCCTTGCAGGATGAGGGTAGGCGGAGAGGGTATGTAGGCTGCAGCTTGGCCCCATCTGTGGTAGGTCAGTGGGCGTTACTCAAGAGAGTTCCAAAGCGCACCTTGATGTTATATCTGATCTCTGCTCGTACGCTTGGGCTGTGGCAGTGTATAGGAGCGCACATATGAGGAGTGTTTTGTGGGTCATGGTGGGCACAGGACACGCAAATGAGGAATGGAAGAGAAAGAGAAGATTGCTGTCTGTAATGTTGGAATACGACAGCGCAGGTACAAGTTGACTGAAAGGATCTAAGAGGAACCATCACAGGCCACCAGCCAGTCGAGGAGAGTAGTGAGTAGGTGCGCATGCATGCATTGAGATGTATAGGCAGCTATAGTATGCAGAGGTCAGCGCATATTGTTATCGATAAGTGGGATGAATGCATGTCGAAAAGTGATGATATGCATTTGAACGACCCATGCATCATTCAACGCAGCTGGATGAACCAAATACACAATCCCCAGCCGCGACGAGAAATTCGGCGTTAAGTAAGCGGACATCGCCGCCAGCATGGAACGGTCTCTGCGCCACAGGAAGATTTGCCGCGAGTCGCCGGGAGATTTGGGTGTGGAGAGTGTCGAGGTGTATCGAGAGTTCTCCAGACGTAGGTTCACCACAAAACTAACAAAGTGAGTACACAGACACTCAGCACAGCACAGTAACCAGCAGCGGGGGAGCATTGGGCAGCAGGGACGGATGGGCGTCAAGGAGAGAGAGCGCTCAGGGATATGGAGGATACTGTGGAAGACGACGTTGGAGGAATATCTGCGTGATGGCGAAGAAGAGGGGGGTGTGTTGCTGGACTTGCTGTGCTGGATGCTCGGAGAAATCCCGTGTCAAGAATGCTTGCTGACGGATCGCTTCTCGCTATCTTTCACCCTTGTCAAAACTTTCGACTATTCCCTTTCACAACTTTCCACAACCTCCAGATGGGTATCGACATCCGCCGCCACCACGTCAAGAAGGGAAACAGGGCCGCTCCCAAGTCTGAGGATGCCTACCTTCTCTTGCTCGTCAAGCTCTACAGGTTCCTCGCCCGAAGGACCGACTCCAAGTTTAACCGAGTCATCCTCAGGAGGTTGTTCATGAGCAAGGTGTGTCTGCTGGGATGAATGAGACGAGAAGGGAATACTGAGACGAAGCGTAGATCAACCGACCCCCCATCTCTATCTCCCGAATCGTCAAGGAGACCAAGGGTTCCAACCCCGACAACTCCAAGACCGTTGTCGTTGTCGGCACCATCCTCGACGACGAGCGTCTCCCCGAGGTCCCCAAGCTCACCGTCGCTGCCCTCCGATTCTCCACCGGTGCCCGTGAGCGTATCACTGCCGCCGGCGGTGAGGCCATCACCCTCGACCAGCTCGCTCTCCGAGCCCCCACTGGTTCCAACACTGTCCTCCTCAGGGGTAAGAGGAACGTCCGTGAGGCCGTCAAGCACTTCGGTGGACCCCTCAAGGGCGGTAAGCCTTACATTGAGAGCAAGGGTAGGAAGTTCGAGAAGGCTCGTGGTAGGAGAAAGGTGCGTTTGCTCTACTGGAGTGCATGGAGTATGGCTGACAAGCTTGTGATTTACAGTCCAGGGGTTTCAAGATCAAGTCTACCCACAAGTAAACTGCTCACAGGAGTTAGTGAAGCTTTTTGGAGGCGGGTCTCATACGTGGTGGTGGGACTTTGTGGTGTCGTTGGGATGTTACGATTTCCTCATGCACCATTTTCCGAATACTGGAGACGCAAGAGCGCATTCTTACTGGAGACTATGCAGGAGAGGACGGACATGCTGATGATGTAGGATCTCAATTGGCACAACAATTCATTCGGGCTTCGGCACATCAGCTCCCATTCGCCGCTGATGTAAAGCCACATTCTTTCCTCGACGTCCTTGACGAACAACGAACAACAATCAACATGAAACAAGGTCTCTCGTCCGCCTTTGGATTATCTCCGGACTGTCGATCCCTGTATTTTTTCGGGTTGGATGGGGTCTCGATTGTTCCATTGTCCTATTGTTTGCTTCGCCAAGGCAACATCATAACGTAAACGACAACGATTATTGAAACGCGTCGTATCCAAGCGAAGGTGCATTGGAGGGTCGACCAATCAAGCTAATCATTCCCCGGTCGCCAACAACACTCGGCAATGCTTACGACATTATAAAATCCTGACTCTCTTTCTCTCTTTTGTATACTACAGCAATAACCCGCACAGCCAGTGTTCCCCAGGACTCGACGTCCATACCACGCTCTTTCGCCCACACGCTCTTTACCTTCCAAGGCCGGCCTTACCACATCATCTCCCAACTCTCCCACACAACACCGTCACAACACGTGTATCGATCGAATCAAAATGCTTTTCACCAACCTCTTTGCGCTCTTGCCTCTCCTCGCTCTCGCCTCTGCGCGACCCCACGATGACAAACTCCACCGCCGACAGTGCACCGCCCACAGAAACCACAAGTTCTCTGCTCACGGGAACGGGACGCTCGATGATGGCCAGGAGAGTGCTGTGGCTGCTGTTGTCGTTTCTGCTTCTTCTACTGCTTCTCTTGAACAGGAGACGCAGACGGCTATGTTCATTTCGAGCAGCACCGAGGTCCAAGAGACTTCCACTTCCGTCTCATCTACGTCCGAGCAGCAGGCGACGACCACCTCGTCTTCGTCCCAAGAGGAGACTGCCACATCCGCCTCTTCCAGCGCCAGCGCCGAAGCGTCGTCTACTGGCGCCTCTTCGGGTTTGAGCGCTGATGCGCAGACTTTGGTCGATCTTCACAACGCTCTCCGAGCCCAGTACGGTACGTCCTTCCCTCTTGAATGATACGGCTCGATTGCCGGGAGCTGATGCGAGGTGATCAGGTGCTGGCAACGTGACTTGGAACGATGACTTGGCTTCTTACGCTGCTACTGCCGCTGCCAAATGCGACATGCAGCACACGTACGTCCCATCACGTCTCAAACATGATCTTACTGTTGACTGATGTCCATGTCGTAGCGGCGGCCCGTACGGCGAGAACCTGGCTTCCGGCGTTGGTGGCGGCTACGACATTACCGCCGGTTTCCAGTCGTGGGCTGATGAAGCTTGTAAGTTTCCCCTTGCCCTCTTCCGTGCTGGTCTCAATGTACTGTTACTAATGTCATATCACATAGCCTCCTATGACGGCAGCCCCTCCCACTTCACCCAAGTCGTCTGGAAGGCTACCACCGAGATCGGCTGTGCCACTTCCTCTTGTGCTGATGGGACCATCTTTACGGGCTATGGGTCGGGCTCGCTTTACCTTGTTTGTAAGTCCTCTATCCTGGATCGTTGATGGGTGTGAGCTAACGCGGTGCGGGACAGGCGAGTACAACCCAGCCGGTTATGTGATCGGCGACTTTGCTGCCAATGTTGCTGCTTAGAGCTCGATCTTGGTGTATCAAGCGATGATTGTTCAGGTATCGTCAAGTATTCAAGGGCAGTCCACTTTGAGAGTGGACGTTCTTGATGCCTCCGCCTCTTTGTTTCTAGGTGTCTCTTTCTTGAGTGTGTACGTATATGCGAGTCAAGCTAGCTCGATGCAATGACTGTATGCTTGCGATCTAGAGTCATCTTGTTGTTGCAGTTCATCTATCTTGCATCGCGTGGCCGAAGAAGAAGCGCACATGAAGCAAAACCAGAGCGCATCTGACGCTCATACAGTAGAAGTCACAAGTCAGTCACCTCTTCTGTCACCAGGGACCTCTCCCATTCGTGACACAGTCTCTTCTGCCTTCTCTCGTTACTGAGTCTGTTGGTAGACCTTGGCCAGGTTGCAATGATAGACTTGTGTTGTTGGCACTAGTGCCTGAAGGTTTGCGACTTCGTGGCAACTTCGTGGCCGAATGCCATATGAATCGTCGAAGACGTCCCTTCTCGTGCAGTTGACCCATGTATTCACTTCTTATGCTCACTTCTTCCTGATCGCAAGCCATCCTTCTGCTGCCTTCAACCACCCAACTCTACCTTTCTTCCATCGCCTGCCCTTCCCAACCCTTCGGGAGCTCTCTCTGCGTCTTGCTGCTGTCGCCCCTTCCCAAACATGTCCGACCTCGATCAAGCTGCCCTCGACGCCATAATCGAGATCTTAATGACAGAAGTCGCAGAAGAGCTTCTGGACGAGTGCAAAGAACCTGAGCCTCTACACAATTCGAAACGGACAGTTCAGATGGCGCTCGAGGAGTTTCTTGAAGGGCGGTTCAGAAGCCAGGGTATGCGCACCTACCTCGGCACGACTCCCATTGAGTTCCTCTTCATCCGGGATGTTCTGGTGGAGGAATCGGCATACTTTTGAAGTCAAGATATGTCACTGCCGAAGAGAGGTTGTTCACGACGTTCTGGATCTTGAGGACCGGGGCATCTTTCGAAACGGCCGCAGAAGAATTCGCAAGGTCACCGGAGACGATCAGTTTGTGAGTCATCTACAACAATTTGAATTCCGTTTCAGCTGACACTGCTGTGAGATCATTTCATGCGGTCATCCTTGCCCTCTGTAAAGTAAAGTATACAATACATGGGTCAAGCAGCCAACACGAGAAAGTCATCGCCCGCACGAAGACGTCAAGGACTATGACCATGTTTTTGACAAAGCACTAGGCGCTCTCGACGGCACCCATATCCCTGTCGTTGTCCGGAAAGGAATACAACGAGCTTATATCAACCGAAAGGGATAGGCATCTACCAATGTACTGGCTGCCCGGTCATTCGACCTCAGGTTCACGTACGTGTACGCTGGCTGGGAGGCTGACCTTTGACGGGTGCGTTCAGCGGTGGATCTTACGGAGAGAACCTGTAAGTGTTTAAAACGAATTGTCCACTCCTGAAACAGTCAAGCTGACTTGAGACAGTAGTGCCGCTGGTACGGGTAGCTACGGCATCTCCGACGCTTTCAAAGCTTGGACCGACGGCGAAATCTGCAAGTCCTCTTCACTCCTTCCCTACCATTCCTGCGTTTTGTCGCCCTCGTACTGATGAGAGTATAGCCGACTACGATGCTAGCAACCCTCAAGGGCCTCACTTCACCCAGGTCTTGTGGAAGAGTAGCACCAAGCTCGGGTGTGCCCAAACTTCTTGTGCTGACGGCATCATCTTTACTGGTTACGGCGACTCTCCCTTCATTGTTTGTGAGTCGACTGTTCATCAGGAGTAATATGCAGGCTGATATGTTGGAAGGCGAGTACGACCCTGCTGGTAATGTCGCTGGCCAGTACGGCGACAACGTCCAGGTTTGAGGTTTAGGACATCGCGCAGGTTGTTGCATTGAAACAAAAGAAGTAGCAGTACATGGCTGATCACCCCTACGTCATGGATCATCCTGTCAGAAGCCAACAGCAGGCCAGCAGGCAATGAACAGAGAGCATGAATCTTGACCTTCTGTCGCACCGGCTACTGACCCATTCGGCGGGACGTTCCTATCCTGTGCCTATGATGCAGGTGGTTTGTACTGTACTCGTATTTGGAGAGGCCGAGGAGAGCACACTCGACGTTGCCAAGCGGGAAAAGCAAGATTATGGCCAGTTGTCTGCTGAACGCTGACAAGAGATGAGTCAAGTCATCGGGGGGCGTTCGATCTTTGGCTTCTGGATTGATTGGCCTGATTGTGCGGCGTGCCCCCTGTGCATCCATCGACAATCATCCGGCATCCGGCGTATCTTTGCCGTTTCATACTACAGGTTTCATGCTGTTTCATGTTGACTCGTTGTTCTGGACTTTGAGAGCAAATAAAGGCCCCATATCTCGGGGAATAAGCAACGTAACACCAGGGAGCGAGGTACAAGGGGCGCGATGTTTCAAGAAATCAAGCGCGTCCATTCGAAAGGCCGGAAAGAATCGCCCCCCATGTATCATTTTCTCCATCCGGGAGAGCGGTGTGGGCGGTGGGGCAGTGCATCGGGCACTGTGATGACCTCCGATGGGCAGATACACTTTGCCCATGTGCAGCGACTCCAGCGATAGAGTCGGAGCTTGAAGATTGAACCCTCTTTCCCCGGAAATTTCTGTCGGGCACCCGACCTCCCTTATTTTGTCACCCTTCGTTCTGCACCAAGGGTGTTTGTTCCTTCTGCACTTCCTGACTCCTGCATCTCGTTTCATCACCAGGAACCGGGGCCACTTTTGTTTGGTCTCGGCCGTCACCCAGAGTGGAGTGTAGAGAAGCTTTATCGCCTCGCCAGACATATAAAAGCCACATTTCTATCCCCTTCTCCCTCTTCCCCACCTTCTCTCGCCACTTTCAACTCTCACCACCCAGCCAATCACTCCAGTCAACATGCTCATCAACCTCACCACCATCGTCGCCCTCCTGGCTTCTGCCTCTGCAGTCATCGCTGCCCCCGCCCCCGCCCACGCAGACTCTGACATTGCTGCCCGAGACACCCAGTCCACTTGGCTCACCATGCACAACAACTACCGCGCCCAGCACGGTAAGTTTCCTTCCCCTCTGTGTGTTCATTGTGGTCCAGAAGGCTGATGTGAGAATAGGCGCCAAGGCTTTGACTTGGAACAGCACCCTCGCCAGCTATGCCCAGACATACGCCAACAAGTGTGTCTTCAACCACAGGTTCGTCCATCCCCATACTTCTCTTCTTCTTCCCCACTTTCTGCCGAGATCCAGTGCTGATGAAATTTCGAATAGTGGCGGCAAGTACGGCGAGAACCTGTGAGTCTTCTTACTTCTGATGCCCGGCCATGGCAGTGCTAACTTGGGTTTGAAGCGCTGCTGGTGTCGGCTATGATGACGCTGCTCTCTTCAAGCAATGGACCGACGAGTCATGTGCGTCCCCCCACCCCCCACCCGGATCTTGCAAGTACACTGTATACTGACACAGCAGTACAGCCTCTTACAGCTCTTCCAACCCCACTGCCTCCCACTTTACCCAGGTCGTGTGGAAGAGCAGCACCCAGCTCGGTTGTTACAAGGCGTCTTGCGCGGATGGCACCATCTTTACTGGTTATGGAAAGTCTGACTATGTCGTCTGTGAGTGCCTTGGCTGGCTGGTTGGACTGCAAAAGGGTGGAAAAGCTGACTAGCTTTGCAGGCGAGTACAGCCCCGCTGGAAACGTCATCGGCCAGTTCGCTGCCAACGTTCAGAAGTAAGGCCGGAGTCTGGTAGGGGAGAGCTGGGTTCGAGGTCGCTCGGATGGTCCATCATCATCATCATTGCTTTTATACTTTCATGTACTCGTACAGTACAGTATGCCATCGTTCAAACGCGCGACCATTGGAGATTGAGGAGGAAACAAACAAACAAAAGAAGCTTTGTTTTCGGCCGCTGGATATTACGTTGCTTGACGGTAATCGCCTGGATTGTGGAATCTGGACCGAAGCCGATAGATCCGTGGATGCGAGTCGGCAAACACGTTTGTGAGAATGCTTCATGCTTGTCCTCATCACTTTGAGAGGTAGATGCGCAAACATCACGCACGGAATGTTCAACCGACAGGTGGCTGACAATTTCTTTTGTTTCATTTCAACAGTTGTATCCAATCAATGGTGAGGTTTGCTTTTTTTGTACACACTATGCAAGTCTATCATCTCCCCCCTCCCCTAATCCTTCCTCGAGCCATGCCCAACGACACCAGCCCCGCTCGCCTTCTCCCACTGGGCATCACCCTTCACCTGGCTCGCAACAGCCTCCACACCGAGTGCGACATCACCATGGCTCTTCTTCTCCTTCTTTGGACCACCCACAAGCAGACCGGTACCAATCACACCCGCCAAGATCCAAGCACCCGTCCTCTCGTGGCCGTCCAAAGCCCGCTTCTCATACTTGTAGTCCTTCTTCTCCGCTTTAGGGAGGCTGAAGCTGAGGGCATTCCAAGCAGCGCTGGGGGCGTTCCAGATGGAAGAGGTGAAGCCTTCGAACGAGGGGAGCTCGAGCTCGCTGGCCTCGAGGGCGTAGGCGTCGGTGTGGTCGTGCACGCCGTGAACGGGCCCGCCAGCGTGGTGCGTCGAGGCAGAGGCGACGGTGAGGACTTTGGGGTCTTTGGAAGGTGATGAAGAAGAGGGGAGAGCAGAGTTGGAGGCAAAGTTGTCCGGGGTCAGAGGCTGTGGATTATATCAGCCAGCGTTCTTTCAAGAATGCTAGTCATGACATCAAGACTTACGATAACCTGCTCAATCTCTCCAGAATCCACTGCATTGGTGGTGACGGGGATCCTGAGATCAGAAGACCCGGAGCCAGCGGCGTTCTTGCTCTCGGGGAGTCCGGGGGCAACAGTGATTTGCTCAGGAGCGACGGGATCTGGGTGGACGGCTGCTGTGCGCTGGGACTCCACTTGGAGCGCAGGGTCGGTGGTGCTAACGCCCGGTGCGACGCCATGGCTCTCTTCCTTGGGAGCGCTGCTGGCCTTCTTCTTTGGTGGGAAAGCTGCAGGAGAGGAGGTAGAGAGGGCTCTGGCGCCGGAGGGGAAGGGAGGTAAGGGGCCGAGGAGAGAGGTCGTCTCGGCAGACTCGATACGCGAGATGAGGGTGGCTCTGTGCAGGCTGTCAGCTCCAGCCCCGGTTGCACCACGATATACAGGGGTGTACTCACTTGTTGCCCTTCTGGGACAGACCGCGCTTCTTGAGCTCTGCCTTGAGCCCCACGACAGTCTCTGTCTTCCAATTTCTCTCGGAGGAGAGGAGGACGGCGGAGGCGAGGGACCTGGAGCGGGCGTGGTGTGCGATGGGGGTGGCGGCGGGGGCGGGGGCGGCGCGGAGGAGGCCTGTGGAGAGTCTTCGTCTGAGCATGGTGTATAAGATTGTATAGGATTGTATAAGATTGTATAGGATTGTATAAGATTGTTGTGGAGATGGACGGAGAGTGTTGATCGCATTCTCAGTGGCTGGGTCCCGAGCGGATCGGGACAACTCAGCCCTAACACCACGCCATGACGCATATACTTCTGGCTATGCATCTGTAGCTGGGTAGAACACTTGGATAACTCGAACAGCTGGAGAAGGTAGAAAGCAAGAGAGGATAGACGGTGAAGCTGGCGTGAGGCGCCTGAGCCAAATCCCATGGTCATGTCGAACGGAGCTAAGGAAACGTCAGAGCTGCAAACGGAAGTCTCCCTCATCATCGGTATCAATCTGCTGGATTTTGACAGGGCCTCCAGGTGCTACGTGCAGAGCACAACGTCGTCCGTGATGGTTCTCTCGAAATCGGCCCCCATCAGATCCAAAGACAATTGAGGCCGAAGGGCATGCTGCTGTTGTGGAGGCGGAATCCAGGCCACCGTTGTTGGTCTATTTGATACGGCGGGCGGAGTTAAGAAGCAGCTTGGCCATGTATATACGGCATCGGGAGTTAGCAGGAACTGATAACCATGTCTGTCCGGCGATCTCTCATATCCGCCTGCACCAGCTGCTGAAGCTGCTGACCACAACCTTACTGATAACGAGTCAAAGTCCCGTGTCCCATGACCCAATCAGCTATCTCTCTCGCGTCAGCTGCCTACAGCCTGCCATCCCGCATATCTCGTGATACTTGCATACTCCTTGCCTCCACACGATATTACATGCACCAGAAGCCGACCTCGGTCCCAATCAGGTATGCGTGACCAGGACTTGGCGTTTGTTTCTCTTCCAACTCTATCATCGACCACCGGCTCTCGGATATCTCACATCACCATGGGGCTCTTATACTCTGGCCCCAATCATTCTATGCTGGAATAACCCCCTCTTTCTCTATCATTCTATCATCCTTGACCATCACTCCTTCCCGCCCTCCACACACGCCACATCATGAACCAGACCGTCCCCAACCTCACCCAAGGAGGCGCCACCAACACCACCAACGGCCAAGACCGCTCTGACCCCGAGCTCTACCAGGTCACTTCTCCCGAGAGTGCAAAGGTCGCACACGCACACAACGAGTACCATGGAGGAGGCAACATGAGCCGATTCATCACTCCCGGTGGCTCGGCGGTGGACAACAGTCAACCTGCCTTCCCGGTCTTTCACCGCAAGTTTGCGAACCCCTCCCCTCTCGGTCTTCTTTCGTATGTCGGAGTTGTAGTCTGAAGACCCTCCTGCTGACCCGAGGAATCGACAGCTTCGCGTCCTCTTCCTTACTGCTCAACCTTTACCAAGCAAACGCCCGAGGAGTCACAACACCTAACGTCATTCTTGGTATGGCTATCGGCGTTGGTGGTATGGGACAGACAATAGCAGGGATCCTGGAATGGGGATGTGGCAATACATTTGCTGTAAGCTGCCAATCGTGTGGTAAAGCGTAATACTGATCAGACTCCATAGGCGACAACCTTTGTATCTTACGGCGGCTTTTGGTGGACTTTGGCTTGTAAGTTGTTCCCCCTCTCTTGTACATCTTACCAGGCAAGCTAATGGATGTAGGGATATATATGCCTCAATTCGGTATTGCTGCCTCCTACGCAGAGGACTTGGAGATGCTCGAGAACGCCCTCGGGTTGATGATGATGACATGGGGCACACTCACCTTTCTCTTCGTCATTGCCGCCCATCGCTCTTCTGTGGCATTACTGTGTATCCTCGTACCCCTCACAATCACCTTCTACGTAACGTACGCTACCTCTTGCATTGACCATGGGGAAGCCGACTGACTTGTGGCAGTGCGGCGGGATATCTGATGCAGAGCGCTTACTTGCTGAGGGTGGGAGGTGTGATCGGTTGCGTGAGTTCTACTCCTCTTTCTGGCCTTCTAAGGGGCGCTGATGAATGGGAAAGATCATGTCGATGTCTGGTTTCTATTGCGCTCTTGCCGGTCTCTTGACGCCCGACACTTCTTACTTTATGGTACCTGTGGGCAATCTTGCACCCCGCCAGAAGCCGCATTAAGTGTTGGCTTGGTACTGCTGTTATTATCGTTGTCTAGCTTGTCTTTTTACCTTGACTCTCTCTCTCTCTCTCTCTCTTTCTTTGGGCTCTATGAGGGACGATCTCTCGCTGTAAAACTATATGTTGTTGAATCTCAAGTGACCAGGACGTAGTTTGTTGTGACTGAAGAGAACATTGAAAATGAATCTAGCTATTGCCTATCGTTGACCGTCAAGAAATGTCGATACTATTGGTACAAGATGCATTCCATGTATGATACACTTGGATTATTTATTCCACACAACTTAAAAGCATACTCGTACAACATTGCGACTACCCGTCAGACACGCCATACTTGTCGACTACATTCACGACTTGGATCTTTCCATCTTCGGTACCTTCGTGACTCTTATGAGCGATGGGCTTTCCATCCAACCCCACAACCCGCGTCATGTATTCCTTGATCTCGTCTATACCGCTCTCAAGATCCAACTGTTCTCTATCCTGCGGCCACCTCGTCGAGTGTTTCGCCATGTCCATCAAGAGCCTCAACGTATAGTATCCCCATTCACTGTCAGACACAGTCGTCTCCATAAGGGTAGAGCTCCATGCGAGGATGGTTTTCAAGCTCTCGACGCGAGCCGAATCGGGTGTAGCGCCGTCGGGGGACGTGGCATCGTCTGCAGGCGCGTCGGAGATGGTGATCTCGATGGCAAAACTAAGTGTGGAGAGGAGGCCAATCAGGGAGCGGTGCGCTGCTGGAGGGGGAGTCCAGGAGAGCAATTCATCACCAGTGTCAGAGCATTCCGAGGAGAAGTCCCATGATTCAGAGTGTTCGTCGCCTTGGGTGGCAGCGAGGGGTCGGTCATAGGCGCCAATATGGTCCTCAACGAGCTCGGTTCCCAGCATGGGCTCGCTCAGAGCCACTTCCTCGTTGTGGACAGCAACGAAGCCTTCGTCAGAGTCGGCAGAAGCAAGAGTAGCAGTTTCCGACATGTCCTCCTCACTAGCGTCCACCTCGTCTCCCATCTCGACGTCGTCTGGCGCAAAACCCTCTTGGTTCTCACTCATATCGCGCGACACATCTGTCCAGCCTTCAGGGATATTAGCCGGCGCCGGCTTTCGGGGGATCTGATGAGTGGATTCGCTCATTCCCTTTGGTTGGATGATCCTGGCGGTATACTTCGAGAGATCCGATGGCTCAAGCTTGACACTTTCTGGCATTTCTGCCATCAGTCGCTCCTTGTACTGGCGTGTGAACTCTTCAGAGTCAAATCCAAAGACGGACGAGACTGGCTCTTTGTGTTGGCGATCACGGAAGGATCCGAGGTTGTGGGTGTACGCGGGCATAGAGAAAACGATCTGAGCAGGCGTCTTCGTCTCGGAAGTGTCATTTTCAGAAGACTTGTCGGTCTTTCCACCAGCCGCCCCATCCTTCATGACCTCGTCCGCTTTGTCCTCCGTTTGAGATTGCAGCTCACTGGCGGCAGGGAGCCCAGGGGGCATCGGATCGAAAAGAGAAGCATAAGCAGGCATCACCTTTCGCGCGTACAAGTGAGGGGCATGTGGCCATCCAAGAGGTTCCATACTGGTAGGCTTGTGCACAGGTATGGCTGGGAGCGGAATTGTCTTCCCGGGCATCGTTGTCGGCTGGGGACTAGCAGGAGAAGCAGAGGTCGTCTCGTGAGCCTGAGGGGTAGGCGCAATAGCAGCGGGTACCACGCCAGCAGGCTTGCTTACTGCGATCGCTGGCACCGGAGAGTCAAGGGTGGACGAAGTAGGGACAGACTCGGGATTGGCCGGATTCGACCTGACCGAAGCATAAGCTTTTGGATCAATGGGGAGTGACCAAACAGCCTCAGAGACAGACTGTGTAGCCGGCGGAAGGTTGGTTCCGGGGATAGGAGTTACATATTGAGCGGTGAAAGGGCGAGAGTAGTTGGCAAACACTGCGTTTGCTTGCGATGCCTGGACCGGGACAGGCGGAAGCGGACGAGGCTCTTGGGCCTGAGCCTGAGAATGCAAGCCGTACGCCGTGTCGTAGGAGATGCCAGTCTGGGGAGGGACAAAGCTACTGGGAGGAGGAAGTCGGGTCTGAGTTGGCTGGTTGCTTCGAGCCGGTGCCGTTTGGACTATGTACTTTAAAAGAGAGTCCGAGTATGTCAAGCGACCCATCATCATTGCGTGAGATTCCTTAGGCTTGTCAGCATCTTCCGCAGTCGCACAGATGAGGAAACTTACTTGACGGGCACTTTCCGAAGTAAAAATAAGATCTTCAATTCGCTTGAGGACCTCTTTGTTTTCCGCCTTTTCCGCGCGGAGTTGCTCTTCGAGTTCGATGACCCGCTCCTCGAGAATGTCGTAACTATCGTACCCTTGATCTGGCAAGGAAGGCTGTGGCATAGGGTCAGCAGGAGGGACGGGCAGAGCTCATGTCTACTCACAGACTCTCCAAGGCATCGTTCTACTTTGTCGAAACGCCTGAGTAGATTATTTTGCAATCGTTCCAAGACCTGAGCCGAGACCATGCCCCGTTCGTCCTGCAACCAGTGGATCAGTCCTGGAATGTGCGCGGAATCAGGCGGAATGACTGACCATTTGTAGATCCATAGAGCCAACGAGAAGCTTGTTGAGGTTTTGCAGCTCGGTGTGGGTCTTGAAGTTTGCAGTAGCGATCCCGTACTCCCACTCCTCTATGGCGCTCTCGAATTCGGCCTTGGAGAGAAGAGGGGCCATTGATTCCTAGACACGTTGTCAGAAGAGGAATGTACCAGCTTGCGAAGGAGATTACCTTGAGACCTCCCACTGCCTTCCTTAGATTATCGAGCCTGGCATCCATGCCGTCCATTCTGGCGTTGAGCAAAGACAATGTGCTCTGCTGCGGCCTCCGAGTGGGTTTCAAGGTCCTCTCTGGCCCGGCTTGGGACATGTGTGTAAACCCTTCTCCTAAATTGAGTGGATGGGGAAATGCCTTGCGTTCGAGCATCAGCTACAGTTGAGGCGGGAGGGGCAGTCGACTCACGAATCCATCGTGGTTGTGCTGAGCCATGTCTTATTTGCGTTCGAGGGGGTTAGATTGGAGAATGAGTGAGAAGTAAGGATGGAAGATTATCATGAATATAATGTTTGATCCGCAAAGAGGAGATATGGCGGGAAGATTTATATGCCGGAATACTTTGGTGAATCATCTTGGATCATCGGTTCAGCAGCGCTTACGACGACGTCGAGTCGTCGACGCGACATGATCCCGTTCTGATGCGATCTTACTGCATACTGGAACCATTTGTCAGTGCCATAATCAGCGCGAGCGTGGGACGAACCTCTGCATCATGACCATGAGCAAGTGGATGTACAAAAGAGAGCGCGATGCAGTTTGTGCTTTGTGGTGGCGGCAGGCCGAGTTGCGCAGTCTGTGCCTGTGCCTGGCTTCACCCATCAATCACTCTTTTCCGGCGGGTTATAAGGGGCAGCCCATCTCCCTCTTTTTCCACCGACCATGTCCCACGAAGTAGTATACGACTATGTCGAGCTCGTCGACCCCAACCTCGTCTGCGCCATCTGCCAGTCCGCCCTCGTAGACCCCGTCACCACCGGCAGCTGCAAGCACACCTTCTGCCGCGACTGCATCACCAGGGCCATCAGCCACAATCCCCAGTGTCCCATCGACAGGTCTGCTCTGTCGCTCAGTGGGCTGAGAGATACGGAGCAGCTCGTCAAGCTCGTAGGTTCTCATTGAGACAGGCGGAGCGTGGTAGGGAATCAGGCGCTGATGAGAATGTAGATGCTGGACGAGCTCAAGGTCAGGTGTGGCGCAGATGGATGTGGCATGGTCCTCCAGAGAGGACTTTTTCTGGCCCACCTGAGATCCTGCCCACAAGCCATAGTCACTTGTCGTGACGACGACTGTGGTCTCTCTGTAAGTCAGGGCTTCGTCACGAGCCGAAGCGTGACCATCCTTGCTGAGCGTCTGTCCCCATAGATGACTCGGCACCGAATGCCCCATCACAGGGCATACGACTGCTTTCAGAGAAGGATGGAATGTAAAAAATGCGGCACAATTTTGGTGTTCAAGGACCAGACCGCCCATGCAAACGAAGAGTGCTGCGACCAGTCGTCTGATTCTTGCGATTTGTGCGGCGAAACTTGTAAGCTGCATATGACGGAGACGCAATGGACACTGACGCGTATAACAGTGGGAGCCGACTCGCATATGCACAAATGGCGCTGTACCAAAGTCCGGGCTCCATGTCCCCATGCCCACCGCGGCTGCTCGTCCATCATACCCCGAGCAGATATCGAAGCCCACCTCACCACCTGCCCCTTTGAAGCCTTTTCTGGATTCTTCGACGTCAACGAGACACGGTTCAAATCTCTCGAGTTGAAAGTGGAGTCTCTGCAAAGCGAGCTGGAGAGTGTGAGGAGTCATTTGAGGAGAGTGGAAGGGAATGTCGAGGTCGTTTCGAGAGTCAGGAATACGTCGGGCGGAGGACTGTCATGGCCTGCACATCAGGTGGATCCTATAGTCCCCGTCCCTGGCAGACGGTCTACCACGGCACCAGACAGCGGTTCACCAAGACCAGAGGCCTTACCGCTCCCACCATCCCCTTCTCCCGTAACGCCAACTCTCACAAACCCAACTCCAGGCCCAACCACGCCGACCCCAGCCCGCAACCCACAACCATTGTCCTTTGGGTCATCGCTTCCCACTACCAGGCCAGATATGACACATCAGCGATCACTCGTTGCGCCGTCTTTTGGCTCGCATCAGTCGTATGCTGATTGGGCTTTCAACAGGCTGGGTGGGAGTGGTACTGGGGGTGGCAGCTGGGATGATGTGTTGAATGCTCTCAAAGGGGTTGTGGTTCAGCTGGCAGCTGGTTTGGATAGCATGGAGAGGAGGAACGAAGTGTGAGTCTATTCACTTGTCGAGGTCTGAGCTGACAAGTGTAGACGGACGATGACGGAAAGCTTGAGAGTGCTCGAGGAAGTCGGAAGCCTGAGGGCTATCGTCACCACCATGCGAATGCGTAGGTCAACCCCCATGGAGCTGGTGACCGAGTTGACTCATTCACAGAGGTCATGATGGACCGCCCCTCACGCCCTGGGCGCCCCTCACGCCCTGGGTCACTTCAGTACCAAACAGACTCACCCTACCGAGCATCCCAAAACCTTCCCCGCACAACGTCCAGGCCCAGTCTCTCCCTGTCCACCCGCGACCACGACTCTGTCTCCATCCCCCGCTCCTCCAGCCCCATCAGTCCCACGCGAACGACCCACTCAGTCAGCGTCATCACGGACAGAGACGACGACGCCGAAGAAACAGCCTCCATCACCGAATCCGTCGTCTTCTCCGCCCAAGGCCATCCTCCACCCTCACCCTCCGCCCAATCATCCACTTCATCCCTCATCACCGCCACAAACCCCAGAATACCCAAGCGCGGTTCTCTCTCAAGAGCGCACCGGACGTCAAGTCTGGGACAAGGGCCGTCGGGAGAGGCAGTGGGCATGTCGAGGAATTCGGGTAGTACGGTTGGAAGGAGTGGGGCGGGGCTGACGGGGAGGCCGGTGGCTTTCCCGCCGGCTGCTGATGATACTGTTGCTGGACCGAGTGGGAGTGGTGCTGGGGCAGCGACGATAGGCAGGAGTCAGGGGAGGTTGAGTATGCGATCTGCTGGGAACACGGTCGGGAGTATCGGCAGATTTATGAGGAGGAACACGGAGAGAGAGAGGGACAGGTCTGGGCCGAGGGGTTGATGGAGGATCTGCTTTTCACGATTGTTACGACTAGAGGATGATCTCTGGCTCGACACAAGCCGCGCGATCCCGGGAGTCGAGCCAGGGATGATCTGATGTGTACATACGAATCTTCTACAACGACCTCTTACTTGCTTTTCATGATATGCCTTGTGATTTAGCATCCACCAATCTCTGTATCAACACACAATGCATATAGTCGTACACGGAAGAAGGCTCCCATTATCAATCCCGCACCGTTGAACCAAAATTCACAAGAGCGCAATCACTTCTTTTCCTTGGGCTCTTTCGGCTTGAAAAAGCTGGTCAATTTGGTCATCTTTGACGTATTGACCTTCTTCAACGACTCGACTCCTCTCGAAGAGCTCGCTTTGCGCTTCGTAGCGGCAGTCTCTTTGGCCCCCTTCTTTGCTTTTGTGATGGGCTGAGAAGCGGCGACAAGGGCGGCGTTATGTGAGGCAAGGTATTCGTGGAGGGCGGTGAAACTGGGCACAGGTCAGCTGACTCGTCTTTGTCGATGGGAAGAAGAGGTCTTACTCGTATGAGTCGATGAGCTTGGAGACAATGGGTTGAGAGAGCCATTGTGAAAGGTGCTCTATGGCTGCCTTCTTTCTCGCCACTAGTCTGGGTCAGCATATGCCCCAAGCATTGTTGCCTAACACTCACTCGTCAAAAGAGGATCATCCGCACTCCTTCCCAGCATCCCATCCCGTCCAAACGCCCTAATCAAATGATCAAACTTTTCAAACTCCTCCGGATTTGCAAAGAACTCCACTTTGCTCTTCAAATGCTTCACAACCAACTCTATCGACGGACGATAGTACTTTTCACCCTTGGCAGTTGGTGAAGGAGAAGTAGGCTGAGAAGCTTTGGGAGAAGGGGGGGCAGCGGAGACGATCTTGACTTCGCAGCAGGCTCTGAAACCGCGCTTGACGGATTTGAGTTTGAGGAGGGCGGAGAGGTCTTCGTTGACGCCCTCGGAGGCGGGGCGCTTGTCATTGGAAGTGAAAGGCTCGGGGAGGATGAAAGAGGGGGAAGAGGCACATGTCGACAACAGGTCGTACAGAGGTTGGAAATGCAGGACAGAGCCGTTCTCCTGAAAGAGTGTAAGTGCCACACTTGTACGATACAGGTGAAAACATACAGGGACAAGAGACAATATCAATGGGATTACAAGAAAGAGAGGATCCACTGGATAGTGAACAAGTATACTCGCCGCTGTATAATCGTCAGCTGAAGTTCTTCCTGCTTTGACAAATTTATGCACCATCTATGCCTGATTCGCCGACAAACCATGTCCGTCTAGAGGCGCCATTGAGCTTCGCAGCTTCCAGCACGGAATCTTGCCCGCTGGGCGTCGTGTAGGGGAGATAGAGTTGAGGAGCTCCTACTCTGAGCATCAGTATTGAGCTGTGAGAAGCAGGGGCTAACACGTACCACTTCGAGGATGCGGTAGTCTCAGATACTGGTGTCCCTGGGACAGGTCGACGTCTGCTGCGATGAGCTCAAGCCAGCGTGTATCAAGCCACTCACCATCTTTGATGATTGAAATGTAGTCCATGCTTCTGATTTGGGCGACAAGGTGGGCAAGTTGCTGCAGCAGAATGAATATGTGGTTCTTGAAAGAGACGACAAACTCATCAAGAGTCCACCGCGTCGCGTTTGGGCAGCCCGCCCAAAACGCGTCAACCTGCGCCAATACGCCCAGCTATACTTCCACCTCCTCCGCTGTCAGTTGTGCGTAATATTTTCTGGGAATTGGCAGAATGGACAGTCAGGCATGCATTGAGGCCAAGAGTATACACCGTAGAGATGATACAACCCATTCATTCATATCTACAATCATGTCTTTGACAGGCGATACGCTACACTCGACTCGCAACTCTCTCACCTCGATGATCACTCAACGCTCACTCAACCCAAGCTTTGTATGTCTTGTGCCACTCCTACGAGCAATCGCATTAGGACGCTGCTGCTGTATCTTGCCAGACTAAAATTAAGCTCACCTCAATTCCCTTGCCAGGTCCGTAACCTTTGTAGACCTTGGCGCCCTCAGGAGCAGGTACGTGTGATGGGCAACACTCGCGTTTGATAGCGATCAGGTGAGTTGTGTCGGGAACAGCTGGAAGAGGGTCAGGCTTGTCGATAGTAGATGCAAAGGGGTAAATCCACTAGGCGTCAATATCAGCTTGCTGATGAAGCACCCAAGCAGGTCGGACGTACGTCGGGCCACTCGTCATGATAGTTCCAGAGCATACTACTACACTCTGTACAGAAACTCCTCTTGGAGTTGCCTATCTCGACTGGCTTGTCGTTCTCGTCAAACTTGACAGCCGCAATGTAGACCCTACCGCAAGCATTAGACACTGCGTCACGACAGGGTGAGGGAAACGTACTTGATCTTGTCTTTGCCACGCATGATATTGAGGGTGTTGGTATTCCCCATGATGTTGACGCTACCCATGTAGCCACCGACTTTGCGGCAGATAGAACATTGGCAGAGCTTTGAGGGTGAGTTTCTCCGTTGAGCAGGGCTTATCGGGAGTCAGAGCTCACCTGGAATGGTACCGGAGTGTTGGACTGCTTTGCGTCAACTAGGTATGCACTGGCAGGGGCAATAGCTCACCTCTAAAGTGTACTTTACAGCCTTGCAATGGCAGGTTCTACATCCCGAATGATCAGCCCCGTACTTCCCATACACCCGCCTGCCACTTCTGTCATCGCACTCTTTCCCTCACTCTCGCTCTTACCCTTCGAGCAAGACAGGCATCTTGGTGAGTATCCCAATGTGGAGAGTGGAATTGTTGTAGAAGGAAGAGATTCAATAAAAGCATACAACAACGGCAACGGGTCGTTTCCATGGTCATGAAGTCATGAATACTCATGATGTCATAGGACCATCCACTCGGATGTCCCCGCCGGCCGGGACGCGTCGTTGCTGCTGTATATATGTCGACGCCTGCTAGAAGCAACTTACAACTTCGCACAGATGTCTCATTTATATACATACAGCCTTTTGTCGTGACTCGTATAACTTTGGGAAAGTCCTAGCTATCTCGTTTGTTTCTCGTAAATGAATTGTCCTTGGTGGTTCACAGCCTAAGCCCCGTCCCCGCCCATCTCCATCTCCATGTTCCTATAATGCACGAAGTGCCCCTCGCAATCCTTCATCATGTCCTTTGCCATCCCGTAGACTTGTGAATCTGGAGCGTTGTACATCATCGCATTCCTTTTCCCAGTCAGCCTCATCTCACCTACTCGTTGATGAGACTCACGAAAAGATCAACAAGACATCCCTCTCGAGCTCATCGATGCTTCCGATCCTCCCATTCTTGATCCCAGCCTTGACAGTCTTCAAGTCCATCGGCTTTTTTATCACGTCATAGTAGTCCGCAGCCTCGCTCTTGCGAACAGGAGTCTCAAAGACGTTGGAAAACTTGTGAGACAGGATAATCTCAAAGAGAGCCATCAAGAAGGGCTTGGAAGACCTTTTCGCGACGCGAGGAGCAAGAGTCGTCGAAAATCCCGCGGCCTCCTCCTTGACTGCCACCTCATCTTGCCCACCTGCCACAGACAGCTCACTTGCGGCCACTTCGCGATGACCTAGCCGGGGGGGGACTACCTGTCAGCCCACAGAAACAAGGCAAAATATTCCGTTATTCAACTGATACCACTAGAAACTATGGAAGGGCGGACTCACTCTTGACTGCTGTAGACCTTGTGCCACGGCGCTCGGTGGCAGAGGGGGTAGGGGTGGCGGCTTCGACAGCACCAGACTTGCGGCGGGAGGCGCGGGTGGCTTTGCGGGGTTCTTCGTGGTCTTCGCCCGCGACAGAGGTGTTGTCTTCCTCCTCCCTCTCGACTGTTTGGTCACGAACAGGCTTGGAGACCTCTCGTTTGCCCCTGCGAGACGCGGCCCCTCGTCGTGTACTTCGGCGCTCTTCGCCCGGCGTAGCAGAGTTGGTAGAAGAGACGGACGGAGCACGGCGAGAGTTGGCGGGCGATCCTTCTTTTGTTGGCGAAAGAGACGGTTTGGCGGGAGAGGAGCGCTTTCCCTGACGACCTCGGGTGGCAGGCTGTTCCTCTTCATTATCACCTTCCTCGTCCGAGTGCTCTTCCTCCTCTCCTTCCGACTCTTCCGCTTCAGCTGCCGCCGCAGCGCCTCGACGTCCACTCCTCTTACCAGCAGGGGCACCCCTTGGCTGGGAAGCTGCTTTGCGCTTGTGTGACCTCTTTGGGGCAGGCTCTGGTTTGATGGGAGAAAGGTCGGATGGAGCCGGGGAGAGAGGGGATTGGGCGGGAGAGATGTCCTCGGTGGGTTCGGGAGTCTTGACTGCTTCCTTCTCAGGAGTGGCATCTTTTGGTGGAGTCTCGAGCGTGGCTTCCTTCATTTCGACGTCTTCGCTGGCATCCTGGACAGCCTCGGCGGCTTTGGCAGCTTCTGCCTTTGCGGCTTCTTCTTTAGCGGCTTGCTCAGCAGCCTTTGCCTTTTCAGCCTCTTCAGCAGCCTCGGCTTCAGCTTGCGCTTTAGCAGCTTCTTCCGCTTCTTTAGCTTTGGCAGCCGCGACCTTGGCTTTCTCTGCCTCCTTCTCCTTCCTCTTCTTTTCTTCTTCCGGGTCGACCTCTCCCGCCTTCACCTCCCCAGCTTCCACCGCCTTCAGGATCTGCCCCTTCCCCTCTCCCTCCAACCATCCATCCATAATCTTCTTTCCAAACTTTTTCTCCAGCCCTTCCACAATCTCCCTCTTGAGCGCATCATCCAGATCCCCAGACTTGAGTGATGTCACTTCGGTAACGAGGGCTGTGAAGCGGGATTCGTGTGCGGCAATTTGGGCGTGGAGCTCGGACATGCGGGCGATGTAGTGCGTTTGGGCGAGGCGGAGGTGGGATTTGGTGTGAGGTTTCATGCCGTCCGGTGTGGGGCTGCTTGACATCAGTACTGGTCATTGGATGAGAGCGCACTTACACGTTGATACCAATGACCCCCATCATCTCTTTATACATAGCCTCGCATCTATCCGGTGTGAAGAGCTCCTTGGGCCGCGGTTTGATAGACGGGTGGACGAGCAGCAAGTCTGAGACCTGGGGCCAGGAGAAAGCCCCGAGCTTGTAGATTGCTTGTGACAGTAGCAGCTTTTCTTGTGTTGTGAGGTCTGCGGAGAGGGACATGGCGGGAAGATGGTGATGTGAATGCAAGATTCGGTTTGGTTCATGCGGCGTGAAAGAGGACATGAGGGTGAGTACGTAATCTGCATGCCTATCTCCAGCCGCATCATCATATCATCATTTCTCCTCGTTGACACCGTCTCTCTATTCGATCTCTATTTCCCTCTATAGCATCATGGCCGACCCATCAACCCCCCTCGTCGTAGACAATGGCACCGGTGTATGTCCCCTCCTATACGCCCTCTCCCCGCTGACTCTTCTGCAGTTTGTCAAGTGTGGCTGGGCCGGTTCCAACTTTCCCGAACACGTCTTCCCCTCCATCGTCGGCCGACCCATCCTCCGCGCTGAAGAACGCCTCGGCACCTCCCAGCTCAAAGACATCATGGTCGGCGACGAAGCGGCCGCGAACCGTTCCTATCTCCAGGTCACCCACCCCATGGAGCACGGTGTCATCAAGAACTGGGAAGACATGAAGCATCTGTGGGATTATACGTTTGAAGAGAAATTGCAGGTGGACCCGAGGGGGAGGAAGGTGGTGCTGACGGAGCCGCCGATGAACCCGAGGAGCAATAGGGAGAAGATGGCGGAGGTGATGTTTGAGGACTATGGGTTTGGAGGGGTCTATGTGGCGATCCAGGCTGTCTTGACGCTTTATGCTCAGGGTAAGTGTCGAAGTGATACCTAGGGTCAAGCTGATGTGATTTAGGGCTGCAAACTGGTGTCGTTGTCGACTCTGGTGACGGTGTCACCCACATTGTCCCCGTCTACGACGGTTTCGCCCTGCCCCATCTCACCCGCCGTCTCGACGTCGCCGGCCGCGACGTCACCCGCTACCTCATCAAGCTCTTGCTCATGCGAGGCTACGCTTTCGAGCGAACAGCAGACTTTGAGACTGTCCGCGCGATCAAGGAAGCTCTGTGCTTTACGAGTTATGATTTGGATATGGACAAGAAGTTGGCAGAGGAGACGACTACGCTTGTGGAGAATTATACATTGCCGGATGGACGGGTGATCAAGGTGGGGTCGGAGAGGTATGAGGCGCCAGAGTGCATGTTCCAGCCGCACCTTGTCGATGTCGAGCAGCCCGGTGTTGCTGGTGAGTCGTTATCCTCTGGCGCATGGCACTTGCTAATGTCGCGCCAGAACTCTTGTTCAACACTATCCAGCAAGCCGCTGTCGACACCCGTGCTGATCTGTACAAGCACATCGTCCTCTCTGGAGGCTCCTCCATGTACCCGGGCTTCCCCTCGCGTCTCGAAAAGGAGATGAAGCAGTTGTACCTCACCCGTGTCCTCGGTGGTGACGCTTCTCGTCTGCAGGTGCGTCCCCTAATAGCCTGTATGGGATCTCACTGATAATCGAACAGAACTTTAAAATCCGAATCGAAGACCCGCCCCGCCGAAAGCACATGGTCTTCTTGGGTGGTGCCGTGTTGGGTGATATCATGAAGGACAAGGAGAACTTTTGGGTCACCAAGGAGGAGTGGGATGAGCAGGGTGTGCGGGCGTTGGACAAGCTGGGTAGAGGAGAGTAAAAAAGGCCAATGTTTTTTAGTGTCAGTTGTACAGAATCAATGGACGACGAGTTTAAATCCTTGGCCCGATCCGCCAGTTCCGCCATTTATGACTTGCAAGAAGGTTGATGAAGTGCACGCGTGGAATGATCCGGTTCAACTGTCACACTTTGAAGACGCATACAGGCGGAGAAGGCATGCGGCAATGAAGCACTTGATTGCCATTGGAAATGAGATTGAGTGCGTCTGGCGTGAGACACGTTGAATAGACGTGGGGTCGTGGTGTCGGCGGTGTCAGGTATCTAGGGATGATCATCTCATGGTGACGGGCGCAAGAGGGCGGTACTTGGCAGATGCATGGACTGAAGGAGAAGGATGGGTGTATCCCAAGGAGACAGACGAGAGATGCATAGCTGGGAATATGACGATAACTCCGCTGCGCTACCGTCCCCGCGAGCTGTTACGTCGTCCATCCTCTTCCCCACCAAGCGTGCCCTCCTCCTCCATGTCTCGCCCCGCCTCCTACAGCGACCACTACGTCGACCAGGACACCCTTCCCCTCTTCAACCAGCCCCCGCCGCCCGTCCCCGCATCCCATCCCTACTCGCCCTACAGCCCCTCCGCACGCCGCCCTCCGCCTATGGCCACAAATAGGCCACCAAGCCAGCACTCGCATCTCCCCTACGTCCAGCACCCGCAGGAGCAGCGTGCTCGGGACAACTCCGACTTGATGCCCTCTGCTACCGACTATCTCGCGAGGAGTACGAGCCTGGGGAGGAAGAAGGATCCGTTTGCGTACAGGAGTGACGATGTGGAGAGCGGGTTTGGCAGTATGGACATTATGGATGGGCAGGGCCAGCAGGGCCAGCAGGGGTTCACGTTCCCTGCGCAGAGGGAGGCGGTTGCATCTCCGGGAAGCGGGACATATGCCCAGATGAACCCGCCGCCTGTGCCAGCGCACATCATCACCGGCCGACAGGCGACTCTGCCAGACCACCCGTCGCCGACCGCGACTACCCACGCCCAGCAACCAGTCACGCCTTCGTCCTATACCCACCCCCACAACCCCTACATTCCCTCGCGATCCTCTGACCCTGGCCCCTCAGCTGGTGCAGTCAGCACGGCGCCGCCTCCGGTGGACCCATACCACCCATCAGCCGCTGGTGGAGCGCAGTGGACAGACTATCGTAGGCCGAGCCAGACTCGCATGGCGTCCACAAGCTCTTTCGCTTCACATGGCTCCGGAGGCTTGAGCCCCTACTTGACTGCCAAAGACGTGCACGAGCAGAGCCCGCTCCACTCGCCATTGTTAAACCCTTACGACGCCGCATCCCCCACGTCTCAAAGCCACTGGTCGACTTCGCCTGCTATCCATGCTCCGCCGCAGAACAATCAGCCGCCACAGGCGCCTTCATCCCCGCGCTACAATGCCGGGTCTCGGCCCCAGGCTTCTCCTGTCGGCGGGCGTCCACCGCCTGTCGGCTCCAGGCCCATCTCGACTGCATACACACCTTCCCTGAATCCGTCAACTCAGCTCTACCCTTCGTCTCAGCCGGTCACTCCTGCAGGCAAGTATGATCCGTCGATGCCCCCGCCCAAGATCTTCCCTCCGAGGACGGCGAGTGGGGCTAGCAGCCTTAGTACGGGTACTGGGACGACTGGGAGCGGTATGATGAGTCGGAGTACGAGTGCTGGCGCAGGGAGCGAGGATGGGTTCAGAGAGGTGAAGGGGTGGAGCGATTTGAGGGCAGTCGTCAATAGCCAGCCCAATGGGAGGAGGGCGGACCCGGATTGCCCTGGCAAGTGGTTGAGCGTAAGTGTGCTTGTCTTGGCATTGTCTTTACTGATCCCTTGCAGCCTCTGAAATGCCTTACAACTGGCCTTGCCGAGACATATACCCTCTCCAACCCCAACTTTCGCTACGTCACCTCCGACAACCCCCGACGTGTCCTTACCAAGCCTTCCAAGCCCGCACACAATGACGGCGCAGACAATGAAGACTGGGACTACATCCTCTATGTCAACGACGTCCTGGGCGGGGAGGATGGCAGGGATCGGTATATCATCTTGGATGTGCTTGGGCAGGGAACGTTTGGGCAGGTGGTCAAGTGTCAGAATATGAGGACGCATGAGATTTGCGCCGTCAAGGTCGTCAAGAACAAGCCCGCATACTTGCAGCAGAGTAAGATGGAGGTGGCTATTTTGGAATTGGTGCGTGCTTTTTCGCTTTAAAGACAAAGCTGACAGTGTGCAGCTCAATACCCAACATGACCCGCAAGACCAACACCACATCCTCCGGATGCAAGACTCTTTCACCCACAAGCACCATCTCTGTCTTGTGTTTGAATGTCTCTCGTCCAACCTTTACGAGCTCATCAAGCAGAATCAGTTCAAGGGGCTGAGCACGCAGCTGGTCAAGGTGTTTACGCAGCAGCTGTTGGATTGTATGGCCGTGTTGAAGGAGGCGAGGTTGATCCATTGCGATCTCAAGCCTGAGAATATCTTGTTGAAATCGTGAGTCAACTTCCAGCTGAATCGAACTGACGGTGTAGTCTGCAATCGCCTCAAATCAAGGTCATCGACTTTGGATCGGCCTGCCACGAGATGCAGACCGTCTACACCTACATCCAATCCCGATTCTACCGATCTCCCGAAGTCCTCCTTGGTCTCCCCTACTCTACCTCTATCGACATGTGGTCCCTCGGCTGTATCGTCGTCGAGCTCTTCTTGGGACTGCCGCTCTTCCCTGGAACAAGCGAGTACAACCAGGTCAGCCGAATCGTAGACATGCTTGGCAACCCTCCCACGCATCTGCTCGAAGTGGGCAAGCAGACGCACGAGTTCTTCAACAGGACGACGGACGGGTACGGGCGAAATGTCTACAAGCTCAAGCCCATGCAGCAGTATGCGGTGGAGCATCGTACGGATGAACAGCCGAGCAAGCAGTACTTCAAGCAAACCAAGTTGAAGGATATCATCATGGAGTACCCTATGGGGAAGAAGACGGATGTCAACAAGGGTGGGTAGTATGCGTGTGACGCGTGACCAAGCTGATCAGTTGTAGAAATTGCCACGCGAAAGTCGTTTGTGGACTTTGCTGAAGGTCTTTTGAACATGGATCCTATCAAGAGGTGGTCACCTCAGCAGGCCATGAAGCACCCCTTCATCACCGGCGACAAGTGGACCGGCCCTTGGCAGGTAAGTTGACCATCTGCTATGTGATCCAGAGCTCATTTGCATAGCCCGATGCGACCACTACGGCCAAGAAGCCCGATCCCTCCCCCGAGATCCCTCAGCCTCCCTCATCTTCTTCCTCCACCCCCAACAAAAAGTACGGAGGTCTCGTTCAAACTCCCCAGAGCTCCCGGTCCCAGCGCGTCTACTCGGATGCGGCGGCTTACAACCACCAGCTCGCTCAGCACCAATCCTACACTGCCTCGGTACAGCAGCAGCAGCAAGCTGCCCAGGAGGCTGCGAGTCGAGGACCATTCTCGCCTGGGTACCAGCTGTCCCCCGGGCAGTCGGTCAGTGCCGGGTACGGGCACCAGAGGGTCGACAGTCAGCAACTACCCCCGGCACACCAGCAGCCTCCGATGCAGTCTGGGCGTCGATCGAGACAGAGTCAGAGCGGACAGTGGTCTATGCCGCCTCCTCAGGGGTATCAGCAACAGCGAATGCCATCCCTCAGCGGTTCTGCTTCCCACGCTTCGTTGCGTGCGGCGCAGCAGCCGCCACCGCCACCTTCAATTGTCTCCAACCCTCCGCCCAACTCGTACTATCCCTCCTCGCGCACGAGAGCAAACACCATCAACCAAATGGATGCTATACCACCCGCTCTCGCTCGGTTGGTACACTTTGGTGCTCAGGATCCTAACGGGTCCAGAAACACGTTGACGCCCGTTATGAACCGAGACGAAGCTATCAGGGAATGGGAGCGGAGGCATCAAGGTGGGATGGGCCACAACAAGCAAAACTCGATTGCCGGGCCGGCGTACCAACAGCTAGAGTACCTGCAGGAGCAAGCCGAGTTGGCTGCGATGCAAGGGCAGAACTGGATGCCTTATCCTCCTCATTCGGGGCATCACCAGCCCCCTCAAGGCCACCATCCTCAACATGGCGGTGGACATCATCGACAGAACCCATCGGGTCAGTATCAGATGCAGCCTCACATTGGTATCTCCCCTCCCAACCCGTCCGACTACCGTCCCCGGCCCACGAGCGACTATGACCCTCCACTCTCGGCACCTTCTTCTGCTGGAGGCAGCGGGAGCAACCGAAACTCGGCCACTGCTCAAGGCTATGGTCTTCCCACCTACCCTCCTGTTGCTGCTATAACTGGCGGGTCTTCTGCCGGCGGCACGGGCCAGTCTTTCGACGCGTTCGACCAGAGGGACGGCGGGATGGGCATGATGTACACGCCACTACAACCGACGCAGGTCTTTGGGTATCAGCAGTCGGCCCAGCCGGGGCCAGGTCAAGGGCCGGGCCCAGGGCATGGTGGAGGACATGGGGGTGGACATGTGGCGAGGTCAAGTTATTCGGGAGGGTATGGCTCTGGCAACCCGTTTGGGCAGCCTAACAGTCCGAGATACTGAGGGGAAAGAGCGTGTAGCTCGGATGGAGCCGAGGTTCCATTCGAAACTTAGAATTTAGTATTCCCTTTCATGTCTTATCAGTAACGAACATACAAGTACAGCTGTGAACAATTTCACGAGGGCGCAGGTGATTAGAAGGGCGGAGGAGAAGAATTGCTTTCAGATACAAAATAGCCAGCTAGACTGACCATGTCTCTGCTACGAATATATGCATGGATGTGTAGTGTGACATGATGTATGGTTGGAGAACACCATTCCGTCTCATTGACCACTCTAGGGGCAAACCAGACATGACGATGAGCTCGACAGCCCATCACCGTGTGTCCGCTACAGCACTCCCTCTTCAACTTGCCATATCTCATGCCACATACCAGCAAAAACCAATATTAAAATGGCATAATATAGATCAGAAGCAGCACTTCGCGGCAATACCCAAAAAAGAAGACGATGCATGACCCGATTGCCGGGAAAAAGAAAAGACAAAAAGGAAACTGCTCCGGTGAGGGTCGAACTCACGATCTTCCGATCAGTCGAAAACTGATTAAAGTGTGGAATCTAACAGTCGGACGCCGTAACCAACTTAGCCACAGAGCATTGGATAATAAACGTTCCTTATTGCAGCAACTGTTCCCAAACGTGGCTGCGGATTGTTGTGAAAATCTGTATACCATAGCCAGATGTAGTTGTAAAGTATGTGAGGCAGTGTCGCTTGGATTGTATGGAATCCGTTACAAAAGGCGGACTACTACATATAAGAGAGCAAGATACGAAAGGTTTCAGGTCTCGCACGAAGCTCAAGTTGACATAAAGTGTGGCCTTCCTTGATAGGCTGAACGTTTATGTTTCTACTTGGGATCGATGACAATAGTAGCAAAGGGGACCATATGAATGTAATGGGAGGGAGACTGCATTCCGGTCAGCTTCGATTCGGAGACTTTACCGCCCGCTGACTCCTCGAGTAGCAGCCACAGATCACTTACAAGATGGAGACTCAGGAAGCTCTCATATCCGCTCCAGTCTAGACTGCATATCAGACCCGAGTCAGCGCCCATCTGCAAGTATATGAGCCATGACTTACTCGAATTCCTCCGGCCTCGGGTCCCCTTGAACATGGCTCATATACTCCCCGATAAACTCCTCCAGGATATCCCTAAATCTCGTCTCGTGATCAAATACGTATCTTGTGCTTTGCCAGTAGTATCTGTTTCCGAGTGAATCGGGTTTGTCCCACCAGAACAAAAGCTATTGAACTCGGTTAGCAATTGAGAGGCTTTCGCTAGAGGACATTAATGGCTTACGCGGATCGCAACTTCGCCATAGTTGAGTCTCTCTACGACCCCATAATGTAAGCCATTGTACGCCTTGAGTGTTAAGAGCCTACTCACCATCGGCATCCCACCACATTCTCCAATCTTGCAAGATGAGCTGCACAAGCTCTTCCTGCTTGAGCAGTTCTGCCTCCTCCGCATTCATCCTTGCAATAACGAACCCATCTCAAGGGTTGTAAGGTTCCGAGATATGATGTAGATGGAGGCGAGGAGGATGGAGAGGGACTTTTCGAGTTTCGGCCAGCGGCTGAAAGGATCAAAGGCGAGAAAGGATGGGAAAGGACGGGCTGGCCGCCAGATCTACCTTGCCACAACAACAAGTGGGGGTGGATGTTGAACTATGCGCCCGGAGGATACGATTGGCGCCGAGAGAAAGCGAGGATGTGGTAAAGCAAGAGCGAAAAGCTTGATCCATGAAAAAGAGGGCCATCCTCTGAATCATGAGGATTCCGAATACTTGACGTGTTGATCCTAGGTCAACAAGCGTGATTTGTGTCGAAGACACAGTTGCCCTGAGGGATGGTCATGGTCGTCGGCGGCGGGCAGACGCCAGAGGCACCAAGACGGAAGCCAGAACATGGCGTATACTGATGGGTCCTGGGCATGAGACGATGGGACCTGAGGCTTGATAAGGACTCAACTCAAACAGCGCTCTTGCTGTCTCTATGGCATTCCCTCTCTTGTCCCTCGTGGGGTGTAATGTGGCATAAGTCAAGACAAACGCACTGACGCAGCGTGCTGTCAGAGTGCAGATGGCTTACGGCTCTGACTACATAGCGCTGTACACAACATCACGCACGAACACTGCCGCCCTCGCTGAACCCTGCACGCGACCATGCGCTGCCACATTGGCGACTCTCCCTTTCCCATCAAATCTTTCCAAGCCAAGCCCCCGCTTGAGCCGCAAAATAACGTACGAGCACAGGTAACACTGCGATGATGCAAGAAGAACTTCATGTTTGCATGTTCAGGACACCCATAAAGGCGTATCGGTGGATATGTCAGTGTCCAAAAGCTATACTATGTCGTATATAAAATTAAATGGGTGATTGAAGAATGTCCAGAATACAATATAATGAAATGATTATTCGATTTTTATAGGCAACGATTATAAAATGTCCTTGATGCTACAATTATGACAGGCCCTGACAGAACAAACCACGCAGATGATTCCTCAACATTATAAGAAGAGGGCGGAAGCAATGAAAGATCCCAACAGGGCAACAAGAGAAGGCTTGTTGCTGATGGCCCACGAGCTGGCATTGGCGGCAGCAGTCGTAGCGGCAGTGTCGGACGCAGAGCCAGTGACAGAGCCAGAAGCCGTAGTAGATGCAGCGCTGCTCGTGGTAGAGGTACTGGCAGTAGTCAAGGTACCGGCCACAGACATGGTGGTCACAGTGTCGGTGTTGCCCTCGCCAGAGTTGACATACCATGTCATGTTGAAAGCGTCGGCGACGTTAACGACAGTCCAGTCGTGGGCAGCAAATTTCCAGTAGGTGTCTTTGAAGACGGTCACAGTGTTGTTGTCGAGCTCGTGCTCGAGCAAGAGCAGGGGCTCGGTACGGTTGCCAGTGATCCACTCGTCAAAGGTAGCCTCGACACTGGAGATGGAGTACTTGTGGGGCTCGTCGGCGATAGCCCAGTCGTTGGTGTCTGCAAAAGTATCTGTCAGTGTCGAGCGCAGAAATGGCGAGGCGCAACTCACCTTCGTTCCAGAGGACAGTCTCAAGACCAAATACACCCTTGGCGATAGCTCGGACACGGTTGTCGACATCACCGTAAGGAGGTCGCCAGAACTTGGGGATACGGCCACCGTTGAGGTCTGCGAGCGCTTGAATAGTCCAACCGAGTTCACCAACAACTTCCTCATTAGACTTGGTAGTCACTATATGATGATCAGTCCTGGCCAGTCTGTCAAGGTGTATGTATACTCACTGTAGGGGTGAGTCCAGGTGTGAACGGCAAGGTGACCACCAGCCTTGACAGCGGTGAGGACTGTTTGGGGACTGCGATTCTGTTAGCAGACATTGTGGATAGCAAACGACGACTCACGCAGTGACGACGTTACCACCGATCATGAAATGGGTAGCCTTGGAGGAAGCATTGTTCTCGGCCAAGAAAGCGTAGAGGTCCTCGGAAGACTCGGTGGGTCCATCGTCAAAAGAAAGCTACCATGCCATCAGCCACGAGGAAAGACACCAGGGACGGACGAGTTACTCACCGCGAATATCTTCTCACCCGAAGGCTCATACAGGTCGTCGTCCACATGGCACTGATCTGTGAAAGAACAGATAGTGTCGTCCCCATCGTCCTCGTGGTTGGGGTATGTGGGTCGGCTCCCAGACATGGTAGCTACCGAGACGTTGGGCATGGTGAGGTTGTTCAGCTTGTCGAGCCATGCCTGGGGGATGACAGTGCTGTTTGGTGTCGTCCAGGCGTCGGGGTAGTAGCTGGTGTAGTCTGACAGGCGGGTTGGTGACAGAACTGGGAACACAATGCGGAGACTTACTATCAGCAGAGGGATCCGGAGCAGCTCTCTTGAAGAGGTGGGCAACCTCCGAGTCTCTGGGCTGCATCCATGACTCGTCTAAGGGCGCAGCGACGGCGAGGGAGAGGAGGGAGAGGGCGGGGAGGAGGACTTGGCCGTACATGGTTGATATCTATGAGAAGACTCAGCAAAACAAAAACATGCTTGTTGATTTGCCCATCTTGGACAGTGTTCTAGACAGGCAGCTCGCTGAAACGGGCTGTACTCACAGGAAGGTGCTGAGGGGGCGTGGTGGACAGACAGGAGACGGAAAACTGGGCTGTTTGTTAGTGGTGTGCACACAGGCAGGGAGAGGAAGAGGGGGAGAGGAGGAGGGGTGCTCGGGGGGAGAGATGGGGATGTGGATGAGAAACGGTGCTTGATATTTTGCTGGGTATGTATCATCGCCTGCTCCCTGGATTTCTCATACCGCCTCCCGCAAAGATGGTTGGTTATCTCAGGGCACACAGGGACAACGACACCCACCTTCCACGGCCACTTCCATCCGTACCCTCGCATACAGTCGGCCTCCATGCCCACCCCCATGCATCCACGCATCCACCACCCCCCGCCACTGCATCCTCAGCGTACATGCCAACCGTTAAGCTTCTATATGGCACGGCGGCGTTCGGCGCAATCACCCGCATCGTTCAACCGCCAACCGCCAAACATATGTACTGCATCTCATTCCTCCTCATCCGCCAGCCATGTCTTGTCCCGAGATCCCACATACTCCAGTGCAGGGGGGTACAGCTTGGCCATGAGGCGGTGGTGACCCGTATGCGGCATCACAAGCTTTCAGATGGCGTTGCTGTTTACATCTGTTGACAGTTCAGTCATTCGGTTCATTCGGTTCGGAGCTTTTCCCGGCACCCCCTCCTGAGTAAGAATAAAATTAGGCCTCAAATCGCAAGACGGCCTTTTGTAGCGTGCGGTATCACATGGTGTAGTTGGCGAAATGGCGAGCGCCAGGCGAAGCTCCCAGTGACGATGACAGTGGCAAGAAAGGCGCTTATCATGCGGGTGTCCGACGACTCATCACTTACTGATGTTGCGCTGGAATTCGTTGCTTATCTTCGTCTTAGCGCACTTTCCTATCGGGGCACTATGCAATGGAATATGTGCGTAGGGCTGTGAGGCTAGAGCCGCTGGTCGCTGGAAGAAGAAAATATCTTCGATGGTCAGACCAAGCCGGACTATCTGCACCCATGACGCATAGTGCAGCAACAATCGCCATTCTTTCCACCTCGGCTTTCCGGCAGCTGCAAGAGCGTAGACTCTCAGCTCCCGAGACGCAACAACACTGCCTATATACTCTGCGAGCCTTCTCAGCGTTATCCGCAGCTCAAGCTTACATGCAAAGCATCCAGCTACCACCATCCAGTACAGCTAAGAATACAACAACACTCTAGAGTCCAAGCACGTCTGTGCAACTACACTGTCTTCTCCATCTCCAGCTGCCTTAACTTTTCACTCAACGCTTTCTCCTCCATCTCATCCTCCCGCCTCGCCCTTCGCCCTGTCGGGCTCCATACCGTCACCGCCTGCGGGCCCTTGGCAGCCTTTGGCGGCGTCGTCAGAGAAGGCAGATGTGATGTGGGAGTGAGGGGAGGTATGATCGGGTTCGGCGTGGTCGGTCTCGACCGGGAGAGGATGGATGTGGTAGACGAAGGTAGGGGTACGGTTGGGGACAGGGGAGATCCTTTCAGAGGCGGCATGCAGACCTTCCTGCCTTCTTCTAGCATCTCCCAGTCTGCCCTGATGGCATTCCACTTTTCCTCTACTGGCTCCACCAACAGTCCCGACGACCGCCGCTTGCCTTGCTCGACATCCAGACTCGGCTCAATCATCTGCTCCGTCCGTTCTACCCTCATCGTCTCGTCCTTCTCCAAGGGCGAAATCGAAAAGATGACTCGTAGCGACTTGGTCACATAGTAGGACAGCATCGGCGGCCCGCCATCTGGACATGGCCGTGAGAGGCAGATGAATTGAAGCTGGATAGCGTACCGCAGCACCTCCTTCTCTCCTTCCACCCTGCTCTCATGCCCCACATAGCTATCCTCCCTCAAGAGTAGTCGCCCTCCCACTGGTACTCTCCGTAGATCGTAGGGTACGAGAAACACCTTGGCAGCAGCACTCGGTTCGGGCGTCTTGATGAGGATCTGCAGTTGACCTCGGCGGGCGACACGATAACCCGGAAAGACGGGCGGTGGTCCAGCCGGTACTTTCGCTCCTTCTTGCAGCGGCAGCCCCACAGTTGAATACGACTCGAAATACCACCTCTGCACATCGACACTCCCCACCCACGGTGTCTTGCCCTGCGGACCATTCGCATCATCGTCTCCGAGGTCATAGTAGAACGCTTCGAATGGTACGACGACATGTGCCGGGCAGCGTAATTCTTTGAGGCAAGTCTTACCCTTGCCCACTGCGCCTAGATGGAGGGTAAAACCAGGCGTGGGCTGGTGTGGCCGATGACCACACATGGGGGCGTGCAACAGGGACAAAGCGTATGAGCCCAAGAGGGGCTGAGAGCGGGAAAGGGGTGAAGGGTTTGTGGAGCCGCCGCCGGTGGGTGGCGAGTGTGGTATCGGGGTGGAGGATCTGCCAGGAGACGGGGTGAAGGGAGGTACAGAGACCCTAGATGAGGCCGTGGAAGAGCCATGGATGGATATGGGACGTGGGGTCTGGCCTTGCGATGAGCGGCGGTTGATGCGTACGGATGGGGACGGGGTGCGGGTAGGAGCGTAGATGGGAGGGCGGGAGAGGGGCGAGGTGGCGGTGGGCGATGGCTGCAGCAGATTGGAGCTCGTCGTGCAGGTCATGACGACGTGGAAGAATGCAAAAGATGCAACATTCTCATCCATCTCATCTCGCCTCGCTACGTAGCGAACCTGCGCCACTTCGACGGATGCCCGACGGCCGAATCATGCCAGTTGCCAGACGACACAGGCATTGTTTACATTTCTAGTAGCTCACACTATGACTTCTACGTACTAATAGAATGCTAAGATGGTATATAAGGCCTGCTATCATGTATGAGCAGCTCGTAAGGTATACTCGGTACAGCTTTTATGTTTTCTATGGACTATGTACAACCGATTATGTGATTCTTCTTACAAACAGATGTGCGCCAATCTCCATCACACTTGCTCGCTCGATTCAGCAGCACCCGTGACGTTGCTGTTGCTCGACACTGGGGGGGGTCCACGCTGGCTGGGGCTTGGCGGCCGCAGACCAAATCTGGCGTACAGTGGGTCGTTGGGATCTGTCTGAGGGTGCAGGTGAACCTTGCCATTATACAGCTCATGAGTCGACCGTGAGGGGTCTTGACCGGCAGGGTTGTGCAGCCCAAGCGAGTTGTTGGGCTGCGGTGTGACCCAGTGAGCACCAGCGCCGACGGTACCGGCAACAAGCGTGGGAACCATGGTGAGGAGCGAAGGACTATCCAAGTCAGCACGGTTCAATCACGCGCATATAGTACTTACAGCTGAATATCGGCATCCCGTAATCTCGCGCTCCTGCTCTTGGCCACCATCGAACTCGCCCTCAGTCTACCGCCCCGGATATTGGCATAAGTCGCCAAGTTGTCCTTGATCTGGCTCAAAGCAGGGTTGTAGTTGTATTGTTGTTGCTGTTCGTCGGCATCGGGAGAGTGCGCAGGAAGTTTGTTGGGATCGGCATAGATGTGGAGCTTGACGAGGAGTCTACCGAAAGGCTCAGTGGGCATGAGTCGGCAGATGACGCCGATGGGGAGAGAGATGGCACCGATGACGAGGGAGATTCCCCAGTCACGTCCACCAAGACGGGTGACCTGGAAGGCGGCACCGCCGACTTCGATGATCAATATTTGACCGCCAACCACTATTGACATGTTAGTGGTTAACTTGAAGGGCACGAGAGGCACGTACTGATACAGAAGATGACGATGAAATACCAGTTACGCCAGAAGCCCTCAAAGATATTGAGCTTGCGGTCAAGACGTCGACAGTTCAGCTGGTTGACTGTGAAATGTTAGCACAAGACCAGGCCGAAGTCGAAGCACTTGCAGATTTGGCAAAAGACGAAACTGTTGAATACCAAAGCACCGAGCTCGGTATTGTTCTGATCCGTATCCGCAATACCCAAGATCCTGAGACCCGCAAAGTGCAAGACCAAACAGACAACGATCTGATACAACGCCTGTACCAGGATCATCTTGAACATTTCAAACGTGATCAGTGGCGCATTCTTCTTGTCTGGCTTTCGGTCGAGCGAGCTCTCTGTCGCCGGGTCCGTCGCCAAAGCGAGCGCGGCGAACGTGTCCATGATCAAGTTGACCCAAAGCAATTGGACGGCAGTCAGGACAGACTCTTCGCTAGAGGAGGCGACGGCGGTGACAAAGGTAATGACGACGGCGGTAATGTTGACAGAGATTTGGAACTGCAGGAACTTCTTGACAGAGTCGTTGACACATCGGCCCCACATGATGGCGAGCACGACGTTGCTGAAAGAGTCGTCCATCAAAATGATGTCGGAGGCTTCTTTCGCGACTTCAGTACCACTGCAGAAATGTCAGCGTGGACTTCAGAGTCTCAAAGCTACTTACGCAATACCCATGGCGAATCCAACATTGGCGAGCTTCAAGGCAGGTCCATCATTGGTACCATCGCCCGTGACACCCACAATTTCTCCGATACTCTTCAACGTCTTGACCAACAGCCTCTTGTCTTCGGGAGAAGATCGAGCGAGGATTTGTAACCGGGGAACAATCTCCAAACGATCTTGGTCGGAAAGCTAACAAAGATCAGCATGAGCCCTAAAGATATGAGCAGACTCACTTTTCTAAAGATGGGACCTTCCATGACCACACCTCCAGGCGTAAAGATCCCACACTGGTTCGCGATAGACCTCGCAGTCAACACATTATCACCCGTGCACATTTTGATCGCCACTCCAGCCTTTTGACACTTTTCCACGGCCTCCCTCACACCAGTTCGGAGGGGATCCTCGATACCGACGATAGCCATCAACGTCAAGTCTTGGCACAGATCGACATAGGGCACCTCGTCCGAAGCAGTCAGCTCGGAGCCCTTGGGAGGCCAGGATTCAAAGTCGCGGTAGCAGAGCGCGATGGTACGGAGAGACTGGTTGGCGTAAAAGATGATGGTCTTGCTGATATTGGTCCGGCTCTGGTCGTCAAAGTTGACAGTCTCGACTCGATCGCCGCTGTTGTCGCCCTCATGGACGACGACATGGCTGATACAGTTTCCGGTCAAGACCTCGCTGGCACCCTTGACGTGGAAGCGGTACTTGCCGTTACCGAGCTTGATAACGACACCCATAGCTTTGAGGTCGGAGCTGAAGGGAATCATCTGGACAATCTCGGCGGATTCTCGCGTCTCGCGATAGTCGGCCCACTGATGCTCCTTTGCGAAACGCAACAAGGCACACTCGGTCTTGCTTCCAACAAAGTTCAACTTTCCATCTTCAACCGTATCCTCGAAAGCCGTAGAGTTGACAGCAGCAGCTTCGTTGAACAATGACTGGAGAGGCTTGGAGGCATTGTTGTTAAAGTCAGTCATGTCGAATGAAAAGTCGTCTCGCTCGTTCTGGCCTTCGATCTCATTGGCATTGGATCGAGCGGCATTCTCAGCGAGGTCTTGCACGAATTTACCGTGCACACCGAGAGAACCGGCGACGATGGACATGACGTTTGTCGTCAACGTACCGGTCTTGTCGGTGCAGACGACGGTAGCATTTGCCATCGTCTCACACGAGCCCAGGACACGGACAAGCAGGTTCTGTTTCGTCATTCGCTTGGTGGCAAAAGCCAGAGCCAGCGTGACGGCCAGAGGGAGACCTTCGGGGACAGCAACGACGACTAGGGTGACAGCAATAATCAAGATTTGAATGAATGCCTGCGCCTTGTCGTTGGCCGAGCGATCAGGGTCGGTCTTGAGGCCGACAAAGAAGCGGATCATACAGGCGGTAAAGAGGAGGAGACCAGCGGCACCACCGAGCTTGGCAATGAGCTCGGCGAGATTGTTGAGTTTGATCTGGAGGGGTGTTTCTTCGGCATCACCGCGCATAGCTACAATGTATCAGCAAAGTCCCCGCAGCGGTAGAACACTCACCCATCATGATACGCCCGTTGAAACTCGTCTTTCCCACTGCAATGACCACATACTCTCCGACACCTTCGAGGACCTTGGCACCAGAAATGAGGAAACAGTCCCTCTTTTGTTTGTCATTCGGCCCGAGATTGTCTCGCTCTTTAATACAATCGTCGTAGGTAAACTTTTTGATAGCGTCCGATTCACCAGTAGCACCCGATTCGTCGCACTTGACATTGTGTCCTCGAAGAAAGACACCATCGACTGGCAAAATCTCTCCGGGTTCCAAGATACACACGTCGCCGACGACGATGTCCTTGACATTGATGAGCATTTCTTTGCCGCCTCGGATTGTCTTGACGGTACGGTCTTCGCGCTTTTCGTTGAGCTTTTTGAATTGGCGTTCCTTTTGCCAATCGTTGACTGAACCGACCATGACGACGATGATGATGGCCACTACGATAGCGACACCCTCTACCCAGTCGACTTGGGCTTCTTCACAGCCATTGGGACAGTCGTCGTTGTAGATGACCTTTGGGGCAGTACCCAGATCTTGATAAAGACCGAGGGCGAGAGAGACAACGGCGGCGACGGAAAGCAGGATCTGGGAATGGTCAGGCAAGATCAAAACTCGTGAGAAGGATACTCACCAAAACCTTGTCCTTGAAGGCAAGCCACATGAGCAACAACAAGCTCTTGCTGTTTCGCTGCGGAAGATCGTTCCTTCCATACACCTTGCGCCGCTCGTCCATACCAGCACGCCAGTGCGCCCCATTGCCACCTGGCATGTCTGCAGCGCTCCTCGGGGCACCCGAGTCCACGTGCCCTTCCTCTGTACCCACTGCGAGTCCCTTTGTCTTGTCCACGCCCAGACCCTCCAACAGGCCATCAACACCGCCAATCTTTTCAAGATCATCGAGCGATTTGGGGTCGACGAGCATGGCCAGGCGGGAGGGCTTTTCGCGGAAGGGTGTGGGGTCTGTGGTGTCCTTGTCAGGATCGAGGTGGGCCGAAGGCGGCTCTTCGCCCTTCTTCTTCTTATCCTTCTTGTCCTTCTTGTCCTTCTTGCTGGGCTCTTCATCCGCCCGGGTCTGATCAGACATTTCCGATGTACCTCTCAGCAATGGTTCCTTGGCCTTTTTGACAGAAAATCCATCGGTAGTCGGCGCAGCACTCGACCAAGTCCCGATCGACCACGCCCGTTCATGTCTCCCATGCGTTTCATCGCCTATCTGCAAAGTATCCATCCCGCTCTCCGCATTGGGGTTGTTATCCCGTAGCGCGAGGGATGTTTTGGGATTCGGCGAAGACGGGGTCGGGAGCTCGTCCGAGAAATGGACAGAGGACGAGTTTGTCAAAGTGGGGGAGGGCGGTGTGAGGGCAGACGAGTAGGAGGGGGAGGGCGAGTGGCCGCCGTGTGTTGGGTGAAGCCGGGCATTGCTGGGGGAGAGGTGGCTGGTGTTGACAGGGGGGAGGTTGGCTGATTCTCTACGGCCGTGGCCATCGCTGGAGCCGGCTTCTGAGGGGAGAACGGTGGGGCTCTGGGGGGAGGGAGTGGATGGGTTGTCAAAGGGAGAGGCGGTGTCGGGGTCGGTGGTGACGATGAGCGGGGGCGGGGGCGGGGGCGGCATGGCGGCTATGGGGCGGGGGGCAAGGGGTGGGAAGAGGAGGAAAGAGGAATATAAAGTAGAAGAGTGTCCAGTTGTGGTGGAGGCGGTGCAATGACGAGTGTGGGCGGCGAAGAGTGGCAATTACAAGTAATAATATTTACATTTACATGCATTCTCAGGGGTCGCTTGGCGCTGATGCGTGACGCCAAGCATCTCGTCTGTCGTCTTGGACGGGCATGTCCCTATGCAGCACAGGATGACGCCCACCAACGATCCATCCATCGACCTCATAACCACAGGCACGCACGCGTCAGGTTCTCTTTCTCATGCCAGGTGGCGACTCTTGGCACCGGGACCATTTCATCCCCTCACGTTCATCCCCTGCATCTTCGGTCCCTTGCAACACGGACTTGGGCAACAACAACCTCATGCATGTGGTACTGCTATCAAGAAGCGTCCTACCCAACAACACACCCGTTCGAGAACCTGTCCTGGATGTCAGCTCACGTCATCTGGGCGGGAAGCAGACTTACCACCACGATCCCCTCAGACTTTCTACCCAATACACAATCAGCTTGAGCCTCAACCTCGCACTCCTGATCGGCAACAACCTCGCCTTCTCATACTCGTCAATCGGCATCACCAGCGCCATCCAATAGCTAAACTCGCTCTTGTCTTCTGGCATCGAGCCGTACGTATTGTTCAGCCGCTGCAAGAGCCAGGGGGCAGAGCCAGATCGCAGCTGGTCGATGAACGCGCGACATATCGACATGAGCTCTTCGGTCGACTCGGGCGTGTCTTCGGGTGAGGGCGCATGGAAGGGAGGGGTATTGTTGGCAGCTGATTGAGCGGCGAGAGCGGCGAAATCCATCCCGCCACCGCCTGGGGGCTGGAGAACGTTTGGGGCTGTAGGCGTTGGCATGGAGAGACGTGGTGTCGAGGAGGAATGGGTCATGGGGAGGGCTTGGAGAGAGGTTGGTGCCAGTGAAGGCGAGATGGGCGCAGAGGTGGAAGACCTGTTGGCCTGCGCCCTGCGTTCCACCGCCTGCCGCTCCATCTCTTCTTCTTCTTCTGGTGAGATGTCATCCATTCTAGTCCAAGTCAGCAATGCCCTATATCATACTTGATACTCACCGTTCGATCCTCCCAACGGTATACCCATCCAAACTCCCCTTCTCCAAGATCCTAAACCTGTGCGTCCCCACAGTCTCCACGATACTCCTCCCATCCCGCAACATCTGCACGCTCTGAATCTCGAGCATCGTCCCATACTCCATCACGCCCTGCAGATTCTCCGGGCCCGTGCCCCTGGCAGGCAGAACCATACCGAAACGGGGCGATCCCCATTCAATGCAGCGCCTGATCATGAGCCGGTACCGCGGTTCAAACACGTGCAGGATAGTGGGCATGCCGGGGAAGGCGAGGGTGCAGACAAAGAGGGGAGTGGAGAGGAGGGCTTCGCGTTCTTCGGATTCGATGGACGATCGGCGTTCGGCGTATTCCGCGGGGAGGGCGGTGGTCACTGTACATAGTCAGCATGCATTTGATCATTCCAAGGTAATTGTGACTTACAAACAGACATGAGCGTCTTGCTCGATGGATGGTCCTGGAAGAATGTAAAGCTAGGAAGATCCTGGCGACAGACGGGGCACCTGGGAGAGTGATCCAACGTTCTCGAGAGACACTTTCGGCAAAAGCTCTATACTTTATCAGCGGCATTCCCATCTTCAATATTGACTCACATGTTGGCACGGCGTAGTGAGAGGCTCATAGAGCGTCATGGCACAGACATCACACTCGGTGTTGAGTATCAACTCTTTTTTAAACTGCCACTCGTCCTCTGCGCCTGTCTGTCGCTGCTGAGGCAAAAGTCGCCTTCTGCACCGCTTGGTCGACCGTGGCGGCCTCGGTGCTGAAGGCAACCCTTCATCCCCCGAAGCATCATGCTCATCATCCGACGACGAGCCAGACGAATCGCCCATATCCTGTCTGACCCTGCCAACTTCCATCCCACCATCTTCTTCCACCTTGAGCCTTTCCTCCTCCACCTGAATCAGATGGATGAGCTTTTCGATCCGCGTATCGAGGAGAGGCAATGTGCTCGGGACATTGGGCCCAGCGATGAACGAGTAGGCCGGGGGGAGATTGTCAACGGGCGCGTTGATGCTAGGCGGGACAAATGGAGGTGGCACAGGAAAGATCGGTACACCTGCAGGTCTTTCATCATGCGCCTCCTGCTCTTCAGTAGCACCAGCGTAACGCTTACACTCTACCACAGTACACCTGACCCCAGCCCATAGAGCGAGTTTCTGCTGGTGGCGCCGTTGTTGGACAGCGAGCAATTCGTCGGGGTCGTGCATATCTTGGACAGGAGCCATGGGAGGCAGAGCGGGGAAGGAAAGGTGTGAGGCCGAGAGGGTGTGGCCGCAGGGGAGTGTGACGGGGTTGTGCAAGAGGGAACGACGGGATTGAGGACAGTCCGGGCTAAAAGTTGATCAGTGTGTATCGAATGTGGATCTTGTGGACATACCATTGCAGATGACCTTCCAGCTTGTCGAGCAGCGCCTTCTTGGCTTCTACCCCAGACAGCTCCTCGTCGGCTGCGACGATCGGAGCGTGGAAAGTTGTACGACTTGGAACACTGGCGCCGATGCCATCTCCCCCGCGCCCGTCTATGAAATCGGGTACTGTTCCGATCGTACTAGGGCATGGTATGCCTGGAGGAGGTGTTGGTACGCGCAATGTTGGCCCATCGACAGTGGCGCTCAAAAGCGTGTCTTTCGATGGCGCCTCGGGCGCCTGATCCTCCTTGACGGGGCGCGATCGCGCATCGACAGAGTCCTCTTTTGGAGTTCTGGTCAAGGACACCGACCTGCCGTGCTTTCGTCGCCTGGAAACATCCTGCACCTGCGCGACGCTTTCCTCTTGACGCACAGCGTCGTGCCCTCGAAAAGACCGTTCAAGATTCTCCCGGTGGGCCCTGGTACTCGGGCCGGCATCGCCAGTTCGCGCATTACCGTCGACGTTCCTGTTGACACATTGGGCCGAAGGCGAGGGACGAGATGCACGGCGGCCTTCGTCTTGAGAGAGCCAGCGATGGGCATCTGGGGTGGTCGATCGTGGCCTGCGGTGGAGAGGCCGGACGTGGGCGTTGGGTGGTAGCGGGCGAGAGGCGGGAGGAGGGGAGGGGGTAGAGCGGTAGGGAGGGGGAGGGGAGGCCTCTTTGGGCGTGGTCCGCATGTGGGGGCTGGGGGACATGGCAGATGGAGAGGAGGAAGAGAGATGGAAGAGAGATGGGATATCAACATGCAAAAGAGCCCCGATCGCTGCATGCTTATGTAACTCGCTGCTGCCCTGCCCTCTGCCCACCATGCATGCGATGTTGTTGCCTCTCGATCCTCTCGCTGTCCCTGCTCCCCTGCTCCCCTGCTCCCCCGGCCTGCGCTGCCCTGCCCAGAAGCCCACAGAAGACACTACATATAACACTGACGATGCAAGCTGGGCGAGTTGTATGCGATCCTCGGGACCCCGATGATGGGCCGATGTACAGTACTCTACTCGTAAAAGGGGCTGGCCACGCAGCCTCCCGTACAGATTGAACAGAGAACAGAGACTAGATTCCCACCAGCTCGATGGCCGTAGCGATGCCATGACGTCGGAGCTGCAACTCGCAAAGGGCGACCTCCAAATCGCTGCATCTAACAACAACAACGTTATCAGTCTTGCACCATGCCCTCGTCTCCGCCAGACCCCAACCGCGACAGGCCTCCTCAGATCCGCACATCCAAGCCATCCCTTGAGCCCTCGCCCGCCGTCGTCGCCACCACCTCCCCTCCCCGTCCGTCGGGCAACCACCAGCCCCATATCCTCACTCGGCGATTTCTCGGGCCCATACCTGACCGCGTCACCAGCTCTGCTGAAGTAGAAGAAAGGCGGCGCGACTTTCTCGACCTGCGGCGAAAAGCCATAGACAAGTGGAAAAGGGAGATCAGAGATGATGATTACTCGTTGTACAGTGTCGCCGACGCCCAGAGCGAGGACGGCAGGCTACGGCGAGCAGTGTCCAAGATTCGGATCAAGAGGCGAAACAAGCATGGAATGGAGATTGAAGAGGATCTCGACCTTGACGAGACGGGCACTCAGCTTGGCGGCAAGGCAAAAGTCGGGAAAGAGGTGTGGGTAGGCGAGAGCTTTGATATCGGGCAAGAGTTCATGTCGACCGCCGCTGCCGACACGCATACTCCCGAGCTTGATGAAGCTGAGCAAGGGAGCAGCCAAGCTTCAGCCTCTACCATCAAACCCAAGCCCATATCCCGGCCCTCGACCACGTCTCTAGCGACAGGGGAGACGTTTGTGACAGCACGCACGGCGTTTTCACCATCCCAGTCCTCTTTGGCTATCGACACCCAATCCACCAGCCAGATCCCCAACCCTTCTCCTTCCCTCCACGGGTCTCAAAACGCACAGCTTCACTCTCCCCACACCCACCACTCCGCATCGTCCTCGACTCAACCACTCATCGACTCTTCCGAACTCTCAGACTCGCCTCCAGGCTCGAGCAAGAAGGGCAAAGAGCCCGCCCGTTCGGTACGCACCAACACCTCGCTACCGAACAGGCTCAAATCTGCTTTACGCTACTCGAAACCGAATCTCCGCGTATCGTCCTCTGCTGTCATTGGAGATGACGAAGAGCAAGCAGATCCGCGGGAGGGGCAGCAGAAAGCAAAGACTGTCCAGTTCCCAGCGGATTATGCGAGTGTGATGCCGAGTTTGGCTAGGAGCGGGGACGGTGAGCCGGCAAAGCCCGAGCATGTCTTGGAGAGGGAAGGCGCAGAGGCGGAGGGGACTAGTGCGGGGGCAGTAGAGGAGGGGCTGGGAGAGAATGAGTGGCTGCCGGAAGAACGAAAGGTTGGAGAGGTCATTCTGCGTGGTATGTCATGTCCATTCGTCGTAGATAGATACTGACAAGCTGTCACAGATCGAATGCTCGTAAGAGTAGGTTATCACCGCGAGAACAATATCACCATCTTTGACGAAACTGCCCAGGTATGTCTCGGAACCACACCTCGATTCGGCTGACGTTCCATAGCGCCGAAACCCATGCCAAAGACTTGATGTGTTTGAAGAATACATTGTGGTGTGGCGAAAAGGCCAAGTCGAATTCTACCAAGACTGGAAAGTGCCCCTTCGCGAGCGCATGGTCGGCACCAAACGTCTCTGTTTCGTCATCCCTCTCCTACCCCATCGAACGTCGCTTTCAGTCTTCAACCCGGACGATCTTACGCTGGCTCTGACGACTTCGGTCGAAAAACTTCATCTCGAGATTGAGAGGCTCTTACACATCTCAGACACGTCAAAAGTATCCGTCCTCAAAGATCGCATCAAGCAGTCCAGCCAAGTGCAATGGCTCCAGGGTCGAAGAAAGGGTACACAAATCTTCCTCTTCAAGCTATCCGAACGATCACGAGCTCTAGACTGGTACTGGGAACTCTTCCGAGATCTTGGCGGGGAGCTTCCGGATAGATTCGACATTTTCGCCCCTTCCCTCTCTACCTATGTCCGCTTCCGCGTGCCCCAAGGCGAGGAAGCCGACGAAACCGCCCTTTTCAAACGGTACAACCGCGACCGCGTCATCAAAACTTGTTGGGAGGTCCTCAACAAGGACAATAGCATCGACGAGTTGTTGAAGGAGAGGGAGCTTGAGAAGAGGGAGGTGATTGATTTGGAGTTGGTCTGGAAAGGGGCTGATGGGGCGTTGGATTGGGTGGCTTATGGGAACACTGTGGAAGGGTTGAAGAGGCCGTGGGCTATGTTGGCTGGATTGGCGAGGGTGCAGGTGAGTCTTGTCTTTGTCCAAGCGCAGAACTGACAAGAAATAGGCGAATGGCAGGGAGCTGCAGCTGCGACCGGCAAAACATCAGCCAAAGTCTCTCAAGCTGGAAGATGGCACCTGGCTCGACGAGCCTGCTGGCGTGGAGGGTTATCTCGTCAGGCACAGACCTGCGAGTGGTCCGAAAGAGTCCATCTATGTGACGATACACGATGGTAAGTGACCGCTGCTCCCTCTGCCTCATTCTAATCCATCTATAGGCTGCATATTCATGACCACGATGAGAGAAGCCAAACCACCGTTGCTTCCCCAGGCCGAAGGATCCATCCCCTCCGACATTTTCCCTGATGTGCATCGACAGTTCCTCCAGAACGAGCACAAACGTATGGCAACGACTATCCAGCGCTCGGCCGGCTGTCTGGATCTCAGGGATATCACGAGTGTCAAGTTTGAGCAGGGTGCCGAGTCGAACGATGGTCAGGGCGAGGGTACGGGGACTGTCTTCAACGTGCATCTTGCGCATGGGGGAGTCATGATCCAGCTGGAAGCGCACTCGGAGCAAGTCGCAAAGGAGTGGGTGGAAAGGCTCAATGATTTGAGAGGCTTTTGGATGAGGAAGCATCGAGTCGAGTGAGTTCCGGTCACGCACAATGTTCGCTTGCTGATATGTGTCGGTAGGGCTCGTATGCGTATGGACGCAATGGAGCTGGCTCAAAAAGGCGACATCCTTACAGGAGCAGCGACGGAAGCTTCTGATGATTTCTTGTCCTCTATCTGGGACTGGTGTACCGTCAAGGGCTGCAGGTCCATCTGTCTGTCGGGGAGAATGTATATGAAGAAGAGTACTTGGATGAAGTTCAGGTGGGTGCTCATCATACCCCAAAGCGCCACGCTGACCAAGCTTGGTATAAAGATCCAAGTATATGGTGCTGACTGAAGGATCTTTGGTATCCTTCAAGATCACGGGCAAGAACGCTTTTCACAAGAGGAAGAAGACTTACCCGCTCTTTGGCGCATACGTACGTGATCCTCTTACTCTCGGAACCTTCTACTGAGCCTCATCACAGGTCTACTCTGGCTTGTTGGCGCACGAAGAAATCCATGAACCCAGCAACAGACAAGCACCCTTCACCTCGGAATACCGAGTTTATCAAGACGGCTTGCAGTCTAGCGATGGGCCGCAAGATACCACATTCTGTGTCCGCCTCGCTATACCGGGGTCGTCCTGGACGGCAAAGACGGTGAATCCTTGGGATTTAGGTGACGATGAAGATTACACGCCCATGCCTCTCAGCAAGTCGCCCCAGGGCTTGCTCATCTTTAGGGCTAGGTGCAAGGTGAGTGGCTCTGTGTGCAACAAAAGCTGAGCTGACATTACGCGTAGTTGGAAAGAGACCGCTGGGTATGGGCCATCAATGCCGAGATGGAGCGACAAGCTAGAAGCCATCTACGCCAGGAAAAGACTTTGCGCGAGTATGGCAATGTGCCCGAGAAGTGGTAGATACGACATTTTACGTTTAACGACCTCTCTATCTCACTGTATATTCCATGTTACAATTCAGTACAGTGCATAATCACATATTGCATGCATCATGCCAAGGAGCCAAATGACAGACACTGGCAAAGCAAGACAATGGCTCGACGAATTATGCTCAATCAATTCTGGGACAGCCGTGCCAGTTGCCACCAGAGTTTTCGCGGACACTCCCGCTTCGCCTTGTTGTTCCCACGAGATAGTAACGACTCAAGACAGCATGACCCTCCAGTCTTTCTCCAACTTGACTTGATCTTGAAACTCTACGCAACACCTTATCCCAAACCCTGTGGTGATCATCTACACGACCAGCATGACGCCGTCCACGATACCCCTACAGAAATGGAGATTCAGGCAGAAGCCGAAGACCCCTGATCCTGACAACAGATGGACCTCGTGTTGGATACCCACATCTGTCCAGGCAGAGCTGATCAAGACCGGTGACATCAAAGACCCGCGCAAGGATCTCAACGAGTGGGACGCCCAGTGTGAGTTGAGCGCTAGAGACGAATCAAAGCTCTGTCTGACGGCCGTCGGGCATAGGGATTGGCGAAGCCGACTGGAAGTTTCGATGCGATTTTGACATACCTGCAGACAGACTGAAGGCTGCTCACTGCGACTTGGTCTTTGAGGGCTTGGATACCTATTGCGATGTGTTGTTGGTACGCTCGAGACTGGCTTGCCTCTTATGACCATTAACGGATGCCACAGAATGACCGCAAAATACTCTCTTCTGACAATATGTTTGTGGCTCATCGTGTCAACTGCAAGGAGCACATCAGATCAGGGAATAACCGGCTACTGATCGTCTTCAAGAGTCCTTGGCAAGAAGCAAAACAGGCGGAAAGGGCGCATGGTGGACCTCGTGGGGCTTGTGAGCTTGCTTCTTGAGATCGAGCTAAGCGTGTACTGACTGCCGATACAAGGGAATGGAGATCCTTGCAGGTTATATTCAAGGAAAGCACAGTATGGATGGGGTTGGGATTGGGTGAGTTGCAGCCGTGACTTGGCTTGTGCTAATCACCATCACAGGGGCCAAAATTGCTCACGGTGGGCCCGTGGCGTAGGCCTCTCCCCTCTACATTAAGTAAAGCTTGACTGATAGCTCGGCTATACAGGTCCCATCACTCTCGAAATATATGACTATCGCATCGAAGCCGTCCGAATCGAAGCCCATATCAGCTCACCTGACCTGAAGACAGCCACGCTTCGCGCCACAGTCGACGCGGTCAGAGCAAATGGAATGCAGCTGCGGTTTTTGCTCTTTGACCAGAGTGGAGTCTGTTTGAAAGAGGAGATGCAGCCAACGGAGGACAGCTGGGTAGAATGGACGTTTGAGGACGGTCAAATTCACCCTTGGTGGCCAAGAGGCTACGGCGCCCAAGAGCTCTACCAGCTTCGGGTCGAGCTCTGGAAAGATGTGGGTTGCATTCAGTGTTCGAAGTATACCATCTGACGAGACCCACAGGGTCAAGCAGAGGCCGCGGCTCACAAATCGATAAGACTTGGGTTTCGCCACATTGAAGTTGTTGAAAGACCATTTATCCACCAGAGGGGGACATCGTTCTTCTTCAGAGTCAATGGGGTACCAATATTTTGTGGTGGCAGCAACTGGATACCAGCGGATATCTTTGCAACAGACATCTCCCCGAAAAGGTATCGTCAATGGGTCGAGAAGATGGTGAGCGCAATAGGTATTCTACTGTTCATTGTTGACGACACTGGGAAGGTTCAAGGTAACCAGAACATGCTAAGGATATGGGGAGGAGGCATGTACGAGCATGACGAGCTATACAAGTAAGCTTTCCCTTAAAACAGCACGCTTTGCTGATTCGTCCAGTGCCTGCGACGAGCTGGGCGTTCTAGTTTGGCAGGACTTTATGTTTGCCTGCGGCATCGTGAGCAAAAGATCTGCTCATGTCGCAGTATCTGACTCTTAATAGTATCCATCATACGCAGAGTTCAACAACAGCGTCAAGAATGAAGCAGAACAAGCGGTGAAACGACTTCGGGATCATCCCTCTGTGGTAATATTCGCCGGGAACAACGAGGACTACCAAGTCGCCGAGTCCCTCAAGATCGTCGACTATACCGACGAATCTGGTGACTATATGCATAGCGAGTTTCCCGGGTAAGAAGTATCATTGATGTAGATCTCCTGGCTGACGCGCTCTGTTAGTCGTCACATATACGAGATCATCCTTCCCGAGGTCGTGCACTGCCTCTCTGATATACACTACCATCGCTCCAGTCCTTATGGAGGCAAGACCTCAAGAGATCCTGCGGTTGGAGATATCCACCAGTGGAACGTTTGGCACGGGACGCAGGAGCCATGGTCGAAATGGGGAGAGTTGTCTGGGAGATTTGTCTCGTGAGTGCTATATTTGTTAAGCAGCCACACAAACTCACCATTGCGTGGCGGCAGAGAGTTTGGCATGGAAGCATATCCGAATCTGAAGACTGTGCAGACCTGGTCAGACAATCAGGCTGAGCTATTCCCACAGTCAAGGGTCTCAAGTCAGCACAACAAAGCAGTAGGTTGAGTGGACGCTGGAAGGCTCATTCTGACGACTTTATTTGGAACAGATCGGAGCTGAGAGACGACTTGAATCATATATCATGGAGAATTTTAGGTGAGCGACAGTGAGGAGCAGAACGATTCTGATCTTCCGTCTCAGACATGCGTATGATATGCCCAGCTACATTTACTACTCCCAAATCATGCAAGCTGAGTGCTTAGCCGCTGCCTACAGGTATGTAGCTGGTCCCCTCGTGTCCGTCACACGCTGATGTGTGCAGGGCCTGGAGAAGAAACTGGAGGGGAGAAGGGAAAGAGTTCACCGCTGGGGCTCTAGTGTGGCAGGTAAGGGCTCTCTTCCACTTGCATCCTGATCTTCTGGCTGACGGTTGCGCAAAGTTGAATGACTGCTGGCCTTGTACATCATGGTCCATTATTGATTACTACATGAGGCCCAAGTCAGTTTTGGAACCCTCGGTGTTCAGAGCCCTGACACGTTTCCTAGACCTGCTTACTTTACTATCAAGAGGGAGCTCGCGACGTACACGGTTGGGATCTCAAGAAAGGAAGTCAAAAAACCTAAAGACAAGACTACCGACGCGGCTTTCGACATCTTTGAATCTGCGAGTTCCCCTCTTCTTTTGGACCTGATTCTCACGCTGACTACCACTCTAGATCGAAGTCTGGGGCTGCAACTCGTCTTTGAGCTTGAAGCCTGTAACCATCGTTGTCGAGACATGGCATCTCCACAGGGGCATCCTCGACCGCAAATTCATCGAGACGACTCTCAAAGCAAACGCTTCGACCGAGATATGGAGCGGTCCCATCCCACGACAACCTGTTCGCTCATCCCTTGCCCAACCACCCGAACCTATCATCGTTTCAGCTCGCTTGCTCGCGAGGGAATCCGAATTGGTTCTGGCAAGACATAGCAGCTGGCCTGATCCCTACAAGTATCTGCGCTTCCCCGAGCCTGGGTTGAAGTGTCAAGTGTCCGAGGGGGCGGTGAGGTTGAGCTGTGAGAGGCCGATCAAAGGGATTGTCCTCGATGTTGAAGGCGATGAAGTAGAGTGGGACGATCAGGGTATCGATCTGATTCCAGGGGATGACCAAGTCATCGCCGTCAAAGGGTTGGAGAAACGGGCAGTGACTGCAAGATATCTAGGCTCCGACGGGCTCTGACTGCAAAGTGAAACGCGACTCATGCATAAATAGTGTAAAGATCGTGAATGTAAATGCATTTTGCATATTGTCCGTTTTTGCTACATGTGTCAAGACATGAACACCTCCATGATCACCCCTCTGAATGATTTTTAAGACATATTCTAACGTGCTGTTTAAAGCAAGACGGCACCGGCAACCAGACCGGCAAAGACGACACCCATGCCGGAAACGCCGTCACGGAAAGCAGCGCTGCTACTACTACTACTGCTGCTGCTGCTGTCGCTACCGCTGGCACTAGCGCTAGAGCTGGCGCCCGAAGACTCACTGGAAGAGCTAGAGTTGGCGGCAGTGGTACCGTCGGTGTTGACGGTGCTGCTGCTGGTGTTTGTGGTACCAGCAATGTAGGATTCGAAAGTAGGGCAGGTAACGTTGGTCTCGGCGTACGGCTGAGTGGTGTTGGTGGCAGTGCAGATAGGGACGACGTATTTGAACGCGGCCTTGATCTTGGGGTAGTAGGTCTCAAAGACAGACATGGTGTAGTTGGCTATCACAATGTCAGACAAGAGCGGTAAGAGAACGATAAGAAGACATACTGAGCTCGTGGTTGAGGACGATGGGGCCGTGGGTAGAGTAGTTGCCCTTGCCAGCAGCGTCAATGACGGTCTGGTAGTTGTTGTTGACGTCCTCCTCAGTGATACCGTCGGAGCCAGCAGCCCAGTCATCAGTGTCGTCGGACCAGACGATGGTGGTCATGTTGAGCATGCTGGCGATCATACGGATTCGGTTGTCGACATCGCCGAAAGGAGGGCGCCTGGAAATCAATCAGCATGCGATCATAATGCCCGATAAGGAAATACGCACCAGCACTGGGGAGTTACACCGAGGATAGCCTTGATGGCCTTCTGGGTGTAGTAGAGCTCGGCGAAAGCAACTTCGCTGGAGAGCGCGGTCATGTACTGGTGAGACCAGGTGTGAACACAGATCTGGTGACCCTCGTCGTAGGCACGCAAAGCCTGGAGAGGCCAGTCCAGGACGTTGGAACCGATGAAGAACATGGTAGCCTTCTGGTCGTTCTCCAAGAGCAAGTCGTACAAAGCGTTGTGACTACAGTTGGGCCCATCATCGAAACTGCGAATTCCGGTTTAGTGAGGCGTCCAATAGAGATCGAAAAAGCCGACGCACCCTAAACCCCAAGTCTCTGGCTCGGGCGAAACAGTGATATCGGCGTCCAAACCAGTGTCACTAGAAGGAGTGTCACACTTGGCGTGAGTCCACCAACAGTCGGGGTCGCTGCTGTCGTAGTTGACACCAGTCCAGTCACCAGTGGGAGTTCCGTGGGGGACGTCATCGGGAAGTTTCTCGTTGAGGGTGGAGTTGATCTTGGAGAAGAGCTCGGTAGCTTCAGTGTCGTTGGACAGGATGCTAGCAGACTCCCAGATGGTAGGGAATTGAGAGGTGACGGAGGTGGCAGGCTCGTAGCTGTAGTAGGTACATTCAGTCGCGACGTCTGGAACGTGTTTGTCAGTGTTGCACCACGCGGCAAGTGTTCCAACATGACATACCGGTGCTCTCAGCAGCGCTGGCCTCGTCGGTCACGGCTCGAGCCTGGATGGTACGACCACCGAGGTTTCGTCGGCCTATTTCATGACCACCACAGCCAGAGTGGGCGAGGGCGCCAGTAGCGAAAACGGTAAGGAGAGCGGCAACGGTTGAGGGGACCATGGCGCGAAGGGGGAGCGGCGGGGAGGAGCGAAGAGGGGGATGTAGGGATATAGTGTGATGGAAAGACAAAGCCAGAAAAGATGCGCCTGAACGAATGGGCGATGGAAGTGGTATTACGTTATACCCTGCATGCGGTGAGCGCACGAAATAAAAACACACGGCGAAAGCACTAATAAACGATCCCAGTTCTTTTTTTGGTCTGCAAGTTCCACCGCCCTCCAGCCAGCCCTGAGTTAATTACCCCTCCTATTTGGGGTGCCGCTGCTTGCCCCGCTCTGCCCCGCTTTGCTAATGCTTTGCTAATGAGCTTTACAACATGATTACACTTTTTGCTACTTCGCCTCAGGGTTATGACGCGACGCGGCCTGTGCACGCGGCAGGTGCGCATGGTTACATGGTATAAAGATTGAGCATTCGAGACACCCCGCCCCATACGCAGAGCGCAGGCTGACAGCAGAGGGAATTGCAAAGTAAGCTCTTCGATCGGACATGCGGTGCATGCAAGTATCTACTGACGAGTCTATGATGGAGGCATAGTATCATGCAATATCTGTCGCGGCCTGCTTGTGCACGACCCCATGGCGCCGAGATGCCATTGCGACTGGTGCTCACCACACGACCAGCGGCCAGGGGAGGCCAGCTTGGCCCCCCTGCCCGTCAAGGACGTGACTCGGGATTCTTTGTTCACCATATCCATATACACACTATAGGAAAAATGTAAAGTTCAACAGACTGATACAACCCAGCTATGTACGAAAACCCTCTTATGCGAAAAAGACATAGCCCTAAAAGAAAAAGTCAGACACCTTCTCCCCCGCCCCACGCGACTTTGCGAGTCTCTTCTCCTCGGAAGCCCGCGTCAGCTCTTCGATGTGGTCGAGATCGCTCTTGAAATCAATCTGATCGGCAGGGATGACAAGCTGCCTGTCTTTGCGGACAAAGTACGCGTAGATCTTGGCTCCGATAAGGATGGCGAGGAAGATGAAGACGCTGCCGTAGGCAAATACAAAGTCGGCAGCGGTGAAAGCTCCGGGAAGGAAGCAGTAGTAGCCGCTGATCTTGTCGTCAGTACCAGCCAGCGCGGGACGTGCAGTGGTGACTTACGAGAAGAGTAACACAATGGGCGACCAGACAAGGAGGTACCAGCCCGACAGAGGCTGGAGGTAGCCCCGGATTGGAAGGAAGTCGTTGTTGAGTAAATTTTGTGCTTTGAGGCCGGATCGGAAACGCAGGTAGGTTCTATTGGGACCAGATTAGCATACGGCAAGGAAGAGAGGGATGGTAACTTACATTGCGATCACTGTCCAGCTGACAAGCTGAGCAGCGGTGACTAAGTCGATCCACCAGTTCAATACCCTGGCCGTCCCAGAAGACACCGACAAGTATGCCAAACATCCAATGAGTAGCGTAGCAGTCACAGCGACATACGGTACACCGTGCCTGTTGGTTCTAAGGAATACTTTGGGAGCTTGTCCTTGTTGGGCGAGAGAGAAGACGGATCGGCTGGCGACGAATGTGAAGGAGTTGGCGGTGGAAAACAGACTGATCAAGACGAGGGCGTTGACAATGGATGGGAGGACAGGGATGCCGAGGCGGTTCATGGCTGAATGTAGGTGATGAGTGAGCTGCAAAGCACAAAGATGGAATGTAGACTCACAGATGACGTAAGGGCTCTTGGCGGCACCGGGGGCGCCGCCAGAGATCGCACCAAGCAAGCTCTGGTCGGTGGAAGAAGACACAATGCCGACGCACAGACAGCCAGTGATGTAGAAGCCCAAGATACGATAGACGGTGCTGCGAAGCGTCAGACAGAGCATTGATGAAGATATATCAATCAAGCTTACCTGTTAAAAGCCTTGGGAAGGATACGCCGCGGATTTTTTACTTCCCCCCCAACGAGAGATATATAATCGGGACCGACAACGCTATGCGGAATCAGCATAATGGTCATGACAATTGCAAGAAGTGACTTACGCAAAAGTGGCCCAGCTGATGGAGTCAAAGATCCCAGTGATGACTTTGCGGAAGTTGACTTCACCAGCAAAAGGGCCGGGAGTCTTCCAGAACCGGAACCCATACACATCCTTGAGAGGGTTGCTGTGAGATCGTGTTAGCGCCCATGGTACGATATTGTAAGATAGACTCACCCGCCGACCATAGTGATGAAAGTGTAGAGCGTCAAGCCGACGATCAAGATAAGCTTGGCGATACTGATGTAGAACTCAATCTCTCCGAACCACCTCACACTCCAAACGTTGATCAAGAACAAGAGGACGAGACAAGCTGATATGAGAATAGCAGGATTCAGGTCGTCTTTCCAGTACTGGACAATGACGTTGATAGATGTGAGTTCGAAGCAAATAAGGGCCCATTGGGTGATGACATACTATGCCCCGGGTCAGCATGCCGGTCCCATTGAAGGCGCACAACTCACATTCCATCCCACAGCCATACCGAGGGCCCAGTCCACAAATCGTCCACTCAATTTTACAAAGCCGCCATCGAGCGGCAGCAGAGTGGTCATTTCGATGAGACAGTTGCTGGCCGCCCAGACAACAAGACTCCATAGCGCCACACCGATCAAAAGACCGAGTGGCCCGGCAGAGGTGAGAGGATTACCGATAGATACGAATAGGGCGGAGCCGACACTCCCAGAGATGGCGATGAGTTGCACATGGCGCATGCGAAGACCTCTGCCACTTTGTTCAATGCTGAAAGTGCGGAATGCCAGCGAGCACTTACCGATGGGGGTCATTGGTCAAGTCTGTTGCAATATGTTCGCTGACGACCTCCGCCACATAGGCCTCCTCCGCTGGTTCCGAGGCGTCGAATGATTTATGTTCTTTGTCTTCCAGAGACATTGCGAGAAGTTTGAGATGTTGAGCAACAAGAAGCAGGGGGCGGTGATAATGATCTATCGTTTCTTATAAGTCGCGAGGAGCTCAGACCGCTGTTACGGCGATGTTTCTCTCCTCTTGGCTGTTAAACTTAATCGCGGCCGCGGCGCTTCCAATTTTTTGGGCTCGTTTAGCACAAGCGCTATCTCGGTATCTCGGCGCTTTCCAGCTTTTGTCAGACGCGCCGCCGCATTTGCCCTACTTGGCTGGTGGACAGCTGACGAAAGCCCCACTTATATATCACTATCCCCCAGTACATCTCGCTCCTCAGCATAGACACCATGCCTGACATTGAATCCCTGAAAGACCGTTCCGCCGTCGGTTCCATGAGCTGCGAGAGGCTCCCTATCATTGATATCTCGCCATACCTTGACCCAACATCATCTGAAGCGTCCCGTAAGACCACAAGCCAGAATCTGGACAGTGCCTGTCGCGACTTTGGTAAGCGAATCTTTCAACTGACGATCGGCTGTCCCTCAACCTTCCATCGAGATCAGCCACTGATATCTGCGCCTAGGCTTCTTCTACGTCACTGGCCATGGACTCTCTCCAGACTATCTCAAATCCCTCTTGACTCTAGGTCACCAGTTCTTTGAGCTCCCCCAAGAGGCAAAGGACTCTCTTCACATCTTTAAGAGCCAAGATGGTGTCCGAGGCTACCAGAAGCTGGGTGAGAACGTGACTTATGCCAAGCGCGACCAGCAAGAGGTGAGCTTGTGTTTGCCGTCTTTTGGCTAGAAGCTAATTCATGTGTCGCACAGGCCCTTGACATTTATCCCGAGCCCGAGAATCCTACCTCTGATCAGCTCAACGGAAGCCAGCCATGGCCCGCTGATTCAGACTTGCCAGGGTTCAAGACTACATTGCTCGAGTACACCGTGAAGATGTCAGTAGCCCCGTCAGTTCTCGTCGATCACAACTCATAAATATGCAGGAAGACGATCGGCCATGCTTTCATGCGCGCAATGGCAGATGCTCTTGGTCATCACCCCATCTTCGACGAGCTCCAGAAAGACAACTATTGGTGAGCTTTTACATGCTTTGCGCTCTAGCAAGAGCTGAATCCACTCTTTAGGGTCCTCCGCGTTATTGGATACCCACCGCTCCCCGAAGAGTTTGACCCAGAGAAAGGCATCTCGTGTGGTGCCCACACTGACTATGGGCAAGTCGATCGCGTTGACATTCCGATACATTTGCTCATGAGACCACAGCTGTTTGACTTTCCTGCTCGCAGACGACACTCCCGGTGCCCTTCAAGGTACTCACTCTCCTCAACTCTCCAAAGCTCCTGCTGACGGAACCTTCAGTCGAGTCCAAAGACGGCAGCTGGATCCCAGCCGACCCCGTCCCGGGTGCATTCGTGGTCAACATTGGCGATATTATCGATACCATCACTGGCCACCAGTACAAGTCCACCTACCACCGAGTCATCCACAAGAGCCCTACTTACCGTGTATCGATGCCCTTCTTCTTTGAGCCTCAGAGGGACCAGGTCATTGAGCCGTTGGAGGGGTTCTTGCCAGAGGGCTCGAAGCCCACTCAGGCTTTTACGTACTTTGATCATCTTAAGGTTTGTGCTCGTGGGACAACAAACGGACAAGGTGCTGATATATATGACTGCAGAGCATGATCTACAACCATTTCGTGTCTAATGACAAGCCTTTGCCCGAGAAGCCCAATGCCAACGAGCTTACTCAGCGAGGCTAAATTGGGGTTGCTCGCGCGTTATAATTTTGTATCACCATGAATGCAGTTGTCCTCCCTCTTCGATATGTCTCTCAGCATCTCACTGGTCACCAGAGTCAAAAGATACTATGTGCATTATGCTTGATTCATCTACCAGATCCCAAACCCTACAGCTCATCAGTGACCCTCCCTTCATCCCCCGCCTTCTTCTCGCCGTCCACTCCCAGCGCAAGAATAGACAAGAAGTCATAGACCATATCGGCAGCAGCAATAGCAGAGATCTCGGCTACATCACAGATTCCATCAGTCATATTCTTGAGATTGGAGAGGGAAAGCTTACCATTGGTGTCATAGGCAGGAGAAAGTTCGACAATGTCAAAAGCGACAATGTTGAGTCCGACAAGAGAGTGGAGGATCCTTCGGAGCTCTCGGGAGGTCCAGCCGCCAGATTCAGGAGTACCAGCTGATTTTCATATCAGTGTGGATCCTCAAGTCATAGGTTCGAGCACTTACTTGCAGGAACGTAAGAGGGGTCCATAACGTCGACATCCAAACTGATGACGACAGGTCCGTTGCCGATCCTGGCCTTGATCTTTTCAGAGATCCAGTCAACGCCGTGGTCGTCAATGTCGAAAGTGTGAATGAGGTCAAAGCCAGCAGTGATATCGTCATCGAGATCCTCAGGTCCCTATCCAGACCATTAGTCTTCCGCCAAAAGCGAGGCGAGAGGCGACTCACAGAGAACCTGGTACGGATACCAGCGTGGATGGAAGCGTTGGGCTTGATGAAGCCCTGCTCGTAAGCGTGCCAGAAGAAGGTACCGTGATTCAAGTCGGCCTGTAGAGAGACGCTTCCGAGGTATCTGTGAGGGTTCCAAGTGTCGATATGGGCGTCAAAGTGGATGACAGAGACGGGTCCGTAGACTTCGTGAACAGCGTCAAGGATCGGCAATACCTGTATATCATCAGCATAGATAGCATACTCATCGGCGCCACGTACGATAGTGTGGTCACCACCAAGAGCAACAATCCTGGGGTGGAACTTGCCGTCAAGACCCTTCTTCATGTTAAGTTCCTCCATCCTCTCTTCCGAGATGACGGGGTGATGGAGCACGGATCGGTAAGCCGAGTTGACTTGCTTGATGGCTGTTGCTGGGTCGAAAGGAGTCACGGGAACGTCACCGCAGTCGAGCTGTGGGACATGTCAATAGATGAAGATGGACTATTGGCGCGAACGTACCATATAGAGGCCATGGGTGTACGGGTTCACTTCCAGGCGACTGCTGTAACCTCGCTCGGGACGCTGCCTCCGAGATCCACTCCGCAAAGCATAAGGGCCGAATCTGGCTCCTATAGATACAAGATCAGCAGAGTACAAAGAGATTGATCAAGGGAACGTACCTGGCCTGAAAGATACAGCAGAGTCAAATGGCACACCCAGCAGAGCGACGTCGAATGCCGCATTCTTATTGTCCAAGCACTTTTGGTGGGGCAGATGAGCAAAGCTCGTGACTCCGCTGAAGCTGAGGTCGGGCGTGTTGGCAAATTCCTCGTTCCAGGGGTCGAGCTGCTCGTGACTGTGACCGTGGCTGCCATGAGCGAGGGCACCGACGGCGGTCAGGAGGAGGGCGGGGAGGGCGAGTGAGGGGTACATTTTGCGAAGCCGTCTTTGATTGTCGATGCGGATGGCGGTAGTACGGATGAGCAAAGAATTTTGGCATGCCACTTGTCGCCCCCCGCCACAGTTAGAATTCGGCATCTGATTCCGTCGCGCCTTTCAGCTCTCATTGCTCGCTCATGCATACGATTGGGTAACCCGGGCCAGGGAAGACTGATGAAGCCGCCCCTCCGACTTATTAGCATCGACAGATGGCGCCGGAAGCGACATCTCGCATAAGCGCCGGAAGCGACATCGGCCTCCTCCGCGCGCGGGTTCCGACTCTTCCGAGGCGTCGAATGATTTCTGCCCCTGCCATGGAGCATGGACTGTACAAAGCTCCTTCCTTGTCTTTGTCCTTGATCGACATCCCAGCTTGACTGTTCGTTCAGCCTTGTTGCTGCACTGCGGTCATTGCTCGGGCTGCTCTCACCGTCCGCGGGCGTTGGTAGAGTGTGTCATCTCGAGTTCAGATGATAGCACGTTCCTCATATCTCTATCCACCTCATTTTGTGTAGCTCAAGAGGTTATGCTTCACCCCCTGCCTTGAAAGATAGAGTGTGTGGACGCTGCTTCATAGTATCCAGCCCCCATTTGACCCGCGATTATGACTACCAAAACGACAATGACAGAAAGGACATCACAGACCAAACCCCAGTAATACAATTGTGAAGGCTCACTTGAGACTCTGGCAGTTTAAACTCTGGTAGCTACTCCAGGCGAACGATGTGACTGGAAGAAGCAAAGATGAGAGCCGATGAGACGTGAAGGAGGAATTTGATGTCTGTCCGCTGGTTTCCAGTGACATGCAGGAGGCTTGCTGCACAGACTGCACCATTTATTATCATTGCTGAGAATATGGCGATGAATGCATATGGATGGCAAAGCAAAAATGTCCAACATAGGAACCCAACTTTGCGGCAAAAAGGGTCGAGTCGCATAGCCGAGTACATATGCGCGCCGACGAGTTTCTGACTTTTGCATCTCTCTTCACCTCGTCTCCGCGATGCCCTCTCTCCCCTCCCGCTCCGTCGCCAGGGCCATCCCCTCCCTCGCCCGTGCTGCCTCCTCGGCGGCGGGCAGCAAGGACCACCACGTCCACACTTACACCCCCGACCAGTTCCCCCTCGGCTTCTCCGTCGCTGCCACCCACGCCCAGGTCAAGAAGAAGGCTGGCGTCCTCGACCTCGGAGCTCTCGTCTCCACCACCGACACTCCTGCCTCTGCTGCTGCTTGCTTGACAAGGAACGTCTTTAAGGCCGCCCCCGTCACTGTCACCACAGAGCTCCTCCAGACGGGCAACGGTCGTGCTCGTGGCTTCATTGTCAACTCGGGTTGTGCCAACGCTGTCACTGGCAAGCAGGGTCTCCAGGATGCATGGGCCATGTCCAAGGGCCTCACGTCCCAGCTTCCCCCGGGCGATGCCGGCGTCGGCTCGCTGGTCATGTCCACCGGTGTTATCGGCCAGCACCTCCCCATCGACTGTATCGTCTCCTCCATCCCCACCCTTGCCCAGTCGCTGAGCGACTCTCCGAAAGCGTGGCTCGACCTCGCGAAAGCGTTCATGACGACGGATACGTTCCCCAAGCTCCGGGCGAGGTCGTTCAAGCTTGGTGACCGATTGGTGCGGTTCGCAGGTATCGATAAAGGGGCAGGTATGATTGCACCCAATATGGGTCCTCCCCAGCCTCCCCATGCGACGCTGCTGGGCGTGATCGCTACGGATGCCGCCATCACACCTTCTGCTCTCCAGACAGCGTTGAACTATGCCGTCGATAGGTCTTTCAACAATATCACTGTTGACGGTGATATGAGCACCAACGACTCTATCGTCTGCCTTGCCAACGGCGCTGCTGGCAAGGTCGCGACTGAGGGTAGGGAAGTTGCTTCTGGGATGAAGGAGATTGAGGAGGGTACGGAAGAGTTTGGAGTGTTCAAGGAAGAGCTTCGGTCGTTTGCCGAGGAGCTTGCCCAGTTGGTTGTGCGAGACGGCGAAGGTGCCACCAAGTTTGTGACTATCCGAGTCAAGGTGTGTTTTCTAGTTCCTGTTCTGGACTATCCTGACGAGGCATAGAACGCTCCTTCGTACGAGACTGCCCAGGCTGTCGCCAAGAGCATCGCCAACTCCAACTTGTTCAAGACTGCCATGTACGGTCAAGGTACGTTTCCATACTGAGTTGAGAATGGGCCTGACATGTGCAGATGCCAACTGGGGTCGAATCCTCTGCGCAGTGTACGTCTTTCACTAACGGCAGCGTGTTCCAAACCCTAACCTCTTATAGCGGCTACACCCCCACAGCTAAACCCATCATCCCCTCCCGCGTCTCCGTCTCCTTCATCCCCGCTCCCTCTGTCGCCGACTCTACTCCCCTTCGCCTCCTCACCAACGGCGAGCCCGAAGCCAACATTGATGAAGAGAGGGCGAGTGTGATCCTGAAGGAGGAGGATCTCGAGGTGGAGGTGGACTTGGGAGAGGGAAATGAAGAGGCGAGGGTGTGGACTTGTGATTTCTCTCATGTGAGTTGTCCTATTACTTAGTGGGCACGCAGCTAATAGGGTGCAGGAATACGTGACGATCAATGGCGATGTGAGTTTTTCCTCGTGGCCAAACCTTTGACAACGGTGACTAACGAGATGTTTGCAGTACCGAAGCTAGACAAATACTCCGGGCGACTCTTTGCTACTAAAAATGCATTTGGATGCTATACCACATAATGATTGATAGAATGACACAGTAAATGGACGAGCAAGACATGAGTAATACTGTACAACAAAAAATTGATATCTGGGCGGGCATCTGGGCACCGTCTATGGAGCTCTAATGGCTACACTTGCCTCCCTTTGGGGTCCTTTCCCTCCACTCTGTGCGACCACCTCTGACATCTCAGTATCGGTCCACGTCCATCCCTTCCACGTCTTCCACCCATTCTTCTCTCTCCTTCCCCCCGTCTCGCGTCCACGCCCCAAAGTAGTCTGGCGACCCAGCACTCTCCGTCTCCTCGCTGACACCCCGCTGCGTCTCGCGGTGTCCCAGGACAGGGCTGCAGGGCGGCGCTGGGGGCACGCCGCCTTTGCAGAGCGGCACAAAGAAGGCTTGGAACCCTTTTGCCTTTTCGACCTTGACTTCGAGCGACGTTTGCACGTTACGGTGCTTGCCCGTCGACGACGACGACTTTTTCAGCGCTTTCGGTCTGAGTCTGCTGCTCGACGCGCTCTGCGGTTGCGGTTGGGGGCGCGGGGCAAAAGCAGGGGAAGAGGGAGCGGTGTACGCCTGGTGTTGGTGAGTCTGCAGGGGTTTGGAAAACGCAGAGGGGGAAGGGGTGGAGTTTGTGGATGCGAACAAGGGGCGCGCGAGGTGGGGGAACTGGCCTTGGGCCTGGGGCTGGGAGGCAAAGAGGCCTTGGTGTTGTTGCTGGGTCATGGTAAAGTGTGATGGGGGATTACGCGACTCGGGGGTCACAGATAATGGCAGGGCGTGGGAGGCTGAGCGTGTATAGGCCGTTCTTATAGATCTAAGAGAAAGAGAGGGATAGATATGAGCGCCGTCGCCGCTGCTGCCGGGGGAGGCGAAGATGCGCGAAAAAGACGCGTGGTCAACAGTCCTTTGGGCACGTGGATATGGCAGGTGGGGAAGTGTGGCTGGTCTCGCGTGAGCTTTTTGGTTGGTACACGGATGGAGAGCAGAATGCAGATGAGAAAGAGAACAATGCACCCTGCAACTCAACAACCTCCAAAGTAGTAGCACCAAAGCGCACCCCGCTTTTTCGACCCCTTAATTGACTGGATGAGTCCGGGGAAAAAAAGCGGCACTTTGCGCCAATTCGAAAATTCCACCCTGAACCTCTCATCATCTCCATCCAATTAAATCCAGAAAATAGGGATAACGGCACTCACCGACGACCGACCTTCTGGCTTTTCTGGAACTCTGAGATCAGACAGCAAGCGGCAAAAAGACAAATACGAATGATGCGTGGGTGGCGCTCTGTTTATGTCTATTGCCTGTTTCTTTGGTTCTTTAGACCAGTTTGTGAGACAAGTTAAGGACGCTGCAGCAGCAATTCTGCCGAGTTTGGTGGAGTCACGGGTGAAGAGAGATACCGGCGGGGAGGTTTAATTTATCGTTTGGCGACGACGCGGCTCTGAAATGTCTGTACGCGTTTCGCGATGGATCTGGTATGGATCTGAGACAAGGCGACGGCCGCGGCTTGAGAGATGCTGACGACGTTGGAACCGAATGAAGGAAGGAGCGTCAACCAGTGAGGGGATGGGTCGGCTTGAGGGGCTGATGGTCTGTCGACAAGCGTTGCACGCCGTGTTGAGTGACGTATTCGCTCACTCTAATGTCGCCCTAATGTTCTCGAGTCGCTAAAGTTGATCAATTGGTCTGCCTTGACTGGTCGAAGTGTGGTCGTGACGTTGTATGTTGAGAGAGCTGTAAAGTTTAGGCGATTATGTTTACGAATGTTCTACGCAAAGCCCAAGAGGAAAACGGGGCGAAGACGACACGAGAGCTGATATATGCATGTGAATTCGAGGTCCGAGGCGGAGACGAATGGTCAGATGATTCCTTGATATGACTGTTGAGCGAGCGGAGCGTGAATGACCAGCCTTCACCCCGGGGACATCTGATTTTCTCACACACTCGCAAACCCCGCTGCTTCTTGTTTCAAATCCCGCAGCTCTATCAGTCTTTAGGTCGTCGGACACTGGATGACAATACAAAGGAAGACTTGAGACTCGAAAGACCGCACATATTCTTGCGGAGTTGGTGAAACTACCGACAAGTAAAAGATCGATGCCCGGATGGACTGTTATCCCGACCAACATGGGGCGGAGTTGAGCCTTCACTACTTTGGCTTCTGTCTCTGGACAAGGGGTTTATATGAAATCTTGGAGGGAGCAAGTGAAGCAACAAAGGACCAAATTAAGATCTGCTCGCCTGATCGTTCAACACCTGTTACGCCCGCTTCGCCTTCTGAATCGGGCATATATTACCACTTTCGAAAGTCATTACATACGTCTTCTTACTCTGACAAAGCTGTTACATGCCATCGTGAAGGCCGGATCCTCTCCTGTTGCCCTTCCCGGGTGTCGACACGGAGCTCAACAAGTATTTGTCTGGCTTTCTTTGTTGTTGTCTGTGCCTCCGATCACTACTTTACTCTCCTCTCGTATCTCGCTTCACAAACATACGGAGTTGCGAAATGCCGCAAATTATTGTTCATCAGTATCTGCTAATGCCGGCCGCAAAAGCACTTTGCCAAGCCGGCAACGTACGAGATTGCACAACGAGACGACGAGTAACGAGTGACAGCAACGTAATACTCAGATCGAAGCGGTTTAGATGCCGTGAGTGGTGATGCGCGAAACACGAATGTCTGAAACGCGAATGTTTGGAATGTCACGCTGGCAGCAGCTGGTTCTATCGTACATACAGCGTCCACTGCTGGCAACAACATCAACCAACAAGCATCTACAATTCGTCATTCCATCCCGCGTCAATCAACGCTTCAGCGCCACCAACACTCAATGATGCGACCATCAGCAGAAAGCCACACCGCGATACCTCGGTACCGAAGCTACAGAATGATGATGCATGTACAATGAACTCTCGGATCTACGCCGTCGCTCATCCCCTAGACCTCTTGCTCTTCCCCGGTCGTCCACCCCTCTTCGCACCTCCTGCACTACCGCCCCTTCCGGCACTGCTGCCACCCCGACCAGCACCGCCACCACGACCAGCGCTTCCACCTCGACCACCCCTACCGCCTCGACCAGCGCCACCACCACGGGAAGAGGAGCCACCGCCAAAGTCCATGGAAGACTCTTTGGTGTTCTGTTTCGAGCGCTTTCCGCCGCCGCCCATAGAGTATTTGTTGTCTCGGACTGACCGGGGCATCTACAACAAAATTAGCTGAGAAGATGCAAGAGAAGGGGAGTGCATACCTTGGACTTGCCGGAAGAGGATCGGCCGCCCTTGTCATCTCTGCCCTCAATAACATCCTCAACGTCAATGTCAAACTGTCCATCGTCGTCGCCAATGTCCGCTCCTTCCTTTCTCTCTGCAAAGTCGTCAGCGCACTCGAAATCACATCCAGACTACACTTACTCCTCTTGAGGCCCGCGACCTTTTCATCAAAGCTCTTCTTCTCCTGCTCCCTCTGTCTGAGCTTGTCGTGCTGAATCTGCTTGCCGTATTTCTTGAGATCTCTCTGCTTCTTGGCAGCTTCCGACTTTTTGATACCAGACGCCTCCTCGACGAGCTTGGTACGGATACGCTCCATGTGCTCATCAGATTTCACCATCTCGGCGTAGTAGTCCCCCGGGCGGGAGAAGGGAATGTCGTGCTTGGCGGCAAGCTTCTTGGCTTGGGGAATGACAGAGAGGGCGATCTTGTAGAAAACGGTCTCTCGTGACAAATCTATAGCTCCATCAGCTCTTACATCTTGGATTACACAGGGCACATACCATCGCTGGGGTCAACATCCGCTACTTCCTTGCTGTTGAGCACCAAATGTTCCGGCCAAGGCATGTTGGTGACCTTGAGCTGTTCGGTCAAGAGTCGGAGAGCAGGCTTGTTGTTGATGGTAATCTTTTGGCGGGGGACGGCGTCTTCGTCGACAGAGACGTCAGAGCCGAGACCGTCGAGGGAGATGGCATCTTCGTCGGGCTGTTCGTTGACAATAGTGTTGTCCTGCTCCTATATGAGAATGAGCCCTGTCACAATATCGTGATTCAAATGCGCACCTTTTCCTCCTCGTCTTCGCTGTCGCTCTCGCCAGAAAGCATCTCATCGTCTTCAGCGTCCTCATAGTCCTCGTCATCCTCCTCGTCTTCCGAGTCTCCACCAGCACCGAGCATGGCTAGCTCTTCCTCGTTCAAATCGTTCACATCAACAAGCTCCATCAACCTCTTCATGCCCTCCTCGCTGATCTCCTCATCGTCATCCTCGTCGCTGTCGAGCTCATCCTCAGACACTTCGACCTCCTTCGTCTTCTTGTCCTTCTTGGCCGATTTAGGAGATTTCGAGGGGGCGGCAGCGGGGCCTTTGAGGTCTGCGACCGACTTTTGCTTGCGGGCTTCCTTCTTGCTGACGGCCATAGTGCGTATGTACCACCTGGTGAATGTATGGTTCGCGAAGGACGGCCAGTTCACAAAATTCTTGGTGGAGGCAGGCTTCGAGGCGGCGGTCCCCGCGCATGCCGCCACACAGTCGCGCAATAAAAAACACCGAGGAGGGCCGTTGTGCGTTCGCTCACTCAGCGTGCACTCTGAGCGTCAGAGGGCTTTCCTTCTCCCTACTCTATACGCGTCCTCCCAAGACGCACCATAGCACAAAACCCGACCCCCCTCGTATTCTTACCCGCCTCCGCCCCCGCCCATATTCCCCAGCCATGTCCGCCGAATCCTACGCGCAGCCAATTGACGATGGCTTTTCCTACGAACCCGGATACGACTATTCGCAGTCTCAAGTCAAGGAGGATGAAGAGTTTGAGGAAAAGTACGACCCGGGAGAGGAGGATGAGCCAATCAGCCAGGAGGACTACTGGACGGTGATCAACTCGTTTTTCGAGGAGAAGGGTCTGGTGCGGCAACAGCTTGAATCGTTCAACGAATTCATCGAGAACACGATGCAGGAGGTTGTGGACGATCACTCGAGATTGACCCTGGATCAGTTCACTCAGTATACCGGTGTCGCGGGTGATGAGACGGTGGGTATCACAAACCAGGTCAAACCTCGGATCTGGTTGCTGATTAAACCTTCCAGAGGCGATACGAAATCACTTTTGGTCAGATCTACCTCGCCCGGGTCAACCACACCGAGATGGATGGTCGAACCAACATGCTTTTCCCCCAGGAAGCGCGTCTGCGAAATTTGACCTATTCCGCTCCTCTCTACGTGGACATCAAGAAGAGGACTTTGACTGCGAGTGGCGTGGATGACCCGGTGGAGGCGGACTGGCAGCCCGCGGTTGGTGACGATGGCGAGGTTGAGGACGCAGAGGAAGAAAAGACCTCGATTGGTAAAGTGAGTGGGGTGGACGACGCTGTGGATTCGCGTGTACTGATGTGTTTGTAGGTCCCAGTCATGGTTCGCTCCAACTTTTGTCTTCTCCACGGTCTTCCCGATGATCAATGTCACGACATTGGAGAGTGTCACTACGATCAAGGCGGTTACTTTATCATTTCTGGTTCTGAAAAAGTCTTGATCGCGCAGGAGAGGATGGCCACCAACCATGTCTTTGTCTTCTTGAAGGCCGCTCCTGCTAGATACACCTACTTTGCCGAGATCAATTCGCAAAAGGAAAAGGGTGGTAGGGTTGCAAACCACACGGAAGTCAGGATGTATGCTAGGGCGTCGGGTACTGTGAGTAGTTGGGGTCTGCGATGGGTGTAGCTAACAAACGCAGACTGGTGGTGTGATCCGAGTGTCTCTTCCCTACACAAAGGTCGACATTCCCCTTGTTGTCGTCTTCCGAGCTCTCGGTATCGTTCCTGACCGAGACGTCCTCAGCCATATCTGCTTTGGTGCCGAAGACGAGGCCCTCCTTGAGATGCTCCAACCTTCCATCGAAGAATCGTTTGCTGTCCAGGACCGTGACACCGCCCTCGACTTCATCGGTCGCCGTGGTCAACATGAAAAAGCTCCTCGAGCTCAGCGTCAACGTGCCGCTTTCGACATTTTGCATAAAGAGTTCTTGCCCCACGTTTCAACGCAGGAAGGGTTCGAGTCGAAGAAGGCGTTCTTCTTGGGATATATGGTACACAGGCTGTGTATGGCGGCGTTGGGCAGGAAGGAGTTGGATGACCGTGATCACTTTGGAAACAAGAGACTGGATTTGGCTGGGCCGTTGATGGCAGAGATGTTCAACGTGGTGTTCAGCAAGCTGAGAGAGGACATGTACCGGTACTTGAAGAAGGTGAGTTTTTCGTACGTGGGTGGCCTTTCGTTGACAATCCCTAGTGTGTTGAACAAAACAAAGAATTTGCTCTCAACCTCGCGATTCGGCCAAACACCGTCACTGACGGTCTTAAATATGCTCTCGCCACGGGTAACTGGGGTAAACGAGACAACACCCGTGCCGGTGTCTCCCAAGTGCTCAACAGATACACACTCTCATCTACCCTCTCCCATTTGCGTCGTACCAACACTCCCATCGGTCGAGACTCTAAAGCCGCCAAACCTCGTCAACTTCACAATACCCATTGGGGTATGGTCTGTCCCGCCGAGACCCCTGAAGGATCTGCGTGTGGTCTTGTCAAAAACCTCGCGCTCATGTCCTACATCTCCGTCGGGTCATACTCTGCTCCTGTCATGGAATTCTTGGAAGAATGGGGTTTGGAGGACTTGTCGGAATACCAGGATGCGCCGACGGCGACCAAGGTGTTTGTCAATGGTGTCTGGATGGGTATCCACCGTGACGCCCCCACACTACACAGCAACTTGCTCCAAATGCGACGCGGAGGGCAGCTCAAGTACGAAGTCTCCATCGTGCGAGACATCCGTGAACGTGAACTGCGGCTCTACACCGATGCTGGGCGAGTCTGCCGACCATTGTTCATCGTCGACACTGCTTCTCAGACACTGCGTCTTACGCGTGAGCATGTGGATAGGATTGACCAGGCGATGGACGAAGGTCTTGGAGCGGGTGCGTTCGATAGGCTATTGTCAGAGGGTATCGTCGAGTATGTCGACGCCTCGGAGGAGGAGACAATCCTGATTGCCATGACCCCTGAAGACCTCATCAACGCTCGAACTGCGACCAGCAAGGAAGAGCTCGTGCGAGACAGGGCGGCACACAACCTCGAGTCATTCGACCCCGCCGCGCGTATCAAATCGACCGTCTGGAGTCAACAGTACACCCACATGGAGATCCATCCTAGTATGATTCTCGGTGTCTGTGCTAGTATCGTCCCCTTCCCCGACCACAACCAATCTCCCCGTAACACCTACCAATCTGCTATGGGTAAGCAGGCCATGGGTGTCTGTCTCACAAACTATCAGCTCCGTATGGACACGATGGTCAATGTGTTGTACTATCCCCAGAAGCCGCTGGCCACCACCCGGTCTATGGAGTACCTCAAGTTCTCTGAACTTCCTGCCGGTCAGAACGCCATTGTAGCCATCATGTGTTACTCTGGTTACAACCAGGAAGATTCGGTCATTATGAACCAGTCCTCTATCGACCGAGGGCTTTTCCGATCCTTGTACTTCCGGTCTTACACAGACACTGAGAAGATGAAGGGTATGGCCAAGTCGGAAACCATTGAGAAGCCGGACAGGAACGAGACTTTGAAGATGAAGCACGGCAGTCACGATAGATATGCCAAGCTCGACGTCGATGGTCTGGTGGCCCCTGGCACCAACGTTAACGGCGACGATATCCTCATCGGTAAAACCGCGCCTTTACCAGAAGACAGTGAAGAGCTCGGCCAGCGTACGCAGCTCCACACTAAGCGAGATATCTCTACACCCTTGAAGAGTACCGAGCAAGGTGTCGTCGACCAGGTCATGCTGAGTACGAACGGTGAAGGCAACATGTTTGTCAAAATTCGTGTGCGATCCACGCGTGTGCCGCAAATTGGTGACAAGTTTGCGTCTCGACACGGTCAGAAGGGTACTATCGGTATCACCTACCGTCAAGAGGACATGCCTTTCACTGCGGAAGGTCTTGTGCCTGATATCATCATCAACCCGCACGCTATTCCCTCTCGTATGACCATCGGCCATTTGGTCGAATGTCTTTTGTCCAAGGTCTCAACCTTGACAGGTGCTGAGGGTGATGCCACACCCTTCACCGAGTTGACTGTCGAGGCCGTATCCAAGGTCCTCCGCCAGAGGGGATACCAATCCCGAGGCTTTGAGGTCTTGTTCCATGGACACACGGGAAAGAAGATGCAGGCGCAGGTGTACTTTGGCCCGACGTATTACCAGAGGTTGAAGCACATGGTGGATGACAAGATCCACGCGAGAGCAAGAGGACCGTTGCAGATCTTGACGAGGCAGCCGGTGGAAGGTAGAAGTCGTGACGGTGGTCTGCGTTTCGGAGAAATGGAGAGAGATTGTATGATTTCGCACGGTATTGCTGGGTTCTTGAAGGAGAGGATGTATGGTAAGTTGCTCTTCCTCCTTCTCCATGGTCGCCGCTGACAGCCCTTGCCAGACTCTTCCGACGCTTTCAGAATACACGTCTGTGACATCTGTGGTCTCATGGCTGTAGCCAACCTCAAAAAGCAAGAGTTCTACTGTTCGGTGTGCAGAAATAGTACGCAGATCTCGCAGGTGTACATCCCGTACGCTGCCAAGCTGCTATTCCAGGAGGTACGTCTATACGGACATCTAACATCGGATATGGGACTGACTTTGGCCGTAGCTCCAAGCTATGAACATTGCTTGCAGGATGTACGGCGAATCAGACTAGAGACGGGAACAAAGTGTACGATGGCAGCTAGAAGGTAATGATGTGCTGGGACCAGGTTATAACGAGGGTGTGCTTTTCTGAACAAACAATCATCATCATCAAAATTAAGAAAATATATTTGGGGACCAAATAGTCTTTGTGTTCGTTTTGACATGTAAAAGTCTCGCATAAGATGCCCAAGATAAGACTGAAGTTCTTGGCATGAGAGAGCAGCTTGTTATTCGATTTCCTTATACACTTGCCCATCAAGTAAGATACATATAACGGAGTGACTACATACAGTACGAGTAGAGTAACACTACATTTGTACATACAGACGCCGATAAAAGTTCCAACTCACCATTTTCGCCGCTGCCTCTTTCTGTGCGCATTTGGTATCTCCTGGACATCCCACATCTTGACAAACATCTTGGTAATTACGTGACCCATCATACGAGTCCACCATGAGCGACAACGATTCCTGGCAAGTTCCAGGCGACGGGTACGTCTCACCTACAGAGGCACATCACGCGGCTGATACCTTTCAACGCGTTTACAGTCTTTCAGGTGGCCTGCCTCACAACGGCGCAAGCCATGACGAAGATGAGCAGCTCAGGAGAGCGATCGCTTTATCCGTAGAGGACTGCAGGGCACCCAAGAGACAGAAACGCGAAGAGACGCCCGAAGAGGAGCGCCGCCAGCTGGCCGAGTAGGTACCTCTTTAAGCTTCATCAATGTTGACTGACAGGCTATAGGGCTATGGCAGCATCCCTCGAGGCCCCTTCTTCCTCGACTCCATCGACATCAGACACCCCAAAGCAACCCAAAAGCCAATCCGCGCCAGGCCTGCAAGAGGAGACGTCCGCCACAGTCTTGAAGATTGGCGGCCAGACCATCGACAGGGCGCAGATGGAGAGAGAGAGATTGGAGAGGCAAGCGGCTCGAGAAAAGGCCTCAGGAAAGACTCCTGGTCCCTCAGCCCCCGCAGGCAGCTCTAGGCATCACTCAATGCCAAGTCCGCACAACGACTCTCAGCAGCCCAGAGCTGCCAACGCTCATCCTTTCCAGGGAAATCGCCCATTCCCCCGAGATGCTGCTGGAGAATACTACCTAAGCGGCGAAATGCGTCACACCTACAACAAGGTTGTCCCGACTCAAGAGCCCATTTTCACCCCGCAAGATGTTGTTGGTGCTGTGAGTCGATGGGCGCCCGATTTGGCCGGCCAACTGACCAGATACCACATAGCACAGCCAAATATCTCTGATCATCGCGTCTTCCTTTTGTATAGACGATCAATGGGTGGAGGAGGCCAATATATTACCCGATCCCGGCAGAGTCCCGACCCTCGTTATTCGACCATTTCCACGGGAAGATCTAAACGGAAAAGTGCAAACACTGGCGAACAGCGAGGTTTGGTGCTTTCCGCACATGGCTGATCCAAACTGGGGGTAAGCCGCAGAGGTTTGTAGGTAACAGAGTGCTGATTTGAGCAGGTCAATGCACATGAAGTTCTTCTGGGTGAGTCATGGTCGCATAGAGTTGGGTATTCACTGACACAGGGACCAGATCTTCTACAAGAACGGTAGACTTCGCGTTTGCATTTTGACGGCGAACATGGTGCAATATGATTGGGATTTGGTCGAAAATGTAAGCTCTGCATACGATAGCTGAACCGGAACAAAATGCTCACAGTCAGTCCAGACTGTTTTTGTACAGGATTTCCTCCCTCTCTCCAAGCCTGTCAACGATCTCAGCGAAAGTATTCCATCCCACGATCTTCCTCTTCAATTCCGCTCTCTGTTTACCTCCATCCGCGTCCCGGCCGGGCTTCAAGACCTCGCACGTATTCATGGAGAGCTCCCTTTGAGTGGTAAAGACAACTTTCGAGATCTGAACAAGTGGGATTGGAGTAGAGTCGCTTTCAGGACAGTCATCAGCACGGCGAAGAAGCACACGGGAGTGGATAGTGTGGTGGGTTCGGGCATGGGGAGACTGGGGCGGGTGTTGGAGCTGGAAGGGTGGAAGCCGAGGAGCGGGGAAAAGGTAGCCCTGGAGTACCAAGTGAGACCTTTTTTGCATTTGATAAGAGCGCGACTGATAGGGCCACAGGGATCCTCTTTGGGGAGATACAGTAAGAAATGGATTGGTGAATTCTACGCCTTCTGTATAGGCAAGCCCTTGTCATCTTTCTCGACGTCAGCTGCGAAGACTTGGCCTCCCCTCAAAGTCCTTTTTCCCTCTCTAGCCACGGTCGACAACTCATTCGGAAAGAGGGACGGTGGTGGTACGATGTTCTCTGGCAATGCGTGGAATACGGATGCGAAGGAGCTATTCCATGATGCAAATTCAAAGAGGAGCGGAATACTCATGCACTCCAAGGTGCGTATGAGACTTTCTTCCGTGATTTTGGCTGATCAGTTAGGAAGGTCATTGTGGCCTTGTTTGAGCCCGGAGAGCTGACAGCCTCGTCATCAAAGACATCACTCGGCAAACGGAAAGCTGCCGTAGCAGATGATGCGCCGAAACATACCGATGAGGGCGTTGGGGGATGGATGTACATGGGAAGCCACAACTTTTCACCATCTGCTTGGGTAAGCGCTTCGGACCGAACCAGAGCCACAGAGCGATGAGCTGACGCTGTCTCGACAGGGCACGCTTGATCTGAAAGCGAGCCCGCCAGCTCTGAATGTAAAGAACTACGAGCTCGGTATCGTCTTTCCTTTGCGTGAGTCAACTCTAGCTGTACTTTTGGGAGCAGTCCTGATGAGTGATTGATAGCACGAGGCTACGCGAAGGATGTGGCGACCAAGATCGTTCCATACAAAAGGCCGGCGAGGAGGTATGGTCCCTCTGACGTACCGTTTGTGAGTTGCGTTCTCTTGGCATTCCTCGCTCGGGCACACTGACATCTGGATGCCAGAACCAAAAAATACATCAGTAGATGACTGGCACGTTGTATCCAGATTCTGGCTCTATATGTCATATGTGTTCTATGGTCCCCTCGCATCTACGTATCCCCACCGTGTAGGCACCTTTCTTGGTCGACGAAGTGAGACACCCCCTCCTCACCTGTGTATCAGTATACCTGTACATCTATCCATGCATCAGTTTGGCAACCCCTGGTATTGGAAAAGCGGCGAGCTTGTGAATGCCGTGGGACTGGACAGGGGTCCGAGCGTTGGGTTACTTCAAGCGACGCGTGGCCTGACGACGGCTGTTTCTCCTCTCAATTTGTATCTCCATCCTTCTTTTGCATCTCCAACATCTATCGTACTTGAACCCACATTCAGGGGTTCCTGTACCACAGTACGATTGAGCCAATACCTGCGACCTCGAGAGAGCATCAGCTCCTGGTAAGTCGTCTCGTTCACGATATCACCTCCCTTTCCCTATGTGTGCATCCCATCATCCTCCCGCTTTCGTTCAACATTGCTGTTCCTATAAGCATGATACGCTGTGGTAGATAGAGGCTGACACCAGCTCAGTACTTTCCCCTCGAGCTGACAATGGGTCATATCTCCGCCACTCCCTCCAACAAGTCCAGTGGACTGATGCGCCGTCACCCATCCATCCGCGCCCCCGAACGCTCGCCTTACGGCATGTCCGACAGTCTCAAGGTCGAAGTGCAGTTCGTTCAGCCCTCGAGTTTCTACGTCAGCCAGAGCCCTCATCGTATGATGCCTCAAGGTTTAGCAATCACTCACCGTGGCGAGCCTGATCGACAGGGCGCACGGATCTCACCCCTCCCGGAGGAAGAGCGGGCCCAAGCAATGCTTGACTATGAGCGTACTATTGGCGCACCGGATTTCTCACGCTCCCGATCAGCCACTCCGCATGGTGTCATCTCCCCTCAGCCTATGCGGGCCAACGACCTCGCAGTCCCGACAGTTGCCACCAAGAGGCCTACCTCTACCCAAACGGCGGAGATTCCTTCTTTCGCGGCCGACGATGCCGCGTCCTGGCGCCTTACGAAGATTACGAAGAAAGGTCCTGCCTATTCTGCAAACGTGTCAGATCCCGCACAGCCTGCCCGAGTAAGTAATAGTCACCTCATCAGCCAGCCTCAGCTGATACTTCTCAGTCTGGTTCACCACCCTTTCAAGCCAGGTCCAGCCATGATCGTACCTTTCAGCCTGCCCAACCTTCCCAGCCCGTACCCAATCGCCCGCCTCCCCAGTCGAAGACTGACAACGTCTTCAATCCCAGTTCTGACGCAGCACCAACCCGTGAGCCTTTCCTTGACCGCCTGAATGCTCAATCCCCCGACGTACAACAACACCATGCCCATACCCGTCCTATCAACCACATGGGACAAGCACCCAAGTATCCAGCCTTTCGCCGACCTCTCAACAACCTTCCCCAGAAGACTGCTATGGATACTCAGCGAGATGCCTCTCATCCTGTCGTCAACAACCACGGACCGACTTTAGCCGGATCTTTCAGCAAAGTCTGCAAGGCAGACGAACACCCCGGCCGAGGAAACCTACAGGAACTGATGTTTGTTGACGACTCCGATCTGGTTGACTTTGACGGTGATGGCGATGCCGGTGTTCTCAAGACTCCTATGAAGCGGATGAAGGGCGACGAGAGTGCGAAGAGTATCTTCAATTTTACCCCAAACGCCAAAAATACTTTCAAGGTAGTAAGTGAAGGCTTTGTCGTGTCCTCATGGGCTTATGCAGATACAGGACAAGATTGGACCCGAGCCCCGCTTCGTGATCCCGGAGGCCTTGAGTGACCACACCTCTATCCTCAAGAGCGTCAACCCACAAGCTATATGGCAAGAGCGACTCAAGGCGGCCAAGGAATTCTCTCATCAGGCAGAATGGATAGACTCAGCTGGTGTGTGACTTCATTGCTGTTCCCTTATTACGAGACTGACAAGTTCCAAGGGTTGGTCGAGGACCAGAAGAGAAAGTTTGAAGGCGTCAAGCAGAACTGGGACCACATCTACAACCGTAAGGTTTACTGCGTGAATACGCTTGGTGACTGATATCCCCTACAGGCATGAGCGATCTTGTTCGGACCAAGAACCAGGTCTTCCAGCACAAGAGTGTTCTCACGGATAAATATGTGGACGCAGGAGATCACTTGGCAGAGCAGTGCGTCGAGCTTCAATTGGCGACTCGCAACACGAACAAGCGGAGGCGTATCGCCAACTAGGTGTTGTGGGGCGAGTGAGCGGATCCCAAAGTAGTTGTCCTGGTCTTTACTCTACTTTTACTGCCTTCATTACCTTTCATACGTACTATTCCCGTCTGCGTTCGAGATCTGATTACCCCTACTGCTGGCAGACGCTTCGATATACCCCTTCAGCATCCTATGTCATCTATGTATGCCTCATTCATGTCAATATATGATCCCCGTGTGCATATGTCTGCGCAGAGCATGAGGAAAAAGAAGACGCAAGATGGAGATACATTCCGCTGTATTTGTTGCCGCCGCTTCTGACTTTCGCGACAACAAAGGCGCAAGGAACACTTCACTAACAGCTCATTTATCTTTCGCCAATTCGTCCTCGCCACCTATTTCAACATTGCCTCTGGCAAGGCACCTCAAAAATCTCGAGGACAGCTAGATAATCTCCACGGACTCCAAGATAGGACTGAGCATCCAAATACTTGACCGAAAAACGCGTCCCTTTTGCTTCATTGCGCGTCCCCTCTATACCATCACCACCACAACTGCCTATGCTGAGCCCCCCTACCCCCACCATCTGAGTCGCCATGGCTCATCGAAATCACCACCACTCCTCCAGCTCGTCTGCCAACCCCGACAAGTACACCACCCTCGACAGTCAGTCTCGTAGCAGGCGCGACTCTCTTCCGCAGAGTTCCAGCTCGAGCCAGAATGGAATGCTCGGCCGGACGGAATCCGAAAAAATCTCCATAGCCTTTCCCTCAAGCTCCAGAGAGAAACGCTCCGATCACAATGCGAGAAAATCAAAGGCGGGAGACCCGGAGAGTCTTGCTAGCAGGCTAGGCGCGCTGCCCAGCTCTTCCAGAAATGGCAGGTCTCCTTCTCGTGACTCTCAGAGAAGATTCGAGGAACGGGGAACAAGAGATACCGAACATGGTGGAAGTAGACGGTCTGCTTCCTTCAAGGATAGCAGGAGTGATGGACGGCGGGGAAGTGTCAACTCAACGTATGGCTACTCTGAATCGGGTGCGTCACGCGACTATCGAGAAAATCGAGACCGAGACCGTAGGCATGAGTCGTCAAGCTACCGAGAAGATGACCGTATGAGGGATAGGAGATATTCACGAGAGAGTGATCGAGACAGAGGCCAGAGGGTCGAATTTGGAGATAGGGGACAGTATCGCAGCAGCGATCGGCATGGTGAGCGGCATCGGTATGGCGAGAGGGGCTGGGGTAAGGATAACAGGAGGGAAAAGGAAGATGAACGGAGACCGAGAGAAAGAGATGCTCGGGAGCGAGATAGCGAAAGAGGTGATGAGAGCAGAGGGAGTGGGAGGGAGAGGAGCAGGAGGGACAGCGTTCATAAGGAGCGAGCCCATGAGCGAGGAGATGGTCCTCCTCAGGGTGACCGGGGTCGCTCGGAAGAGCAGGGTCGAGGCGGGGACGAGGAGAAGCCGAGGGATCAACAAAGAGATCAGTCAAAAGATCGGCGAGATTCTCGCGGTTGGGGGCAGTCATCTCGCCATGGCGAGTCCGATCGAGAAGCCAGCCCCAGCAAGGAGCGCCGAGCTTCCCAATCCCATAAACCACCTTCACCTCCCTCGAATCGCTGGGTGGCGCGACAAAAAGCCGAAGACCCCTCGACTGACAAAATCAAGGCAACGGGTCTGCTGGCGAACGAAGAGTCACGCCCGAAGATCCATATTCCATTGACTGGCAACGCCTCTTCACAGCCCATCAAGATAATACGTCCTCCACCTTTTCACATTGAAGCGAAACTGTCACTACCCCGTCCTCCATCGCCCGGGCAACGTCCACCCACTCCTCCCCGTCCACCATCGTCTCCGCCGGCGACGCCGAAGCCGTCCATCCCTCTGGCAGGTGCTCCACCGACCCATCCCAAGACGCTTGTGCGTCCAGTGCGCCCTATACCTTCTGGCCCAGCGACGTTCTCTGGCCTACCAAATCATTGGCGCACCACGTCGCTTTCCAGCTCGACTCAGTCGCGTCCTGTGACGCCGCCTCTACCTCTTGTACCGAGTGTAGCTGCACCTCTGCCCCCTCCTCCAGCTGGATTTGTGCCTCCACCCGCTGCGCCTGTTGCAGCTGCCTCCGTGGCGCCATCGCTGACTGGCCAGGAAGGCGCGCCGCCTCCTCCATCGGAGGCTGCTCCACCTGTACCAGAAAAGTCTCCTTCCCCACCGCCGCCGCCTATAAAGATTCCATTTCAATCCTCTACGCTATCTGGGCTCACTTCTCTCAGCAGGGCGAACAATCCTGAGAAAAAGGCCAATGGGGGGAGCGAGATGCCACCATCTTTTCATTTCCGGCCCCTCCCGGAACCAGCGTTCCCAAAAGAGACGAGTTCTGAGGCTTCTAGCCCTGCCCCGGAGGTCCCGGCTCCCCGGCCTGCAGCGCTGGCTGAGAGAGCCCCAGAGGCACCTTGGGTCTGCCCTCCCTATGTTGCGCCTGCATGTGTCAAACACAGACCTGGGAAGGGCAACTTTCTCGTTTTCAAAGGCGCGGATGGCAAGGAACAAAAGCGACTTGACGGAATGATCGATGGCAAGGTGGTCGAGGTTGTAGACCCAAGGAAAGATCTGAGTAAAGAGCAGCTGGCCAGGGGCAGGGGCAGCGCAAAGCAGAGAGACGAATTTCACGAGGTCAATTTCCAGGCAAGTGATCTTCCATATGTGACTGCTGCAATGCTGACTGCTAGCAGTGGGATTCTAATTCTACCGGTCCGGCACCACCTCCCCCACCAGCCGCCGTGCTCATCACAGGCCTGAATCCCCTCACCACGGTCGACCAGATAACCAAATATCTCCGCCCCCATGGTCGTATCAAGGAGCTCGACTCCAAGGTAAACCCCAAGACTGGTATGCAGCTTGGCATGTGCTGGGTTAAATTCGACTCGCCGCCGTCGGGAAAGCCAGGTACCGCGAATGATGTAGCGAATTCGGTGGTGAAGATGTGCGATGGAAAGCGGATTAGCAACAACGGCAATGAAAAGATCAAGGTCGTCTTGGACGGGAGAGGATTGAGGACTGCAAAGGCGGTAAAGGAGGAGATGGAGAGACTGTATCCTCCCAAGAAGGCGGTTGATAAACCGCTGGAAGAAAAGAAGCCCACTCCCACCCCCGCAACAGCCCCCGCCTCGACCCCCACCCCTTCCTCCCAGGTCGCGTCTACCCCCGCTCGTCTGACGAGTGCGAATGGCGTAGGAACAGTTGGCAACCATACACCCGTCGCCTGCCCGGGACCTACCACAGCCCTGAATGGCAAAACTATCTACACCAAACCGCTCGGCCAGGGGTTCCAAGGGGGGTTTCAAGCTCAGCGGTTCGGGCCAAATGCGCCATCTAACAACCGGTTCAGCAATAATCAGTCTCAAAATCGTCCATTCGGTCACGCAAATCTCAGGCATTTAGGCCCCTATGCACCCGGTGGGGCAAAGAACCCTTTACCGAGGCCTCTTCAGCAACCTGTCCAACATCTAGAATCAAGCTTTACGAGCGCACCGTTCGAAAAGCATGGGGCCTCAGCAGACCGTGGGCGGGCGTTGAATGGCAGAAGTTCTCGCAATCGGTCGTTATCTTTGACCTCTTCCGAGTCGGATAGCGATGATGATCGGCGACCAGGGCGTAGAGGACTGTCGCCGTACGGACAGAGAAGAGTGTCCAAAAGCGGGCCGAGCCCGGAAGACGAAGAAAGACTGGCAAAGATTCGAGAGCAGATCAAGGAGAATGGGAAACCATATATCTTTGTCAACTCACAGGGCCTGCCAACGACGGCAAGCTATGAAGGCTTTCTCGGAGACCATTTCAAGCTCTTTAAACCTGCAAAGGTGAGACATTCACATCACATGTTGGAGTCAGCGCTGATAGATGTTTCCAGATTCTACGAGCTCATCTGGGATGGTATATCCTCTTTCCCAAAGACAATGCTGCTGCTCAGGCCAAACGCGTCCTCGACGGTACCCTTGTCCAAGGCCGTTCTATCAACCTCGCCGTCCAGACCTCCGGGCCCCGCGTCACCCAACCCCTCACTGCACCTGCCGACGCCCCTGATCGCATGTCCGCGCTTGCGTCCGCTCCCACAGGCGACCCAACTTGGAAGAAGATGACGATCGCCAAGAAGAACAGGCCTGCGGTGAGAAAGGTGGAGAAGGAGAGGCTGAAGCCGGTCAAGAAGCTGAGGCCGGTGGACTCGAGTAGTAGCGAGGATGAAGAGGCGCCCACGTCCGTGGCTGCTCTCAAGTCCAAGGTGAAGCGAGATGTCAACTACTCGAGCGACTCGTCAACGTCTGAAGACGATACGCCCAAAACTCGTGGCAAGCTATCGACCAAGTCTGTCGTCAAGGTGAAAAAGGAGTCAGAGCCAATTGTGGAAGACATACCGATAGGCGACGTGACATCCGCTGATGCGATCAAGCACTCTGCCAAGAGCCAGAAGCTGCGGATAGACTCGGAAGATGAGGATGATACCCCACTATCTACAAAGGTCGCTTCCAACAAGAAACGCCCTGCTCCCGCCAAAGGCAAGAAGGCCAACAAGAAGGCTCGTATTGAGCCCGATGGCGCCGAGTCAATGGATGTTGACATGCCCCCGCCGCCTCCGAAGAAGAAGAAGCCCACCAAGACCGAGGTGGACAAATTCATCTCCTCTGGCGCTCTTGAGGACGAAGAAGACGCTTACTGGCTTGGTCAAGTGCTGGCTGCGCAGGAAGAAGGGCTAGAGCCAGTCTTTTCTGATGACGAAGAAATCGGGGTGGAGGAGGATCATCCACTCTACCACAGATCGGGTTCATGGCGTGCTGAAGGATGGAAAAAGATCCCTCAGGTGCAAAAGTCTAGGTATCTGCCTCAACGGAACCGCGCGGCTGTGGCCAGTGAAGACAATAGTGTCACTACCGGCCGTACAGCTCGTCTTGCTGGCCGTGATCAACACCGACAAACAGCTGCTGTCGCTGCCAACCAGACTGTCGAAAGCGATCTCTTTGCCTTCAACCAGCTGCGTATCCGAAAGAAGCAACTGCGCTTTGCGAGGTCTGCTATCGAAGGCTATGGGCTGTATGCCATGGAGACGATCCACGTGGGCGAGATGGTCTGTGAATATGTGGGCGATCTTGTCAGGGCGACAGTGGCGGACGTGAGGGAGCAGGTGTATCTGAAACAGGGTATCGGATCGTCCTATCTGTTTAGGATTGACAACGACATTGTGTGTGACGCTACGTTCAAGGGGTCTGTCAGGTGAGTGCAAATCAGATCAGAATTGCAATGGAGACTGATCGTGCTCGCAGTCGTCTGATCAACCACTCGTGTGACCCTTCTGCGAATGCAAAGATCATCAAGGTCAATGGTCAATCCAAAGTGAGTCGCAGTCGAGACATGCGGTCTTCATACTGACCCGTGGTCGCAGATTGTCATCTACGCCGAGCGAACATTGTACCCGGGGGAAGAGGTGAGTCACTGACCATGCATGTTGAACGAGAAGGAGCGTATGCTGATCGGGCGAGTCAGATCTTGTATGATTACAAATTCCCCCTCGAGGATGATCCCGCTCTGAGAGTGCCTTGTCTGTGTGGTGCTGCAACTTGCCGGGGGTGGCTGAATTAGAGAGGGGGTGGGAGTGTATATACTGTCGAGAGTAGTCTGAATAGCATACAGTCAACCCCGTGTATCACCGTTCTGTGATCCTGGCAGGCGTATATGACAAAGCGGTATTTTATCTGATAAGGATTTGAGCCCTGACTCCCTGAGGTGGTTCGGCCGTGGTAAGCCGATCAGCACGGATGCTAATAGGGGCTAATGGGAGTATTAGAAAAGTGTAGTGGATGGCGCGCTGTTTCTCTCTTTCTGGCTGGTGATTCGCTTTCTCCCCGGCCGAGATCAGCAGCCCTCGCCACTCGCTGGTTACCCGCTATCAGATACAGAGAATTAGCCCCGCCCACTTTTTTCGCAACGTCCGTCGACCCATACTTTTATCTCCCCGCCGTGTCTACGTGTCCCCTCAACGCTACCCCTCTCCCCACTCGCCGGCCCCCTGGCCATGTCTGTAGCTGTCCCTACGCCCACACCGACAATCATGTCCAAGCCAGCAGCCCCCCGTCTCCAGTCCCGCCCATCCATCTCCTCTGCCACTTCTGCCAATCCATCTCGACCCATGGCCCCCAAGCCCTCCTCCCGCCCTCCTCTCAATCCCAACGCGAGTGCCAGCTCTTCCTCCAGGGTTGCCGTCAAATCTTCATCGGCCGCTGTGCCCGCCCCGGCCCCTAGGCCTGCCCCTGCTTCAAGGGCAAACGCTTCTGCCAGTGGGTCGGTCCCCATCGGAGTCAGTCCTGCTCCAGGCAAGGACACTTCGTCTTCAGCGGGCAAGATTTTTGCCAAGCCAAGCAAGGAGTGGGTGCTCCCCGAACGTGCCAAGCCTGGCAGAAAAGTCAGCATCGATGAGCCAGACAATGCAAGTCTTCCTTTTTTGTAGTATGCCATCGATTTTACTAACCATACCGTAGAAGCGTCAATCGCAAAACAGACTCTCGCAACGGGCACATCGTGCTCGACGTAGCGACTATATTCAGACTCTTGAAGAGCGTCTCCGCCAGTATGAAGCCGACGAAATCCACTCCAACGTCCGTCTTCAGGAGGTTGCTCGTGCACTCAAGGCAGACAATGAGCGCCTCAAGTCCGAGGTCAACGAACTCCACAGCAAGCACATGGAGGCGAGCAGCGAAAAGGAGATTTGGGAGATGGAGCGGAGGACGCTCAAGGAGGCGCTTCGGGATATGCGGACAGAGGTCGAGTCAGTGAGAGCCGGCAGAGGCATGGAGACGATTGTCAGGATGGACATTGATCAACACACCATCGATCGACTGGTACCAGGGCCTGCGCTCTCTCGGCCCCAGAGCAATGCCAACCAGCTCGCATCTGGTAGCTCCCACGATCACCGAGGTCTCCAAGACTGCCCCATCTGCCCCGACCCAGATCCCGATTGCGCTTGTCAGCAGCCGCACCATCACCAGCACCAGCAAAATTATCCCCCCGAGCACCTCACACTCGTCCCTTCTGCCGCTGACGATCACGCCGCTGCTTGCGGGTTTTGCCACTCCAATGACGAATGCCTCTGCCGGGCCGTCGAGGAAGATGTCAAGCCCGACATTTCTTCGCCAAGTCACGGTTTCCAGACCGAGGACGATGGATGCGGCCTCTGCACAGGTGGCGACTTTTGCGCTTGCAAGGAGGCTGCTGCTGCTGCTGCTTCAACAAACTACCTCATCGGCAGTAGCAAGTCTCCCAAGGACACATCGGCGGCTACGGGCGTCTTCAAGGCATCCACTACTGCGGCTGCAATGCCTCTTCGTCTGAGAGGCAAGGCGAGCGGCGCCTCGAAGGCCTCGGTTTGGTCCCTGAACCCTGTCCCGGAGTCTCCCCGCGAGGCGGTCTGCACCGGTGACCCTTCCAACTGCGATGCCTGTCGAGATGATTCTTTTGGTAAGCGGCACAACAATGTCTTCTGAATATTACTAACAATGCGACAGGTCGTGAATTCTGTCAACACTTGTTTGAGACTGGCAAGCACGATGACTGCACTCGCTGTAACAACCAGAAGGCCAAAAAATCTGGCCCCACCCTGCCTCCCTCCCCCGACATCACCCAGGCTTCCAACTCTTCCTCTGGACAAGGCCGTACCCCACCAACTCCCCCCAGCCATTCACACATGTCAATGATGAGCGATGTCACTCCACTCGCGCCGCTTCAGATGGCGTGCTGTGGAAACCCCGAGCTGTGTGGCGGATCGAGAAGCGGAGCGTGTACAGGAGATGTCATCGGGATAGGTGGACCGGGAGGAGCGTTGGGGATGTCCATGACGGAGCAGGAGATTCCAGAGGTGCGCCATGAGCCTCGGGCGGTGCATCACAACACGCTTCGGCCGGATCAGGTCTGGAAGCAGCTCAAGGTGAGTCTGCAGCTTGTTCGTTTAATCAAAGCTAACGTGTATAAGGCCCACCCCAACGCCAAGTTTGCTTCCCTTGCTCTTCTGGCTGATGTTGTCGCCCGTCGTACCAAGTGTCTTGACGGCAGCGATGATATGAGTCCTATGCCAGGCTCGCCGGCGCTTACGAATGGCACCCCCGGTCCTTCTGGCTCCTTCTCTCATCACGGCTCGCCCACCCCGCCCCTTTCCCGAGGCCCCATGCGCGGATCGCCCAGCGTCAGACCAAGCATGAGCCCAGCTCCCGGACCTGGCATGTCAGGATTGTCTGGTCTGCCGTCGCATATGAAGAAGAGGAACATAGAGGTAGAGACGAGTGCAGTGAGGGATGCGCTCAAGATGTTGGATGAAGCCACACCAGCGCCGTCGCCATCGCCTGAAAGGGAGCTCAAGAGACGGCGAATTTGAGGCTGTGGTCATTTCCTTTGTGTCATTGTTTTGGGCTCCTTTTTCAGAATCAGAGATACGTAGGAGTTTATTGTATAGTTCAAACGAAGTAAAAGACGCAATCGTCGTAAAAAATAGACGAACCATGATGGGTTTTCTGTTCGATGTACTGTAAGACAAGATCCTTTTCCACATATGCCATACTGTTTGATGGTCGTAGCATGTTCCATGTATCAGAACTAGAAACAAAACATCTGCATGATAAAACTGCTGTCTACAATTGTTGTACAAATCTGAAACCGTGTCAGTCGGCACATTTGCGTTTCGAAACGTCACTCACGTAGCATCAATTTGCTTGATTTGAGGCAACGCCAACATGATCTTGCGTCTATAACCACCTTGGTCGTTGCTTTGACAAGGGTTTCCTTCGAGATAGACGGTGGCGAGGTTCGTCAGGTGACGGAGTTGGGTATCCAGGGCGCGAAGGTTGGCAATCTTGTTGTTACTCGCCTGTTACCGCAAGTTAGTGTTGGCTTGACACGAGGCAGGGCGCTTACCCAGAACTCCTCGAGGTCTTGAAGATGAGAGATATTCTCAATCTCTTCAATGGCATTGTTGCCAACGTCGAGAGTGGTCAATTTGGTCTATCATTCGTGCATCAGCAAGTCGCCCTGAAGACATGTACCGAACGCACGTTGTGTTCGAGACCCTCAATCTTGGTCAGACCGTTGTGGGAGAGATACAGCTCTTCAAGGTTGACAAGGGCTTCAAGATTTTCGAGCTTGGTGATTCGGTTGGATTGTATAGACAAGATTTTGAGGTTGGAGAAAGTTGACAGGTTCTTTGGCCGAGCATGAGAAGATGCGCAAAGCCGGGACACATACAAGGACTCACATCAAGAGAACGAATCTTGTTCTTTCCCAACCAAAGCTCCTCCAGATGCACAAGTTTTTCCAGATTCTCAATCGCCCTGATCCTGTTTCCGCCCAGCTCGAGACTCTTCATAGTATCAGCGCACCAGTCGAGCTCGCCTTCCTCGACCCGGGAGATTTTGTTTTGGATAAGGTACAAGGTGTCGACCTTTTTGAGAGAGACGAGTTTGGGCGCGTGACGGAGATTGTTGAAACTGAAATCGACGGAACTGGAGACGACTTTCAGCAAAGCATAATAATGGGGTATAAGGAGCGTACGTGACGTTGGGTGCTCCCTTGAGCTCGTCATCGTGGACCACAGGCCCAAGACGGTTATCATAGAAATCAATTTCTTCCAGCTCGGTTAGGCCCTCAAAGGCCTCTGACGGGAGAGGCGAAGTGAGCTCGTTCTGTCTCAGACATAGCCTTGTGAGGTGCTTCCTGAATCTGGGAAAGTTCAAAGGTATGAGAGTAGGTGTTTTGAGACGGAGGTGGAGCAGATGCAGTTCCTTTAGCGGGGTGAGTCAGCGCGCAAAGCTTTGCCTCGAATTGCACCCACCTCTGTGTCTTCAGGATAGGACTTGAGAAAGTCTGGGTCGCCGCCCTCGCCATCATCCTCCTTGTCCCCGTCCTCATCGTCGTCTTCAGGCTCCGAGTCTGAGGCTGGAAGCTGGACGATTTCCATGGGGCCTAGCCTGGCTCGAGGCTTGGTGGATTTGGTGGAGGGTTCAGTGTCGGTCGGGGTGACATCTTGGGTGACATCGGCAGCTGCAGGGTCGCTGGCAGGAGCTGGATCAGACATGGCGGAAGATATAGGGGATGGAGAAGAAAGATGTGAATGTGGCATTGTATAGTCGATCGGGGCTCCGAGATGGCGGTCGCAGGGGGCTTGGGTGCGTGCGGAATCAAATATGTGAGTGTCTACCATGCTCACTTGCAATTTCCCCTGTACTTATAATCGCCCCTATCCGCAATGGCAGACCCCCCAGGGCCCAGCAACCGCCTCCCCTCCGCCATCTCTGCATCCCGCCCCACCCCGCCAGACACCCACCACCCAGTCATAGTCTCCCCCGAAAACAGGAATATCGTACAGCTCTCTCCTAGCAAGACCAGCGACCACGAAGATGAGGTCCACGACTATACCGAAGACGCCCCGCAGGCGATGGTGGACGCTGTCGCAATGGAGATAGCCAAGCACGAGCAGGAGGGACCACCCGAGATGATGGCAGGCAGCATGGCGAGCTGGGCAGGCGTCGACGATGGAGGTAGGTTGCTGCTCTATCCTGATTTCCGGAGTGGGTCTGACTTGATGTTCAGACGGAGGAATATTCCCATCGTCCATCACCCGCACGCACATGCGGACCGGCTCGAGGCGCGCATCAATTGCCTCCCGCCATTCGGTATCTTCCTTCGCTCGGCCGTCTGGCACATATAGGAGACAAGGGTCGTCCCAAATCGACCTCATTCGCTCATCCGGATCTCAAGTATTCGCACTAGACAACGACGAGAATGAAGGGGCCGGAGAAGAAGAGCACGCAGCTCATCGATACATTCCGAGCCACCGAGAGTCGAGAAGAGGGAGGGCTGGCTCTGAAGCGCAGCCTGGGAGCTACTTTTCCTATCGGGCCTACGAGAGAGAGCCAAATGACGACTACAGCACCTCTCCAGAGGCTGAACGCTTTTCTCCGACTTCAGCAAGCCCGACCCAGCCATCGACGGCTTTGGGTAGGATCGCGTCCTTTATGGGATTTGCTCGACCCGAGGCAGATGACGAGGAAGCTCTCTATGGCGATGGTCATTCGTATCGTCCATCACATCCTCGCTCACGGTCGCGGCGTGGCTCTACAGAGTCTAGAGCATACTCCTATCAGCAATCCATGAGCCCCACCGGCAGCGATGATGAATGGGGATACGGTGATCAGGATATGGACTATGATGAGGAAGATGATTATCATTCTTCGCTTGCCGACGACACATCACTACCTCCTCAATCTCGTCCCGGGTCTCCGTCCATTCCGCTTGTGCCGTCTGCAACAGACGGCATCTTTGGTGAACCACACGCTGGGCCGTACGAGGACCAGGAACCTCGGGACTTTGTCAGTGTGGCAGTCCCCTCCCGGCAAACTGTGGTACTTCCCGACGAAGATCTATCCATCCGATTCACATGCTACAGGACAGATCGGCTTTGGAACGTCATCTGGCTCATTGGCTGTGTCCTTTCCTTGGGAGCACTTGGTCTATTTGGGAGGTGGGTGCCGAAAATTTGGGTTCAATTTGTCGGTAAAGAGGTGGCATTTGACGAGGCACCCGAGGGCAGCTGGCTTGTTGTCGAAGTGGGCCTGATTTCTTTCATGTATATGGGATATACTGACAAACTTTCAGACACCTTATGGCGATCTTCATATCATCTCACTAGACATCATTGCCTACCCGTATCCCCTATCGACTGTCTTTCCTCAATCTATTCCGCCCGTCATGGTTTCTCCATCCAGCACCTCTCACTCTCCTTCGAGCTCTAGTACCCCTGTTCAAGCTGTCCACTCGTTCAACAACGAGCCTGCTGGCGGCCATGGCGGCGCTAAAGACCTCATGCCAGACCTCGAACCTGGAAAGCAAGTCTGGGAAGAGACTACGGGCTTGTTAAAGGTCATGGAATACAGGTACACCAAGTTTGCTTTGGATCCTACTACCGGGAGATGGACTATGATCAGGGACTGGAGGGACCCGAGATGGACTTCCAGCAGGGCTGTGGCGCAGGGACTTACTAGCTTGGTCAAGGAGCAAAGGTTGGCTCTGATGGGCGAAAACATGATTGACATTGCTTCCAAATCCGTTGTTGGTCTTCTCGTTGACGAAGTGAGTCCTCGAAATAGTCCTAGAAGACGTCCACTGACAACGCGCAGGTCCTCCACCCATTCTATGTCTTCCAAATTGCTTCCATCATCCTTTGGTCCTTGGATGATTACTACTACTACGCTTTCGCCATCGCACTCATTAGTGTCACCAGCATCATGTCCACTTTGATGGAGACCAAGCGGACCATCGAGCGCATGCGCGAAATGTCCCGGTTCCACTGCGATGTCAAAGTACTCGTCGACGGAGAGTGGCAGATCGTAGACTGTGCCCAACTCGTACCCGGTGACATCTTTGATTCCTCCGACCCCAATCTCGGTGTTTTCCCCTGTGACGCTCTGTTGCTGTCGGGAGATGCTATCGTCAACGAATCGATGCTTACTGGTGAATCTGTTCCTGTAAGCAAGATCCCAGCAAAAGACGAGACTCTCCGAGCCCTCTCGAGAGAGACCAAACACGGCTCATCAGAGATTGACGCCGATCTGGCCAAGCACTACCTGTTCTCTGGAACCAAAATCATCCGAGTCAGAGCAGGCGCCAAACCTGCTTGGGCTCCCGCAAGCGAGGCACCTGTTGCTTTAGCCATGGTCACGCGCACAGGATTCAACACCACCAAAGGTGCCCTTGTGCGATCCATGCTCTTCCCCAAACCGATGGGCTTCAAGTTCTATCGGGATTCGATGAACTTTATCGGTGTATTGACGATCATTGCTGGGCTGGGCTTTGCCGTCTCGGCAGTCCAGTTCGTCAGAATTGGTATCGCTTGGCATACAATCATGCTGCGAGCTCTGGATCTTATCACTATTGTCGTCCCTCCTGCTCTTCCTGCAACTCTGACTATCGGTACGACATTTGCCATCGATAGGTTGCGAAAGAGTGGCATCTTCTGCATCTCTCCGAACCGAGTCAACATCGGAGGCAAGGTCAATGTCGTCTGCTTTGACAAGACCGGCACCCTCACAGAAGATGGTCTTGACGTTCTCGGTGCGCGTACTATCGATAAGCCTGACCGACGGTTCTCCGAGCTCCACTCTGACATTACCGACCTCCCCATCGAAGGCGGAATCCATGGCAATACCCCTCTCCTCTATGCTCTCGCTACTTGCCATGCGTTAAAGTTGATTGATGGCGAAATCATGGGCGATCCGCTTGATATCAAAATGTTTGAGTACACCGGTTGGACCTTGGACGAGGGGCAGTCGAGGCCTGTCACCAAAGGAAGCGCGGGAGGTGTCAGGCCTCAGGCCTTGGTACAGACTGTTGTGAGGCCGCCGGGTACCGATAAGTGGAGGATGGAGGATGCTTTGAAACAAGGATCAAAGGTGAGCGAAGATTCCCAGCTGGAGACGAGGGGCTGACATATGTTTCTAGCATGCGCACTTCCTGGAGATCGGTGTCATTAGAACATTGGATTTCGTCTCTGCTCTGCGAAGGATGAGTGTCATTGTCAAGAGGCTTAGATCGACAAGTATGGAGATCTACGTGAAGGGCGCGCCCGAAGTGATGCCTGACATCTGTGACCCGGCTTCTTGTCAGTACTTTGGTTTGTCTGTGGTATATGTGCTCATATGTGTCGGCAGTCCCCATCGACTATGAAGACATGCTGTCTTACTATACCAGAAACGGTTATCGTGTCATCGCCATCGCAGGAAAGTCTATCGAGGGCATGACCTGGCTCAAGGCCCAGCGAATGAGACGGTAAGTCCAGATATCCCCGTTGCAGAATTTTGCTCATGACAAACGTAGTGAGGCTGCCGAGTCCGACTTGCAGTTCCTTGGTTTCATCGTTTTCGAAAACAAGCTGAAAGCTGGAACCACCCCCAACATTCACACCCTCCGTGCTGCCCATCTCGCATGCCGTATGGTTACCGGCGACAACGTCCGTACTGCCATTTCGGTCGCTCGAGAATGCGGTCTCGTCTCGCACTCTGCCAGCGTGTACATTCCCACATTTGTCCCTGGCACCGGAAACGCCGAGGATGCCAGGATCGATTGGACGAGTGTAGACGATGATAAGCTACAGTTGGACGAGTGGTCGTTGAAACCCTTGACGAATCAGGTCGGCGTAGCAATGGACACGGCGGAAGCTGAGATGCACGACTATCAACTGGCGGTGACTGGTGACGTCTTCAAGTGGATGCTGGAATATGCCGAGTTTGAAACAATGGAAAGAGTGAGTGCGAGTGGTGACTGACGACCATGAAGCTGACAGACATTTAGATGCTGGTGAAGGGCGTCATCTTTGCTCGAATGTCTCCTGATGAAAAGGCTGAATTGGTGGAACGTCTTCAAGCACTCGGTTATACTGTGGCCTTCTGCGGAGACGGCGCCAATGACTGCGGTGCCCTCAAAGCAGCCGATGTCGGCGTATCTCTGTCGGAAGCAGAAGCGTCCGTTGCTGCTCCCTTTACGAGTCGGATCCCCGATATCAGTTGCATGGTCGAGATCATCAAGGAGGGTAGGGCGGCTTTGGTCACGAGTTTCAGCTGCTTCAAGTACATGTGAGTGATGCGGGTGGGATCGAAGATGTATACTGATGCGATATCAAGGGCGCTATACTCTATGATCCAATTTGCTACAGTCACTCTTGTAAGTTGATTCGTCTCATGCGGGCGATGTGTGCTCATATCATGACAGCTGTACTCGTTTGCGTCAAGTCTGGGAGACTTCCAGTTCCTCTACATCGATCTCTTCATCATCATTCCGGTCGCGGTTGCTAGTGATTAAATTCGCAAGCTCATGGATCCTTGAGCTGACACCCCTTACAGTGGGACGAACCCTGCCCTTCCCCAAGATACACCCGAAGAGGCCGACAGCGAGTCTTGTCTCTCGAAAGGTCTTAATCAGTATAATCGGCCAGATCGTCATCAACGCTGCTGTCCAGGTAGTCGTCTTCGTCTGGGTCAGGAGACAGCCATGGTGAATTCCCCGGTATGCTCAACGGGATCCCGCTAATATGGAGCCTAGGTACACGAAACCCGACACCAACGTGGACAAGCTGGAAACAATCAACTATGAAAACTCGGCATTGTTCCTTGTATCTTGCTTCCAGTATATCTTGGTCGCCGGTGTCTTCAGTGTTGGCCCCCCATATCGCAAACCACTCTGGACTAATCGTGAGTGTCAGCCATACTGGCGGCTGTACTCTATGCTGACACGGCTGTGTAGCTTCTCTCGTATCCTGCCTTGTCGCCCTCGGTGCCTTCAGTACCTATATTGTCCTCTCTCCCGCCAAATCTATAGCTGTCATACTCGATCTCATGTCTCTCAAGTTTGGATTCAAGCTACAACTATTGGGAATTGCTGGTATCAACATTATCGCCAGTTTCGCTTTTGAGCGGTTTGGAGAACGACCGATCTCGAGGCTGATAGTCGGAGTAAAGAGGTGGATGTGGAGGAGAGGTAGGAGAAGGGAGTATAGGCCGATAGAGAGAGAGGTCAGATAGAAATCTATAAACAGCATCTTGAAGCATACTTATTGTACCCCGATGAACAGCATTGAACCAGTGAAAAAAGGCTGTGCCGTCTTGAACAGCTCGGCCTTCCGGCTACGTACAGCCGCCCAGCTGCTCAACCTGGATTGAGTCAATTCCATGCGGGTTTTGCAAGACATGCGAGAGTGATGACTCGCCCCGGTAATACCAACTCGTAGCCGAAGATACAGGAGTGCGGGAAGTGGAAAGAAGTTCAGATACTTCGACTCATACTTCGACTCATACTTCGACTCATACTTCGACTCGCACATACGCGTCCGTCATGGCATCTGAATCCGCCTATTTATGAAGACCTTTTTCATCATCCCGCAAATTGTCTCCTACTTTCTTCCTACTTTGCACTCTCCCCTCAAAACCTGCAGACCACTCGCAATGTCCTCTGGGCAAGCAGAACAGCAACTCGCAAAGAAGCAGTTCAGAGACTGGTCGTTGCCACCCGCCTTCTTGGCACGCCTGAAGGCTTCTCCAGAGGCGGTACTTGATGAATTGGTCCCTCTCAAGCCCATCGAGTCTCAGAAAAAGGAAACACTCAATGAGGCTACCCAATCGCACCCTTTCATCGACGCCATGAAGTCGGCTGGGGACGTTAGGACGGAGAAGGGTGCTCTTGCTCACCAGTCTACGGATGCGCCGCTCGTTGACCTTTTCATTGATCTTGCCCCCGGCGTTGGGGCGGAACACCTTTTCAATCTCCTAAAGGCTGCTTGGAAGGATGATGCATTGTCGTGAGTAGTCATGGATCTTCCCGCTGGTTCTACGAGCTGACTTTGCCGCTAGGACTTTGAAGATAGTTTTCCACTCTCGGTCTATCCATGAGGGCAAGGGGTACAAGGATGGTTTCTTCCGCGCTGTAGCCTGGGTATGGGAGTACCACCCCCGGACATTACTTGAAAAGTAAGCATCCTGTATGACTCCCAGCACCCGTACTCACTTCTGTAGCCTTCACCTCCTCGTCAATCCTACTTGTCCTCCCACTCTCAACGAGAAACGAAACTCCACCAAGCGTCAGAAGACGGAAGAGGAGGAGCTGAACAAGGGTAATGTGGTAGCATTGGATGATGAAGGAGACGTCGACCTTGGCAAGCCACCGGTGGAGTATTCCAGCCGTCCCCATGGCACATTCGATGAGTGAGTCTTGCCCCTGAGCTGTGAACGAATGACTGACTCGTCTTGCCAGTCTTCTTGACTTGCTTGTCCTTCATATCAACGGTCAGCTTGACACTTCCTACACCAAATCGCTCAACGCCGTCGACGAAGGCCTCGCTCCTGCCAAAGCCGGGCATACCTTCAAGAAGGCCCGTCTGAGCGCCAAGGCAGAAAAGACCGAGAAGCGCGATCGAAGTGGCTTCAAACGGATATCTGGGGAAGCCAAGAAGCTGGAAAAGTCTGATGACAGTACTAGTGGCGCTGCCGAGAAAGAGTTTCGGGTCAAGCTCTTGACAGCTCCTGATAGTGAGTCGCAGGGCCGATGACTGGAGCGTGGACTGACAAAATGCAGTGACCCAGAAGCACTATCTGCTGGCCGAACGTCTTACATCAGCTTTGGAGGAGGATGAAAAGTTCCAAGCTCTCTACATCACGGTCGCTCACATCTTCCACAAGTATCTCAAGGCCGACCTTCAGTTGCTTGACCAGCACAGAGAGGCGCTCCGAGCACCAACCGAAAAGACCAGATACTCTCCTCACTTGCTCAAGTTGTCTTTTGCTGCCAAATGGGCTCCAACGCCGGGCAAGTCAGCAGACAAGACGCTTCACATCGCAACTGGTCTTTCGGCTCTTCTCTTCCCCAGTTTCGATGGTCATTGGGCGAGGCAGAAGCTTCAGAAAGAGGTATTGACACCATTGAGAGAGGCATTGGCGGTGCCCGAGGTTGCTATGTCCAATAAGTCTTGGAAGATCGACTACACAAAGGTATACACCTCCCTCCATACCGATGACCATTGCTGATAGTCGCTTAGGTCCCATCGCGAGCCATGAGTCGCAATGCTCAGAGTTTCGCGGACAACGATCCCAAGGGTTTCCGAGCCTACATTGAGAAGGTCGCCTCGGGGTGAGTCCTCCCGTTTATCATACATGAATCATACTGACCGATTGATCAGACGGACTACGATATCGGGTGCTAGCATGATGCCCCATGAGCTTTTGCTCAACGGTCAGTCTTCTTTGGATTGGCTCCTGTCAGACATATATTGACTTTCCTTCTAGTGCTCGCCGATGACAACAAGTCGGTCATATTGAAGCAGCTTGCAGGCCTCCAGTGGGCTACACTCGTCGAATCCATTCGTTCTAGCTCCAGCAGTGCTCTCTCAAACTGCATCGCCATCGCCGACGTATCCGGTTCTATGGGCTCAATAGAATACAACATGGGCAGTGCCAAGGCTCCCCAACCCATACTTCCCTGTATCGCCCTCACTCTTCTCCTTTCAGAGCTTTCGGAAGCGCCATGGAAAAGTCACTTCTTTACGTTCTCCGAGGACCCAAAGTTTGAATATATTGACGCAGCCCTTCCCCTCGCCGAACGCGCGGCGAAACTGAACCGCTCAAACTGGGGCATGTCTACTCAATTCGCCAAGACGTACGAGCTCATCCTCCAAAACGCCAAGAGGGAAAATCTCGCGCCAAAAAAAATGGTCAAGAAGCTCTTTGTCTTTTCAGACATGCAGTTTGATATTGCTGGGAGGGCTAGCTATGGCGAGACGGAACATCAGGCGATGAGGCGGCGTTTCAAGGAAGAGGGGTATAAGATTCCAGAGTTAGTTTACTGGAACCTAGCTTCCCGGGAGAAGGGGACGCTGAAGCCTGCCAAGTCGAATGTCGAAGGGGTGACGCTCGTCTCTGGTTTCTCTGGTGCGCTCATGAAGTTTTTCCTTGGCGAGGAGGCGGTGGATGAAGATGTCGAGGATGAGGACGATGAGCTTCAAGGGTCATTTGAAGCAGTCAAGATTGGAGAGCATGACGAGGGGGGCAATGGTACGGTCAAAGATGGAGAGAAGAAGAAGATAAAGGCCAACCCTTTGGACCAAGTTCGCAAGGCTATTGGCATCGAGCCATTTGCCGGGCTGAAGGTGATTGATTGATTGTTCAGACCCATGCAAACATGTTGTATCCTGTATTTACATATAATCAGCAGACCACCGGCTGTGACCAGTACTATGTATCGTCAAGAGAGCCGTGATGTGGGCGTGAGTCGAGACTACATACGGTACATACATCCAACTCGAGGTCAAGGGTCTTTCAACTTTGGTAAAAGCAAGGTTGTCGCGATGACGTTGACCAGCTCAGGGAATTTTCTCCGCGGGCGTCGGGGGCCGGCTACGTAGTGGGGGGGTCTCTATTTGCCCTTTGTCTGCCCCAGCTTTCCCCCCCGTATGTATTCGAATCATGAACGTTGTTGTGACCGAGGTTTGCGGGCTGTACGTTTTAGACATCAGCTGCCTGTAGCTGTGCTTCGGGGGGGCTGCTCATACGTCAAGGGTACGAGAGCCCTTGTTGGGGTATCGTACATTTCTTGGGGCCATCAGTCCTCTGCCCACAGCGTAGGCCGCCGCCGTAGAGTATCGAGACCAGGCTTTGGAACAGAGGTGCTCGAGGCCATACCCCGAACAAGCTGGGCCCGAGTTGGACCGTTCAGGGAATGGTCGATTGGAATCGGAGGGTACAAACCGGTGCAAATTGCGGAATGTAGCTGCCATCTGCCGGTAATTTTCCCAACCTGGCAGGACCTTTCATGCACACGCCCTCGCTGCCCTATGCATGCAATTTGGACTGGACTGTTCCCCTTTCCTCTCGATGGCGTGGAGGTGAGCCAGCAAATAGCCGAGGAGGGCAGGGTCGTATAGAGTTGCTTGTTTGCATTTTTGCTGCACAGCAGGTCACGCGCAATTTCGCTCCACCTGGGCCAAGAGCCAGCCGTAATGTCCCGCCATGCATCTCTATCTTCTCCCTCTGTTCTATACACTGCATCCACCCCTCCCACCCCCAGCCACAGCCACAGCCACGCTTACGGAACTGCCCTGGCACAACAAGAAGCATCGCAGGAACGCGTCCCAGAGCCTGGACCAGCCAGTGCGTGCACCTCTCACTGTACTGCTTTTGTCTTTTTTATTTCTATCTCTTTTCACGTCTGTCTGTTCTTTTTTCAACTGCCCCGCCTGGCCCCTTCTCTGCACCGCGCAACCCAGAGCTGACCCGCCTCAGCCCCGCCCCGCGCACACTCATTCACCAGCTTACGGCACTCCACTTGCCGCCTCGAAGGATTCGAAACAAGCGTTCGAGCGTCATCTCGCAGTCTAGACGCCCCGCCTACGCCTCCATACTCCCTTGTCTGGATCTCCTGGAGTCTCCTCGGCTTCGATCACAGCGCAGAGTCGAGGCCCGCCCACGAAATCCCGTAGCGCGTAGTCCCGGTAAAAGGCTGTAGCCTCTGAGCATTCTTGCCTGTCAGTATTCTCGCCTGCGTTGGAGAGAAAGCGCTGATCACATTCATCTCTCTTCAGTCAATCTATCAACTGTACACACTTGGTGTCCATATCTACCCTCACGACTTCGACGATCAGCTCCGCTCATTCACGCCTTCCGTGCTCTGAGTGTACACTCTGCAGTGCACGTGCTACAATCTCTTATCTTGCATTGACGTGAGGGGGAGTCTCCAGCTATATAGTATCGGTCTGACTCTCTGCTAGCCATACCTAAGTACCGCACCATGTCCATTCCCGACAATCCCTTCCAGCCGCCCACAAATCCCAATCTTCCCGCGCTCCAAGTTGAGCCTGCAGATCACAGCGAGCAGGGCAGTCCTATCCACACCTCTAGTGGCTCAGACTCTCCCACTCGTCTCCGCACCTCTCCCGGGGCTGGTGCCGCCTCCCCACTGCCTTCTTTCGGGGGCTTGCAGCCGCCTCCCCCTGCTGTAGCGAGGACACCACGACGTGTGCAATGGACCTCCGACTCCCACATTGTTCAAATGCCGACCGACCCGAACAACCCCTCTCCCCAGGCAGCAGACCCGCAAACACTAGACTCGACCAATATCGACTCGCTCCATGATGCGCTTGAGCGCCACCGATCTGGTGTTAGTGGCCTTGCTGCCTCGCGCCGTGGTAGACCCGGCAGTCAGCTCAGCAGGCAGAGCAGTGCGAGTGATACTCTTACTCATCACGACGAAGAAGATTACGATTACCGTACCGACATCGATCCTCCTGAGCGTCCAGAGATAGAGAGAGAGGGGAGTGATCAGACGGACTACGAAAACAACTTGCTCGATAATGGCATGCGCGAGCATCTCTCTCATGCGCAATACATTGCCCCAGGAGAGACTGACGGTCTCCCCAGCATTCCCCAACAGTCGGCCAATCCCGGTGAGACAGACGCGGCTCGGGATCTGGTGCGAGCGCATACCGGCAAGTGGGGTGTTTTGAGAAGGCGAGTGAGGGGTGCAGGTGGTGTGAAGGCTGCGCTGGGCAGTCATCATGGCGAGCGAAGGGAGGGAGGGGAGGGAGGGGATGCGGAAAAGCAAGGTGAAGAGGGAAGGGCTTCGCAAGATGCGTTCGCTGCGAGATATCCCGAGCCCAGGCGTCCTTCGACCGTAGGGTTGGGTATGAGCGGAGTCCCCCAAGGAACCTCGGTACTCTCATCCCTTCTTGCGCTTTATGGACAACAGCCAGGCAGTGGTGGCCAGTCTGGCAACACGTCCGCCGCCAGCTCTCGTCGAGGGTCAGATGATGACCTGTCTGAAGACGACCGCAGGTCCAACCAAGGCAGGCATGACTGGAGGAACATTACAAGGCGACCCACCGCGGAAGAAGAAGGTCCTCAGGAAGTCCAGATCCACGACGAGTCTCATCCCGCCAATGTCGCGGCCGGCATCGAGCAGCCCATGTCTCCTACTTCGCCCACTTCGCCCATGAGCGGTGGAGACGATGCCTATATCCGACCGGACGGCACCCCGGCTTCTCCCGGTTTCAAAGGTTTCTTCAAGCGAGCCAAGGACCAAATCCAGTACACTCGTCCCGACGCTGCTCGTAACGGTGCAGGAGTGTTCGGTGCTCTCATTCAGAACACTCAAAACTTGTCTGGCGCTGCTACACCAGCGGCTTCTACTTTGGCGCCAGCTGCGAAGCGACCGGGCTACCAGCTTAGCAGATACTCTTTGCCTGACGCTAACGCCGTGCCAAAGGGCCCGTGGCGTCCACCTTCTCGACCGAGCTCGAGAGCCGGTTCTCGTCCCGCTTCTGTTCATACTTCTGCCTCTCGCGACGGAGATTCTCTCAGAGAAAACAACACCGAACAGGGTAACGACTTTGGGCACAAGAAGGCTGTGTCGAGCGACGACATTATGAGTATGCGCCAGGGCAACGAAAGTGCCGTGTCGCTCAAGAAGAAGCGCCCAAAGTCTGGTCTGCACCTTGACCAACTCGCGCACCTTCCTGTTGCCGCTGTAAGGGGCGGTGTCAAGGGTGGCGGCAAGGCTATCAAGAGCGCAGACAAGTGGTTGCTGGGCGGCAAGTCGCCTTTGAGTGGCTTGACCCCTGATGAGAAGGGCGGCCATGATTACTTTAGTCGACCATTGACCGAGGAGGAAAGGAAGAGGAAGGATTGGGAGGCAGAGAAGAAGAAGAGGAAGAAGGCTAGGGACGCGAGGAAGAAGCAAGAGATCTTCGTATGTTTTTGAGTGTGCATCAAGGAGCCCGTGCTGACAAGGGGTAGATCATCCAACACGTTGCCGCTATTCTGTCCAGGCAGCAGTTCTTGCTCAAGCTCGCTCGTGCTTTGATGATGTGAGTATCAATCCAGCTTGTGACGATCATTGCTGATTTTTATCTTTTCTAGGTTCGGTTCACCTTCTCATCGTCTCGAGACTCAGATCCAAGCCACGGCCAAGGTCCTTGAACTTAACTGTCAAGTCGTCTACCTTCCAGGTACCATGTTGGTCTCTTTCGGTGACGATGCTACCCACACCTCCGAGACCAAGTTCTTGAAGCAGACCACTGGTCTCGACTTGGGCAAACTTCAAGCTACTCATCACCTCTACTGGAACGTCGTACATGACAAGATGTCTGTCGAGCAGGCTAGCAAAGATCTCGATGTCCTCATGACTTCCCCCGTGTACTACACTTGGTGGCAGACTCTGATCATTGGTGGTCTCTGTTCTGCCTTCATTTGCGTCATGGCTTTCTACGGGTAAGCATCTTGGCTCCCGTGCAGCATGTAATCTAACCACGCCACAGCTCTTTCGTCGACGCCCTCATGTCTATCCCACTCGGTGTCCTCCTTGTCGGTGTTCAGATGCTCGCGGCCCGAAACGACATGTTCTCCAACGTCTTTGAAATCACCATCGCCACCGTTATCTCGTTCATATCAGCTGCTCTGGCGTCGAGTGGAGTGTTCTGTTACACTGCGCTAGTCAGTGGTGGTGTCGTGCTGATCTTGCCGGGCTACATCGTCTTGTCTGGTGCTTTGGAGTTGGCCTCCAGGAACATCACAGCCGGTGCCGTGCGAATTGGATACAGTGTCATCTACTCGCTGTTCTTGGGTTTCGGCATCTCCATGGGTGCTGTGCTGTATTCCAAGATCACATCGCAGGATGTAAGTACTTGCAAAGGCAATGGTATGGGACGCTCATGGTTCGGCTCTAGGTGCTCAATGCTAGTGACTACACATGTGGCAACACGCACAATTATCACGCCTGGTATCAGGTCACGCCTTCCGCTTATTGGTGTAAGTATCTATGCGGCGGAAAATAGGTACATGCTGATTCACAGAATAGATTTCCTTTGTGCTCCTGGATTCTCGGCTGGTCTTTCCCTCAGAAATCAGCAACCCCTGTGGGCCAAGGAGTTCGTGAGTCATTTCCGGCTCAGTCCAATGCTTGTCCTGACCATTCTCTAGCCTGTCATGGTCTTGATCTCGTGTGCTGGCTGGACCAGTAATCACTTTGCGTCCTTCGCTTTCAGTGGCCGATCCGATTTGACCTCGGCCATTGGCAGTTTCGTTGTCGGTACATTGGGAAGCATCTACGGCCGTTTCTCCAATGGTTCGTCGTTCCCTGTCACTGTCCCCGGTATCCTCATTCAACTGCCGTCTGGTCTTTCCAACGGTGGTATCTTCAACTTTGCCTCCGAGTCTTCCAGCGGCTCCAGTGCCGCCTACAGTGATGGATTCTCTGTGGCCGAGCAACTTGTAGCTGTCGCTATTGGGTTGACGTGAGTTCAGTCTTTTCCGTAATGTATGGCCTGCTGACGACGACTTTAGTGTCGGTCTTTTCGTCAGCGCTGCTATGTGCCATCCCTTCGGTGGTGGTAGGAGAAGAGGAGCTGGTATCTTCTCCTTCTAAGCATTTCATCCTCGATACCTTCTCTCACTCGTGGACATTGCACTGTCCCCTCCAGCCATGCCTTTGGCCGGCATCATGTACATACAGTAGATAGATTCTAGATGTGGGCCCCTGTGTAGCTACAATTTCTTTGATCAACACTATCACGACTCCTGCTATGCTTTTCTATACTTCATTCATTGAACAGCTCTTGCACCACGTATTCGGAGATCCACCCATGATTTCGCTGTTGAAGCCATGGATCACTCTTACGAGTTATAGACACAGCGATGGGTCATGATAGCGTATGTAGAGCCATTGCACATTGAAGGTTCTTCGTAGGACATGATATAATTGCTTGTCCATAGATTGCTTCAAAGTCGCTGACAAGTAGGAACATGACACTACAAGCGGCGCCCGAGATACTTGAGATACTGTACATACAATATTCGGGACCGCACGCGATATCGTGATGAATGGCCCTATAAGACCCCGAATGTACAAGTACAAATCTATCTTGCGCCCCTAAAGAGAAAGGAAACGGGAAAAAGGAAACCCTCTGAAGAATGAAAGAAAGGAACAAGACAAAAAGACCCTCTAAGCTAGACTGGGTATGTCAGAGTCGTGGGAACGATGACCAGTCCATCCTCTCGAACGAGGAACACGGGTGTCTTGCGGTCCAATGCAACCTGCGGCTCGGCTGCTGCCATGACTTCCGAGCTGGAAATGCTCGTCAGTGTCGGGTGTTCGAACAACACGGACAACGTACCATCGAACTTCGGTATGAGTTGAGGGGACTTCGCCATAATACACCAGATGCTTTGCACCCCCGCCCTTGTTTTTGGCGAAATTCTTTCCGTATCTACGAGTTTTGAATGAAATTAGCCCTTGATTCTTGCGTTACATCCTTGAACTTGATTTACATGGTGACGAGGGGAGTGTTGGAAACGGAGGTGTAGTGATGCGCATACTCTTTCGGCGTCTCGGCGCTGAGGTTGGACGGTAACAGTCGATGAGCCACAGGGAAGGGTGCGACGGGTTCAAAGGTTTCGTAAGAGGTCATGGGTGGTGTGTAGAATGTGTATGACGCTTGTTCCACGCCGATGATACTCCTGCGAACGGATATCAGTAACAGAATAAGAGCCTAAAAGGGACCCACCAAACAGCATTGTCTCCCACAGGCATCGTCCAAAACATCCTTGGTGAATGATCCTCTTGCGCACTCATGGCCTCGGCCATCGTCGGCAGGTACTCGTAAGAACCTGATCCTGCGGAATCCACCGACGGCCTCTTCCTATGCATCGGCCTCGCCAAGGGCCCCTTCCCCACAGACGCTGTCCTCTGTCTCCTAACAGGCCCGCCATCCGTAGAAGGCAAAGGCACCTCTCCACTCCCGGGAGACATCAGAGGGTGTGCATGTCCCGATGATCTTTGGGCTTGATGGCCGAAGTAGTCGAGCGAGGATGAAGAGCTCACGGGGCTTGAGGGTGTAGAGGGGAGCTTGGCGCTATTGTTGGTGTGAGGTGTCATGGGAAGGACTCCGAAACGTTGTTGAGGAGTGTTGGGAACACTGCTGGCTTTGGAACCATTCTTGCTCGCAGCCGTGACGGGGACGGTGGCCCACCGTCTTTCAGCTTTGACATTATGCTGCTTGACAGAGTCGTGCACGCAGGACAGCCACTGTCCTCCATATTTGGAGTCCCTCTGGAACCTTTCCGACGTGGAGGGATCATATATCTCAAAAGCAACCTTTTGCAGTTGCGACACGAGATCGCTACCAAGCTCCCCAGGCGGGAAAACCGCATGCCCATCCTGATGGATACCGTCCATGCCTACCGCATCTGCGTCCGACTCTATACGTCGGATCACCAGAGTTGGAGATATAGCTCCCGTTTGCAAAGACTGCAGCACTACAGTCGAGTTGTATCGGATAGCAGGGTGCAAAATGGTGGTCGGAATTGTGTTTGCGGGCGGACTCGGCCACCCTGGGCTCGGAGGCCGTCTTCCACTAGGCCCTGATGGCAAGGAAGGGTCGACGAGCCAGATGATCCACGACTCCCAGATGACACTGTCGACCGTGAAACCTGGAACACCGTCATGGGCGTGCGAGCGCGAGGGTGGTTTCGCGCCAGGGACTGGTCGGCCGTCAGATCCGGGCATGCAAGTAAAGTCGGGAGTGACGGAGAGGTAGCGGGTGGAGGTAGTCTGTGATTTCATCCGGTTGAACAAGGCGATAGTTGTGCCGTGGTTAATAATGACTAGCGCATGGTCAGCGACTGGCAAGCTCTTAGGAATAGACTCACATTCGCTGCTTTTCGCCGTAGACCTTTTCTTACTCGGCTTGCTAATGATCTTGATATCTTTACTCTCAAAAACTCCAATCACATTTTCCCCTGCCCCTTCCTTGCCCCCCTTCTGGCCCCACCCATTGGCCCCGTATCGACCAATCGGTGCTCTCACCGTGACCAGCGCTCTCACATCCTTCCTCTTTGGATCTTGATCACTTATATGTAAATTCTTTCCCGCCACACATCCCAAAAACGGTCTATCATCCGGCCCCATGCCGTTTGTATTGATCTTTTCGTCGATATTGAAGCCGTCCAGATCTGTCCAGCTGATAGCGGCGTCCTTGACTGGTATCTCAGCCGTGAGACTGATATTGACACGAGGCGGTTGGAAAGGAGAGACCACCGAGCCATCTGGAGACCTGGTCCACCAGCCAGAGCCAACGAGCATTGCCTGCGGATGCGGGCAAAGGAATCGTTTCTCTGTACCATAACTTTTCTGTCCCACTTTGGGGCTCATGACGATGATTCGTCTTTCACCCATTCCAAGACGATTAGACGAGCGGATGTATTGTCTGATAACCGAGTCGGTATCACCGCTCCCGACAGAGGTTGGAGAAAAGGACGAATTCCGCAGAGGCGAGGCGCTAAAGGACGGCCGCTTGCCTGTAGTGTTGGCAGGGGGATACGCCTGGTCCGCCTTGGCAGTTGGCCCGTTCGAACTAGCCGCTGACGGTGGCAAGGCTCTACTCAGGGGCCTTGCCCAGTCGTCCAGCACCCCTCCCCCTCCCCACCCACTTCCGCTATCCGGCACATCCTGCGAACACAAACTCGATGACGAGCTCGCCCGGCTACCCATCATCAGATCACTAAAGCTTTTTGTCGGCTTCAGTGGCTGATGCGTCCCAAGTTCAGAGGGAGAGATGGTGCCGATATGTGGTAGGCCCTGCGTCTGAGGGAGTGGTTGCGGTACAGTATGATGCAAGGCGTTCTCAGGAGCACCATGCTCAGAGACAGGCGTGGGATAGAAGAAGCTTGGGAGCATGCTTTGGGGAAAGACGTCGAGACCGTGATGGGGTTGGGGAGAAGGAATGTCGTTTGAGCTCTGAGATGACCCATAATCCATCGATTGCGGGATAAAACCATACTGAGGGACGTAAGGTATATTGGGCGCCTGATAGTTGCCCGGCGTTTCCAGGGAGCTACTCTCCTGACTTGGCCCCTGGTCAATCCCAAGCCCTGTTGAGGGAGCCGAGTATGGCGACTGAGATTGCGTATTCATATACCCACCACTCGTATCTAAAGCCAGGGACGGGCGATAGTTGTATGACGGAGGCGGCATCTCTGCAAAGCTGCCGGTGCTATTCGTGCCGGTATTATTGCTGCTGCCATTTGAGACAAGGTCCGAGTTGTTGAAAAAGACGCCAGAGAGGTCGAGCATGCCCTGGCCACTCGGGTACTCGGACTGCTTCTTTTCGTCCTGCTGATTCAGCTGCTCTGGCGAAAAGTCGACCGCCTCGGTCCCATACTGCGTCACATTAGCCATCAAACCAGTCAAGTGTGGAATGTATACCCACGTTGTTGTTCTGCCACTGGTAAGACATTGGTTCTTCGTCTGGTGCGCTTGGTATGGTCGGCAAACACGATATGGACCTGAAGCGCTTCCTGCTACCGCGATGCTGGGGGATACGCACTACAGCACTGTGCGGGCGCTTGCGCGAGTCCCAGGATGATTGCGGCGAGGAGGGGTGGGAGGGACGATGATTGTAGGTAGAGTGGAGGGGCACGGGCAGATGGGAGTGGAGGTTGGTGGTGTCGACCGACGGCCTGGGGAGGCGGGGCCTGTCAGGGTGAGGCAGATGGGAGATGCGGAAGGGGAAGGGTGAAGCGAGGTCAGAAGGAGGGTGGCCTGAGTTAGGGGAAGACATGGTCAGCTTGCGCGTGTTTCCTTGGTGTGTGCAGATGGCGTGAGGTGGAGCTTGATCGCTTCCAGGAGCCTTTCCAGGGAAAAATAAATCGATTGAACAGCAAAGGCGGGGGCAGGTGTGAAAATAGAAAACGGTGGTGCACAGTGGGAAAAAATAGAGACCAGAAGGAGGGTATTAAGGACAGTTCTCAGCTGTCCAGAGGCCAAGCAGAGCAGGGCCAGGTATCAGACCCAACTTCGAAAGCGATCGGACTCCATTGTCGCCCCTGCACACTCCGGTCATTATATGACACTCGAAATGCTGTAACGTATTGTCTGTCGCCCAAGGAGGCAAGGCCCCAAGGTGGCGGGTCATGGCCGGGCTGAGGGGAGGTGCGAGAGAGCAAAGGAGAGGCTCAATTCTGCAATTGTGTAGAACACTGTCATGAAAGGGATCTCGTCATGCAGCTCTCACGCGAGAGTGCTGTCCATTGGGCGTCGTGGGAAGTCACCCGGCCCAGAAGGATACGGGCAAGACATCATGAAAGGGGTTTGATTTGTAAACAAATCGTCTTCCATTGTCCTCCGGCCTTGGGCACGCTTGGTGACTCGCATTATGTTCTCACAATAGGTCCGTCGGATTCCCAAGGATCGACGCAAGACTGATAAGGAGCTCTGCCTCGGACGAAAGGTCGCACAGAAGCAACGAAAAAAAGATCTGATATGGCCCAATGGACTTACAGGTATCTCGCCGAAGGTGGGCCGGTTGTTTAGAGACACTTGCTTGGTAGAGGCAGCAGGCGTTGTGAAAGGCGGATTGTTATCTGCCGGCGTTCACCTGAGAGTATGAGTTGGGTGCAAGAAGAGGGAGAGAGGGGGCGTACAGGTCGTACAGGTTATAAAGCAGGACGGTACAGCGAGCTGTGGCGAATGATAAGCTTGGTGTTGTACCATAGGCGAAGTAGGCTCGACGCGCACTCACATATGCGCCTGGGATGTGGCTATGGGAGTATTCTGGGGCGGGTTGCGGTGAATAGAAGGCTGCAGAGGGAGAGGCGGGCGGCGGGCGGGCGGGACTGCGTGCGTGGTCGGTGGCGGTCGGCGGTCCGGTGCTCGGGGGTGTGTGGCGCTGCTACTGTGCTCCGTGTGTGGCCGTGGTGCACGGGAGATGTATGCTGGAGAGCGTGTCCGGGTGCTCTTAGGACGACACGGCGCACTCGCACTCGCAACCGGTCGGCGTTGGGTCCGCGCCTCGGCGGTGGTCGCGACACAGACTCAGGCACCCGCGCATCTTGGTAACATCGATGCATGCCATTTCTATCGCTTCTACATAAACTATTCACTCAACACAGCGCTGATCTCCTGGCCGTCCTGACCATCCAGTCCCCGCTCCTCCTGGCCCTTGGCACCCCATCCGACCCAGATACTCTGCAACGCCGCCTTCTCCTCTGCCGTCAGACCGTCCTTCTCGGCCGCTCGCACCAACGCCCTCACAGCATTCTCCTCGTATTCAACATCCTCTGTAGAGCTCTTCAAGCCCTCGAGCAAAGCCGACAAGACGCCCTCCCTCTTCAAACCCTGGAGAAGCGTCTCATTAGGCCCATTCTTCTCCGTCTCCTTCATGTTGGCCTCCAGGAGGTTGACAACTTCCCCAGGAATCTCGCCCTCATACTTTTCTCCACTCTGCATGACCAAAGTGCCTATCAAGAATGCCATCTTTCTCCTCACCACCGCCTCCTCGTCCAGGACACCCTTCTTGAGAACAGCGTAGCCTTGAGAAGCAGCGAGGGCGGGAGAGGCGAGAGGCCAGTGCTTGAGCGCAGAGGACAGGGCGTAGGTGGCTTTGGCGCGCACTGCAGGAGTTTGGGGAGCGGTAGAGGGGTAAAGAGTGTTGAGGATTTGTGGTAAAGCGTCAAAGATGTACAGCTGCGCCCATGTCAATATGGGCCACCATCTTGGGGTATGAACTTACAGCGGCCTGGGCCTTGAGGTTGTTTTGAACGGCAGTACCAATGATCCAGCAGGTGTGCGCCACAATCTCGGGGTGGGGAGACGCCAACAGCGCAAGCAGAGGCTGCCAGAGCTTCAAGATGGGCATGTTGTTGGCATTATCAATCAACTCGATGAGCTGAATCACTCGTCAGCACAACATCTAGCGATAGAAGCAAAAAGAAACGCACCATCTCAAAATCATCCAAAGCTTCCACCCTCTCTTCCACGGGGTTCTCCTCATTCGAAGCATACGCAATCTTTTCCTTCATCGTGATACTGTCGCTCTTGCCCATGATCAGATCCAGCATCTCCGTTGTCAAATCCTCCCTCTTTGCCCCGCTCGGCAGAGGCAGAGGCTCACCGTCTTTCGGTGTCCCTGGGCCCGGTGTAGAGGCAGGAGAGAGGTCGGGAACGGGGGCAGGAGCACGGTCATTGGGATGAAGAGCAGAGTTGCCAGAGTGGGTAGAGACGGGGTTGAAGCGGAGCTGCAGTTGCTCTGCCTGTTCGCTGGCGGCCTCCTGGGCAGCTTCGGGGTTTGTCGAGTTGGCGATGGACCATTTGAGGAGTTCGTTGAGGTCGGGCATGGTGTATTGTGCGAGTTGTAGATGCAAAAGAGAAAAGTAGATGCGCTGTGGAATATTTCAGATCCGGGTGGCAATCGCCAGAAGAAATCTCTTTCGTCACACGGCGGCCAGCTCCGCCCACGCGCTTCTCTTGCATCCAGCGCGACTTCGCGTCTTGCTGCTCTTTTCCCTATCGTCAACAACCCAGGTATCAGAAAGCATGTGGCTGAGCGACTCCCAAAGTAAGCTGGATAGCCATAGGGAGGAACAAGGGGGTAGCATGCTGATGAGTGCGACCTGCAGAAATCGGTATTGCCCTCGTGGCGTTCGGCATCTTCTTCCAGTTCCTCGGCAAGTCGTATCATGACTGTTTGACCGACCCAACTGACTTGTATCTCCTAGGAATAATACTCTTCTTTGACGGCCCCTTCCTCGCCCTCGGAAACGTCAGTCCCTCATTCCCAACGCGTCCTATCAAGACCAAAGCCATCCTCAATGCCCAAAACTAACTTCTGGACTATAGATCCTCTTCCTCTCAGGACTGCCGCTCATCATCGGTCCAACCAAAACATTCTACTTTTTCTCCAGGCGTGAAAAGTGGAGAGGGACCCTGTGTTTCTTTGGCGGAATGTAGGTCGCGCCCACACATCTGTGTTTTGAAAGCCGATATGAGCAGCTCGCTAACGAGGGTATAGAATACTTGTGTTCGCCAAGAGGCCGGTCTTTGGGATCGTCATCGAATTCGTTGGGTTCGTGGGGCTCTTTGGGTAAGCTCCCCCCCGCCCTTGACTATGCGAAAGACATTGCGGCATCAGACTGACCATGTTCCCACAGCTCCTTCTTCCCCGTCATCCTCCAAGCCCTCCGTCAAGCACCAGTGATCGGACCAGTCTTGTCGCTGCCATACATTCGCGGGGTACGTCACCAACTTTCTCACGCGCTCACGCGCCGTATACCTGAGAAGCAAGCTAATCAATGGTTTCAGGCGGCAGACAAGCTGGCGGGTGTGCGTCAGAGTGCTGTGTGACAGCCAAAGAAGGGCTAGACGCGTTCTATCAAGACATGACGGACTGTATCATATAGGGTACACTGTCATGCAGAAATCACAAGACACATGCGGCTCCATATATCCTGTTCGAGTACTGCAGTACGCCATCTATGCGGTTACATTGAGGAGAGTTACAAACAGTTCTGGCAGACACTTTGGATCAGTAAGGGGATCGCAAAAAGTAAGGGCGAATACTAAGACAGTGGTGGCGAGACGAGAATCTATGAGTTATGATGTAGACAACGATTTTGTGGGAGAAAGCCTCTATGTATAGAGAAAATGTTCTTGATAGAGCCCAAAATTAGAGAAAAGTATGATAAAAACACCTGCCCCCTTTCGCAGGAGGCACACCATCTACAATCAAAAGACGACGCAAGGCTACCGATCCTGCCTGAATCCTCCCCACTGATTTCTCCCCGAATTCTCCCACAGCGGCTTGAAAGCGTCTTCTGTGAACCCGCCAGTATCCTTCGGGCTCGCTTTGACTGGCAAGACGGCAGCATGATAAGGCCTCTCCTCCTCCATCGCTCCCTGTTGTCCTCCGGCGCCTACATCCGTGGCTCCACTACCACCAGCACCCGGCCCATTACTGCGATTTAAAGGTTCACCGGTGGGATACGGATGTGAGGGGTATTGGTATTGAGAGTCGGAAGGGTAGGCTGGTTGTGGCGCAAACGCGCGATTGGGCAAAGGGACCGATGGCCAAGCCCCTCCCGCTCCGCCTACATTCTCTTCCTTATCCCCAAACCCGAACCCGCCATTGGCGCCATTGGCGCCCATTATCCCACCGGTGGGATGAAAGCCCCCCTCCCCATTGACGCCACCCAAAGGCGAGCCCGAGAGAAAGAAGCCCGTGTTCGGCGGTGGCGTATTCCAGGACGAAGCGGGGGCTGGCGGGGGCATCCCCGTGGAGGCAATAGAATTGGAGATGGACGTGGAGGGGGGTACTGGGCGGTAGATGGGGGGTTGAATGGGGTGATTTATGGTCTGCGACAGCTTGGCCTGAGGAGCGTGAGCGGGAGGGAGATGGGAATGGAGATGGGACTTACGTGGAGCTCACGGATATCGTTGCCCTGTTTGCCTGCGTGGACGCCATTGAGGGTGGCGATGAGGTCTTCTATGTTGGCCATGGCGGATGGATAGAGGAATGGGAAATGATAGAGAAGATGAGCGGAGACAGCTTCCAACATCCGGCTACTACTACGTTTCCTTTCTCAAAATCGCGCGTCGGCATCCACCGGGTTTAGCGCCATTGTTATCATGCTTCACTCCATTGATCATGATCCCTCTCACCCAACCCTGCATCCATCGCTCCCATGCACGTCCGCGCCTCGCCAGGCATGCAGGTATCCTGGGGGATGTCATATTGTCCACTCGAGCAGGTGCATGGGCGGCTCGCCTTCTTCATTCGGACCGAATCCTTTGATCACCTCATCCCTTTCATCCCTCGCAACGGCCCCCCGCCTAGCCCCTCTACCCTTTTCCCTCCGACCTCCGACCTATTCTCAGTAGACTCCTGTCTCTCTTGGTTACATATGTTGCAAGACGTGTGATTCACCCCCACCGCTAGATAGAGACTGATTGATCAGGCCTCTCCCCGCTCTGCTAGTCTTCCCATGAAAACACTATGATCAATGAGACTAGATAACCCCAATTTGCATTTGCCCCATCTCATGGTCTGGTCACTCTGGCAAGACGCGTCCATGCGGCGGCCTTATCTATGATCTAGTGCCGAGTGGGTTTGGACAGCCAATGGTCAGCAATGACAGTCTTGGAAGAGCCCGACCATACATAATGCATCATGATGCTCTGACAACAAATATCGAATTCACTCCAACCCCTCCCTCCGCCTCCACTCTCTCCTGACAACCTCACATCTCTCTACCACTCCCCTTCCCAGCCCTTCCTCTTCCGCCCTCTCCCACTGGTCAACTTCTTCATACCCCACCTTGGTATTTCCCCACCTTGTCGAGATGACCTTGTATTTCTGGGCGGGCGCGGGAGGAGATGGGGGAAGGAGGTAGAGGGCAGGGATGAGGGCGGTGTAGAGCATGGGGAGCGCGCCTTCGGAAGCGTATACTGGGTGGTAAGGGGAGCCGATCAGACGGGCCTGTGGTTGTTCAGCTTTTATATCACTTGTATGCGAAGAGGGCGTACAAAGTAGAATAGACACCAGTTGAAAAACATCTTGATCTTGATCCACCACATGATGGTGCCCAGTCCGGCCGCGAAAAAGTTCGTAGCGACACACCCCGGATCCACTGTCAACACCCTGACCTCTCTCACGTTCTCCTCTCCTCTCCCCTTCCTCGTTGCACCCGCATCACCTTCAGACTCTACCTCTCCATACTCTTTGTCGAGCGCTGCCATGGCCAGGTCGCCCATATACTTGCTCGCACCGTACGTGCTGGGATAGTCCAAGAGCATGTAATCGTCCAGCGGATGTTTGGCCAGTTTGGAGTACCACGCTGTGCCGGAAGAGGTATAAATGGCCCTTGGAGAGAAGGGGAGATCGACGGGAGAGCGGCGAAGGAGAGGGATGAGTTCTTTGACCTGTACATTCCATTAGCAATACTCCATGCACAGATTTCAAGCACATACCATGATGTAAGGAGCCAAAACATTCGTTGCCCAGACCAACCCTCTCTCTCCATCTTTGGTCGTTGCTCCTTGAATCTCCTCGTTGTAGTTGGGCTGGCTCAGCGCGACGGGCATGCCTTCCAAACAGATCTGCTTGATAAACTTGTAGTAGGAGAGACCTGTGAAAGCTCCCATACCGGCATTCAAATACAGCGTAGTGATATGGGGGTATCTTGATCATGTCAGTCAAGATGGCACTGGCGCAAGGGTGAGAGAAGCCTTACTTTTCACCGAGCTTTTCGCAGAATGTCAACGCGCCATACTTCCCACCCGGGCTATCCAAATCAAGGCCCTCCCATTCTATCCGCAGTCCCTCCCTCCATCCCGGCTTCTCCCCTACCTTGCCCTTCTTCTTTCTCTTTGCGAGCTCTTCCAAGTGCCCAAAGATGAGACGGTCTCGAGCTTCGAGCGCTTTTGTCTCTGAGCGGCAGGCAAGAATGATGGTGAGGGTAGTGTTAGGGGGCGATGACTTGGTGGGCTCGGAAGACTTGGGGGATTGTAGAAGGTGTTGGAGAGAGGGAGCGAGGGCGCTCTGTTGGGGCGTTGAAGCGCGCATGGGCACGGAAGAGGGGAGAGAGAGTTCTGTGAGAAGTTCCTGGCAGATACCAAAGCCATAGCCACTGTTTGATTTGACCGTGTATCATATCCAAGTGTATAGAGGTTTGAGAGCCTAGGTCAGTGGATGTACCCAGGGGACAAGAGATAGACTTGCCTGTTTGCGCCAGTGACGACGGCGATGACCCTGTTTGGATCCTCCTCGACGCCTGTCCTCGCCCTGGACTGTCTGCGGGTGGATACCATGATGGATGCTCTACAATAGACTTGGAGGGCAGATGGATGGTCAAGACAGGCGATATTTATTATTTTTCGACGAGCTGCAGTGCGTGCCATCAGCCATCAGCCAGGCACCCCGGCAGCCGACCCCGCGTTACGTAATCCCGAAATGGTGGTGGGGAAAGGAACGCGGCGGCGGGTACGGTGAGCCGAGCTTCGATTCGGCCGGTCATTTCTACTTTATCTCCTCTATCATTCTGTCTATTACCAGCCGGCTATATCCCATGGACCGCCAGCATTCCTCCAGCGGGCCCAGCCCGCCCCTAGCTCCTCCCGCAAAGACAGCCCCCCTCTCCTCTCCTCTCATCATCCCAAGCGACGACGTGCTCGTATCTCCAGCAGCCCTCCTCACGTCATCCCCGCCCTCTTCCAGCAATTCGAGCTCATCCAGTAGCCAAAACAGCTCTCCACCGAGATCATCGATCCTACGCCGCACAGTTTCAGCTCTGCCGGCATCCGCCCAGATCGGGAGCAGTTCGTCTAATAGTAGTGCTAGCGGGAGAGAGAAGAAGATACTTCGTTTCACGCAGGTGCGTGTAGAAAGTACTGTAGTCAGTGGAAAGGGAAAGGAGAAGGAGACACATGAAGAGGACGAAGAGATGTTTATGTTTCCAGGGAAAAAGTTGGAAGAAGGGTTGTACATCAGGGGCAAGAAGGGCGTTCCTAAAGACCAGAGGGATTACTTGAAGACTGAGCCTGGGACACCGAATTTCTCTGAAACGTACGTTGTATAAAATCACGTTGTAAATGCTGACCAAAGGCAGTGCCGACCAGATTCGCCGGACACTCTCTCTGGCGTCGTTGGATCAACTCGCCATCTTGTCAGCAAGCCACGAAGAACGGACTAGACTCATCACCGAAGTCTCTCGCGCAGGAAGAAAGCTTGTATGGAGGGACGCGAGCGAAAGGCCGCTTCTGCCTCAGGATACAGAGCGTGCAGCTCTACTAGCTCTCAAGCGCGGGCTTCGTACGTGCCAACCGACCAATATGGAAAGTGCTGACGTTATATTCCAGGATCATTCATCCTCGCCTTTTCCGTCCGATCTGGAGTCAATGTCCTTCTGTTGTTCTTTCGTCTTCTCCGCCGAGTCCACCCTCGGCTCACTCCTCTCCTTTTGCTCCGCACAATCTTCTCTCCCGACTCTTGGCGCTTCGGCGGCATGCTCGGCTCCTTCACCTTTCTCTACACATATACCCTGCATCTCTTGAGGCTCGCTCCGCCATGGAGCTATATCAAGAAGCGATTTAGATACGGTATGTGGAGGGAGGTGAGCTTTGGACCGCCTGAGAGGGAAGGGAGTGAAGGTGAGAGAAGATGGCAAGCGGCGGTCGCGGGAGCTGTCGGAAGCTTGGCGTTGTTGTGGGAGACTAAGGGGCGGCGGACTGGTGTCTCGCAGCAGTAAGTTGTAATATTCTGCCTACAAATACTCAGACTGATTACTGTGTAGAATGTTTGTAAGAGGACTCCAGGCAGCATACAACCAGTACACCCCCCGCCTTGGAATACACATCCCTCATGGTGATGTCCTTCTCTTCGGTGCCTGCTGCGGACAAATCATGTTTGCGTTCCTCATGTCGCCAGAGACGATACCGAAAGAGTACAACAACTGGCAAGTCATCCCTCAAATTGGCGAATTCGTCTGACCATGATGCAGGATCCGATCAGCGTCAAGAGTCCCTCAGTTTGCCATCACTGCTAATCGAACACAAGTTCGGCAAGGCTTCGTCGGCGAAGACATGATCCAACAGGCCCTCAATTCCAAGGTTTGCCACCTCTCTCTTCTTCTGGATTAAAACTCACAATCAACAGGGCATTACCCCCGAGAACCGGATCAGGCTCACCGACTATCTATCTTCCATTCGCTCCGGCCATCAACCCAACGCAGCTCCCTGCGCAATGATCCATCCCTGGCGCTCCGACTGCACATCCACAAATCTCGCCCGCTTCTTTTCCGTATTCCGATTCATGCTGCCCATGTACTCGGCACTGCATCTGATACCGATGTTGGTGTTGAGGAGACATTCGATGAGAAGGAACCCGGTGGGAATGCTGGGCAAGGCGTTGCTGGGGATCAGCAGGAGTTGCAGTTTCCTTGGGGTATTTGTCTTTATCTATCAAGGTGGGTCTTTTACTCAGATTCAGACGAGGGTGCTGACCCAAGCAGCTCTGTTTTGTGCGCGGGTACAAACGCTGGAACACGGCCGCGGTCCAACTTGGCTTCGATCGCTTCTTCAAAAGAAACAAGTCTTTTGGGGTATGGGCTTTGCCACCTGCCTCAGCCCATTTGTCGAAGAAAAGGCAAGTACCTCTTCCCGTTCATATACAAGCAAGGCTAATGTCAGGACAGAAACGCCGTGCCGAGCTGACAATGTACGTCCTTCCCCGCGCCCTCGAGTCTGCCTGGTCTGGCGCCAGAAAGAGGGCTTGGGTACCGATCGTGCCCTTTGGGGAGACCATCCTGGGGGCCGTGGCTATGGGGATGGTCATGGATGCTTACAAGGTTAGTCTTGTACCAGTAGCAATGTAGAGAAAGATGCTGACAAGGAGCAGCACCAACCTGATGCTATATCGGGTATCGTCCGTAAACTGCTTTTCCAGATCATTGGACCGGTCTGAGTCTGTGACGGATAGCGTGTGAATGACCTGGTAACGGACCATTGTACTCTTCTATTTGTAGTCCCAGAATCAATTGTATTATCTCGTGATATCACTCAATGCGCTTGTATGCAGCTATTGATTAGTTGACTCGCAAAACATCGAGTGGTTGAGAAGTCACTGTGCATATGCAATTATGGAGAACACAACCTCATGTAAATCCTCTGATACCCAGAACCCTCCGAACATCATTCACAAACCTCAAACTGTCCAGCACCGGAATAGAATGAAGCAGGGCCTCGTCGTTGGGGTCTGACGTCCAACCTTCGATTGGTAGAGCGTTGGCTTTACACCTGTCAGCTTTGAAGTCGTTGCAGATGGGAAAAACTTGCCTTTATTCCAACTATAACTAATCGGCGAGTTGTCCATGAAACAAACTCTTGACAGATCCTTCTCCACCAGCGCCAGATCCTTCACATAGCTCCCGTTGGGCTGTTGGAAACAGCTTTCTCGGTAGAGCTTTTTGGCAAAGAGGTTTCGACCGCCGTCGAGCCAGTCTATGACGGGATCGGCATACTCTGGCATAGATGCGGTGTAGATGACAAGAGTGTACCATGCCGCAACCTTTTCTCTGTTGTTAGTAAGCAGGAAGCGAATCGATGAGAGAGGCGTACCTTTCGAAGGAAATGGTCAACGTAAGGACGTTTGTAGACGTGGTATATTGTACTCCTGCCATTCACCACCACTTCGACGGTATGCCCTTCTCGCCCCCTGCCTTTCGCCCCGATCCCAAGCACTCCGCCAAGACTCAACCCCAGGATCCTTCCGCCACCTGACGATCCTCCTGGATAATTCAACGGCCGAGACGTCGAGTGAATGAGCGTCTCGTCCAAATCCAGTATCAGGGTTTTCTGAAGATGGAAAGGCGTTGTTGGGATGGCTTTGGGCAGCCTTGGAGATGGTTTGCGGAACAGAGTCGACTCGGCGTTGGAGGCCGGGGCGGGCACGGAAGGGTCGAGGAGGGATGTAGAGATGGGGTTTGCGAGTAGCTTACCGCCTGATGCCTTGCGTGGCGCAGGTTGCAAAGGCTTCTCATCAGGTCCTGGTGGTGTAATGCGAAGCTGGGAAACGGGCGAAGGTGAGATGGGGTTCTCCAGGATGGACGTCGGAGAGGGCGGACGTTGAAAGGGAATAGGCTTGCGGCTGGGCGTGGATCGTCCGCTGCTGACACCATCCTCGTTGTTCCTCTGAGGGGCAGAGCGGAGACGAAAAGTAAAGTTGGGATCGGGCCCAGCAGCTCTGATTGTCTCTTCGTCTGCCCCGAGATCGAGCTGGAGCTCTTCCCCGGAGACAGTAGCAGCAAACTCGTCCTCGCCTGGCGGCACCTCCTCCAGACTTTCCGCCCCTTCTGGCCCTCGAGTAACAGGGTCTACCAAGCCTTCTCCCTCGCTCCCTTCCTCTCCATGGTCATTCTCCTCTTCAGGGGGACTGATGCCCGCATTCACCAACACCCTCTCGCCGAGCTCCCTCAGGCCTTCCAGGCCAGCACTCATGCTAACCGCCCCTCCCAGTCCTCCTCTACTATCCCGGCCCCGTACCCTACGCCTACCCCTTCCTCTGGTCGCCCTGGTCTCTCCGACGAAAGACCGCCAGAAAGACAACAAGATGGACCATAGAACCAGCGCGATCCGAATGATCAGTGGTGTTGTCGGCGGAGGGACTTTGAGGGACGAGTATGTCTGCCGGCGACGCCGACGTTTGGGAGTGCGTCTAGCTCTTGGTTGAGTTGGGGTAGAGGGCCGGCCCAGAGGGGTGGAAGGAAGAGTCTGGGCCGGTAATGACGAGGATGACCGGGATGCGGATTGTAGTGAAGGGGATGCAGAGCGGGACGGGACGGGCGAGGCTTGCTTGGAGGATACCTTTTTGGGAGGCGGGGGGGTGAAGAGGGCGGAAAGCCACGTATCGAGGCGGCTGAGGGTGTTCATCTACGTCGCGGTCAGCGAGGTGGTCTTGGGGCAAGCGCGGCAGCTCACTATCTGGGCGTGGGGCTGGGGCTATATACTCATGCTCGTGTGCGTGTCGGCGGGCGGGCTCGGGGGCGGCGGGGGCGGAGATGGCGTTGAGGGTGTGATGGATGGCGTCGAGAGCATTCGTTGTTACTACCCCGACGGCCGTCACCGTCCCCACTCGGGCGCGGCGCGTTTACGTTGGGGCGACAATCCCCGAGCAGGGTCATTCAACATCGCTTCGCTGCCACACTTGTTCATGCACGTTCGTCGCAGGGTACACAGCTAGTAGATATACATCCCCTTCCATGGAGAGATAAGAAATAACAGCCCAAAACGAAAGAGCATAGATGGAAACCTTCTTTATATGTACACATTCCTTCATTGTTTCCTTCACCTCCCCCCCCATCTATCCAGATGTTTCAACAACTTGTATAAACCCCCATCCACAGCAAACCTCTCGCGTAACCGAGAAGCCTGGCAGAATGAAAAGAAAAAGCAGCGGCGTGGGCGAAAGATTGTTACAATGAGAGGAGGGTAGAAGAGAAGCGTAAGGGCCATGAGAAAGGTAAAGAGGCGGAAAGCACAGGGGGTTGAAATGTGATTTTATTTATTGGTTTGGGAGAGAGACGGACGGAAGGGTGAAAGACGGGCGGAAGGGGCAAGATTTTGAGTGGGACAATGCAATTAAGCAAAGTCGCCGGTGATGGAACCATCCTGGGCGGCAGCGCCGTTGACACCTGTCTTGCATCAGCAACAACACCAAGAAGTAGTAGCATTACTCACGCCTCTCCTTCTCAGACTCGAGCTGAGAGTAGAGCAGCATCAAAGCACGCTCGGTCGCCTCGGGGGTACCTTGGATGGTAAACATACGTTCACCAGTCTCGTCGTGAGGGACCTTGGCAATAGATATACGAGAGCCAGAAAGTCGTCGGATCTCGGTAATCTTGGAGCCGCCTCGACCGCTGCACACAAAAATCGTCAGCTACGCTTTCAATCTTCCGCCTGGCCAACTTACATGATGCAACCAACCATGTCGGAGGGGATAGAGATGTTTTGGGTACGGAGGTTGGGGTCGTTGAGGTTGATCTGGGGCGCTTCGCTTTGCCTTCGCTCAGCGGGAGCACCAGAAGGTCCAGAGATCGAACCTCGAGACACTCTCCTGTCGGTAAACCCAGCAGGGGCACCGCCACTGGGGGCGCCGCCGAAACCAGCAGCGACAGAAGTCCTCCTGATACCACCAGTGCTTCCAGTCACAGCCTGAGCACCGAGTCCTCCAGCAAGGACACCAGCATCGCCCGCAGCTCCGGGGTGGTAGAGCACGGTACCCGCTCCTCGCTCCCAGTCCTCGAGCAAGCACTTGCCGATCTCTAGAACAGCAGTCTTGATGGCATCGACAGAACCCTGAACTTCGACAACACGCTCAGTAGACTGGGGAAGCATCTCCTTGGAGGCAACCATCCTGGCGCCAGACTGGTCCTGGATCTGCTTGATCTTCAAGCCAGAGCGGCCGATCACGGTGCCCATGAGGTTGTGGGAAATGAGGAGGCGGATGGAGGTGAAGGAGCCGACAGGAGGGGGAGGGAGAGAAGAGTCGGAGAGGGGAGTCTCGAGCAAGAGACGGGCGACCTCGGCGTAGGCGCTGGAGACGGCTTCGAGGTCACCGGTCACACTCAAGACTCGGTCTTGCACACCCTGGACGACCTTGGAGACACCGGCCTTGGTGTCGGTGTCGTTTCGAATCTGAGCGATGGTGGCGCCAGCCTTGCCAATGATGATACCAGCCTCCTTGGTCGAGACGAGGGAGCGGAGGGAGAGCTGGTGCTCGGAGGTCTGGTGCTCGCTCTGGTTGAAGTCCTGGGCGGCCGCCTTGGGGGAGAGGTTGGCGTCTTGGGGGGCGGGGTCGGCCATGGCGGGGATGTGGGGTGGGTGGATGGAGGACGAGTAGAGGGAGGAAGAGAGTAAGAGGGGGCGGATGAAAGGATAGAGCAAAATGGAGATGGACCGCAAAAGCGCGAAAGAGTGGCGCAGTGCCACAGACGGCGTTTCGGCGATTGCCGCCACCAGCCAAAAGAAATTCGCAACCGCGCACTCGCTCCCTCAAGAACTTCTCGACGACTCCATACTTTGGACAGACAAGCTTTCGTTATGCAGATTTTCGTCAAGACGTGAGTCCCCCGCCCCCCGCTGTACTTCCACTGATCCCACGCAGCTTGCCCGGCAAGACTCTCACCCGAGATGTCGAGGCCACCTCTACCGTCGCCTCCGTCAAGGCCATGATTGCCAACGCCGAGGGTGTGCCCGCCGCTGAGCAGCGACTCATCTTCTCTGGTGTCCAGATGGATGACGAGCGTGCGCTCGCCTCTTACGGCATCCAGAAGGAGTCCACCATCAACATGGTGTTGTCTCTCTGTGGTGGTGGTAAGAAGAGGAAGAAGAAGAACTACGTGCGTCAGCTTTCTCCATCGGTTGATCATCTACTGACAACCTGCACAGACCACCCCCAAGAAGATCAAGCACAAGAGGAGAAAGGTCAAGATGGCCATCCTCAAGTACTACAAGGTCGGATCCGACGGCAAGATCCAGCGTCTCAGGCGAGAGTGCCCCGCTCCCACCTGTGGTGCCGGTGTCTTCATGGCCTGGCACAAGGACAGGCAGGCTTGCGGCAAGTGCGGGTGAGTGATATCCTGCTCTTGGTTTCAAGTTGTTACTGACGTTTTTAGTCTTACCTACACCTTCGAGGAGGGTACCAAGCCCACTGTCTAAACACCTAGCCTCTCTTGCTCGCTATGAGGGTTGGTAGTAGGGAGAGAATTGGTAAAGATTTGTTTCGAGCCATGCATCTTCGTTCTACTTCATAATCATACGTACAACGAATTCAGCCACCCGCGGATCATGACCCGAGCTTGTTCAGATCTTTACATGTAGGCCGACCCATTCTTGATCAACTGTACCCTGTCACCCCTGGCTTCTTGATCTTTGGGCTTTCGTAGCTTCAGCTTGCATTATTCCGCATCGCTTTGCGCACCGCTCAGCTTCTTGCGCCGCGCTTCTTTAATTTCTCTTTTCGAAATCGGGCGCTTACGTAAAGTGGACAAGTGGAGGCTCTCCACCACTTGCCTAGTAGTACGTACAACTGAATTGAACTAATAGTCTCACGTACAATATCTGTTGGAATAATCTTTCACTCTCTGTAAACACACTCTTGCCTGCCAAAAGGGTAGATCTCCAACGCGACTCGCTCGGGACCCTCTTCCTGCCTTCGACCTTGCTGATTGAACTTGTCTGTATCTGACTTGCTCTCATCGAGACATATTCCTCTGTCATCTGTATATAGTCACTTCCCTAGGTTGAAGTGCTGGGAGCCATGTCGTCCCCGCTCATCAACAGTCATTCCGTCACTCCCAGTAACCACCAAGACAACTCGCAAGACTCTGCCATTTCGGACTCGCCTACGTCAGAGCACTCGCATCGCCTACCGCACCCTGAACCTCATTTGGGAGACAACAATCAAGCCAAAGAGCCCTCATACTTGATCATTTCTGGCGGAACCGGTGCCAACTCTATAGCGGGCGCATTCGGTCACTCGCCCTCTTTTGTGCTGCCAGTGTCTGATGACGGGGGTTCTTCCTCGGAGATACTGAGATGTTTCGGTGGACCCTCTATTGGAGATATTCGTGAGCAAATCTCAAGATTTGAGGACGAGAGCTGACCCCCAATGCAGGCTCGCGTCTATCTCGACTGATCCCCGTGTCTTCACATCCGAGTACGAAAGCAGAAAAGGAGAGAGTGGCCATCTACAATCTTATGGCTTTCAGATTCCCATCTGAATCAGAGGAAAAGGCGGTTAGGGACATGTGGATGGAAATTGTGGAGGGGAAGAGTGAGCTATGGGATGGCATTGGAGAGGACAAGAAGGAGTGTTTGAGAGGTGAGTCACGCACACCCCATCGTAGGGTGACCATCTCATGAAACCTTAGCTTTTCTGGTGCACTTTGAAACGCAATGTCTCAAAAGAGCCCACAAGAGGTTCTCCTTCCGAAATTTCTCCTTGGGCAATGGATTCTTGACTGGCGCAAGAGACCTTTTCGGCAGCTTGCCTAGTGCCATCTTCTTGTTCAAGTCTATTGCTGGGGTGGCGGTAAGTCATAGCTGCTCGTATATGATCAGGTTAGCTGACCTGCCACCAGGAGGGGGTACAAGTGATACCAGTAATCAACACCAACCGTACGTCTCGACCGTCTTGAAGCCCGGTGTGCCGCTGACAACTCTACAGAGACTGTCACCATCGCCGCCCAGCTTACCAACTCAACCACCCTAGTCGGCCAGTGCGCAATCTCCCACCCATCTCCGAACCCCTCTTCCTCCACAACCACCTCCGCCCACACCCCCATACATGGGAGCCATTCCCCAGCAGCGCTTCCCATCGTCCATCCCATCCTCCGCTCACATCTCCGGCGCGATTCAAGGACGTTTGATACGCCTGATGCTTCGGCGCCGCCTACGAGGGGACATAGCCATGATAGGTTGGCAGATGGGAAAGAGGAGGGGAGTGATAATGAGGGGAAGCAGGGGAGTAATTTGGAGTACAAGAAGGGGGAGGAGGAAGTCCCTTTGGAGGCCAAGGTAGAGAGAGTATTCTACATCAACCTTTATGGACAGGTGAGTCCATGTCTTCCCTTACCGTGCGCTTCTGCTGACCATACATTGTAGGAGATCTACCCTGATCCCAACCATGATTTTATCGATGCTCTTCACCAACGCGACGTCCTCGTTTATTCCTGTGGCTCTCTATGGACTTCCATCGTACCATGCCTTGCTCTCAAAGGCCTTGCGGGCCAGATCGCTTCTTCTCGCACACTCAGAGCCAAAGTTCTCCTCTGTAAGCACCATCGCTGTATCGTTTCGCAGACAGCTCACGCGATGGCGATCAGTAAATTCTGCCAATGATCGAGAGACTACAGACTATGCCGCTTCAGAATACGTCGCGACTATCCTCGCTATGCTTCGTCATTACGACAAACCTAAACGAAATCGAGTTCGAGATCAACTCCTCCCAGCTCCCGAGTGGAAAGCCGAGAATCTCATTTCCCATGTGATCTATTTGGAGGGTGGAAACGTTCCCATTGACGAGGGGCAGATCACAGTATGTTCCTCTTTGGCTGTATACGCAAGACAGAACCTGACTTGATTTTAGCAATCTGGTATCCAGATGGTTTGTGTTCCTTCCGAGATACACGGTGCACGTCAGGGGGATGTCCCTATGTTTAGTAATGAGGCGGTGCAGTGGGCTATGGCAAAAGTATTGGAGGGCTTGAGTCAAGAAACAGAGACTCTCAATTAGCCGTCCTCGTTATAGTCTCTTCAAACGTCGTTCATTAGTATCACACTTACAGACAGATCAAGCATGCATGGTCATCACGATACAGTGAGAACGTGAGCCAGTGAATTCCCCTGTTGGGCATGTTTGTTCGAAATGAAAGAGAGAGGGTCAAGATGAACGATTGAACGGCATCCTTACTTCGGAAAGAATCCCGAAGTGCCTCCACTTTGTTGTGCTTTTTCGGCGCTCTTCTTCATCTTCCACAGTACTCATCGCCCCTATCCAGCATGCCGCCCCCCTTGCATCTCCCCATAATTCCCAATACCCCTTCCATCGCCGACCACCTCGCAGCGCTGTCCGCCCTCTCCTTGAACCTCTCCCATCTCCCCTCGTCACCCTCGCCAGCCGTCAGAGTACCTCTCGGCGCTAAAGCCTCGTTGACCGGCACAGTCTCCGACACCAATACCGTCCTTGTATGCCTCGGGTCTGCAGGATCAGGAGGAAGATGGGGAGAAGGGGAACAGTATTGGGTCAAGATGACACCGGATGAGGCTGCAGCATTCGTGGACAGACGGCGCGAGAGGATACTGAAAGAGCAGGCTCGGAGGATTGATGGGCTTGGACGGGGAGAGGAAGAGGAAGCGGTTGTGGATAAAGGAGAAGACGTGGTGTCTTTGTGGCATCCCTCGTTCTACCCAGTGGGTGCTGAGCCTTGGACGGTATCGTCGGGAGCACCAGCGGGTACTACGGAACAACCCGGGCACCTAGTCGAGCCTCCATTACTTCCTCAATCTGGTACATCTGTCATTCGGGATGACACCGTGTCTACGCAGACTGTAGACAATGTACCAGATATCCAACCATCACCGAAACCTGCTCCTCAACAAAGCAAGGGCAGCGGGAAAGCGCCAGCCCAAGAGCCCAAAGCCAATGATTTGATTGAAATCATGACGGAGGGTGCTGCTGCTGCGTCCAAGGATGCGAAAGAGGCGAAGGATGACGAGACTGTAAGCTTTACATTTGACTATGCCAACTTGGGCTGACGATCCTAGATATACAACGAAGAGGGTCTACCTTTCCACGAGATTCGCGAAACGATGGACGGCAAGACCATCGGGGATCTTCCACCACCTTCCTCTTCGTCTACCCAAGAGACTGTGCTGGATGATGCTCCAGACGAGTATTGGACAGAAGCTGCTGTCAAGAGGCGCGAGGCACTCCGGAAAAAGCTATTCCATGAAGGAGACTCGAGTGATGAAGAGGAGGTCGATGGCGCCGAGCCAGCCCCTCTCGGTCCCGAGAATGATGTGACCCCAAAATCCCCTTCCGACCATACTCCCCCTCAATCTATCCTCCGCAAGACTAGCTCTTCCTCATCCACCGCTTCCTCCCGCTCACAGACCCCATCCTCCAAGCCCAAATCGATTCTCAAAGCTCCCGCTCAAAAGAAGAAGTCTGTCAAATTCGACCCTTCCATCCCTCCTTCCCCCTCGTCACCGGACCCAGGACCATCTTCATTCCAATCTCAACTGCTGCACGGTAATAAGTTTAGTTTCCCCCTACCGCTGGCAGCGGACGGCGACGACTGGGGAGAGAAGCCGGTCCCGGTTTTGAATGAGCCCAAGCCCAAGGCTAAGGCAACAGTCCTTCCTATACAGGCAGTTGGAGCGCAGGTAGTGGAGAAGGATGACGGGTTTGCAGGTTTCAAGAAGGGTTTCTTGGAAAGACCTCCGAAAGTTCAATCTGCCACTTCTCCTGCCACCACGCCGTCGTCTCAGCCCAAATCGACGCCTGTCCCCGAACCTCTTAAACCGAAAAAGACATCTCTTTTTGCTAAACGTCTAGCCCACTCCGAAGTTGATGCCTCAGCTCCGCCTACGTCTTCGGGTGCTACACCTGCGACAGCTTCGCCCCGAGGGTTACCGAACCTGCCAAGAGAGTCGGAGAGCAAGGGAACGAGTGCAGTGAAGAGTGGAGTCGTGGAGAAGGCCCCTGTGGCCCCCGCAGCCCGATCTCAAGGAAAGGTGGTCGAGCGTACTACCATGCCCTCGAAACCCTTGCCAAGTATGCCCCCAATCATCTCGCTTGCTCCCGAGCAAGACGACGACCACGGGGATGAAAACGACGACGACGACGATGAAGACTTTTCCGAGTTTAGCTCTGGTTCAGAGGACGAATACGACCTAGACGATGCGCTTCTCGCCCGCGAAGTCGCACTGGAATACCATAAACGACGGGCGTACATGTCGCTGAACCGGGATCCGCGAGACCGGGCAATGTCTAGTCGTCCCGAAGGGTCAGAATTTGTACCCGAAGAAGGCGATATCGGAGAGGAGGAAGAAGACGGCCGACTGGGCAACTTGCAGCAGGCCGGGGTGATGTTGGGATTACCGCGAATAGGAGATATGAAGGCGGATGATGGCAAGCCAATGATCATCAACCCGACGGCGGATGATTTGAAGCGTTTCGTGAGGGTGGGCAGGTTGGAAAATGGCAATCTCGTGCTTGCTCCAGGCCAGGAGGGTCTTTCAGACTCGGAGGGTGAGGGCGAAGATGGAGAGGATGGCGCTGAGGATGAAGATCTGGACGAGAAGGAGGAGAGAAGGAAGGGGGTCAAGTCGAGGAGAGATGAAGTGAGGAGAAAGCTTTTGGGCATCGATGTGGAAGAGAGCGCGCCAGCAGACGAGAAGAAGCCAGGGTTGAGCGAAAGGAAAGGGTTGCCCCCTGCCCTACAGACGGACGTGAAGGAGCAATCTCAGCCAGTAGCCCCGGTGGCTGCTGTGGAAGAGCCAAAGAAGAAGATCTCAAAATTCAAAGCAGCCCGTATGGCAGGAGGACAATAGATCTAGCCCAGACCACCTTTGTATAATCGCCGTTGACGTATGCATAATTACAAAAGCTCTAAACATCCTACGCCGTCTCTCCCTCGTTGGCAAACAGCTTATCCAACCCATCCTCGACATCTTTGATCTTGCCCAAAAGGATCTTGATCGCTTCCGGGACAAGCTCCTCGGGATTGTACTGACCTACAGACTCGACATTGACTACCAGGTTGTCAGCTTTATCGCAGGCAGAAAAAGACACAACTAACACATAAAGTGATCTCTTATCCTTGTAAGCTGCACCAGATCTTGGAACTCGGGATGTCTCAGAACCTCTCTCGATACCGTATCCTTCCTCGGGTTCTTGATCACACACTGGTCGTCCCCGCTTTCATCCTTTTCAATTTCCACCACACCCGGCGGGAAGCATTCCTTGAACTTTTGCTGATGTTCCTGGGGGATGGGACCGCGAAGGATTATATGTGGCAGCAGCCTGTACGAGGCAGTGGCTACTGGCGAGTACTTGGCATGGTCCGCACCCACTCCCTTGGTCGCGAAACAATGCAAATCCACCGTTTGCCCCGGACGAAGCTTGACGAGCAAGATGTCCTCATCCACGGGCTTGGGCTCCTTGCCCTTGAATCTCTTCTTCTGTTCTCCCGAGGGTGTCCATTCAAGCATGCCAGAGTAGACGTTGGAGTCATAGTAGATCTTCTTGGGGTCGGTTTCGCTACGGTCGACGCCTGGGCGACGGTCACAGCGGACACGGAGGTCAAAGATGAGAGTGTCGTGTTCGTGGGGAGCAGAGTTGGCAGAAGCTGTAGTCAAATTAGCGGGAAGCGCATTCATCAGATAGAGTGACATACGGCGATAACGCAAAAGTCGAGGGTCGACTTTGAGAGGGATGAGGCCAACTCGGTGGCAGAGAACTTCGTCCTGCATAATCGACGTGTTGTTCCAGACATAGACATCCTCAATGGCAATAGTGGGGACCTTGCGAACAATGAGCATCCAACTTGGTATTGAGACGAGTCACGCACCTCGGCAATCAATGTTCTCCTGATAGCGTTCGCAATACTGGCATCTACGCCAACCAGATCGAATTCGATGGTAGAGGGTGTCAGGCGCTGGACAGAGGTAACGAGGTTCTGCATACATAGAGTCAGTAAATGCCTATTCAATCAGTCAAGCCACGCGCCTTTTTGAAAGCCTGCAAGTTCCAGGAGTGATCTTCTCCAGGGTAATGGCCCGGGAACTCTGAGCCGGCGACCTGTAATTTTCGTCAGCTTCGCTTCGATGAACCCTCTGATACTGCTCACCTGTCCTACTCTCTCCGGAAGCACCTGCACGTGTCGCCTGGGGTTGTCCAATGAGCCGGCCATTTTGCTGAGGATTGTTGAGATATGGCGACCGCAAATTGCAACAGTTGATGACTTGAGCCAACTTTTTATCCAGGGGGCTAATTACAGGCGGCCATCTCCGCTCTCCCTACGGCTGGCCGAGCCCGTAGCCTGAAGGTGGCACGACGTATATATATCTCGACACAATCCTATCCCTATCTCTCTCTTGCATCTATTCCATCCTCCCTACCATAGTCCACCCAAAATGCAGAGAAGAGCCCTGAAGCAGGTACGTTTCATTCGTCATAGCGTGCCTCGGCCACTCCATACCTCAAACGCTTGGCGCTTACCTGTGGCCTCTGCAGCTGGGTAAAGTCACCCAGTGGACCTCTGAAAAGGTCTTTTCTGGGGAAAAAACCCACCTTTCTGATGAGTTTATCGAAACGGAAAAGGAGATTGAAGTCAGGCGAATTGGTATCGAGCGGTATGTCTGCTGGGGCGCTTGTTGTGACCATGAGCTGGAGCTGGTTATCTGACGTGTCCTTTGCAGACTGCACGCGACCTCTCTGCCTTTCTACGAGCAACTCACCAAGGCGAAAGCTACGGCCGACCCCTATCCCCCTCCTGGTTCTGGTAAAGACAAGATTTCCCGTACTGAAGCTTTGGGTCTGGTCATGATTGACTATGGAGAGGAGATTGGAGAGGATTATGGTGTGTGGGCCTTCTAACATGTGCTATGTGTATGACTGACTTTTCATTGCGCTCAGGTGATGCTCTATCCAAGTACGGACGTGCGCGATGCCGTCTTGCCTCGGTAGGTCAACCGGCGCTCGTCTGTCAAGTGGTCGCTAACGACCGTCTAGGTTCAAGAAGACTTTGCTAGTCGTATGAGTGACAGCTATATCGCTGGTATGGGTGAGTACAGTGTGTATGCGATAGGTTCATCATCTAACGCGTCATTGCTAGAATCTGCCCTCGCGGCAGTGAACGAGTACAAGACTCTTCGTAAGAAACTTGATTCTAGGCGCCTTGCCCTTGACGCAACGATCACCAAGGCACAGAACAGCAAGAAAGATGCTGCCTTGCTGGAAGAGGAAATTGAGATGGCCAAAAGCAGGTTGTGAGTGCCGTTTGATATTCATGGAGTCTTGTGCTAAAAGTGCTTTAGTCAAGAGGTTGAAGAAGAGACGCACTCGAGGATGGTCGGGATTCAGGAGGCTGAAGATGAGCAATACGCACTCTTGTCGGACCTTTTGGACTCTGAGCTAGAGTATCATAGCAAGTGCAGAGGAATATTGGAGGACCTTCGTCAGAACTGGGGCAGTCATGGGTTTGCATTTCTCATACGCGCTCGAAGTTAAGCCTGACCGATTTCTAGTAACCGCAAGAAGACTGCTCCCAAGGGTCGAAGCCGCTCGAACACTGCGACTTCTAATCGTTCCCTGGGTCGTACAGCTATCACCCGTTCTCATTCTTCCAAGCACAACACTGCCCCACCCTCGTCCGAGGAGGACACTCAGGATACCGTCGGCCGCTCCCGATCCCAAAGCAACGCCTCCAATTCAGGCAAGAGCAAAGAGAAGAGGTCCATGCTACCCTCTTTCGGGTCTCTGGGCAGAAAGAGTGGATTATCCAATGTGACGCCCAAGAAGGAGAAAAAGCCGAAAAAGAGCGACAGCCGGGCGGCACTCCATTCGGAAGAAGAGGAGGAGGAAGAGTACAGGCCTATGACCTACTTTGCTCCTCACGCAGACAGAGACAAGGACAGGTCTCAGTCTCAGCTGTCCCCGGTCCTGAGCTACAACTCTTCCACGTACGATCAGCCCCCTCCCTCTTTACGCCGCACCTTCACATCCCCTCCCACGCCTGACACGCGCTACCCCGATCCTTCCGCCCGGTATGTCAAAGCTCTGTACGACTACCAGGCAAACAAGGACGATGAGTTGGGCTTGCGAGTTGGCATAGTGATCAAGGTGGAGACGGAGGTTAATGATGATTGGTGGATCGGAGAGAGCGAAGGGCGTTCTGGTCTCTTCCCGAAAACGTATACTGAGGACCATGTGCCATCTCCAGAGGCTACCATGCCGAGAAGACACCTGCCTCCCCCTATCCATCAGCCCGTCAATAACCACAACGTTCCGCCCTCCCCGAATCTCAGTCTAAATGACTCTGAGTTCGAGTCTGAAGCAGAATCCACCCACGATGGCTTTTACGACCACGACCACAACTTGACGGCGCCCCTCTCTCATGCTCCCCAACCTCAAGCTGCGCCTGCGCCTCTTCGTGTGAACCCTTTGACGGGCAAGAAGGCACCGGCTCCGCCACCGAGCAGGAGGGCGCAAAGTAGTAGTAATATCCTTGATTTGAGCAAGGATCTAGGAGATACATATCTGAGTCCGCCGAGGGCTGGCTCAGGGTATAGGCAAAGATCGGGGACAGCAACAGCTGCGAATGGGGGTGCGCCGGGAGCTTCACCGTTTGCCGGGGGTGATGATTAGCTGTCTATTGGTCGAAGCAGCATTGCGCAAAGCCTTGGGCTCAGTGAGAGCCATGTGCTTTAGAACGATAGTACACATACAATACGATGACTTGCTACCGTTATTAGGGTACGTATCATGATGTATAGCAGGATATGTCCTCCTGATGACCTCTATCTTTCGAACGTGGTCCACCCGGTATACATCTCTACCTTGGCATATGTACAATACATGGTCTACCCTCAAATCAAGTCATTAGATTAGATGAGTCTTTTGCTTGTCCCCGAGATCCTCTTTCAGCTAGTCAAGTACGGCTCTGCTATGTCGTGACACCAGTCTGTCATCCTCTTCGCTTTGGCCCTCTCCAATGTCTTTACAATGTCCTCATACCTGAAGCACGGCACTTCATCGCTCTCTCTTCCCTCACCCTGTTTCTCCTGGTATTTCAACCATTCCGAATCGTCAGAGCTAACGGTTGCCATACCCTGATCCTCTTCAGCCATGATACACTCGGTCTCTTTCTCCCCTCGGGTGATAGGGGGCGCGCTGAAGACGTCCGGGCTAGCAGGGTCGCTGGGTTTCGATCTTGCCCCAGTCTTGTGGTAGCGTGCCCTGCCCTTGGACGGAGGGTACACAGTCCTTTTTGATGGTTTGGATTTGGGCAAGGAGAGAGGGATGACCGCAGGATTGTGGTACGTGGCGGTAGTAGACGATGGAGACGGAGTTGGAGAGCTAGGAATTATCGTGATGGGGCCCAGCTTGCGCCTTTTGGGAGCAGGCTTGGTATTGTGAGGGTAGATGACAGTGGAGCGTGGCATAGAGGGTGGGGTGACTCCTCCGGTGTCGTATTCGCTATAGCTCTTCGCTACCTCCTCTCGGTCATTGACCAGCTTCCTCTTCGCTCCTGCAGACCCCTGTTCGGTTGGTGAAGACCCCAATGGTCGCTCGTTACTCCATACAGCAGGCTTGGTCATGAAGTCTTGTTGGCACGGAAGACACTTGAGTGGAAGGGGAGATTCAGGCGTCCGAGGTCCAAACGGAATGGCAGAGCTCGGAAGCCCGACACAGGGGGGCGAGGGGTTGACCAAGGTCTCTGGACTGCTCACTTGAGAAGTCTCTGGCCGAGCGGGTAAGAAGATTGGCTGTTCGAGATACGCGTCCGAGATGATCCAATGTGCGAGTGGAAGGGTGCGTCCGTGCTTGAGAGAGTGCACGAGCCACCTCGCGTCATACACAATCCACCCCTGTCTCCTCAGCCAGGCAACATCGGGGTCCGTAGGCAGACCGAAGACGTAGTATCGCTGCTTGTCGTCGATGAATCCACTGCATGTAGCTATGCTGTAGCGTGGGCGCGAGAGTCTGGTCGTGGAACGAGGGTGGGAGGGGGAGGAGGGTGTTGGTGGGTGTTGGGGAGCATAACGCTGAAGATGGGAGGCGGGGTTGCCAGGTGCATACGCAGAGTAGAGGGCCATGAACTCCTGGGGTGTCTGACTCGTGAAGAAGACGTCCCCAAGAAGATCGATTACAGATGCGGCATGGGGAAAGGACGGTGGCATCTTCATGCTATGTGTCAGCTGGGAAGGTCAGGAGAGAGCCTGGACTGACAGCAGATGTGGGTGGCAGTCAAAGCAGCAGAATCAGCAGTGACAAGCAGGTGTGAGAGAACAGGCAGAGAAAGAAGAGAGGAAGATGAATAAATGAAAGACAACACCGTCAGCTTTTTATACCTCTCCGCTCGGACCCCTTGCTCCTTTTTTGATCCCGCGCCTGCCACCCCCATCTCGTCATACACTGCGTCCCAGTCGGCCATCTCAATCAACTACTGTGCAAGTCTGACCCAAAAGACCATCGAGAATATAAGCGGCCCAGATGCAAGAGAAGATAGAAGTGATGACGTGGACACTTTGTATAGCCGAACAGCCGGCCGATTTGAGATGATTGCAGTGTGTGTTTGGTCACTACACAAGCCACAGCACAGGAAACTATTTGTTGTTCAATCCGTCAAGTCGGATATCAAAGGATCGCAACTGCAGATACAGTCGAGAGGGCAAGTGATAGAGATGAGCATAGAACCAAACATCGACAAGTGGGCATTTTCACTCCTCGTTGTTTGGCCGTGCGCTGACATGGCTCGCCAGGAAATTCCATCGCGCAGTAGACATAGTCCAGAGGTATATAAATGTCAACAGGTATGCGCGCTCGCTGATACATTGCAGTCTCCCAAAAGGGGGTCCAATACAGACCACTTACGAGGAGAAATTATGGCTCTACTCTCTCTACAAACAGGGTGTGTCGCGTCCCTCGCCTTGGTATACACGTGTTGACTATCTCATGTAGCCACCGAAGGAGACATTAAGATTCCTCGTCCTGGAATGCTCGATCTTCTCGGGAAAGCCAAATGGGATTCCTGGCATAAGCAGGAGGGTATAACCAAGACTGAGGCCAAAGCGCACTACGTCGAGGCTCTCTGTAAGGTATGATAACGACCTGAAGCCAAGGACACAAGGTTAATGAGCTGTAGATTTTAGAAAGGAACGGCGGCGAAGAGGGGGTCGAAGGGTTTCTGTCAGAGCTGGAGGGGATGTCGGGTCTTGGACGGTTTAGTGAGTACCTAATATCCATATGGGGAGCCTTGCTGACCCGTCCAGGAGATATGGCTCCCAGGCCGGCATCCCCAGCATCATCGACTTCATCTTATCACTCATCCCAAGCCTCTCCGCCTCTGTCTCCAGGTCATCCCCCTCGGGCACCTCGAGACCAGAACCAAGCCATCTCCCTTGAGCCTTCTTCGATGGACCCCCAAGGTGTATTCCTCCCGCCGGACCCGCTGCTTCCACCTCCCGATGTGGGACCCTCTTTTGTCCCTCCCTCGGCATTGACCTCGTCACACCGTTCTCTACTATCTCTCTCACAGGAGCAAGAAGCAGCTGACACCTATCAACCCCTGCATCTTCCTCCGAGACCGGTGCCCTACGTAGGATCTAGGGCTCAGAGTTCGCGAGGCGATCCGCAAGACTCGAGGGTAGTCAAAGACCTGCTGGGAGAAAGTGGGCCAGGATCAGTGCAGTCCTTCAGGCAGAGACAGGGGTATGATCGCCCTGTTGCTCTTGACCCGAGGGCAGGATCTCGTTTAGCCAGTCCCTCAATCCCACCGCCCCTTCCGCGCGATTATGTGCACACACCTGAAATGCAGGGTTCCCCTTTCGCAGGCTTGGGGTTCGACGGCACACCCATCTACCAAAGTCAAAGACCGCCAGGTCCCGGATCTGCATCCACCTACGGCCCTCCACCACCTCTCAATATCTCTTATGCCTTGCAGCAGATCCAAACATCTCTCGCTGCCTTGCATGAGCGGCTCTCCACCCTCGAACGCACACAATGGATGATCCTTCGGAGTGACGGGAGGAAGAAGAGCTGGCTGTGGTGGTCGACGGAAGGAGATGATCTGGATCAAGCTGAGGCGGAGGCAGAGAGGGAACGGTGGGGGTTTACGACCGTTACGAGGCAAAAACACAGCAAGAAGCCCCTCTCTTCGAGAGTCATTTGGTTCTTGCTCAAGGCGCTTAGAAGAGTCCTTGTAGACGCCGGTGTAGGGGCAGTCTTGATCTTCATAGTCTGGATTATGCTCAATGGAGGAGTGAGGAGGGCGAGGGTTCTGCTGGGGCTGATCAAGATGAGGGCGAGGAGGCTGATCACGGGTGGGCGGTAGCCAAATTGTGAAGGGTTGGTTGTATACATAGTATCTGTCTTGAGGTCCTGAAAGATGTTGTATGCAACAATTTGAATGAGTACACAGAGGAGATACTACATGTCGTCAAAGCTGCGTCACAGAGAAGAAACCGATGGGTGTTACAACATTGTCCGTGCTATCCACGGGTAAAACGTGCAGGTCACAGGCCTCTATTCCCCTCCGGTCTCTCTAAGGCCGCGTAGCACAACTACCATAAGCTTCACTTGAATAACGCAACTGTCCGCAAGGACGCGCGGTCAATGCAAAAGCATTAGCTTTTTATTCAATTATTTTGTCTATTTTTTTTTCACCTGGGTGGAGGAGCCCCGCGCCTGGTTCAAAAAATTCAAGCGTCCTCTTGAGACGAGAGCTGCAACTGCTATTCTTTACTCTCCGCCCAAAATACATACCCCACCATGTCTATGCTCAGGACTGTGTAAGTCTCTTTCTGAACAAGCTGGGTGCATGCGGCTAATGCCTCGTTGTAGGAAGCCGAAGAACGCTCGTGTGAAGCGTGCGTTGGAGAAGAGGGAACCGCAAGTCATCGAAAATGAAAAGACTGCCATCTTTGTCAGAGGGCAGGCCACCAGTGACATGGTCCGAAACACCATGAAGGAGCTTGTGAGTATCTTCCACATTCTGCAAGACCGTGAAGGATTTTAGCTCATTCTATCCGTTAGTACGCCCTCAAGCGCCCCCAGGCTATCAACTTTTCTCGAAAGAATGACATTCACCCTTTTGAAGACCCCGCCTCCCTCGAATTCTTTGCTGGCAAGAACGATGCGAGTTTGTTCGTCACCGGCATGCACAGCAAAAAGAGACCGAACAACCTCGTGTTCACGAGAATGTTTGATGGACGGGTCTTGGATATGATCGAGCTTGGTGTAGATGGGTTCAAATCCATGGATGACTTCCCTGTACGTCGTCTCCTATTCTCTCCTCAAAAGGAAAAAGCTGACACATATACAGACATTGAAGTCTTCCCTCGGTGTTAGACCAATGATGGTCTTCCACTCTGACCTCTTTGACACCCACCCCACATATCAACACCTTAAATCGCAATTCCTCGACTTTTACAACGGCCACCCCGTTTCAGAAGCTCCCCTCCTCACCACACTTGAACACGTCATCTCCATCACCGCCGGTCCCGTATCTGACGAGACCCCTTTGCCCAAAGTGCACTTCAGAGTGTACACCACCAAGCTTCTGGCGAGCGGCACGAAAGTCCCGAGGATCCAACTCACAGAGATGGGTCCGTCGATCGACTTCTGCGTCAGGCGAGTACAAGAGGCAGACGAGGAGATGATGAAGCACGCGATGAAGAGACCCAAGCTGGCCAAGACCGATATCGAGAAGGGTTTGGGCAAGAAGAGAAAGAACATCGAGACCGACGAGATGGGAGACAAGGTCGGAAAGATTCACTTGGGCAAGCAAGACTTGGAGAGCCTGCAGAGCAGGAAGATGAAGGGTCTGAAGGTGCACAAGGAGAAGAAGACGAAAGAGGCCAAGGAGGCCAAGGCAGCTGCGAGGGAGGCAGAGGCCATGGAGGAGGATTAAATACCTCCTGTTGTACATTTTTAATGCATAGATTATACCCAGAACGGTTCTGTGACGCATTCAATGGGGCCAAGAAGGGGAGAGCCCTACATAAGCTATGCTTTGATATGGTGGTCAGGGGACCAAACAATGAGATCCACATTTTGCTTCCGTCGCATTAACGCTTCTGAGTGCAGCACCATTCACCATTCGACTACCAACTTTCTCTTGATTGCCGAGGCATCATGTCCAGCTCAGGAGACGCGCACAAGCAGGCATATCGTTCCATGCCAGACGGATCGGACGACGATGACTTTGACGACCTCGATGGCAAGTGTATATCTGCCGGCCCACCGGTAAAGACTGACTCCCCTGCAGATGTCCTCCAGTCTTTCAACAAACCCAGCTCAAGCCAGTACGCCCACCGAGGCCCCTCTGCTATCTCTGCCACTCCCCCGAAACCAACATCGGCCAGCCCGGGAGGGATAGCACCGGAGACTGACGCCGAGTTTGAAGCTTCCTTGGAGGAGGGTATGGAGTCGCTCCTCCGCCAACTCGCCGGTGACCACCCTCCAGGACTGATGCCTGATAGACCACAGCCTTCCTCTTCGTTGGGAAGTCAAGGGCGGACGCCCGATTCGGTGCCGATGAGCAAAGAAGCGGAAGAAGACGCGTGGCAGAAGGCGGTGGACATGTTGCTCTCAGGAGAGGGGCTAGCGGCTCTTGGGCTTGATGACAAGAATGAGCCGAGTGCAGAAGGATCGAGTGGTGTAGCTCCCGAGCGTCCTGCAGATGGACCGCGAGACCAAACAGCCGACTATGACGAAACTCTAAGGGCGATTCATGAGAAACTCAAGAACGCCGGCCAAAAGTCTGATACCCAGACGGGTGACTCGGAAGGGATGGAAGCGCTACTGAAGGCCCTTGGGGGCGACCCGAACCTGCTCAAGGAGTTTGGTGGAGAGGGAGGAGAAGGTGATGGACAGCTGGAAGGCATGTTGGAGGGAATGATGGCGCAATTGATGACCAAGGAGGTCTTGGAAGAACCCATGAGCGAACTTGCGTCCAAAGTCCGTTGTATCCCTCTCGTCCTAGTCAAAGCTGACACTATCTAGTACCCGGCCTACCTTGCGTCACCTCCTGCCAATACCTCGTCCTCTGACCTTGCTCGCTACAAAAATCAATTCAGCCTTGTCACCCGTGTCGTCGAGACTTTCAACAAGCCTGGATTCTCGGATGAGAAGGATGGGAAGGAAGTGGCGAGGCTGGTCTCGGATATACAAGACCTGGGAGGGCCACCCAAGGAGGTGATGGGAGAGTTGCCGGAGGGCTTTGTGAGTGCTTTCTTCCTGACTGGGGCAGGGCATAGAGCTGATTTCTGACAGGACTTGGGTGCCTTGGGGGATGAAGAGGGATGTTCAATCATGTGATATCGTCAGGGCGTTGTTTGACGGCGGGGCGTGTAGACACTATCATAATAAGAACGTTTCACTTGGGGGGTGTCCGGATGCGACAAGATGGAGTGCATGTATGTAATGACTATGTAGACCATTCTGACGATTGCTTCGTTCGAAATCCGTCAGACACGCCAATGTCTTCAAGGTCATGAAGACGAGTGTTCCCTTCGGTAGCCAGTCTGAAAGTCCTATTGATAGCGACATGGTATATTGAACCTGGATGCCCTGATGGACTGCCTACGGTCGTGCTTCACCCGGACGAACTTGCATAGTTGGGAGTGTGCGGGTGACTTGTTTCGGGATCATGAAGGCGTAGGCATGCCCTCAAAGCTGCCGCTACTCTGCGGGAGATCTGATAGGAGCGGAAGCAGCAAGTCAAAAAAGGCGAACGAGCTGAGCTTGGCAGGGACTTATGCGGACCAAAGCCTGGTAGACACTCAAGTACCACAAGAGTCAAGGGACCGCAAATCGAGATATTGAAATGCTAGAACGTATCGTGATAATCATGTCAAGCACAATGCATATATACAGACGCCAGTGCTGCCTGTCCCGCCAGCAGATTACTACAAATACACCGTGAGATCAGTCCCAAGCGACGATCTCGTCCCAACTCGCAGCGTGGTCATCAAATTAGAAGAACCTCCACCAGATGAACAGAATGAAGAAGAAACCGATTCCTCCGACAGGCGCCCACTTGCGTATCAACGCGTCGATGTTGATCTGACGAGCCGCCTTGCGGTATTTAGCGGACTCGGAGCGGAGGGATGTTGAAAGTTGAGACATCCCTAAGTCAAAAGTCAGAGATCTGGACAAGCAAACAGGAAATCCAAGCTCACTATCAAGACTGTCACCTCTCCAAAGCAGATCCTCCATGTTCTTGGTCATGATTTGAGTCACGTCCTTCAGGTTCTCATTCAGTTGGTCCAACTGCGTGCCCGGCGCTTTGGAAGAGGAGGGACCGGCGCCGGGTTGTGTGAGGGAACGTGAATCGCGGTAGAGCCGAGTGGTCTTGCCAATGAATGTATCTGGGAATGTCAATCAGCATTTGGCGACAAGGGGCACGACAGACAACATACCAAATCCCATGAATGCGTACGGGCGAGTAGCACTATCAATCTTATCCCCATAGCTCCGTTGGAATTCTTTCGACAGTTCATCGAGGTAAGAGAATGCAAGCTTTCGGGGATAGCTGTTGTCACAGATACACATGTATATGACCTTGTCGACGATCAAGTAGCTACGCTTGATTCAGCTGATGTTGCCAAGACTGGATATAGCGAGTGCTTACTGTAGAGTGTAAGCACCAGACTCGATGGAGCAAGCAGGCTCAGAATTGGAATTCAAACGGCGGAAGATGAGTTTTGATTGTTGCTTGTATTCTGTCAGAGCTTTTTCCGTCTATACTCGCTCTTCTGGTCAGCGGGGCGGTGACATGAAAGCGCAAATAGGGAGACAGACTGATTCGTCGTCGACGCTGGCGGCGAGAGGCAGAGCGTCATGGACTCTGAATATAGTCGTTGATTTGACCATCGCAGCGCTGAGTATGAGCGTACTTCATGTATTCGAGTTGCAACCTCGTGCTGACATCAGGCGGGCGGAAGCATATAAGTGTTTACGTAACAGGCAGAAGATTGAATTTTGGCTGACCACTGGATTTGGATGGAATTTCTCCTCACGCACCAAAAGGCGACGGGCCAAACACTCCACAACCCCCGCCAGCTCGTCGCACGCAGCCATGGACATCGCCCACTCCCTCCACTCCGAGATCGACTCTCTGTCCTTCTCCTTCCTCTCCACAGAGGATGTCCAAGCCATCTCCGTCAAGAAGCTCGACAACCCCATCTTGCTCGACAACTTCAATCTGCCCACCCGGGGTGGTCTTTATGACCCCAAGCTTGGCCCTATGAGTGCTAGGGATGTGTGAGTGGACATTGACATACATGATCGGCAGAGCTGACTACTTTATTGAACAGCTGCGAAACATGCCACCTCTCCTTCTACGCCTGTCCTGGTCACTACGGTCATATCGAACTTCCCGTCCCAGTCTACCACCCTCTTTTCATGAACCAGTGCTATGGACTTCTTCGAGGCGTCTGTCTCTATTGCCACCACTTCAAGATGCCCGAGGTTACCGTGAGTACGACGATTATCTCAGCTGGATGCAACTGATATCATATAGCTTGCTTCTTACGCCGCTCGTCTGAGGCTTCTTGACGCTGGTCTTTTGACCGAGTCTCACGAGGTCGCCGCTCAGTTCGACAACGCTGTGGGAAAGTCAGCGCGTAGCAAAGACAAGGACGCAGAGGAAGACATCGAGGGTGATGTCGACATGGAGGAAGTCGCTGCTACCCAGGCTCCGGAGAATGTCGCCGAGTTCTTGGTCAGGATTGAGGCCTATGTCCAACATCATCTCAAGACTGCAAAGCACAACGCGGCCAATAAGAAGAGAGCGGAGGACGCGTACAAGGATGGACTGGTGTTCGAGGAGAGGAAAAAGCTGTTGCATGAATTTGGGAAGAAGATCTGGAACAAGTGTAGTCGATGCCATGCGTGAGTTCTGACGAGCTCCGAGGAGATACTGGGCTGATCGTAATAGTTACGGAAACACCTTCCGAAAGGAAAAGGCGATCAAAATCATCGAGTACGATCTCACGCCCAAGCAAAAACTTTCCAACAAGCTTGCCAACCTTCGACGACCTGATGTTCTCGCCTCCGCCGGCAAATACTCTTCCAAGCAGCGCCGCTCCGACGATGCTGCTGAAGTTGACGAAGGTATCGAGATGGAGAGCGACAAGTCCAATTCTTCTGATGAGGAGGGTGAGGACGTCGCTTCCGATGCCGAGGAAGAAGGAGACAATGAGGATGTGGCGCACAAGGTGGCCAAGACTGCATCAGGTCAGGTCAAGGGAACCAGAGGAAGGAATGAGCGAGTCATGTCACCTGCCGAGGTGCGGGCTCATCTCCGCACTCTGTTCAAGAAGGAGCCCCAAATTTGTAAAATCATCTACGGCAAACACGGCAGTCCTTCCGCCTCTGCGTCCTCCTCCCCTGCCCCTCTTGCCGACATGTTCTTCATGAGCGTCCTTCCTGTCACTCCTACTCGATTCAGGCCAGCTGCCAGAATGGGTGATGATCTCTTTGAAAACAGCCAAAATTCGCTGCTCACTGCGGTGATGCAGACCTGCCAGAGGATTCAGAAGCTCAATCAAGGCCTGATCGATCAGGCCAGGGCTGAGCGAGGCGAGATTGAGCTCGACGAGGTTGCCAAGGCACAAGCTCCCAGGACCTTTGAGCTGCTACTGGAGACTCTGATCAAGATTCAACATGATGTCAACTCGTTTGTGGACAGCACTAAGAACCCTGCTGTGATGAGACAGGGAAAGCTGCCACCCCCTGGTATCAAGCAGTTGCTGGAGAAGAAGGAGGGTCTTTTCCGAAAACACATGATGGTGAGTCGCCTTTGCTTGTCACAGTCAGATCTAATCTTTCGAAGGGTAAACGTGTCAACTATGCCGCTCGATCCGTCATCTCGCCCGATATCAACATTGAGACGAACGAAATCGGTATCCCTCCCGTCTTCGCCAAAAAGCTCACATACCCCGAGCCTGTCACCCAACAAAATGTCGCGGAACTCCGTCAACTCGTTATCAACGGCCCCAAGAACCACCCCGGTGCCTCTCTTGTCCAAAATGAAGACGGCACTCAAATCTCTTTGGACAGAACAACCGTCGCGCAGAGGACAGCCATTGCCAATCAGCTTTTGACTCCTCAAGGGGACGACCATGGTCTTGGCGGTAGCGCCGGGCCTTCCAAGAAAAACAAGAAGGTGTATAGGCATATCAGGGATGGTGATATTGTCATTTTGAACCGACAGCCTACTTTGCACAAGCCTTCAATGATGTGCCACCGAGTCAAGGTGCTGTTGGGTGAAAAGACTATCAGGATGCACTACGCAAACTGTAACTCTTACAACGCCGATTTCGATGGTGATGAGATGAACATTCATTTCCCTCGTAAGTTGGATAAAACCTGGACGAAAGCAAGCTAATGGTACCTAGAAAATGAGGTCGCCCGAGCCGAGGCTATGATGATCGCCAACACCGATAACCAGTACCTCGGTCCCACTTCCGGTAGTCCTCTCCGTGGTCTCATCCAAGATCACGTTGTTGCCGGTGTGTGGATGTGCAACAAGTCATCCTTCTTCACCCGAGAACAATACTTCCAGCTCATCTATGGCGCTCTCCGTACGGAGAACGACTACACTGGTCGTTCCAAGATCATGACCCTGCCTCCTGCCATCTTCAAGCCCAGACCCATGTGGACTGGTAAACAGATCATGTCGACCATCTTGCTCAACTTGACGCCCAACAACGCGCGAGGTCTCAACTTGACCTCGAGGAACAAGGTGCAGAACAAGCTCTGGCAGAGGGATGACTCTTCTGATCCTACGATGAGCGAGGAGAATGTTGTCTTCCTTGACGGTCACTTGATCTGCGGTGTGCTGGATAAATCGCAGTATGGTGCCTCGGGTTACGGTCTGGTACACTCTGTGCACGAGCTGTACGGCCCTTACATCGCCAACAAACTTCTGGGTGTCTTGTCTCGTTGCTTGACAAAGTACCTTCAACACAATGCCTTCTCCTGTAGGATGGACGACCTGATCCTCACTGCTGAGGGTGAAAAGATCCGAAAGGACATCCTCGACAAGGCATCTGGCGATGGCGCTACCGCTGCCATGAAGTATGTCGGCCTTCCGGATAATTCCAAGATTGAGGACCCCGACACTGCGAAGAACCTTGCCATCCGGCTCGAAGAGATTCTCCGAGATGACCACCTCATGGCCGGCCTTGACGCTGTCATGCAGTCCGCCTTCAACAAGACCACCTCCAAGATCAACAACGACGTTCTTCCCGAACACCTTGTTCGCCCCTTCCCTGACAACAATATGCAGATGATGACCATCTCGGGTGCCAAGGGATCCAAGGTCAATGCCTCGCAGATTTCGACTTTGCTCGGTCAGCAGGCTTTGGAGGGTAGACGTGTGCCGACCATGGTATCGGGTAAAACCTTGCCCGCTTTCAAGGCATTCGACACTAGCGCTAGGGCGGGTGGTTATGTCGCCAACCGTTTCTTGACTGGTATCCGGCCTCAGGAGTACTACTTCCATTGTATGGCTGGTCGTGAAGGTTTGATCGATACTGCCGTCAAGACCTCTCGATCCGGTTACCTTCAGCGATGTTTGATCAAGCACCTCGAAGGCGTCAAGGTTCACTATGACCACACCGTCCGAGACAGCGATTCTTCCGTCCTGCAGTTCTTGTATGGTGAAGATTCGCTTGATGTGACCAAGCAAACCCATCTCAACAAGTTTGACTTTGCTGCTGCCAACCACACCTCTTTGGTGCAGAAGGTCCGCCCCAACGATGTCTCGAGCAAGGTCAACCATGAAGCTCCTGGACTCATGAAGAAGGCTCTCAAAAAGCCTCACAAGTACCCCCCCGTGCTTTCAGAGTACTCTCCTTCACGATACATCGGTGCCATGTCCGAGGCATACGCAAAGAAGCTTGATTCTTACATCGAGGACAACAAGTTTGGCTACATCTCCAAAAAGAACGACAACAATTCGAGTCCGTTCACGAGCGAGAGAGTCCCCGAGAAAGAGTTTATGCATTTGGCGAGGGCTAGGTATATGAGGAGTTTGGTCGAGCCCGGAGAGGCTGTTGGGTTGATGGCTAGTCAGGGTGTTGGTGAGCCATCAACGCAGATGACTTTGAACACTTTCCACTTGGCTGGTATGTATGAGACTTACATTGGCTGTTCATTCGCTGACATATTTGTCAGGACACGGTGCTGCCAACGTAACTCTTGGTATCCCTCGTCTGCGAGAAATCGTCATGACCGCTTCCGCCAAACCCACCACACCCACCATGAAGCTTCCTCTCCGAGACCAAATATCCGACAAGGACATTGAGACTTTCGTCAAGCAAGTCTCTAGACTCACTTTGTCCGAAGTCGTTGAGCGTGTGACAGTCACCGAGCGACTCTCTGCCAAGTCCGGTGAGAACGACTCTCGACAACGCAAGTACACCGTCCTGCTCGAATTCTTCCCGCTCAAGGAGTATACGTCCGAGTACGAGATTACCACTGAGCAGCTCCACGAGAGCTTGGCGTTCAACTTTGCCCCCAAGCTCAAGAAGGAGATCCAGAATGAGATCAGGAAGGTGGCCAAGACCAAGGAGCAGGAGCTTCAGGTCGGAAAGGGCCGAAAGGTTCGAGCTGGCGGCGAGGACGGTGAGGATGAAGAAGAGCGAGAGCCCGAAGTGCGACGTCGAGGACGAGACGATGAGCTCGATGACGATGATGAGGACTCATACCAGCTGAAGCGAACTGCCCAGGCCAGACAGCACGAGTACGAGGAAGACTCTGATGGAGGTGACTCCGGTGTCGCGGATCTGGAGGATATCCTGGAGAACGACTTGGAAGGAGAGGACGATGAGGATGTTGATGAGGAAGGTGCCACCGAAAAGGCCAAGCAGGACTCCAAGGCGGACGATCTCGCAGAGCTTTTCAAGCTTGGAAGCAAGTATGCTACTACTTTCAGCTTTGACAACCACGGTGGCAAGTCTGCTCAGTTTGACCTGGAGGTAAGTACTGCTTGTTGTTTGTTGCCGCAATACTAATGAGGCCCGCAGTTCCCCGCCAACGCTCCCAAGCTCTTGTTGGTTGACCTCATCGAAAGGACGTGTAGATCAGCCGTTGTTCATGAAATTGAGAACATCGGTCGATGTATGAAGATTTTCTCTGACAAGGGCGAGTTCACTGTGAGTATTGTAACCATGAATTGAAGCGCACAGCTGACTTTGTGGCAGCGATCACTCATTACCGAAGGTTCCAACCTCCGAGGCATGTGGGCTCTTGCAGACGAACTTGTCGACCTTGACAAGCTGTCTTCCAACGACATCTACGCTATTCTCACCACCTTTGGTGTCGAAGCTGCGCGAAAGGCCATCATTGATGAAGTTTCAAGCGTCTTCGGAGCTTACGGTATCGCTGTCGACTACAGACATTTGACCATCATCGCCGACTACATGGTACGTGACTTTGTACATTAAAATAACAGCTACTGACCGTCTATCAGACTCACGGTGGCGGCTACAGACCGTTCAACCGAACAGGTATTGCGGCCAAATCTTCACCACTTCTCAAGGCCTCTTTCGAGACTACTGTTGCCTTTTTGTCTGAAGCCACCCTTCACGGTGACTTTGATGATCTCACAAGTCCCGCGGCCAAGATTGTCATGGGTAAACCTAGCTCGAGTGGTACTGGTGCGTTCGACATCCGTGCGCCTACGAGAATATAGTCGGAGTAGAAGAAGTGAAGAAGGGTTTGTGGTTTTGGTTTCATCTGTAATTCTTGTGCTCTAGTTTTGGTCCTGCATGATGCATAGTTCTGGCTCTCAGTTTATTCACTTTTGATTTACGTAATACCTAGAAGCATAAGAGGAGGTGTAATGTGCTGTGCAAACTATCATGATGGGGATGCTCTCAAGTCTCAACGACCAATGCCCCATGAACCCGCCCCCTCTCCTCCACGTCTAGTCCCCGGCGAGGGCACCATCCATCTCTCCCCCTCCCCCAACCACCCCCGCTTCGCCTCCCTCCAGGCAGCCTATCCTCTTAAGCTCCTCTGTCCCACCCCTCTCCCTTCCCAGCCTTCCAATCTCGCCACTCTCTACACCCTCGCTTATGGCGGAGGGCTCGTGGCAGGAGATGTCGTCAGCTTGAGGACCAAAATCGATGAGGGGTGTGGGCTGGTGATGTTGACGCAAGGGTCAACCAAAGTGTTCAAGAGACGTCCGGGACTGCGACCCTTGTCTCACGCGCACATATCATCTTCCCCTGCCTCCGACCCCAGTCTCACGAGGCAGCGGATGCACATCGCCTTGGCCCCGGGTTCTTTCGTCCTACTCCTACCCGACTCTATCTCCCCATTCCGCTCATCTATCTACTCCCAAGCCCAGCGCTTCCTCCTGCCACCCGACGGCTCTGCTTCCGCCCTGATCCTAGATTGGGTCAATTCGGGACGTGGCCAGCGGCCTGATCTGGGGGATGAGGAGATCTGGAGTATGGACATGTATGCTTCCACAAATGAAGTGGTTGTGGGCGACAAATTGGTGATGCGGGAGAGGATGGTGCTTGAGAACTCTCCTGCTACAAATTCACCCGAGTTGTCTCCTATCGCCAAGCAGCTCTCCCCATACAACATATACGCTACCCTCCTAGTTATAGGCCCCCACTTTGCCGACTTGATCAAATATATCAAATCCTACGGGGATCGGATGCGGCAATTCCAGCTGACCACTCCGCCGGGGCTGGTATGGAGCTTCAGCGAGGTCGATGAGAAGCTCGGTGCGGGGGTCGTGCGGGTGGCGGCGAGAGAAACAGAAGATGTGAGGAGGTGGCTAAGAGCAGTGATGCTCGGGGGCGGGGTGAAGGACCTGGTGGGTGATGGACTTTGGCCAAGATGCATCTAGGGACTTTAGGAAGTTGGCTTAGATGTAATCATTCCTGTTGTTATCAGAGCATGATTCATAAGTGTACAACCTGGACCGAGGTCTCTAGCAGAATTGAAACCCAAAAAGCACCTGCCGCTTTCACCCTCGCGTTCTTCAATCCCTACACGACGTTTTACAGCTGTCCCACCTGTGCAGCCGTCTCGACAAAGTCACTCGCCTCTTCCTTTTCGATGACCTTGATCGAACTGACTTTCTGCTTGTCAAAGAAGACACCGTAGAACTTGTCGGCTTGAGCCAGCATCTCAGATTTGAAAGTGGTGGTGATAAATTGAGCGTGCTCTGAAAGAGTATGGATCATGCCTGCCATAACGTCAGCCCGAGTAATTCGGTGGCCAAGCCTGGATACTCACTAGCAACCGCAGTACGGTATTGGGCATCCAAGTTTGCGTCAATCTCGTCAAACAAGTAGAAGGGCGCGGGATCACACTTTTGGATAGCAAAGACCAAAGCCAAAGCGACCAACGACTTTTGGCCACCCGAAAGTTGCTGGATACGCTGACCTTCGTCGTCTTTGGAGTTGAAGGACACACGAATCGTAACACCAGTATAGTTGTCAATGTCGCTCTTCTCGCGAGACTGTTCTTGAGACTCTTCAGAGTCATCCTCCTGCAACACTTGGTAAGTCTTCATCCAGCGAGGTCTCGGGCATACTCACAACAAGTCCATCCATTCTCTTCTGCATCACCAACACACCCTTTCCCAATGGCACAAGCGTTTCAAAGACCTCTTCAAAGTACTTTGACACCTGTTTGAACGTCCGCTCGATCGCTTCGTCTTTCCTCTGGTCAAGAGTCTCGATAAGCTCGGTGATCTTCTCGGCTGATTCGTCGAGCTCTGTCCGACGCTCGAGCAAGTCATCTCGCTGCCTGGTAAAGTTGTTGTACTGTTCGAAAGCCTTCTTGTTGACGTGAGCAAACTTTTTGAGACCATCGTTGATCTTGTGGAGACGTTTGACGATCTGGCGAACATCAGCCTTGTCTAGATGCGATTCAGATGTAACACACCTTATCAGACACTTGGTCTACATACTTCGTAAACGCTTCCTCAGGCAACACACCCAGATCCCGGATTGCCTTGTTGCACTCCTCTTTCCTGCCCAGTAGAGTACCTCGCTTGGTGAGGTATCGCTCGGCATTCTTCTGGACGCGCATAATGGCCCGGGTGTTTTCGAGCTGTTGGTTCTGCACGCGATCATGGTCATCGTTGAGCTGGGATATCTCGGCGGAGAGCTCTTCAACACGTTGTGTAGAGGCTACGTCTGATTAGCTTCTTGCATTGTCACGAAGAAAGATGAGCCTACCCTCGATTTGCTGTTTGAGCTCGTCAATGCGACGCTGGAGATTTCGCAATTCAGTCTTTCGCAGCTCCACTTCGCCAGCTTGCAATACTCCACTTCCAGCCTCTCCTTCAAGTTGATCCAGTTTGCCCCTCAATTCCTCCCTTTTCCTCCTCAGATTCTCCGCAAGCTCGATTTCGAGCCTCTTTCTCTCACCAACGACCTTTGTTCTCGCCTGCGTGGCATCGAGTAACGTCTTCTTTTGCGTTTCTGCCTTCTCTGACAGTTCTTCCAGCTCTCTCAGCTCTTCGTCTGTGAGGTTCTGGCGCATCGGCGTTTTCAGCTCTTCTTCGTGACTCGCTCGCTTTGCCTTGGCGTCTCTCAGCTCCCCTTCAGCCTCTTCCAGGCTGCTCTCCAGCTTGGCCACTCGGCTCCTCGTCCCCTCTTCTTCCCTCGCCGTCCAAGCCACCTTGTTGCTCAACAACCCTCGCCCATCCAAGATCTGTTTCCTCTTCGCTTCAATGACCTGGATCTCGCCCAGCGTTTTGGAAATGTTTTGCTCCAACTTTTGCAGGCCAGACTTGACTTCAGCGTGGCGTTCAGAATCCGTTTCAAAAGCGGTCTGCCATTTTTTGAGGGATTTGATGGCGTCGAGGCGGGAGCGGCGGACATCGTGATAACCACCAGTGAGGGCACCTTTGCGGTCGACACGGTCACCGTCGATAGTGACAGCGTTGAGGCCGTGGGAGCGCGTGTAGTGAGCCGCGGTTTGGAGATCCTCACAGATGATGGTGCGGCCGAACACCTGGTTCGGCATTGAGCAACGGTCGGCAGTGAAGGAAGACAACGTACCTGCTCGAAAGCCATCACATGATCCTTGTCAAACCTCAGCTTCTGGATCATGGGGATTGCGTCATTCGCCTTGGGGTAGTTGACAGTGTGACTTTTGAGTCTGTTTAGAGGCATGAATGTGACCCGTCCGCTGTTGATCTTTTTCCCGTTATTCGAGCGTTGCTCCATCTTGTTCATCTCTTCGAGAACTCTGGAGGCGGTCGCGTCATTGTCGACGACGACGTGGAACAGACTACAATCGATAAGCTATGACCTGAGAAGGAGAGGCGGACCATACCTATTACCGGCAGTAATTTCAACAGCAGTTTTGTACTTGTCGGAAACTTCGAAGAGAGAGTACAATGGGCCAATAACGCCGCCGAGGTCTAGTCGGTCTTTAATTTTCTGGACTGCTTGAAGACCATTGCTCATGTCCTACAGACAATCAGATGAAGCTCTTTATACCCCAAACGTCGACTTGCCTTGTCCATCATTCCGAATATCGCCCTTTCAGCCCCCTCCTTCTCAGTCCTCGCCTGTGTCACATTTTGACCAAGCTTGGCGTCTTCCCTCCAAAGCTCTTTTCGCTGCTCTTGCATCCCGTCCAGATCGCCCTTGAGCTTTGTCGCCTTTTCGCCCATCTTTCTCAACTCTTCCCTCCTCTCATCCTCTCCCTTGGCCTGTTCTTCTGATCTAGAAACGATTTCCGAGAGATGCTGCTTGCCGTTAAAAACCTCTTTCCCAAGGGTGTCGACTCTTTCGCTCTGGTCTTTCTCGTGGGCTTTCAGAGACTTGATCTCGTCCTTGAGGTACTTGTCACGAGCGGCTTGGGTGGAGAATTGCTGGGCACGCCCCTGTTTGGCGTAGAGGACAGACAGCTTTGACTGAGTGGGTTCGAGGCTGATGAAAGTCAGTATCATTGGCGACATGTCGATATCTTCCTTACATTTCCCTAGCAGCCTTTTCCTCGGCGACTCTTGCCTCTGCATCCGCCACAAGCCCGTCCAGTCTCTCGTTTGCATCATCAATCTTGTCTTCCAGCTCCTTGAGCTCTTCGGCGAGCTCCTGCCTCCTCTCTTCCCCGGCCTCGCCAGCAGAATCAAAGTCTGCAATCACGAGTCTGATCTCTTCCTGAGAGCGAAGAAGATCAGCTTTTTCAGACTCGTATTGCCGCAAAGAGAGTTGAGCGGTGGATAAGGAGTGTTTGGCAGTTGTGAGAGATTCCTCATAACGCTATCGCCCTTGTCAGCTAGCAGCCGAGGTGCGCATTTTCAAAGACTCACTCTGATATCATCCTCTCTCTCGTCGAATTCCTTTTGCTTTTCATTACTGTTATGTATATCTTGCCTTCTCTCAGCTTCAATCTCGTCGAGGGCGTTGGTGACATCCTCGAGCTCTCGTTGATGCAGAGCGTATTCGAGACAACGCCTATCCCTGTCCTTTCCTTGGTATTCCTTCAATTCTTCCTTCTCCTCTTCCAGCTCATTCAAGCGTTCTTCGATGAATGACAAGAGATCGGCAATCTTGTCTCTCTTGGCCTCTGTCACATTGTCAGCGTCCAGATCCCTAGAGACCAGTCATAGCTTACCTGTCTCTTCCATGATACGCGTCGACTCTGTTCGCTTCTGCTCATACACCTCTGTACCAGCGACATCCTTGAGTAGCCTTAGCCGTTCGCGATCGTTCATATTTGTGAGATGCGTGATCTACATCATCGTCAGCCAATGCACACACGTCGCCCGGTGTCTATCACTCACTCGTCCTTGGGGAACAATGTAATACGGGTTGGCCTTTGAGAACCCAGCACTCTCAAGCAACTGATCGACCTCCGACTTGCTCGCACTCTTCCTATCCAAAGAGTATTCATCCTTTTTCAAGCCGATTGTTCGCCTCAGAACCAGCTCAGGACGACCTGTCGGGAATCGCCCATCCTCGTTATCAAACACCACCTCCACGTAGGCGGATAGTGTCGTCTGCGTACTTGTGCCTTCATGTAGCAACCGCTGACGCTCTTCTCGGCTGAGCTTGGTGTACTGATCGGAGAGAACGAATCGGATGGCGGAAAAGAAGTTGGATTTTCCACTACCGTTTCTGCCAACGACAACGTTGTGCCTGGGGCTAGATAGCATCAGTATATAGCTCCCTCGACATGCGTGCACTCACGAGAATGGGTCGACAGCGACCTGGTCTCTATAAGACTTGAAGCCTGCAGACGCGTCAGCTGGATGCGGCATGTGGATGCGGGCAGACGTACCCTGTATGGTGATTGTTTTGATGTACTAAGCGTGGTCAGCGACGGCGTGCATGCTCCCGGGGCACTCACCATGGGCTGTGTTGGATGATAGAGGAGGATGAGAGAACGCGTGAAAGTCATGTTCCCGAAAGTCGCGTCAACTGTGGATTACGTAAGAGGACGGGTGACTGCTGGCGGGAGCGTGCGCGCGTTCGACTACCCGTCCGAGGAAACCCTTGCAATTCAAATTTCAGGATTGTATATCTCCCCATATCCCGCCATGCCCCCCTTCAGACACAAAGAGCTGCAGGTCATCTTGCAGAACGACAAGCGCGGCATCCTCACAGTCGAAGACGCAGCTCTCCAGCTCCTCCAGCTCTCCAGCGACGGACGCCGTGAGTCCCGACCCCGCGGGGGTGTTTATCGCGGCTGATATCGTCCACCCTAGCACCGAGTCGCCTTCTCACATCGCCCCTCAAGCAATTCCTGAATGGCCAGCTTGCACCTGCACCGAGTGGCTCAAAGCGCCGACTCGACTTGCACTCTCTAGGAGGTGGGACAGGTACAGCTCTCAAGCTGGTTGAACTTCACGTTCTCGTCGAGCCCAATCACATCAAGGAGGCAGAGGAGTGGCTCGAGGACCTAGTCGCAGCTGCATACAGTAGTGAGTCTTACTTGACTGGATACAAGTGTGTGATAATGATCTGATGTGCTATCCTCAGCGGTCAAACCTTTCAGAAAGGTACTCCTTCTCGTCAACCCTGCTGGTGGCAAGGGCAAATCCCGAGCGATTGTCCGCGAGATTGTCTTACCTATACTTAAGGCTGCGGGTACTATCGTGGACTTGAAGGGTGAGCAGAAAGACACGATCCGAGGGAGCGACTGACGTTTGCCCAGAGACGACACACCGGTCGCATGCCGAAGAGATAGCAGCCACTATGGACCTGAACTACGAGTACGAGCCTCCCGAATCAATGCAATGTCCTGGCTGACGTGATATTACAGCGTCATCGCCACAGCCTCTGGTGATGGTCTGGTGTACGAAGTGCTCAATGGTCTCGCGTCGCGGCCGGATGCCCGACGGGCTCTGCAAATCCCAATAGCACCGATACCTACAGGTATTATACATTAAACTTCTTGCCCTTTTAGTGACTAACACATAAGCAGGATCTGCCAATGCTGTCTCCACCAATCTTTTCGGCGTTAAAGATACCTTCAATATCCCCCTCGCATGCCTCAACATTGTCAAAGGGGAGCAGATCCCTATCGACCTCTGCTCTGTCCTCCTTCTTCCCTCCCGCACTCGGCGCTTCTCTTTCCTCGCTCAAGCTATCGGCCTCATGGTAGATCTGGATATAGGCACCGAGAGCTTGCGTTGGCTGGGCGACACCAGGTTCTTGGTGGGCTTCTTGAAAGGTGTAGTGACCAACAAGGGAGCAAAGTGTAGACTCAAGATGAAGGTGGTAGAGGATGACAAACTCAAGATGGCGAGGAAGGCAAAGGAGAGGGTGAAGGAGAGGAAGGGGGCTGAAGTTTTGGGGGGTGGTCAGGACCCATTATCGGACGGGTTGACCAAAATCAGCCTCAATGGCTCGGCTTCGGCTGAACCTAATGGCCACGCCCATCCTGATGCCCACAGCAACGGGAACGGCGTGCAAGTAGAAAGCAAGCCAATCGACGACGGACCCATACCTGAATCTCTTCCCCTCGAGCCCGACGACAGCTGGATCACCATCGAGAACGCTACTGGTCAGAACAAGTACAGTCAAGCTTCCGCCCAGAGCCTCCGAAGCCAACCAGAAGCGCAGAAGAAAGGGGGTTGGGTGGATGGCCAGGGTATTCTTTACTTCTAGTACGTGATCTTCTCCTTTTCATCGAGTCGGGTGCTGACCAGCTTGCAGTGCCGGTATGATGCCTTGGGTGGCACGCGACTTGAACCAGTGGCCCGTTGCAATTTCTGGAGATGGTCTGATCGACGTGGTCGTACAAAGTCAGGTGCCAAGACTACAGATGACCAATGCCATCTCTGGGGCGGAGCATGGCGATCCTTACTGGCTGGATACGCAGCATTATTACAAAGGTGAGTCTCGTTGCCAAATGTGATACCTGGTACGAAGGGCTGATCCTGGTGGTCCAGCTTCGGCTCTGATAGCAGAAAACCTTGACAAGGTCAATCAACCCATTTTCACCATCGGTACGTCCAGCGATGACATTTGCCCATCATATATGGTGGCTGACCCATTTTTGCAGATGGTGAATCGTACGAATTTGACGCTTTCCATGTGGAGGTCCATCCTCGAGTCGCCAACCTTCTCAGTCTTGAAGGAGACTTTTCCACGTCCGACTTTTTGAAGAAGAACTACGAAAAGACGTAGGCGGTGGTCGACACGCGTGGGATGGGACTTGTCGCGACGGGTTCCCAAGACCCTTGCGATTGTAGGCGATACAACATACGTTTGATAGATCAAGAATTATAGATGAATTGCGGGATATGCATGTTCTAGTATGCTCTAATTGAGTCCTGTTTTCGCATCACATGACATTCTATAAATCAGTAAAGTTTGTTACCCTTATTCTCACTTCTCCATCTTTTTATCAGCCCTCGGGCGGCGAGACCGATAGCACCAGCGCCCAACAAACCCCCCAACACGCCGAGAGGAGTGTATCCCTCGCCCCGGATACCCATACTCATACCACGTCCACTACGAAACAGCTTTTGTTGTGATGTTGACAAGGGTGTTGAGCCTAAAAGCAGTGTTTGGGCGTGGAGGAAGATCTGCTCGATTATGGGTTTGTGTTCGTCCTAGCTATGTATCAGCTGAGGTCTCGTACCATCTGAAACCACTCACGGCGTTCTTTCTCAACCTTCCTGCCAGCCCCTCAAAATCGACCTTGACGCCATCCAACGTCTTCTTCATCTTCCTCCCTCCCTTCTCCAGCTCCTCAAGCTTCCTGATCAGCTCGTCCACGTCCTTGTTGCCGCTACTCTTCTCTTTCTCCCTCCTCTGTTTCTCAACTTCCGCCGCAAGGGTCGCACGTTCGTGCTCATGGACGGGTTGCGCGTCGAGAGGGTCAATGGGGGTGGTGAGGCGCTCGATCTTCTGATTGATGCCAGACATGGAAGAAAGGAGAGACATTTGATAGCTAACAAGGGCTTCTGCTATACGAGAGTCCTGTGGTGAAAGTCATATCAGCGTCTGAAGGCCAAGTAAGGCGATGCCACTTACGATAGCGGCGTTAGCAAGAGGGTTGTTGGCAATGTTGGCAGCCAGAGCCTCAGGCGAGTCTCGGAACCTCCAAGGCTTGTACTTCTCATCGGGATTCAGACAGATGACTGCAGCACATTACTAAACGTCCCAGAGGAAAGCAGCAGATGACTCACTGTGTTGCACTTCCCCGTTAACGAAATCGTCCTGGAAAGTTCCCTTGGCGCTACCCCTGTTGATCAGGAAGGCAGTTGGCTTTCCATTCTCAGGAGCCTTGGGGCATCTGCTCCCAGGGACACCACTGAACTTGGCTTCGCCCTCGTTGCCATTGATCACCTTATTTCCCATGACCTCAAAGTCTTTTGCGGAAGCTACAACCAGTCCGTATCCCCAGTATTGCCCATAGAACCTGTTGTTCGTCACCACCGCGCCCCTCACCACACTCTCGGTATCGTCCGACCATGAGGCAGGGCCAATTACAATGCCAACCTTGAAGTAGCGTCCCAAGGCATGAAGGTGGTTGTTGTGTACGGTGACGCCAGTGTAATCGCCTTCCCAAGGCTCGTAATCGACAAGGTTGATTCCTCCCAAGATGACTCGCGTGCGAGAGTAGATGTGATTGTTCTTCACCACAGAATTGGCCGAGCCAAAGATAACGATGGCACCGTCGGTCGCATCGTATACCACGTTGCGCTCGACGATAGAGTCCTTGCAGGCTAGACTGATCCCATCGGCTCGAGGGTTGCCCCATGGAGGGTTCACCTCGTCCATACCATCGTAATCGTCGTCCCACTCTTCACCACATGGTCCCTGTATAGAATCAGTATTTGAAGTAATCTGTGGAGGAGATGAAACGTACGATTTCATTGTCTACAATGTGTCCGAATCGACACTGCTTCGAATCCCCTTCTCTGAAATGCAGTGTGCTCCAACCCCTGGGCTCGTATAGCTTACAGTCCTTGACTGTCTGGCTCTCTGCATTTCCAATCTCCACCAAGGCCTCGCCTTTGGGGATTCTCAGCAGCTGTGGTCGATTGCCGTCAATGATGATAGAACGTATCATCGCAAAGGAACACCTCTGGCAGTCCGCACTACTCGTCCATTAGCATTAGCCTTTTGCGATCACATGTTTGGACGCACTGGATAGCAACTGCTAGATCAGGCCCGTCTACTAGCAGCATGGCTCTTTCTCTGTCCTTCGGATTCCCGAGAGTCGTGATGGTTTGACTGGGCGCAGTAAACTGGACGGACGCATTCAGCCTGTGTACGGACCCCGGGCATAATGTGACCGTCGCCCCTTCTCCACCTGAAAGATATGTTAGCTACCGAGAGATACATGCCAGAGTCCAGAGTTACCCGTTGCGAATATCTCATTGATGGCGCGTTCTGTGCCGGAGAGTAAACAATCGGACGAGCGCGGGGCGGCGGCTGAAATGAGAGGCAAGAAGAGGAGGGCGAGGGAGGAGAGCAGCATGATTATGGGGGCCGTGGACACCCTCTGTGGGACCGTTTATCTATCGACAGGAGCTGACGGGCGTTTAGGGAGATGGGGAATGTAAACAAATGATCCAGATTTCAGACAGATCTGCCGAATTGGACGCGTCGATGAGTTCTTAGCGCCGAACCATCCATCTATTACAATTTACAACTCTGCCCTTTTTCCTGGCATAAATTCACCAGCTCAACGGATCGACATGATAATCCCCCGGCTGCTGGAAGCGCCTTCATCTATCGCCCCAGGAGCCCATCCTCAAAGTCGAGCATGGGAGCCTCCGCCTTCAGATGGACGGTTCATCAGATGGACGGTTCACTTTCTTAGAGCGTCAAGGGCAGCTTGAAACGCCTGACGTCGTTACTCCTCGGAGCAAGGTATGTCATGAATCTATGATGTCTGTTTGTGTACAGTCCAGACATGCCGAGATAACGATGGCGTCTACAAGTACGATCTAGACACGCAGCCGCAGCCGATTTCAAGTCCATGATGCCGACGAAGACAGGAGCCAATGCAACATCAATTCGAATCCCAATGGAGAAATCAAATCAGAGATTAGACTATAGAAGAGGGTCTGTCTGGGGACAAGCACAACTATACGACCCAACGGTATACCACTTTCACAGCCACTAGTGCCATCCCTTCTCTACGTCTCGCTGAACCCATCTTGTGCCGCTAGACGATGCGGTTCCGCTGCTCCCTCTCCTACCACCAGTGGTGATACTCCCATTGTCCTCGGCACGCGGAGGACTGATCTTCTTGCTCCTGAGGGCTTCCAGCAGCCTCGTTGATCGTTTGACCTTCACCCTCTCTTCCTCGCCCATGATGAGCCAGCTGGAGCCACCGTCGCTCTGCTCCGTTGCACTATCCTGCTTGTCCTGGCTAGACATCACCACCTCCTCAGCGGTAGATTCGTGCGACCGTCTAGCCTGCCACCATCTATATAGGGCATATGACAACCAGATCAGGAAGATGACCCCCATCAGGGAGGAGAAGATCGCGACAAAGTACATGGCGCCTGTCCATTTGAATTGGTAGCTTCCTGTTTGCTCAGCGAGCTGGGACTCGTATTGAGGCGAGGATGTGCTGGCAGCAGTTGAAGGGAGGGGGATAGAGGAAGTTCCAATCGATGTGACTGATGATGGCTCTGCAGAAGACGATGTCGCCGCTTCGCTGTAGCAAAAAGGTCAGCACAGTCATGATATCAAACATGATTACTCACGTCTTCGACAGAACCACAGCATAGTCAAATGCCAGACTTTGATTGCCGGAATTGATCAAAGTAAGATAATGAATCCCTTCGCCGGTCACCTCGGTGTCGAAAATCAAGTGATGATAATCCACGTTGTCCTGCTGGGCACAGAAGACGCCAACTGTCGTGTTATCGATGGCAGCAGTGAACGACCCTTGATTGGGACCAGCCAAACCGTAGGCCCAGATGTGGCTACCTGTAGATCATCAAACCATGAGCACCTTGAGTATGGGAACATATCATCATGAGACATACCGGCAAACGCAAGTCGTGTCCAACTTCCATCGGATGTCGTCCAGCTCAAAGAACTATTCCAGAATTCCCCTAGGTGGGGCTGAATCGCATCCATCTGGGTCTGATTGATGTACTCGTCTGATCCGTTGATTCTGAGCATGTTCCAGCCAGAGGACAGGCTGAGCGAGGAGGTGCTCCATTGGGAGTCGTCTATTGTGTAATTCTGAGCCCTGCATGTTGTCTGTCAGCTCATACCGTTTGAATGGAGCTAGATACTGACATGACAAGTTAGAAATGACAGCAGCTGATTCTGGGATGCCTAGGTAATATGTGGTGTATAGGCTCTTCACTGGGAGCGGGGCGATTGTCAGGGGCTTTCTGGGAGATTGACAAAGGAGTATCAGCTCGTATTTGGTCAGCATAATATATGCAAAGAGCACAGCTATCCAGAAGCTGACCCACCGCTTCCCTGACATATGCTGTCCAGTTGAAAGGGAGGATAGGAGATGGCTGTACTAGACAGTGATAGAAGGAGGCAAGGAAGCAGGGAGACGCCATAAAGGTCCTCCTTGGAAGGAGACTCACACACACACACCTTCCCTCCCCAGCTGGCAGATCAATATCATCGTGTTGATGTGGAAGGTGATACGACGCCCGCGCGATACTGATTTGATGCTCTCCGGCTAGGGTTCGTATCTGGATACACTGTGCGCTCTGTCGACGGCCTCGACGGGATTGTGTTGGTACCCTGAGATATGTGATGCCAGGGTTCGGCTGGTCTTTCTTTCGGTTTCAGAGAGATACGACGTGTAATGAGGCTGTTTTGGCACCTATGCATAGCGTCGAGAGTCCGTCAGGAGGCAACTTTGGACACACTATATGAAAGAAAGGGTCCATCTGTATACTTAACGAGCAGTACCACCTAATTGTCCTGGCCGGCCATCTCCCCGCCCTCGTCAGAACGCGTACTTTTGAGGACATCGTTGAATCTTATCTGCCATACAACTATTAGTAATTGCACTCCAGTTGACAATGTACCCTTACCACAACATCTTCACCCCAGACAGGACCCAACAGTAGCAGCCGCTCTTCAGCGGACATATCGTAAGCAAGTCGTTCGGCGCCACCATGTCTGACAGTGGCAAACCTGGCGTTGAATGTATTGACACCGAACGTGTCAATCAATGTAGCCTCATGATCAGGCTGTGGCGTATCAGTAACGTCTTTGGGCGATGTCGATATCAGACAGAGAAATCCAACTCACGACAGGTTCAGACTGCATCCATCTTCGCCCACCGTAGCGTTGGTACTCCTCCTCCCCCATCCTGTCTTTCAACATCGCCTCGTCTGATTCCAGCGCTCCCATGACACCCCTTACCACTTCATTGGCACCTTCACAGGCAAAGACAAACTCTACCTTACCGATGATGTCAGCGTCCCCTTGCCAAGCCGCCTTCTGCCCTCTCTTGAGTGATCCAAGGGCATGGATGATCTCGACACCGAGAGGATTGGCACACTTCCCAGCGTCTTCGTGCTTGTCGGCGATGACAAAAGAGATGGTCTCGAAAACGAGGATGACATGGTGATAGAAGCTTGCTGCTTCTTTCAGCTGCTCGAGTAGTTGGACATGGACATCAGGCAAGGTTTGAAGCGAGCGGAAGATAACAGCCGTCACAGGTGAGATGACCAGATCAGCACCTTGCAAGTCGCGATTGTCAAAGAGATAAAAGTTTTGGCTCTCCAAAGCCTTGATGAGAGGCCTGTTCTTGAAGAGATCTACCTTGGCGATGACAGGCATCGGATTGGCGTAAGGCTGGACATTCCCCTGGGAAGCACGGTCATACCATGATGGGTTCTGAATTGCGGGATCAGCCCTCCAATTCACGGGTTCTCCTTCCTCGTCTTCTTCGAATATCGCAGACAAATCTTGCCCGACCGCTTGTTTGCAGGCCACTTCCGCATCCTGTCCAGCCAAATGACCAAGGTTCTGCAGATGCAGGAAGCCGCTCAAAGTCGAGGGATCAGCGTTTGTGGGACGAGTCAGAGTGACTGTTGAAAGCTCCTTTGAGTGACCTGTTCTTTCACGGTTCGATTCTTGAGTTTGAGGCGGGGGAACAATTGACATGAGGATGTCGTCTAGAGTCGGATTTGAGGGAGCTTTTAGGCTCTCAGCAGCCTTTCTCTTCTTCCTCGAGTCACCGACCGCCTCTTTCGTGCTTTTTGGAGTAGGTGTGATGGTCACGATCTCCGCATCAACCAGTCCATCGTCTTCGGGCATATCCCCCACGTCACCTGGAATCACCTGACCTTTTTTCCTCTTGTTTGTCTTCCCTTTGGCGGCTGGAGAAGGTGTATAGGTCGCGGGTAGAGTGGTAGTCTCTGAAAGAGCCGAAGAAGTCAAGCTCTTCTTGTTGGAAGACTTGAGCGCTTCCTCCCTTTCAGCGTCTTGTATTGTCATCCACCGCGGCTTGACTGGCGTCATCTTCTTCATTGGTCTCTCGACAAGACTTCGAATGGCGGCATCAGCTGGATGATGTACGGGACCAGGTAGGTGACCGGACGAATGTCGGAGTTGGCTGGCTGGGGGGTCTGGCAAGGCAGAAACGTTTGCTGCATGATCATGACGGACAGGGGAGTGATGATGTGATCGATAGGGATCCCAGTCAAGCTAATCAGCCTGTCAGTGTCGCAAATATCAACCGCAAATCGGCTTACCTCGCTCGCCAAAGCAGTGCTGACCCCAGGGTACTTGACGAAAAGCATCCTATCTGTCTCGACACCTCCCGCCAGACTGTCGGCCAAACCGGAGTATGACATGGGAAGATTGTTTCTGGGATCTGAATAGGCCTCCTCCGTTATATTCGGTACTAAGACTCATCAGCTCCGGTCGTTGCTGGACGCGCACATGCTCACTCCCTATATGGTTCGTTTTGGTGGTGTCGAGCTCTTCGCTGGTAGCATGAGCAAATGCAGTCTCTTCCGCTGTACCATACCCCTCTCGTTCTTTGTGAGTGTCCAACTGGGTGGTAGAGAGGATGTCTCGGAGAACTTTGTTGATCGGCTGAACGCAAGAATCTTCCATCTGCTCGGCCACGCCAGAGAGACTGGGAGTGGCGATGTCTGTTCTTCCTTCCACAGTCACGGGCGGAAGAGGAGGTGACGAATTTCTGACGGGAGTAAACAGTTGATCGATGTGATGCGAGTTTGAAGACGGCAGGTCGAAGCGTGCGGGCATCAAAGGCGGTTCTGATAGTCTCGTCAGGCGTACAAAGTCTATTGTTTGTGACCACGTACCGATGCGAGGGTTTTCTTCCCAAGGCATCCGCTTGTTTCTGCTGTGAGTCGGGGGAGGAGACGGTGGCAAAAATGTAGCTTGAGACTGTATGGGTTGGAGACGTGAATGCTTATCGACACTTTTAGGAGTCAAGGGCGCAAATGGTACCCCATCTACAGGCGACAGTCAGCCGCTGTGATAAACACCAGTAGGGCGTGGCTTACCAAACTTGTCTAAATTGTTTGAGCTCATCACCTGTTCGAGAAATTCTTGGCTGTCATTGTCCGTAGCCCATCGTGGTCCCAATCCTCGACCCGTCATAGCTCGGCTCCCCGATAGCCTCAACCTACTATGACTCGCCTCCCCTACAGTTCCTTCCAAATCCTTGAATGTTTCGGGAAGCTGAGGCAAGTCTGCCACGGCTTCTTTGAGAGGAAAGAGGGGTGGGGAGAGTGGCAAAGGTACACTCTGCGTACCCAGTCAGTCATGTCTCCCCCATCACCGGCTGAGACGATATTTACATTCAACAGCAATTCCGACTCTTCTTCCCATTTACCCCAGATAGGGTTGCCAGAGACGGCCCCGCTGATGGTCTTGTTATACGCCTTGATCTTGGTGTTCACGTCTTTGACCTTCTCGCTTGCAATATGAAGCTCCTCGTCGGACCAGTCCGGTCGCAGATTCCTACCAGATGAGTCAGCAAGGTAGCCACAATGGGACTGCCTGGGTACATACAAGACTTCCTCGGCATTTGCCTGCCTTGGTTTGATCTGCGGGTTTCTGAGGATACCCAAGATATGAAAACCCTTGTCACCCAACACCTCGTAATTCTCAGGCAAGCCGTCATCTCCATTGCCAATGGTAAGAGTCTCTTCCATCATCTTTGCTGTCATGAGGACCTCTCGAGGATGAAGGTATTCGGGCCACGGATCATCTGAGGTCGTTACAGAAAGAGTCAACACTGTACAGAGATACTCACCGATAGGCTTGAAAGACACCTGCGCCGGGCTACTGGACTTCGCTTCCTTGTGCCTCTTCATGACCGCGTTGATAAACGGATCTTTCATCCTCCCATTTGCACCTTCTTCTTCCGCCCTGCTCTCATAATGACTGTAAGGGTCGTAGGCAGGCCGAGGGAGGTTGGCCAGCCACTCATTGAAGTGTACCAGAGGGTCCTCGTCTCGAGGGCCGAACGTCTCGGGATAAGTGGTAGTATCGATCTCGGTGAATGTCTCGAATACCTGTCATGAAACATCAGACACTTTGACGTCTCGCCAGAAGCGTGGGCTTACGCTTGCAGCAGTATCCTCCATCCAATCGACGTAATCCACGCCAATTTTGTTGTGCAGCTCGACGACAGCTTTGCGGTAGATGCTCTGCCGTATCTCGGGCGGGGTGACTTGAGGATTATCGACCATTGTGCAGAGTGGGATGTGGATGAAAGAGGAAATGGAAATCAAAAGGAGGATGGTGAATGAGTTGACTGGACTGCCGGCTCGTGTGCAACACACATGACGCGACACGCGACGCGTCTCTTCTGCCAGATCGGTATTGAAATGCCTGCGCGCGTCAGTGGGGAAGAATGGATGTAGCCCTTCGGTATCCTGGACGGTCAAGGGCCAGATTGTTGCAGAGCTGCAATGCATGATCGAAGCCACAACAGCTTTCGCAAGCGGCTGGTTATTCCAGCTGACTACAGCTGTCTGGGTTGGGAACAGAGCGACGTGGGATCACCGGTCGAGGGCTACGACTTATGTTGGCATGAACATGGGGACAGAGGAATACAGACGAACTCTGGGCTTGCATGAGCATCCCGCCCGCGAGCTTGGGTCGCCCCTGCAAAGACATGACAGCGCGAGACGTATGTCCAAGCTAGGACAGCTTCGTGGGCTTTCTTCAGGGGGTATAAGCTGACTGACACAGCCAGGGGAGTACTGTCCGGATGCTCGAGGCTCAACCCTTACCCCCACCCGCTCCGATCCCGATATCCGTGAGCACCTTTGCCCTCTCTTCTCCACCCCTCTTCCTAAGCCATTCCAAAGCTTCCCCTACCTTCTCCATCTCGGTCCATTCCCCTCGGCCTTTTCCTCCCCGAGCACCGGTTTCTTGACCCTTCTGCACCACGTTCCCCGCTTCTTCTGGAACGGGAACAGGGGCAAGGCGCACGCGCAAAGCCAGCCATTGCCAGGACTTGACTTCTCTGATCCATTCCTCTAGATCAAGGAGGTCGCCTATGGCATACATGATCCCCGGATGGCCCGTCTTTGAGAAGCCTATCAAGGACAAAGATGAGGATAAGGCGTGAAGGTCTTTTCGTTTGGAAGGTGCCAAAAGGTGGTGAGAGACCAGTAGAGCGTGGTGAGGTACGGTTGGGACATCAGGAGCCAACGCAGGAGGCTTCGAGGGGGGAGGAGACGGGGTAGTGCCTACTGGGGCGAGGAGAGGGAGAAAGTGTGTAGTCATCGCCTCGTAGAGCGGATAGCTGTGAGATGACTTCAGCATCGGCTCGAGGGTGATCAATGTGGTCGCACTCACTCCTGGTCCTCATCCCAGTCTTCAAGCTTGCCCTGGACCCAGTCAATCCACCCAGCGGCTTCGTCCCTTCCCATCTGGCCACCCTTGATTTCCACGGCCACACTCTCTTTCTTCGGAAATCCTTGCCCCACGGAGACTGATAAAGAGAGCTGGCTGTCGGAGCTGGTGACGGTGAACACGGTGTGGTCTGGCGAGACGTGGCTGTGGAGTATCTCGGATGGGAGGAGGGATGCGCTGACGAGTTCGAGCTCGGCGGCGAGGCCATGTTGTGGCTCCATCCTCCAGGTGCTTAAGGGACTTGCGACAACCAAGATTTCTCGAGCGTTCATGATGCTCGGCCTCGCCGAGGCAAGCACACGTGGAAAGACGGAAGCAAAATTTCAAAGCTTCGCCCTCCGTCTGCCCTCCGTTCACTACTGCAGGTTGCAACTTGTTTACAGATAATCAGTGCATTCCAGATATTCAATTATGGCCGGTGAGTAGTGGCATGTCAGTCAATGATGCGGAAAGCTGATTCATATCTAGCCCAAGAACACAAAGCCGAGGCTTCAGCCTCAGCCCAGCCTTCCTCTTCATCTACCCCCGCCCCGGCCGCGGTCGACAAGAAGGCCAGCTCTGCTCAATCCGCCAAGCTTCTCAAGAACTCCCGTCTCCCCGCTACCATGATCACGGCTGCAGGCTCTATTCAAGCTTCTCAAAAGAACAAAGCCAACAAGGGCCAGATGTCGAAGAAGAAGAAGGCCAGGACGGAGAAGGGCAAGGACAGAGCAGCGGAGCTTAGTTCAAGGTTGGAAGAGAAAGTAAGGGGAAGAGAGGATAGGAAGGTAGGACATTTCATATAGGTGCAAGAGGCTGTAGCTTACATGACTCCAGGCTAAGAGACAAAGGGCGAAGAAGGCTTGGGAATGAATGGCTGGCGGAGAGTTTTGGGGTGTAGCAAACGATCGGGCAGGTATAATACATCGACATCTTGTACAAAAGCTTGTATACATGTATGATTCAGACTATTCGCGCTGGTTGATGGGGTGACCTACCATGAGCAGTCCTATCGTTGTAATGACCAGGTGTACCGTATCTCATCATGTTACCGGGAGTAGCAAGCTGGGTCATGTGTGCGGGTAAGACATCGTAGAAGGCAGAAACTCGTCAGTCAAGAAGAGCAAGCCTACAGCACAGTGGTCACAGTCCGATAGAAAATGGCCAAATTTTGCAAATGTCCCTCAAGCTTGTTTTCAGGCCATTGTCAAAGTTTAAGCCAATCAATGTTCAACGGTAAACGCTGTGGAGGGCGAAGACAGAAGCGACGGTTGCGCCTCCCCAGACAGCCTTTGGCGCACCTCTCGCCCGTTCCCGCACGCTCTATCCCGCATCATCCTTGTAATGCCTTGCAATCCAGAACCATGACCCGTGTTTTTTTTGAAATAGTCTCATCTCAACCTATACAAAAACCATTCTAAAACCCTTAAGCACGGCCCGCACCAGGGACGAATCGGGTCTTCCTCTCTCGAGGAGCGTTGGCAGAGACGGCGTTGACGTTGACGTTGAGGTCGTCGAAGCCAAGGGACTTGAGGAGGTCCTTGGTCTCGGTGTCGACCTCGAGGGGAGACTCGTCGGAAGTGGCAAGAGCGGAGACTTCGGGGACGTATCTTTTCACAACGTCAGCGTACCACACACTCGGCTGACAAGACAAACGTACTGGTCCTTCCTCTCCCTCTCCTCCTCCTGGAGCTTGAAAGAGATACCGCGCACGGGACCCTTCTGGATTCGCTTCATCAAGTGGGTGGTGACTATCGAACCGCGTTAGCGGGCTGGGGTACATAGATCTCATGGAGATGCTACTCACAGCCAGCGATCTTGTTCCTCAACCTCTTAGAGGGGACAGTGGCGACCTCATCGAGGATTCGCTTGTTGGTGCTGATGACCGTCAGTAGGGCTTCCAAAAAGACTGCTGATCCGCCCATGAACCGCCAGCACGGCACGATGTCCCCGACCAATTCCACGACCACCTCGAATGACGGGACAAAGGTGACTTACTGGAAGTCGAGGGTAAGACGGGGGTAAAACCTCTCGATGAGGGTCCTGGAAGAACGCTTGACAGTCTTAGTCCTGACTCGACCCTATAGTCCCAATTTCATTCCCATCAAGATAATCCAGCATCCACCAAAATTGACGAAAGTGTTGTAAAGAGACGGGGTAGGAGGGGAAACAAATGAAGAGAGGAGGAAGAAGCCTGGTCAGCATTTCTCTCCCACAGCGTACAGGAGGCCGACTCACCATGATGAATTATCCTATGAAGGTTAGTTTTAGGGATAGCGAACACCAAAACCAGAGGAACCTCCAAGAGCGAGGGCTGCAGAGCGGGACCAAAAGCGGTCTTTGCCGCCCCGCACCACGGAATCAAAAAAGTCGTTTCTCCGCGGCGTGTGGGTGCGAGGCACTGTTCTATCGCCGACGATTGCGGTTAATGCATTCTCCTTTTTGTTTGGCTCGTCTCTTTGCAGGTCAACCCACATTCATGCATTGATGCTATACTATATTTCTGATTCTTCAATAGGTAACTCTCATTCACCATTCTACTTCCAGTCCACCCTCAGCTCCTTGTCGATCTGCCCAAATCCTTCAAAGAATGCTCTGAAAAAGTCGATGTAATACCGCACGTCTTTCGACCCCGCGGTTTCCCGAATCGAGTGCATAGACAGTTGGGCGAGGCCAATGTCAACGGTGCGGACGTGTTTGGACAGGAATGTACCAAGAGTAGAACCACAAGACTGCTCCGTGTCAGCTCTGACAGCGACCACACAAGCAAAGGCTCACAGAATCGTTGCGGACTTCAAACTCTTGCAAAGGCACCCCGGCCTTCTTGGCCACTCGACGGGTTAAAAATGTCGTCTGAGCGTTGGAAGTGTATCGCTGGTTGGCGTTGGTCTTGATCACCACGCCCCCGTTCAGCTTGGGCGCGAGGTTTGCCTCGTATCGCGATTCGTAGTTGGGGTGGATCTGCCCTGGTCAGTGACGGATCGTCGCGCAAGGTCAAGACTCACAGCATGACCCATATCGGCCGAGATGACGAAACTGTTCGCCAAGAGGTTGAAGTATCCCTTCTCCTTATAGTCTTCCAACCCCGCGATTCTCTCGACGAATGCTGGCAAGATGTTACTCTCCGCTCCATGATGCGAGACACTTCCCACTTCCTCATTGTCGAACAATACCACAGCCCTGATGTTTGTTTCATCTGCGGCATTGGCGGACTGGACGGCTTCGCAAAGAGCTTCGATAGTCGAGAAGGAGGTCATGAGATTGTCGATCCGGGGCGAGAAGATGAACTCGTTGGAGAGACCGCCGACTTGTGAGGGCTGAGTATCATACAGAGAGCTTCTCGGCTCAGCTCTGGTCTTCCAAGCACCGGAAACGACTCACAGCTCGAAATCCTGGATGTCTGCGACATCACATCCCAATTCGTCGGCCAAGACAGCCAACAACTTGGGGTGATGCTTCTCCTCCTGCATTGCGATATTGATCTCATCCTCCTGCGCCTTGTTGCTCAAGGAAGTCGGCGGAGGGGTGGCCACTTGGTCATGCGTCCGCTTCAAAGCAGTCTTGGTAGGTTCGTTCAAGATGCTTTCAACCAAGCCCAGGATGGGCTGGAACTCGGTCTCTTTGTTAAACTTGAAGTTGTCGTTCGCCGTTCTGTCCAGGTGGATGGCAAGAGTGGGGATGCGCAGAATGGGTCTGTCGATCCTGACGAGCTTGCTCACATACTTGTGCTCTGCAGAGGCACTTCTATTGGCGATGATCACGCGGCCCGAGATGGACAGATCCCGGTCAAACCACGAGTGCCAGATGCCTCCCCCATACAGCTCTACGCCGACTTGGAGATAGCCCGACTTGATCTTTTTGCTCACTGGCCTGACTTTGAGGCAAGGCGAATCGAGATGTCCGGCCGCAAAAGAGATTGCTGTCTCTTTCGTCGGCTTCTCTGGAAGGGTGAAAGCTACCAGCGACGACTGGTTTCTGGTATAAAAGTATTTCCCGCCAGCCTTCAAAGCAGTGTCTGAGGTTCGTTCAGAAATATGCTCAAATCCGGTGGCGAAGAGACTGGTTGTGAGGTGGGCAACGGCATGGAAGGGGGTGGGAGCGTGCGTAACAAAGTTGCAGAAGCTGAGATGTTGTGAGCTGGGTCATCGTGGGGACTAGAGGGGGCATACTTGACTGCGTCTCTGGGAGGATCAGGGATGTCGAGAGGCATGTTGGATGACAAAAATGAGGTATGTGGGGTTGTTGACTTGCTCAATTCAACGAAGGTCGTGAGGGCGTCGCGTATCTGAGACGGACATCCCCGAACAAGCCGGCGGGGTGGACGGGTGGTGGGCAGTCTGATCTTCTTCTCAGATCCACAAGTCCATTCTAGTGTCTCATGAGCACATAGAGTATGAACTTCCAGCTGATACCTACAGCGAGCTGTTGCTGAGCCATCCATTCGGGATATGGATAAGTGGTGTCCTCTGCTCGGAGCGCCGGTCGAGCGACCCCTCGTCCACCGACGACTTGTGTGTGTGCTCATTCTGCCTACATCCAGAATTCCAGAAGCACTTTCGTATCAAGGCTGCTTCTGCAGGAAACTCGGCTCTGGTCTGACAGTATAAATGATACCTAATTCTCGATCCTCACATGCAACGCGCACTACAGCTCCTCCCATTTGCTCGTCGCAACCCCGCCAGGTTGGCTCAGAAGTGGATGTTTGAAGGTGCACATGCAGTACAAGGAAATGGCGTCCACTGTAGTATCGTGGACGATTCTAGAGTGATATGAACATCTCTTCGTGGGATTGTTCGGCGCCCAGGCAGTATTCGTGAACGAGGCATATGCGAAATGCAGAAACGGTACATACAGAAACCAAGAACTAGAGTAAAGAAACATTAAAGAAGAAACATCTATTGTTGCTCCTTTTTGGCCTTCTTCTCCTTCTTCGCGGCCTTCCTCGCTGCTCTCTCCTCAGCGGTCTCTTCCCTCTCTTCCCCACCTTCCGTCTTCACCTTCTTCTTCTTCTTGTCCTTGCCCTCGTCCTCCTTCGACTCGGCGACAACGGCAGGAGTTTCAGATTCCTCTCGCTTCCTCTTGCCCTCGGCGGACCCTTCAGCCTTGACGGGCGACTCCATCTTGACATCCCCTGTCGTGGCCGGCTGAGTAGGCAAAAGGCCGGAGACGGGGGCGTCATCAACGTTGTAGTCGATGTAGCCCTTGCTCCAGTCCTTGGGCGTAACACCGTCGATGGACTTGCCGTACTTGTCCAACTCTCCCTTCTTGATCATCTTCTTCTTCTCCTGAGCCTTGGGGCCAAGGCCCCATCGTCTGGGGTAAAGGTCCCTGTTCATGATACACCTCTTCACCTTGGCAACAACACCGTGGTCACATGAAGCCAAGTCGACGGTAGACATTTGCGCGATACCGATGGCAATGGCCTCTCCCTTGGTGGTCATGAGGACGACCTCCTCGTTCACTTCAATGTCGGCTTCGTAACGGAGGAGACCGGGGATCATGAGCTTGGCACCGTAGCAGACAGCGTTGACGGCAGAGTCTTTGACGACGATACGCTTAAAGTTGGTGAGGAGGGATTCGAGGGGACGGATGACTCGGCGAAGGTAGGACTCTGCGCAGGGTCAGCATAGAATAGAAGGTATAGAAAGTGTGCTTACCGTCTCGGGTGTTGTCGTACAACCACTGAGCATCGAGCACATCGTGCATAGACACAATGTCGTCGTTCTCTCCGGTGATACCACTCCTGACTCGCCTCAGCTCCTGCATGTGCGCACCGACACCAAGCAACAACCCGAGGTGAACACAGAGGGTACGGATATAGGTACCGGCCTCACAAGACACCCAGAAGACGGCGAGGTTTCGCTTGTTGTCAAACTCGATCAACTTGCTCTCGTAGATGGTTCGGACACGGAGCTGACGCTTGACGGCAGAGATGAGTGGGGGCCTCTGGAAGAGGGCACCAGTCAAAGTCTCCAAAGCCCTGGGAAGAGCCTTCTCATCGGCAATCTTGTCGTGGAATCGGACGACGGCAACGTATTCTTTTCCGGCACCCTGCTGGGACTTGACGAGACGAGTGGCACGGTCGATACAGACGATAAGACATCCAGTGACCTTGGGATCAAGAGTACCAGAGTGACCAGTCTTCTCAACTCGGAGGATTCGCTTGAGCCAGGCGACGACTTCGTGGGAGGAGGGGTTGGAGGGCTTGTCGAGGTTGATGACACCAGACTTGACGTAGGTGCTGAGCTCGCGCTTCAAAGGAGAGACACCCTGCAAGATGTTAGTATTGATTGGGTATCGTTCAAGGCACTTACGGAGGGAATGGGAGTAAAGTGGGAAGACCTGACGAGGAGCTTGTCGTAGTTTTTGAGGAGGAGGGGCCACTGGGTGGTGTCGAGCTTGGGAGCGACCTCCTCGCTCTTGATGGCAAAGTCGCCCGCCTGCTGCAGCTCTGTGACCTTTTCGTTGGACAGGGACGCCATTTTGGGTAGTTTTTGAGGTTCAGAGGCCATGGACGACATTTTTGACGAGAAGATATTTTGGAGAGGCGGAGGGCGCCGCAGGGGGAGAGCGCGGCTCCGGAAATTGGCAGGGCGCTATTCCCGCTCAGTGGCGCTGACGTGGGAGGGCATCGTCCATGCATCCATATGCTTTTGTATTGTGGCATGGGGCAGGTATCTGCCAGGGGGTACGCGGCTGGGGTGGGGTGCGATTACAGAGGGATGCTGTAGCGATGAGCTGATTCGCACAGAAAGTGGCCACGTTGGGTGATAATTGCAGCCCATCATGAGTGTCGTCCGAGTATGCATGCAGTCACGAGAGCTCGCATGGTCCGATACACGATCCCAGCCACTGCTCTCTGCAGTTCCAAACAACACTTGAGATGTCTCTGAGGGGTATACATACGCTGGGATAAATGTGGCAAAATTACGACAATTTAATGCCCGCCACCTTTCTCGCGCCCATCTCATCGTTCCGCCATCTTCTTTTGCCTCAAAAACAGCCGCCATGTGGAGACCTGCCGTCAAGACATCCGGGACAAACGACGTCCCCCTCGCAAACAAGCGCCGCTTCGGCCTCCCAGAGGAAGCACCCCCGCCCCCCAATGCCCCGCCCCATGCCTCCCGACCCCCAGCCGACCTGCAGTTCTTCAACGGGCGACAGGAGAGAGCCCCGCGCGACGAAGCCCCTCCCAGGAGAGACGACCGCAGGGATGACCGAGACTATGGGCGCGGAGGTGGAGACTATGGAAGGAGGGATGATTACAGGCGAGACGATAGGGATAGGGAGAGGAGGTACGATGATTATCCTCCCAGGGATGCCGGGAGGGACCCTAGATCTTCGAGGTGGGATGAGCCTAGACGCGAGCCTGAGCCGCAGATGGGCCGTTCGCGAGACAGAGAAGAGGTTGAAGGTGTGTCTCTTGCATCGCCATACTTGCATTCGCGCTTACTCATCACAGATGGTCCCCGAAAACGACGCTCTCGATGGGGTGATGCCGACGCCCGTGTGAACGTCCCTGGTATGCCTGTTACCGTCATGGGAAACATGTCTGGCTCTCAGCTCGACAACTACGCCATCCATGTCCGTTTGGAAGAGATCAACCGCAAGTTGCGTACCGGCGATGTTGTTCCCCCCGACGGCCAGCGCTCTCCTTCGCCCCCGCCCAACTATGACTCTTATGGGCGACGAACCAATACCCGCGAGCTGCGGTACAGGAAGAAGTTGGAGGATGAGAGGACCAAGTTGGTGGAGAGGGCGGCGCAGGCGGACCCAAGTTTCAGGCCGCCAGTCGATTTCCAGCAGCGCAGAGGTGGCAACCGTCCCCAGGACAAGGTCTACATTCCCGTCAAGGAATTCCCCGAAATCAACTTTTTCGGTTTGCTCGTCGGGCCGCGTGGTAACTCGCTCAAGAAAATGGAGAGGGAGAGTGGCGCCAAGATCAGTATTCGTGGTAAAGGAAGTGTCAAGGAGGGCAAAGGCCGAGCCGGTAACTTCCCCAATGACGAGGAGGACGAGTTGCATTGTCTGATTACGGGAGACTCTGAGGCCGTGGTCAAATCATGTGTCGCTTTGATCAACCGGGTTATCGAGACTGTAAGTACATTCATCTTGTCCCGAAAACACAATCTGACCCATTACAGGCTGCATCCACCCCCGAAGGCGAGAATGATCACAAGCGCAATCAACTTCGAGAACTTGCATCACTCAACGGTACTCTGCGTGACGACGAAAACCAGCTCTGTCAGAACTGTGGTGAAAAGGGTCACCGTCGCTGGGAATGCCCTGCTCAGCGTGTCTACAGCGCCAACGTCATCTGTCGTCTTTGTGGTGGCGCTGGCCATATGGCAAGGGACTGCCGAGGACGAGGTGACCCCAATTTGCAACAGAACAAGCAGACGGCGTTCGATTCAGAATATACGGCTCTGATGGCAGAGCTTGGTGAGGGTGGCGGTGGCGGTGGTGGTGGTCCCCCCATGGGTGCCATCGGTGCTGCTCCCGGGCAGGGAAATATCCCTCCCGAGTCCCGAGTACCGCCCTGGAGACAGCCCGAGAACTGGCAGACCAGTACGTCCCACGGTTATAAGCCAAACAAAGCTGACCCGACCACAGACGCTGGTGGCTACCGCGGTCCCCCCGGCTACCAGCCCCCCCAACAAGGTCAAGGCTGGCAGCAACCTGCCGCTCCCGGTGGGCAAGCTGCGTATGCTGGTTACGGTGGTTATCAACAAGGCGCTGCTGATCCTTATGCTGCGTGAGTGTCGTGCAGGACGTCGCGATCGTTTCGTTGACATGGTCGTAGTTACTACGCCTCGATGGGCCAGCAAGCTCCCACCGCTGCCTAGATGTCCACGTCATCGTGATTCTGATCCTTACCTTCATCATCTTGGAACCTTATTCACAAAAACGCATACTTATAAACGTGTGATCAAACGCTTGAGAAATCAAAGAAAATTGGAGCATATAGGGGACAGATGTTGCGGAAGGTGGCGGAGGCAGCTTACTATTAACGTTATACCCTGTCTACTTTCTTTGTTTCTTACTTCTGATGAGTTCGACTTGACTCGAGACAGGTATCAACCAAGCTCTCGAGGAAAGGACCACTGTCAACCTTCCTTGCGCGAGACTGATGTATGACTGGACACAATCATGGGGGGCTGACGCCGTAGAGCGCGAGACAATCACACAGATACAGCAAGCATTACAGTCCGAGCGCGTTTGTCAAGGAGAAGTACCCCACTCTATTTCACTATATCCAAAGACAGGTGCAGCTGAGCTGGGGCCACCATAGCACATCATCCATGCACCAGGGAGTATCTGACAGGGAATCTAGGTAAGGGTCGTCTATATCGGCTGTTAATGATACATGCCTGATGCAATTCGGCCTTTCATGGTGCCGGTCTTTGCCTGACGGCAGTCCACGATGGAAGACAATTTCAATGACTTGTCTACTGCGATCAGACCGTATGCACCTCGTGATTCGTTTGATTCTTTGTACATGCTCTTGTCGTTCGAGAGTCATTATGTACATACCAGAATAAGATGAGCGTGAGTGTTGGAAGTGAAAAAAAGACAGAAAGACTATAACTTCCCCTCTCTCCCTTTACTACTTTTCTTCCTAAAGTCCTCCGCCGGCGGTACACATTTTGCCTATATCTGTCTGACAACTGAGACAAACAATAGACCAGGACGGGGACAAAGGAGACAGAGAGGCTATTGTAAACGAAGAATAATGGGATGAAGGATAGAGAAACCAGAGAAAAAAACACATGAATAGGGGCAAAAGGGGATGGTGATCTACTTGGACAAAAAATGTGATGAAGAACTTGTATGATGAATGTCCTTGTGGGGTGCAATGTCCATTTACTCGGTGGTGACAGATTTGGCGAGGTTTCGGGGGAAATCAACGTCAACACCGTTCATGATGGCGAGATCTAACATTTCCATCAGCGGCAGATTCAAAGAGGACGAAACAAGTGCTTACGGTAAGACAAGAGCTGCAAAGGAATGACATTGATCAAGCCCTGGAGACAGTCGACAGTCTGGGGAACTCGGATGACCTTGGCATTGTCAGAGACAGTGTCGTCGTCCTCGTTACAGATGATGATGGGTCGACCCTTTCGGGCAGTGACCTGAGCAAGCGCACTCTGGACCTTGGGGTACAAAGAGTCACGGGTCATGATGAAAATGACGGGAAGGTGCTCGTCGACCAATGCGAGGGGACCGTGCTTGAGTTCACCGGCCAAGATACCCTCAGAGTGCATGTAAGACACTTCCTTGATCTTGAGTGCGCCTTCCAGACAGGTGGCATCTGTGTGATTGTCAATATATAAAGCTTCATGTCGTGTCGGTGCAACTCACATTGGTAGCCTCGTCCCATAATGAGCAAACTCTTCTCGTTAGACAGCATGTCCTTGGCCATCTGTTGCAACGCCCTGTCCATAGCCAACACCTTCTTGATCTGCGAAGGGATCTCGTGCAATCCATCAATGATCTGCTGCCTCCTAGCAGTCTTGGTGATGGAATCGTCAGAGAGCTGCACGGCAATCATGACGAGCGCGACGTATTGCGAGGTGTAGGCCTTGGTAGAGGCGACACCGATCTCGGGACCGGCGTTGATGTGGACACCAGAGTGGGTCTCTCGGGAGAGGGTAGAGCCAACAGTGTTGACGACACCGAGACACAAGGCACCACGCTCCAAGCAGTATCGCATGGCAAGGATAGTGTCGGCAGTTTCACCAGACTGGGAGACAAAGACGGCGACATCGTCTCGGAAGACGGGAGTGCGTCGGTCAAGGAAATCCGAGGCGAGCTCGACGGCCACGGGAATGTCTGTCAACTCTTCAAACACCGGTCGGGCGGCGATACAAGAGTGATAAGAGGTACCACAAGCCACGAAAATCAATCTCCTTCCTCTGCGGATGACGGGCAGGTACGCCTTGAGACCACCAAAGGTGATGGTGCGGTAGTCAAAGTTGATTCGACCTCGCATGGTGTTGACCACAGACTCGGGCTGCTCGTAGATCTCCTTCTGCATAAAGTGGTCGAATTGACCCTTCATGATCTCGGCGAGCTCGATTTCGAGGTGCTCGATAGCACGGACGGAAGAGACAGTGTCGTCTCGTCGGAGTCGGTGGATGTGGAGCTCACCCTCGGCGATGTGGGCAATGTCGTCGTCCTCGAGGTACAAGACACGCTTGGTGTGCTCGATGACGGCGGAGGCGTCAGAGGCAACAAAGAACTCGATGGGTTGAGGCATGCCGTCCTCGGAAAGGAAAGCGCGGGACTGGGAGCGGCGGAGCTTGGGGCCGGGGCCGTCGGCGACGCCGGCGGGGGCAGACAAGAGACCGTTCGCGTCAGGCTCGTTCACTATGCACTGTCAGCGGTAGCCCATACTGGGGGGACAAGCAGACTCACCTCGCTCCTCGGCGGTGGGAAGCTCAACATCCACAAAGTCGACCTTCAACTTCCTGTCGGTCTTGACACCAATCAAAAGAGGGGAACCACGTCGGGCGGCAACAATCTCGTCGGGGAAGTGGGGAGATTTGAAGACGAAAGCGAAAGAGCCTTCCTGCGGAGGATATCAGTATCACTCGACCATATATGGGTAAAACGTACCAGCTCCTTGATGACAGTCTTGATGAGCTCGGTAAAGTTGAGGCGCTTGTTGGGCTGGCTGTCGTAGACATACTTGCAGAGGACGGCGACGACTTCGGTATCGGTGTCGGTGGCAAAGGTGTAGCCGCGCTTCAGGAGGACAGTCTTGAGCTCCTTATCTACAGCACTGTCAACATTGAACCTTCCAATTGTGAGTGCAAAAACGTACAGTTGGTAATGATACCGTCTGTGGTAGGTACTAGTCAGCTTCCACTCTTACGTCGCCAGGGACCAAGGACTCACTGTGCACCAAGCTGAACTCGGTCTGGACATCGCTAACGTGGGGGTGGCAGTTGGTGGGGCTGGGCACACCGTGGGTCGCCCATCGAGTGTGGGCCATAGAGGTCTGGTTGAGGAAGACCTTGGACATGTCGACCTTCTGGCCAGAGACGGGGAAACCCGGAGCGGGGCAGGGGACGCCCTCGGCAATGTGCTTGCGGAGAGCAGCGACCTTGCCAACCTCCTTGAAGAGGTACATGGGGCTGTCCCTAGAGTCACCGTCGATTCCGATACCTGTGTTGAACGGTTGCCGTTAGCACGCGTCGCGCCGCCGCGATCGATTGGCGTCTGGTGCGAAAAAAGGGGGCTACGTACCCGCAGAGTCGTAACCACGGTATTCGAGCCTAGCAAGACCGTTGCACAAGACATCGCAGATGTACTCGCGCTTCCTCTCGCAGAGGAAGGAGCAGTAGGAGAAGATTCCTGTGGGGAGTGGTCAGCGTGACGTGGAGGGGTGCGCTAGGGGCGGGAAGAGCTGCTGTTAGGGGCAGAGACGTACCACACATTGTTCTGTGAGCTGTGGGTTATGGGGACGGGGGGGAGGGGGGTTATGGAAAGGGGGAGAATGAGAGAAGTGAATAAATTGAGCTGGAAGAAGAAATGAAGAATGGAGTGTTTTGATTTTCGGTGATGGGAAGGGACCAAGCCAAAGGATGCCGTGATTTTATTTCGTGTACCGTTTGCGTCGAAAGTTGAACGAAATTGTGCAAGGACGCCGGCGAATGGCGGGGAGGGGGAAAGGAGAGGGGCAGGGGGCAGGGGGCAGCAGGACAGCGGCGGAGGGCGGTCGAGTGGGTGAGAGTAGTGTGTGGGCGTATGGGTGCAAAGAGGCAGGGGAGTGGATAAGAATGAACAACTCGGTCAGCGCCTTCCTTTGTTGGTGTATATACCGTCAGTGCAGCAGGAGAGCACAGCATCTCTGAAAGCTGCCGGGATCTGGCAGCAGCGGCAGATACAGGAGACGCAAGAGGCGTCAGGGGAGCCCCAGTGCCCAAGGCGGCGGCGGTGCTGCGACACGGCTTTCGCGTCGGCCCATGTACAGCCTGCACGGGGCGGGACAACAGAAGATGGCGGTGACTCACGTATGTGGGCCTGTTCTGGGAGACCAGGAGGTTGGGTGGGAGAAGGGGAGCTCTCAGCAAGCTCTCAGTGCTGTTTATGCCGCGGGAGCAATCTGTCTCTTCTCTTTTTTCCCCAGGGACCCCCCGCGCGTCATCACCGCTTCAGGGACAGGAAAGAAGCCCACGTGCACGCGACTGTTATCCGATCCATTACGTACACAGCTGACTCACCCACCCGCGACGCGCCTTGCTTCCCTTTCACAATTCTTTGCGCCACCCATCGCGTCTTTTTCATCCAACTTGCCTCTTCCCCTCTTGTGCGCACACCCCCCATGCTCAGAAAGCCTATCCAGCGCCCGGGAGAGCCCCCCGTGGCCACAGCCACCTCTGGCGGGTTCGGCATCGTCTCCAAGCCCTTCAAGGTGCCCAAGTCTTCAGCCCCGACCCGGGAATCGGCTCTGCCGTCCCGCAAGCGAAAGGCCGTCAATTACAAGGATCAAGGAGGTGCTGACGACGACGGGGACGGGGACGCAGACGGAAAGGCGAACAAGAAGAGCAAGTTTGAAGGCAAGTTTGCCATGGGCAACAAGGAATATGGCTCCGATGGTGTGCTCGGCAATATGGCCAAGTGGTGCAACCGCAAGTTTCCAGTATTCGAGCCGAAAGAAAAGACTGTCGCCTTTACCAAAACGTGCGTACAGAGCTTGGATCGTGAGCAAGACCTGACAGGCAGTAGCTTCTCGATCCCCGTCATGTACAACCCCAAGACGTCTGAACCTATCGTCCACACCCTCTCCCGCGCCTCTCTTGGTACCCGCAGACACCCAACTCTTGTTCCCCGCCCATTGCACGACCCCATGGCAGACCTTGCCATTGTGCTTTTCGATCCTACGATCGATGACAAACCTGCGCCTGAAGAAATCGAAGCCGCAAAGGCAGAGGAAGAGAAGAGGAAGAAGGAAGACGAGACGAGAGGACCCCATAGGAGTCTGAAAATGATTTTGGGGATCGTAGACGAGAAAAAGGACAAGAAGGCGGTCAAGGTGCCAGTGGTCATTGACCCCAGGTTGGCCAAAGTCTTGCGACCACATCAGATCGAGGGCGTCAAGTTTCTCTATCGGTGTACCACTGGTCTCATTGCAGATGGGGCGTGGGGATGTATCATGGCCGATGAAATGGGTCTCGGTGAGTGCCATCGGCGTGCTGTATAATGATAACTGACATGATTCAGGTAAAACACTTCAGTGCATTGCTCTCCTCTGGACCTTGCTCAAGCAGTCCCCCATCGCTGGCAAGGGTACCTGTGAAAAGGTCATCATCGCCTGCCCGACCTCTCTCGTCGGTAACTGGGCTGCCGAGCTCGTCAAGTGGCTGGGACCCGGCGCCATCAACCCCATGGTTGTCGACGGCAAAGGTGGAAAAGCCGAGCTCATTCCTGCTGTCAGGCGATGGGTGCAGGCGCATGGGCGGAACGTGACACTACCGGTGATGATTGTTTCATACGAGACGTTGAGAACGCTGCAAGAAGAGCTGGCAAATTGCGAGATCGGCCTTTTGTTGGCTGATGAGGGGCACAGGCTGAAGAATGCTGGTGAGTCGCTTACTCTATATACAGCAGCGCTAATGGCTTGTAGATACCCTCACTTTCCAAGCCCTGACCCGTCTCAAGGTCCAGCGCCGAGTCATCTTGACCGGAACTCCCATCCAAAATGACCTTTCCGAGTACTTTGCTCTCCTCAATTTCGCCAATCCCGAATACTTGGGCTCCAAGCTGGACTTTAAGAAGAACTTTGAATCCAAGATTATGCGTGGAAGAGACGCGGATGCGACCGACAAGGACAAGCTGGAAAGCGATGCTACGTTAAAAAAGCTGGGTGGGTTGGTCAGCAAGTTTATCATCCGTCGAACAAACGATCTATTGTCCAAGTACTGTGAGTTGCGAATTCCTCTCTCTTGGACCCGGCTGACTTTGAACCAGTGCCCGTCAAGTACGAACATGTCGTCTTTTGTCGCCCCTCTCCTCTCCAATCATCCCTCTACAACCTCTTTGTCACATCCAAAGACGTCCAGCGCCTCCTCCGCGGCAAAGACTCCCAACCACTCAAAGCTATCGGCCTCCTCCGGAAGCTCGTCAATCACCCCGACTTGCTCCACCTCCCCGAAGATTTGCCCGGCAGTGAGAAGCTGTTGCCCGAGGGGTGGAACAGCAAGGGGCGAGACAGGTCGGTCAATTGTGAATACTCGGGCAAATTTGTGGTGCTTGAGAGAATGCTGGAACATATCCACAAGCATACCAACGACAAGATTGTCCTCATTTCCAACGCCACCCAGACCTTGGATCTGATGGAGAAGCTTTGTCGAAGCAAACGATATGGTCACCTGCGGCTGGATGGCAGCATGTCTGTGCCAAAGAGGTCCAAGATCGTTGCTCAGTTCAACGATCCGGAAGGCAAAGAGTTTGTCTTCTTGCTCAGTTCTAAAGCTGGTGGATGTGGTATCAATTTGATTGGTGCCAACAGGCTTGTTCTGTTCGACCCTGTAAGTACCACTTTGCTGTTCTGTCTGCAACGCTGATATAAACAGGACTGGAATCCGGCAAGTGACCAGCAAGCTTTGGCTCGAGTGTGGCGAGATGGGCAGAAGAAGGAATGTTTCGTCTACCGTTTCCAAACCACGGGCACCATTGAAGAAAAGATCTTTCAAAGACAGTGAGTCTCCCTGCCCTTCCATCTCAATTGCCCCTGACGTTACTTTGCAGATGTCAAAAACAAAATTTGTCTGCCTGCGTCGTTGATGAAGCCGAAGATACGGCCCGTCATTTCACGCAAGACGATCTCCGTCAATTGTTCAAATTCAACCCAGATACAGTGTGCGATACGCACGACACGTACAAGTGCAAGAGGTGTAAGGATGGCAAACAATATGTCAAGGCACCGGCTTTGCTTTATGGTGATGCTAGCACGTGAGTGATTTTCTCGAGGCTGTAGGGGCGCAAGCTGATGTGAGGTATAGGTGGAATCATTTCCCGAACGTGGAGCTGGGCAAGATGCATGACGACCTTTTGCGAGCAGAGTTGGGCCTGCCAGAAGTGTCGTACGTCTTCCAGTACGTTTCGCACTAGACTTTTTATTCTTCGGGGGTAGTAGAACTATTGCGATCGTTTGTAACAAAGAGTACGAGGCTTGTTGGGTTGTTCATATATATAGTCTTTGCCTCTTGTTACGGGGATGTTGTTATGTATATATTCTGAGTATCCATACGTTATGTGATCTTTGATGATCATGGCAAGCTCTTCTCATACTGAGTCCATAATACAGACACGGTTGTCACTTTGGCTATCCTCGAGCTGCTTCCCTCATACGTTGAAGGCAATGCGAAACATCCATGCCAATGTTCAGTCGCTCTTAGCCCCTGACCGTCGGCCTTGTCGCGCTCGGCGTTTTAGGCCCGGTTTCAGGATCTTTTGTTTGCGCGCGATCTTCTTTTCGCTTGTCTCATCCACTTCACCATGGCAGCATTGGAGCAAGCCGCTCTTGACGGCTCTCTCTTCCGACCCGACCACAGAACCCTTTCCGACAGAGGAGACTCGAACAGTGATCAGTCTCTGTCCGAGAACGAGAACGAAGATGCCGCTGGAGACGACTACATTGACAGCGAGGACGACTTTGACAACACTGTTGGCGGCCGACACAATCTCAAGCCTGCGCCGCCGTCGTCTGACCCTACACGGGGTCAAATCGAACATAATGGTCACCAAACAGGAGTGAAGGGCGTCCAAGACGAGCATAAAGCTACCCAAGCTTATGCCCGGGAGCAGGCGCGAGCTGGGACAGCCTTGCTTCAAGCCGAGAACGGACTACGAGGTATGCAAGCCCTGACGGTACACGAAGAGTCTGCGCTCGTCGCCCAAGAGGCTGAGGAGGACGAGGAACTGAGGGAGATACGGCGGCGGAGACGCGAACAGCGCCGGAGGGAGACGCAGGAGGATGCAGCCAGGTGGGAAAGAGAAAGGGTAACGGATTTCGGTTTTGGAAAGAGCTTTGAGGATGGGGTCAAGAACGGGGCTTTGCGAGAGATTGGATCAATGGATTTCGTGGACGCTGTCGAGCGAGATGGCTGGGCTTTGGTGTTCATTTATGAGCCAGTAAGTGACGCCTAATCCAGATTATGAATCTGACGGCATTCTAGAATCTGCCAAGATGCGACGACATATCATCCTCGTTGCTCCATCTAAAACTAAATCTTCCCTACAACACCACCACCTCCATCTACCGCGCCCGTGCTACATTTCTTGGCTTCTCCCTGCTCCCTCCTATCATTACTCCCGAGTCCCCCGAAGACATCGCGATAGTCAGCGAAGATCTCGACGTCCTGAGGAGAGAAATTCAAGACATCTCTGCGCGACACAAAAAGAGTCACAAGAATAATCATGACAGCGAGACGGCGATAATCGCCGACCTGGTCGAGTATGTGCGAACTAGAGAAGAGAAGAAGGCTCCATTCATGGGAAAACCTGACCTGGACGTCCTACCGACTTTGCTGGCGTACAAGGACGGAGAATTGGAAAAGACGTGGATCAGAGTAGACTGGGAAGTGGGACAAGACGGTGTTGTGGGTCTACTCCGGAGGTAAGTTGGGTCATGAAGGGACAAGATGGGAACTGACGGACATGTCTAGGGAGGGTATCCTACCGTCGATAACCTCTGGAAAAGGCCCGGGCATCAACAGACGGCCTTTGGCACCCCACTCGGATGATGACGAGTAGCAGATGATAGGCTGGCTGAAGGTATGCTCTTTGTTGTGTGGTCCATATTGCTGCTGATGTACCACCTTATAGATGTTGTAGCTATGTGCCGCCACTTGGCGAGTATACAAGTATAAGGACTGCGCATATGAGGGTCATAAAGATCCATGAAATGCATAATTGCTGTTGTACAGTCATGAAAGGTACTCGTCAACGGATGATACAATATCATTATCAGTTCTCTACAGAGACTCTCTCATTTCTCTCAGTAGCACTTGGAATACGCTCCTCCCGCCTCCCACAAATATCGTCCCCTCTTGTCTTATCGCAGCCCTCAGCCCTATAAATTGTTGAGATATGGTTCCGTGGCTAGTTCAGGTCCAGTAAATTTTACCTTCGTTCCTTCCAATCTATACCTCGCTACGCTACATCTAGTTGTTCCTTTTTTTCGCTCTGTCTCCCATATATATTCACATAGTTTGCTCCCTAGTTCCCCACCATTCTGGTCATCTGTCTGTGTAGAAGTACACGTTGACTGATACGGGAACTAGGACGTCAATAGGTTATGAGCCTCGCTCTTTCTAAGCCAACAAACAACTTGTCCTATGATCAGCCCGAAATCAACTTGTCCGCCTACGATGATGGTTCACTCGTCAGCGACCCCAGCACAACTGCGAAGATCCCTCTTCTCCAGGGGAACTCAAACTACATCAGTGGTCTTCAAGTGTCTCTTCATTGCTTCTCAGGAAGCAGGCGTTATTCTGCCTAAAATCCGACCCCATCGATGATCCTTTATACTTCAACGGCATGGACGTCTCGGACCCCTCAACAATACCCACGCCGCTCACTCCTTTCGAGCAGGCCCGCCTCACCAAGCAAAACGAAGGACTGGGGATCCTTCTTCAGTCTCTTTACCAAGCAAAACGAAGGACTGGGGATCCTTCTTCAGTCTCTTTCGGAGGCTGTCAAGAATGCCGTCTCAGCTGAGGTGCAGGACGTCTTTCGTCCCAACCCCAAGCTGTTGTGGAACGAGCTTTACACCTTGTACTCTCACACCACCGGCCACAGGATTAGCCAGTTGTATGCGACGCTCTGGTCGACCCGAGTTCCACCCGGGGCAGACCCTCTTCCCTACCTGGGGGTGCAGAGGGCCACTATGGCCCAACTGCGACAGTCACAGAAGGTAGAAGATCAACAAGTGGCCTATGACATGCTCCACACCTTGTCGGATGACAAGTACCGACCTAGTTAACATATACATAGACCACCCCTACCTTTATTTCCGACAAGAGATTCCGTTATACTGCTGAGCAGATATATAGGGACACTGTGGGTAGGACCTGACACTGTCCTTCGCACGGGAAGTGAACGAGATGTGATTGACACAGCTTCACAACACAGTCCTTCCCGGCTTTGAGAAGAAGGGTCACCATGTGTATCTCCAAGCTGAATCAGCCACGCCGGTGTCCGCAGGAAAGAATAACTTACCGTTTGAAAACATTGAACAACTACTAGAGCCCCGCCGGTACTTTCAACATCCATGAGAGGGTCGACATTCAAGCTTGCCATCTCACGATACTTCCAATTCTTCAACCTTTGATACAACGGCGCCTGATCGTACCTTCTTCGGCTACCATTGCCGCTGAGCGCAGAAAGGCCTGCAAGATCAAAAGTGCCACGGAGGAGCCATTCAAGAGTTGCTTTCCTAGTGTAGCCGTTGTAGCTGTGCTGGTCGCTGTCCCGAAGAGATAACAGTCCGCGCGATAAGTCAAGTAGGAATGACTGTATGACCCTGTCCGAGTTGTGCAGCCTGTGAAAGTCGTGGTGCCTTGCTACAGTATGACCGTCGGGCTCAGCGGATGGGGGCATTTTGGCGTATGATCATCCCGGAGCAGGTGACGAACACGGCGAAGCTGTGGCTGCGGGTCATGGTGGCCAGATGGTGGTGGGGCCATTGCTGCCGGGAATCTGAGAGTGGCGAGGCGAAAGCAGGTGAGACAAGATGCAGTGCCGGCCACGCGTTTTGGTATCCGCGCTGCTTCCTCTTGTGGCGATCTTCTCCGACGGCGCTTATGGACTTTGTATCTAGTAGTGTCCCGGCATCGAATTCTCTGCGTATCAGTCTTGGCGTGGAGAGACGCAGGAGCGAGAGGAGCGAGTACTGAGGCTAAACAAGGGCAAGCCTGGGAGGGGGCATGCTTCAACATCGCCTTTCTCCTGCCTTTCCTTATGTGGCGCTGGACCGGCGATGGCCGCTTTTTTTTGGCTCCGTCGACAACCACTCTGTAACGATTGAGCTGATTAGTGGCAAGCTTGTCATAACATCTGATTTCTGTTACTCACGTCCAGGATGCTCAATACCAGTAGTACGCGGAACGTACTAAGTGTGATTAATGCTTACAATTCCTCAGCGTCTCTGCAAGGGGGCAAGGTCTCCAGGGAGGAGTTTAGACGCCAGAAAGACCTCGAAGCCGCCCGTAAAGCCGGTACCGCTCCTGCTGCCGTCGACGAACAGGGCAATGCCATCAACCCCCACATTCCCGAGTACATCACCAAAGCTCCCTGGTATGCGGACACCGGCGTACCCTCGCTGGCTCACCAGCGTATCAAAGAAGAAGGACCCCATCTAAAGCTCGACGAATGGTACGACCGAGGCGCAAAGGCTGGGCCAGCGGCCAAAAAGTACCGAAAGGGTGCTTGCGAGAACTGTGGAGCGATGACCCACAAGAAGAAGGACTGTGTGGAGAGGCCAAGGAAGAGAGGAGCAAAGTTCACCAACAAGGATATCGCGGCGGACGAAGTCGTTCAGAACTTTTCGACGGATTACGATTCCAAGAGAGATAGGTGGAATGGTTACGACCCCGCCACCTACAAGCATGTCGTCGACGAGTACGAGGCCACGGAAGAGATGCGCAAGAAGTACAGGGAGGAAGAGATTGACAAGCAGACGTCTACGGACATGGCTGCTGTCAAAAAGCTCGCAAAGAAGGAGAAGGAAGAGAAGGATGGCGACGACGATGACTTTGGCTCGAGTGATGATGATGATGATGATGACGACAAGTATGCGGATGCGGCAGATCAGGTCGGCCAGAAGCTGGATACCAAGACCCGAATCACCGTTCGAAACTTGCGTATTCGAGAAGACACCGCCAAGTATCTTATCAACCTCGATGAAAACTCGGCGTACTATGATCCCAAGACGAGATCTATGCGAGATGCTCCTGTCCAGAACATGGACCCGGAAGATGTGGGTACTGTGTGATCATGAACCGACTTAGACTAACGCCTCTCTAGATGAAGTTTGCTGGTGATAACTTCCAACGATTCTCCGGCGACGCTGCCAAGATGCAGAAGCTCGAACTTTTTGCCTGGCAAGCGTCCCAGCGTGGTAACAACGTCCAGGTTCACGCCAACCCTACCGCCGGTGAACTTCTACACAAAGAGTTCCAAGACAAGAAGGAGGTTTTGCGGGATACCAACAAGACTTCGATCCTGTCTCGGTATGGTGGTGAACAGCATCTGCAAAAGATGCCGAAGGAGCTGCTGTCTGGTCAAACCGAAAATTGTATGTCGTAGGCCCTGATTTGACCTATCGTACTGACCGGATCCCAGATGTCGAGTACTCTAGACAAGGCCAGGTCATCAAAGGCCGCGAGCGGACCACAGCTCGCTCAAAATACGACGAGGATAACTACATCAACAACCATACCTCTGTCTGGGGCTCGTGGTATGACCTTTCCAACTCCCAGTGGGGCTACGCCTGTTGCCACTCCTTCATCTCCAACTCTTATTGCACGGGCGAAGCTGGTAAAGCTGCCAATGTCTCCTCGTCTGCATCCAATCTGCTCGCAAGTGCCGATGATTTGGCGAGGGTAGAGGAAGAGGCCGAGAAGGAAAGGAAATCATTGAAGGAACAGCATGAGGAGGATCTCGCCTCGGGCAAGAAGGGCAAGGGGAAGGAGAGGGAGAGGGACTTGTATGGGAAGAAGGACGATGACGAGGCAGTGGACTTGGATAAGGACAGATTGAAGAAGGCCATGAAAGAGGAGAAGAAGAGAAAGAAAATGGATGAAGATGAGGCTTGGCAACAGGCCAAAAAGGGCAGAACGGAGGTCACTCAGGAGGAACTCGGTACGTGTGTCCTTCGGACAGACTTGCGAGAGCTAATTATCTTTCAGAGGCCTACAGGTTATCGAAACAGGCCTACGAGGATCCAATGGCCAATTATCAGGATCCAGAAGACCTGTGATATCACTCACGCGATTGCTATATTTGTATCACTATGTAACAACAAATGACATCCACTAGTCGCTACCAAAAGTCACAGCCAACACATATATGATCAGGAATCGCGCTGATTCGGCGACTATTTGCGTAAAAAGATGCATTACAATCCTGCATTACTACCTATGTGCCCCTCAAGAAACCCAATGTCCCGAGAGTATATCCAACCAGCTCTCTGAGCCTCTTGCTCTCCCGCCTCTGTTCATTTCTCAGCTCTTGCAGCGCTCCCTTCACCTCGCCATTGGCTATCAGCACATCGCCGTGGACTTTGAGGAACACGGAGAGGATGGCCTGAACGGCCTCAAAGTCTCGATGAGACTTCAGTCGCTGAGTCAAAGCATTGAGGAATGTGGCGAGGTGGTCCAGAGAGACGAGGGAGCGTATTTCGAGATCCAGATTGGAGGGCGAGAGGGCCTTGATGTATTCAAAGAAAGAGTTGTCTGAGGAAGCATCAGCGGTGTTTCAGATGGTAGTATTGGGGTGCTCACAATCTCCCTCTTCCTTCTCGGCACTCAGCTTTCTCGTGAAATCGCTCTCCAGCCAGTCACCTGCCAACCCCAGCCTCTGCCCCTTGTCCTGCTCGTCCTTGTTTGCGTCTACACCAGACAGATCGAAGCGCGTCTCCAACCCGCTGATGGTGGGCAAAAAGAAAGGCGCCTTTTCAGGAGCTTTCGGCGCCTCCTTTGGCTTGTTTCTTTGCTTGATCGTTTCAAGATTGAGAAGCATTTGCCAACGAGAGCGGGGGATAAGTGAGAGTGTAACGAGCTGAGAGTCGAGTTGGTCGGGGGTGGTGTAAATGTCGGTGTACTCGGGGGCACCAATAGGGTCGATGCCTTCGATAGCGGCGTCTTCATCCAAACCCTGTACTGTGGGGAGAGCGACTTCAACGACATCGTCCTCCTCGTCTAGATGCCTGAGAGCGACATCTGTGAACTGCGCCTTGTTCGCCCACAAGTAGACGCCAACGCTGTCGACATGCGCCGTCGCCAAAAAGTCTCCTGTGGGGGAGAAAGTGACGCTGGTAGCGATAGAGGACGTCTTGAACGCATCAACAAGCTTGCCCGTAGGGATATCAAAGGTGCGGATGGTAGAGTCGAGGGATGTAGCAATAATCCAACGGGAGTCGGGGGTGAAGATGACGTCGAGAATACGACCTTTGAAGCCACGAAGCTCACGCACGACTCGCTGGGTCTCAATGTCGACAAGGCGGACCAAGAGGTCGTCACAGGTCACAGCAATGAGGCCACTGTCTCGATGGAGGGAGATGGCGGTGATGGAGGAGTCGAGCTGAACTTCGTGGATCTTCTTGGTTGTGTGGAAGTCGAAGAACTGTGGCCTGTATCAGCAAGGGTTCCACGCAAAGCCAGGATAGCCACTCACGTAAAGCTTTCCTTCCAATGTACCAGCAACGACGACAGTGTTCAAAGCATCCGTGACCAGCCCAGTGATAGCCTTGATAGACTTGCCGCCTTTCGCGTCCTTGGCCTTGACCGCCTTGGGCTTGGTTCCATTCTTACTCTGCGCGATGATCTTGGGTTTGGTGTTTCCCGGCGCCGCACCACTCAGCGCAAACGCTTTCCTCTCTTTTCCGGACTGCATATTCCACAATTTGATCTCCCCGGTCGAGGATCCGACGAGACCAAAGTTTCCACAAGCAGTCACGCACACCGACTGAGCGTAGCCTTCCTCCAAGTCAAACGTCCACGCTCCTAGGCGCTTGTCTTGGACCCGCCATGTCCGGGCGACCGAGTCTTCGGTATGGGCGGTGAGAACATCTTCCCAGTCTTTCGACCGTGTGGAAGAGCTGGAGATGGAGGAGATCTGCGGAAGTTTGAGAGTATCGACTGTGACACCCATCCCGATGGCCTTCTTGATGAGGGAACCCTGAGAAAGCTCGAAACTTCGAGAGTCTCGGACAACACTGGTATATCTGAGGGATCTGTCCTTGCCGGAGGTGAGGATTTGCTTGCCGTCTTCACCGTAGTATCTGATACAAGATGGAGGGGCATGGTGACCGCCTCGCATCTTGAGCAATCTAGGCATTCCTGTGGGAGAGTCGCAGACCCATTGCTATGAGATGTTAGCATACTGTAGTATGAAGTAATACCACTACACACCTTGACGCTGTTGTCTGCACTAGACGTTATCAGCAAAGGCTGGCCCTGCACCCACTGCAACCCGGTGATTCCCTGATCGTGCGCTCCCCTCATAGTATGCAATATTCTTCCACCTTTGCTCAGATCCCACACGGCCAATGATCCCACCACAGAAGCGCTCGCCAAGATAGGAGGGCCATCCATACGGAAGGACAAGGCAGAGACGGCACCGTCGTCATTCTTCATCTGCATGACGAGGTCGCCGTGCTTGATGTCGTGGACACGGATGGCGCCGTCTTGGTAACCGACTGCAACAACATCCACGGCGGGAGATTGAACGATTGTAGTGATGGCGGAGGGTTCAGAAGGATTTTCGTGGGGGAAGGTGTAGATCAGAGAGCTATAAAGAATGAGCATCTATACGTAGTAGGGTCGAGCAAAGCTTACCAAGTGCGCGTATTCCACAATTGCATCTCTCCTTCTCTGCTTCCAATCAGGACCTTGTTGAGATAGGTCGCAGGGTGCATGATGGTCGTAGCAGTAAAAGAAGAGTGGAATGTAATTTGGTTCTTGAGATCTACATGTTGTCAGTCTAATCCTGTCCTTCCTGTCCTGGAGGAATACTCACGTCTCGTAGCCATATCATAGACAAAAACCCCGGTCCCGTCATTCTTGAGCACCAAAAAGTCCTCACCAAAGATGAGCATCTTGCCTAGTGTAGACCCATCGGGAGAGTCAAACTGAGCGACCTCCTTTCCTCGGTGGTATTTGATGACTCTGGGGCCAGCAGAGGCGTAAATGTCGGTACCGGTCATTGTGAGACCATTTATCTTGTCGCCAGAATCAGGACCTACGATGGTTAGCAACCCAACATGATTCTGCATGCGACCCGACATACCAGCAAAGACCAAAGTCATCCTCGCAGCGTCCCACATCAACCAGCTCCTCCCTACGGATGTCGTGACATTGACTGTAGGAGTAGCGAGAGCCCCATTGGGTGTGTGAACAAACATGGCAAATGGAATCTCGTCGGTGACATATCCAAGGGCTCTGAAGGGGGCGAAGAGACGGCCTGTTGAGGGTTGTTGGGATGTGGAAGGGCCAGCAGCCGGAGGGGCGGGGCGGGGTTGCTTCCTCTGCTTCTTCTTTGTATGGGGGTCTGCTGTGGCGGCCATGGGGGCTGCTGTGGCGGTGGGTGCTGGAATGGACGCTTTCAAAGTCGTTGAATAGCAAAGCTGCTGGCCAAAACTCAGAAATATTTGGGTTACGTAAACACTTCTCCTCCACTTGCCCCTCGGACGCCCGGCGGGTTGCCGGCGGGTGGATGGTGAGATTGTGGTGAGAGATGGTTCAACCATGTGCGATGGGATGGAGAGCAGTGGGATGGAGAGCAGTGGGATGGGGAGGAGGGGGCGAGGAGAGCAGCCCCGGTACGATGCCACAGGTATGCCCCAGAGCAAACACATGTGCGCTACCGACTGGCTACCGAGATTTCATCGGCGGCACTTCTCACACGCTGGGCGTAAACATCCCTGCATCTCGTTCTCATCCTCTTCTCTTCTCATAACGCCGCATGTCCTGATACTACCCCTTCTGTCTCCCCAATAGCTCTTACAGCTCCTCACGTTCCTTCTCACCCCTGCCTCCTCAGAATCACACACCCCGCCCTCAGGCCTTCCGCCCAACTCCTTCTCCTCCCCCAGTCATCAAACACACTGATCGCCCGGCATGGGCGGCTCAGTCTCCTCTTCCATGGAGCCCGGATACATCTTCCCCACTATCCAGACCTTCAACCCACCACTCCGTGTCTACCGCATCGAAGAGTGTAAGCTTCCCCGGCTAGCCCGTCAGCTTTATGCCGAGGAGCGGCCTTGCCATGTGATGGTCCAGATCATACCTGCCGTCGCCGTTCTGAGCGTGAGCCTTTTCGCCGTCTGTCATCCCCACCGCTGACTGTCTTCAGGCCTGTCCAGAAGCACTCGTTGTCTTCACCCTGCCCCCTGAAGAGCGCGAAGTTCTGTCATCAAAGCACTACCCTGAATCCATCATCTCCTATCCCAGCATATACAGCCCCTCTTCTCCCACCTCTAGCATCCTTGCCCCCGAAAAGAAGGCCCCCCTATACTCTCCCAAGCCCATGATCGCTGATCCCTTCCGCCGGTCCGACCCAGTCCGCTTCAACAGCCTCGACGGCCGCCATTTCTCGGGCATCACGCGAGTCAAATACTCTTCTTCTCAGGATGCTATACATCCTGACGTGGATCTGAATGATATCGACTCCATCACACAAGCGATGCGGGACGCGAGCTTTGGTCTGGACAGCCCCACAGCTAGACTTGCTCAGAACCGAATTTCGTCTTTGCCCAACGATTGCCGGAGCAGCATCTACTCTGTGTCTCTCCCGGGGCGAGTGTCAGATGCCCACGACCCCGCGACCGGTACTCCCTTGGTCCGCCCGACCACCCCTGATACGGGTATCGTACACGCCTCGGACCTCCATCGCTTCTCAACTGCCCGATACAGCCACGCTGCCGGACGTACCAGCGTCATGAGCCTCCCACCCCTCTGCAACTCGACCACGATCTCTATCCCCGATTCTGCCATTGTGAAAACCCCGACTACGCCTGCTTTCCACTATCACCATCTCGACAGCCGCAGGGGCCAACTTATTGGGAACGGACGATCGAGAGCTACGAGCGAGCCGATCATGAGCGGTGCGAGTAAGCGAGAGTTGAGGAAAGTGTCGAGCGTAGTGGATTCCTCAAGTGGGCCAGACTTGGCTCTCATCAACAGATCGACACACAAGTTATCGAGCCATTCACTTGCTGCCAAGTCTACGCCTGACGCTATTTTGGAGACCTCGGTTATGGCACTTGGACAAGAGAGCAATACTCTGGATAATGCCTCCAACCAAGAGAAGACCCTCCCGTTGGTTCCGTTCCCAGTTCCACAGGCAGCAGGGCAGGTGATCCCAACGCCGAATGAAGTAAGCCGCTGTCTGACGTAAAACCAACTATGCTGACTCTATCCAAGCCCGCTTTCAAGCTTGCTACCTTGGCTCCTATGCCCAAGACTGGTGCGGCTCCTATGCCCAAGCCCATTCGAAGCATCCGCCCTCACCCATCATCGTCTCCTGACGTCTTTGCTGGTCCCTCCCCAAAGGCCGCGTACACTCGACTGGTAAGTCCCCTCTATTTCGAAAGAAGCCTGCTCACGTCTTGCACTGCAGCCACTCAGAGGTCCTCGAACTCCCAACCCTGAGATCTTCAAGCATCTTCACCCCGTCACAGGTCAACGGACAGCATATCAGGCCGAAGGCAGACGGAGGTGTCGTCTCAGAGACTATGGAGAAGGCGCATCGTGGCCAGCCACTCGTGGACCGTTTCCCTATGATTTGATTTGAATTTTATTGTTTCTTTATGTGCATTCGTCCTTCGATTTCGTTTGGTTTTCTGTACGTACTTATATCATCTAGATCCGGACATCGCTGGTTGTCTCTCGTCAGTGTTGGCTTTGATGTGAAAAGCGCGGTCTGGGTAAATAATTTTACTTATACATGGTGACCCTATATGCATGAAGGACATTTACTCATAAGCTCTATTCCGAAGCAGGCTTGAAAGTTCGTCCGATGCCCATCCTGGCATATCCGATTGCTGCATCTACAGCTGCCTGGACACCATCAATGACCGGCACGTGTCTACCACTCTTCTTTGCCAGGTCGGCCTCCAAAGACGCTCTCATAGGCGCCATCCCCTGGATTCGTTAGCGGGCAGATACCCATAGCAACAAAGAGCACTCACTGCACATCCAAGAATAATCACTCGCGCACCCTTCGCAACCAAGTCTACCGAAGCTTGCAACAGTGCATCGGCTGGCCCAGCACCGTGGAGACTGATAGCGCTGAAGCCTGTTCCTTTTGTACCGGTGTAGCGGCCGGAGGAGATACCCAGTGATCGCACAGCTTCGTCGAACAGAGGTTCCCACTCTACGGTGCTAGGTTAGCTCTACAATACTAGGCCAGTACAGAGAGGGGAAACGCACGAGGGCCGGTGGTAGCTATGCCGAAAGTAGGACCGAGCTGGAGAGCTGCGAGAACACTCGACTCCATAATGCCCACTACAGGCGGGGCTTGAGGCCTTCCATCAAAGATCTCCTTGAGAACCGGGACAAGCGGGTGTGCAGAGAAGCAAGAGACGATCACTCCAGAATAGCCTCTCTCGACCTTGTCCACGCCCGCGCTCTCGCCATCTGTTCCCTTCTGCAGGAGATCCCGCAAGACGACAGAAGTTGAGAGTACACCGTCAGTCGGACCGTCTATGCTCTTCGGTGCGTCTCCCGGAGGCGTGTAGAAGGTGATGCCAACATCGGCAGGCAGGCGAGGTGTGAGATAGTCTGCTATCTCGTCGGTGAAGGCGGTCGTGCAGTTGGGGTTGATAAGGAGAAGCTGGATGTTGGCGACCTGCTGCCCGAGGGCGTTGGTGTAGAGCTCTGCAGGCATGGCGAGATGGACAAGTGCATGCAAAAGGAAAAAGAAGAAGGAAAAAGAAGGGAGAAATGAAAGAAGGGTCTCCCTTATCGTTCCTCATCTCGCGCCGAACTCGCTTCGACATTTTGGATCCGCATTGTCGCCTGCGATATACAAAATGGCTACGAATCCACAAGAGGGCAGCTTTGTGACACTGGGTAGGTTGACTGTATAGCCACAGGGACGAGCTCACCAGGCCTGCATAGAGCACTTTATCCACGACACGTTTACCCGCATAGATGATACTGGCGCAGAGAAGCCGGTAGATCAGCCTGACCAGGTGAGTCCGACAGGCATGTGTGAGACTCGGCTGACAGTGTATGCAGATCGGGGGCGGGGGAACATTCGGTTCGTTCACACAGTGCCCTAACGACAGCGCGCTCACCCATGCCCAGCCATCATCGGCGCCCGTATCTTTCTGCCACCTTCCAAACTCGGTTTGATCATAGACCACACGCCTGAGACTCTGCCCGAGACATTGAAAGATGATCTCAAGGCATACGGAGAGGAGATGTGGGAGTTTCGTGAGCGCAAGGACGGCAATCCTACGACGAGGGCCGTGAACCGGTATCAGGGGGACAAAAGAGGGTGAGTCTTCAAGCGTCCAAGCCAGTCTCTGTATTCTGACCCACATGCAGATTCGAATACCTCTCTAAACCTCTTATATTGACTCCCAAGTCTCTAGAAGGGACAGCTTTTGGAGACCCTTTGCCAGCTGTCACTCATTTCATCTCTTACCCCGCACCTCGCGCGGCAAACATTCTGGGCGAAGTGGAAGCTCTCAAGAAGAGCAAGTGGTGGGATCCTCTCATCGTATGGGAGCCTGAGGAAGAACAGATTGACGTTGTCACTGCCCTCGCTCCCCATATTGACATCTTGGGGTACGCCCATGCATTTGACAGAGCCACGTTGCTGATCATCGTGTTAACATAACAGGCCGAACCACAATGAAGCCCTCGCCCTTTACGCCCTCTTCACCGGTCCAGAGTTTACTGATGATGATCTCAAGCCCATCTTGACCCGTGTCTGTCGCTCCCTCGTGCACCTTCAACCTCGTATAGGCGCCATCATCCGTGCTGGCCATATGGGGTGCTGCTACGCGGCGCCAGACCCACAAGGGTACAGGCCGGAGGTGCAGTGGGTGCCGGCTTACTGGGGAAAAGAGGCTGGGAGAGAAGGGTGGGAGAAGAAGGTGGTGGATCCTACAGGGGCGGGTAATGCGTTTATGGGCGGGGTCGCTGCTGCTTTGCTAGAAGGGAAGACGTTAGACGATGGTAGGTTGTCTCATCTGCTCTAATGAGTCCACTGACGTAGTATATTTAGCTGTCAAATGGGGTACTGTTGCTGCATCATTTGTCATTGAACAGAACGGGCTGCCTACGTTGACCAAGGGAGAAGATGGAAAAGAGCTCTGGAACGGGGAAGACCCCTGGGAGAGACTCAAAGCTCTGTAACGTAGGTTGTCGCGGTGTAGATGCTGTCTGAATACTGTCTGAATACTGTCTTGATATGCTATGCATTGCTTGTCTAGAGCGTAAGGGGCAGTCTACCTCTGATGTCAATGTCAAGTTGCATTCATCCCTCAGTGGTGATGGGATCTTGTCACATTTGGGCGAACCAAACAACTCTCCGTAGTTTAGTGTGGTTTAGAGCGTCAGACTGTAATTGGTTACAAATATTCACATCTGAAAGTCGTGCGTTCGACTCGCACCGGGGAGATTCTTTTTGCCTTCTCTTTTGGGAGGCTTTGGTTACCATGCTGCCCAGCCATGAGGGATGCCGAGGAGGTAGAGCGTATCCGCTGTACGATCAGCCAGTCGACCGACGCGTCGGACATGCCTCCACTTGGCTCGACGGCGCTGTCTACCATACCTGGCTCGACACAAGCCCTTCCCAGTAGGAGGAGGAGATGTAGTGACGTGGACATCAAGTGGACATGTGAACGTAGAGTCTACAGCAGGCAGGGTTGCCGCTATGTTATCAGGGACGAGTTAGGCGCGGAGGCGAGAGGAGGCTCCCATAGATACATCGTGCCGCGTCTTCGTATCCTTTCCCTTATCGATGTATTCTCGTATATCCTTCATATCTATATCCATCCTTCCCCATCCGCCTGTCCCAGGTCGACATCTAGCGCCCATAGCTAGATCCACCACGTAACCGCCCCTAGGTTACGCGCCAGGTGGGCGGACAACTCTCCATCAGCACCCCTAGCCAGCGCCTTCTCCCTGGCAACGGGTGTACCCTTTACCCACAGCACTCGGCTTATCGCACAGGCCATCGCGTCAGCTCTTTCACCATCCCCTCATCGCCTCGCCCACCATGGACCATCTCGATCGACCCCTCCCTGGCCACATGCAAGACATCTCCGCCTTCCGCCAGTTCTTATCTACCCCCTCCGGCCGCCTCACCTGCCCCGACTCTGTTGCCCACCCCGAAGAGCCTGACTCTCTCCAGACGTCGATGATCGAGTCATGGAGAGCGGCCGAGCCGTCTCAAGACTCTAAACTAAAGCTGCTGAGGCTGATAAAGGACTTGACGCATATAATCAATGTAAATTACGGGGGATATGCTGGGAAGGAGGGCCAGAGGTTCTATGTGGATGTCTTTGGGAGCGTGAGCTGGGGAGGGGATACAGGACGTAGTGGAGACGTGGATCTCATCATTCTGGTAGGTCGGGCATGACTGTTGGGCAAAAGTGGGACTGACGAGATACCAGGATCGGCAGCTGTTGCATGGTTGTAAATTATAACGCCGCGTGGAAACGACCGAGACTGACTCTTGAAAGATGTGCCGACACTCTGGAGGCGACAGCCTGGGCAGCCTGAACAAACCCCGAAAGAAGCCCTGCACAAACGCGATTATCTCCCTGTGCCCATTCCCGGAGTGCCAGGCTGCTACGACACCATGTCTATGGCGGACACTCTCAAGAGAGCTGGGTTTGAGGACGTCAAGAGCGTACCAACTGCGAGCACGCCCATAAACAAATTCAAGTATGCGGATTTGGAGTGTGATTTGAATGCCAACGACTTGGGAGGCTGGTGAGTGTTCAGCACCCATGGTGGAAACACGCTGACGTTGGTAAAGGTACAACTCATCCCTCCTCCTTCGTTACTGTAGCCTGTCCCCTTACGTCCTGCGTCCAATGATCCACACTCTCAAGCTGTGGTCTTCTTCCCACAAGCTCAACGACCCTTCCGGGGCCCGGGGCCCTGCCACCATGTCATCGTACTGCCTGACCTTGATGGCCATTGCATACCTCCAGCATCTTGGACACTTGCCCAACTTGCAGGAAGTGGTCAAGGTCCCCGAGGTCAGCAGGCCAGAGGATACAAGTGAGCACGATGTGGTATGGGTCTCTTGGGGCAAAGACGAAGGGGTCAAGGCGAGGGTAGCATTCAGTCTGGAGCTGCCAGAGGGCTGGGTGCAAAAGGAGAAGGACTTGACAGCTGCGGATGCCATTCGTGGCTTTTTCGAGTTCTTTTCGCTTTCCGGCACGGCTCCTCTGCGCGGAGAGCGATTCGACCGCAACTCGGAGATTGTTTCCATCCTCATGGGAGGCATAGTCCCCCGCGCCAGAGCGTACGGTCAAGAGGCACGTGAAGCCTCGGAACGACATCAGCTTTTGGAGAATATGGGTGTACCAGCGCACAAGATCAAGAGTAGTAGTGATGAAATGAGGCTGGCGAGGATTGCAGAAGAGCCAAGAATGGGCAAGGGTGATCGGGGCATACAGCCCAGGAAATGGGGACAGAACAGACTGGTGGTACAGGATCCGTTCTTGTGGCAAAAGGTGAGTGGCAAGGCTTATACCAAGATGTCGTTGACTCTGGGTTAGAATTGTGCTAGTCAGATGACCAAAGGAGGACTCGATCGTTGGTGGACGGTAAGTTGACTCTTCATTGTGACGATCAAGCTCATGTACAATAGACCATCGACAACTCTCATCGAGTCTTGAAGCTCCGAGGTAAAAGCTTTACCGTGGGCGAGTTGATCATGATGTAAGATCGGCGAGCTGAAAAGCTTGTGCCATGGGGTATGAAGAAACGAAAAAACGACGACACGGGATAAACTGTCATTACAATCGAGATTGATGTATATACTTGCACAACTTGCTCATTTCTGGAGACATGTAGAGCGTGCGGCTCGACTTTTGCAAGAATTGAACTGCCATTGTCGGGACATGTTACATGGCATTATAAATAGAAGATCCACTATCACCTGCCAGGGTGCACTGCACTGGCTCTGAAGATCTCTTACGATCACTGGCCCTGTACGCCGAGATGCTACTGGACTGGAACAAGATGTAGAATGCAGATACAAACCATCATTGATAAGATATAGAATTGCATATTGTTCACGTATATACCAGAGATGTCAGTATCGACTGGCGAGCCGGGGTCAGTAATCTCGTCAGCACATGCAAAATTGCAGCAGGGGTTCCGATGGTTGGCCCCGCCTGGCGGTACGGCAACACAGCCCTCCCTCATTCCATTGCACCATCCAGACACCAGGGGTCGGGCACACAGCCTCCCACCCGACAGAGAACAAAAGTTCTATCTGGTTGCAGCGTGCAGAGGTAGAATATACATTCATCCAAAGCCCAACATACACCATCGGAATAACCCGTGAGGGCAGAGCCGAGTAGACCAAGTAAAGGGACCACTTCGCGCGCTTAGGCGACGAGGGTAGAAGCGGTAGCGGCCTCGTACTTGAAGTTGGCGGGGACCTGCTGGGTCTTGATGTAGTATCGCGCAAGACGGTGGATCCTGGACTCGATGAGAATCATTCGGCTACAAGACGTTAGCAGTTGCGAAAGCAAAAGTGACGTGTACGCACAACTTGGCGTCCTTGTCACCCCTGTTTCGCTCGAGGTGCTTCCTGACGGAGACAGCCTTCTTGATGAGGTGGTAGAGGTCCTCGGGGAGGGTAGGGGCGAGACCTGTTCATGATCAGCACGAATCTCCCCATCGAGTACTTTAAACGTACCGTTGGTCTTGAGGATCCTCAAGATCTTGTTACCGGTAACGGACTTGACCTGGGGGATACCCTGGGAGTCACGGAGGATGACACCGATCTGGGAGGGGGAGAGACCTCGTCGGGCGAGCTTGAAGATCTGGTCACAGACGTCCTCGGGGGTGGCCTTGGACCAAGAAGGCTGGGACCTTCGGTAGGGGAGCGCGGACGCGGACATACCCTTTCCCTTGGAGTGCATTCTGCGGGAGGTCAGTGATTGCAGCAGGGGGGGCAGGGGGGCACTCACCGACCCATTTTTGCTGATGATGTTGTTTTGGCGGTGGATGCTTGAGGTGAACAAGAGCGAGCTGCAAATTTCGACAGAAGGGGTCGACGGGGAAATGCGGCGATTGCCGAATGTGGCAAAGGGGGGGCAACAGAAACTCCGCGAAACGCCGGTGCACGTGGCAGCAGGTTGGCGAATTTGCGGCGGGTTGCGTTGATTCTTCATCCTTCAAACCAAAAGGCCTCTGCTCTCTGCCACGTCTCAGAGACACCCCGCCATCCAACACCATGAAGGTCAACTTTTCCAACCCCGCCACCGGCGCTCAGAAGCTCATCGACTTTGAGGATGACCGCAAGACGTGAGTATCGCCACGCGCAGGGATCGCCGCATACGGGGAGGGGAGCATTCGAGGGAGGGGAGCGCCGACGGGCGGAGGGTGCTGGGAAGAGACGCTGACGTTCTCACAGCCGAGTCTTCCTTGAGAAGAGGATGGGCCAGGAAGTCCCCATCGACACTCTTGGTGAAGAGTTTGCCGGCTACGTCGTCCGAATCACCGGCGGTAACGACAAGCAGGGTTTCCCTATGAAGCAGGGTACGCCTCCTCCCTTGCTCCTTTGCTGCGAAAAACTCACAGTATCATAGGTGTCCTCCTCCAGCACCGAACCCGTCTCCTCCTCGCTGACGGCCACTCTTGCTACCGAGCCCGCCGAGACGGTGAGCGCAAGCGAAAGTCTGTCCGAGGTTGCATCGTCGGCAACGACATTGGTGTCCTCGCCGTCGCCATCGTCAAGCAGGGTGCTCAGGAGCTCCCCGGTCTCACCGACGTCGTTCTGCCCAAGCGACTCGGTCCCAAGCGTGCCACCAAGATCAGGAAGTTCTTCAACCTTTCCAAGGAGGACGACGTTACCAAGTTCGTTGTCCGAAGGGAGGTCACCAAGAAGAACGGCAAGACCACCACCAAGGCCCCCAAGATCCAGGTGTGTAAAATCCCCTTGTCGAGCGGGAGCAGGACTGATTATCCTTGTAGCGCCTTGTCACCCCCATGCGTCTCCAGAGGAAGCGTCACCTCCGATCTCTCCAGAAGAGGAGGACCGAGTCCCAGAAGGAGTCTGTTGCCGAGTACAAGACTGCTCTTGCCAAGCACGCCGAGGAGAAGAAGGTCCACAACGCCGCCGTCAAGGCTGCCAAGAAGGCCCGCAGGTGAGTTTTTTCCGCATACCTCAGTAGTCATGGGCGGCTGACGAGACGCAGGTCCGCCTAAAGCCTTTAAGGGAGTTTGGTGGTTGGGGTTGTTTCCTTTTTGCTTGTCGGTACTCTCATGCCGATGTATTTCATGAGAATCCAATGAGCAGATGGTGGATGCAAAGACTAGATTCAAACGAGATTGGGATTGTGTTGAATCTGAGAATTGTCGGTTGAAGGGGCAGATGGTCTGATGGCATTGAAAAGTCTCGACGGGCGATCAACTTTCGTGTCACTAACAGCTCTTGATATATCCAGAATGCGGGGTATCATACATTACACACATGGCGGTCACTTTTATATTATTGACTAAAGCTTCATCTATTGCCCTCTCACAAAGCGTACTTTTGCACGTACTCCTGCGCCTTCTTGTTGAACGCAGGCCTGTCGGTCCTGTACTGTTCGGCCTGTATCGCCCGTCAGACACTTGTTCCACGTCTCTTGAAAATCGAGTGTACGCACAATAGAAGCGCTGAGGGGGTCGTCGGGATTTGGCTCGTTCAAAAGGTTATACACTGATGACAAGACTGTATTGACGTACAGTATCAGCAAGAGGCAGAGGAGAGAGTCGAGAGAAGCCAACACACCGATTTCCATCCTGGTAGCAGGTTTCCATTGTTCAGTTTTGAGCAGTCCGATACAGATACTAATGGCGCTTGAGTATCTACCGACTGAATCTAAGGCTTACCTTCCGTCGTCATCGATGTTGGGGTGATACACTCTGGTCTGAAACTTGATCTGCGTGCCCATTTGAGCAGAGTATACAGGACCACATGCATAGTGGCAAGGTGAGGACGTACGACGGGTGGCTTGAACGGAAAATCTTTGCTAAAGTCAACATTGACGTTGAATCTTCCTTTTTCGTATGGAGAGCCAGGCTATGATGGAGCAGTCAGTCCTGAACTACTTCTGGGGGGGTGTTCGAGCACCAGGACCGGTCGGGTAGCTAATGATTTCAATTCGACTTTTGAACAGAACCAAACCCGGAGAAGAGAGGGCACATACAGGTCCCAGCATGACAATTTTCCAGAGCTCGATGTTGTCTTCGTCGGGGAGAACAGTGATATTGGCTGGGGGGTTGGACATGAGCCCCGAGAGTTCCTGCAGAGACCGTTTGTCAGTTGTGAGGCTCTCGATGGCAATGTCAAGGGTGAACGGGGTATCACCTTTTGGATCCGGCGGACAGAAGTAGACGACATGATGCAGGCGGCTGATGTTGACGAGAGAGCTGGATGATATAGGTGGAAGACGATGAGATGTGGACTGCTCTGGGACTGCTCGAAATGGCAACGAACGAAGGTGGACGCGTCCACACGCGTCGGAAGTCCCCGATGGTCGCTGGGCGGACACCGTCCAGTCATTTGATTTATTCCATGCATTGTGCATTCTCTTTGGCCTGAAAAATAACGTCTGCACACATAGCTGGATCTAGCCATGCATCTGTATGCACATGGGGCTAGCCCTCGGAATGATCAATGAAAGAGATCATAACGCCCGAACGCCCGGTGTTGAGTGATCGTCTGGCGACGAGGACTCTTCCAGATACAGTCCTATCATATAGATGCTCTTACATCCCTTGCCCTGCCTGCAGCTATGTACACCACAAGCTGCCTCTCCTCGCCATTCCCATGGCAAAGCGCCGACATATAGCCTCCCCGGACGCGTCTTGAACGGGATCAAATGGCTGCCAAATACTCGCGTCTGTGCATGATAGTTGTATGTTTTTGTCCTTCTCTTCACGTCCACAGCGACCCTGGAGCCATGTCTCTCTTCAAGCGCAAGCACTCCAAGGCAGACATACAGCCCCCACCAGCCTCTGTGCAGCAGGCCCCACCGTGAGCACCCTTGACCTCCCCCGTCTTCTCCGGCGCAGAAGCTGACGACAACGAGCCCAGGGCTAGCGTACCGAGTACTCAGCAGAAGGGTGGTTACGGATCAGTGGGCGTGGCAGGCGGGGGGAACGCGAACCCGAGGCGGATGACCAGCAACCCGGTACGATAATGTTGCTTTTGATGGGCGAGAGCGACGCGAAGACGACGTGATTGCTTGGTGCGCGTGGGCCAAAGAAGGCTGACCTTTCGGTAGCAACTCAATGCGAATGTCCCTCAAGGTGTCCAGCCACCCATACACCCTTCGCAGATTCATAATTTTGCTCCCATGAGCATGCCCCAGCCCGGTTTCACTCCCCCTCATCGCCAGTCCCAATCACCCATCGTCAATGGCCCTGGAGGTACTGCGGCTGGGTTCCCCACACCTCCCATGAATGGCTCACCACACATGAGCATGTCTCCCCAGTCTCATTCTGGACAGGGGATGTACCCGGCGCAACAGTCACAAATTGCTCCCCCAGCTGGACAGGACCCCGCTCAGCAGCAACATTTGCCCAAGCAACAACATGATCCCTCCAACTTTCCATGGCAAGTCCGCCATCTCCGGACCTACCCACCGTCCTCCCCTAATATGCCAAACTCGCCCTTCCCCCGATATGGCTTATCTGTCCCCTGTTTTCCCTCGCATTCTGGCCACATGCTCCTTTTCGGAGGACTGGTCAATGAGCGAGTCAGAAACGACTTGTGGTCAATCGACATCCGGGACTATTCGACAATGTATGTCAAGACAAAGGGAGATGCTCCACCTCCAAGGGTGGGACATGCGAGTGTGATAATGGACAGAATTTTGATTGTGTGGGGAGGAGACACGAAAGTGAATGCTTCTGATCCTCAAGATGAGGGTCTGTATGTTCTCGATCTACGTGAGTCGCCTGTACGTTTCGCTTCCCACACCGCTGACATGTTTCTAGGCTCCCAAGAATGGACTCTTCTTCCCGTTGCTAGAGGGCCAGTCGGCAGATATGGCCACGCAGTCTGCATGGTGGGGTCCAAGTTCTATGTCTTTGGTGGTCAAGCAGACGGGGCGTTCATGAACGACATGTGGTCGTATGATATCAAGCAACGTGGGTCAATCCTATCAACCCATAGTCCACGTGCTGACAAGCCTCTAGTGACATCTCCCAATGCTCCTCATATATGGGAGCAGGTGACATACACTACACCCCCTCCCCCTGCTCGTACTGGACACGTTTTGGTATCCTCGTCGAGTGAAAAGATCTACCTGTGGGTCACCTCTAGTCTTAGCGCTCTCATTCTGATGACATCCTAGCTTTGGTGGTACTGATGGCAACTACCACTACAACGACACGTGGTCGTTTGACCCGGCCACAGGTGCTTGGTCCGAACTCACCTGCATCGGCTTCATCCCCCTCCCCAGAGAGGGCCATGCCGCGGCTATTGTAGACGACACTATCTACGTGTTTGGTGGCAGAGACGTCAAAGGAAAGGACCTTGGCGACTTGTCTGCGTTCAAACTGTCAAACCAAAGATGGTACATGTTCCAGAACATGGGTCCCGCTCCAACTGCGCGATCTGGTCACGCGATGGTGTCTGCACACGGAAAGATCTTCATTGTCGGTGGTGAAGCCAACCAGGTCATCGCTGATCAGAAAGACGACCCCGCACTCGTCCATTACCTCGACACCACCAAGATCAAGTATCCCGCCGACAAGAAGCCCCGAGACGACGGTAAGGGCGCCCAACCTGGCCAGAGCCCGCAAAGACTCCCTCATTCGGGTTCGATGGAGCAGCTCCACACCCGCGCTGGCTCGCCGCTCAATGAGGGGGCGACGCCCCCAGCACAGTCCCTCGGTGCAGTCATCACCCCTCCGACTCAGACGCCCGAGGCTGCTCAGATACCACCCCAAGTTCAGGTCACGCAGCCCCCCGTCCAGTCTCTCACCACCGCTCAACAACCCCGCTCCATACCCAAAACCAACGGTGCTCCACCCCAACGCCCTCATCGAGAAGGTGACGAAGAATATCGTGAAGCCATGTCCCCAGCCAATTCTCACCACCCAGAGCTTCATTCTCCCCAGTCAAGCTCTATCCGCGTGAGTAGCCCAATAAACAATTCGCCGGCGTCGCCGAAGAATCACCCGAAAGTGATATTCAACTCGAGTCTCACTGGTACTCGATCGCCGAGCCCGAGGCTGAGGAACGCAGATGGTACTTCAGCGGAAAAAGAACGTGCCCCACCTCCCCCGGATGCCTTCTACTATGGCAGACGGTCGCCTACCACGAGCGGCTTTTCGCTGCATAGTGCGAGTGGCCGACCTAGCTCTCTCGGGCCTTCGACAGACTTGATCAGAGAGTTGAAGGCTAGGGATATCGAGCTTGAGGATGGGAAAAAGCGAGAAGCGGCATTGAAGGCCATCTTGAGCCGAGCGATGAAACAGGGCTTCGTCTTTGGCGATGAGCGTCCAGAGGGCATGTCGCCGGATATGAGCATCGACGAGAATGAGGACGGCGGTGAGAGAGCCGTCAAAGAGCGGAGGGTGCAAGACGTGGTCGGCAAGTTGACTGATGCTTTGGTGAGGCTGAAGAAAGAAAAGGCCGAGATGCAGGTGAGCTTTGGTATCACGCGCCACTTGAATCAAGCTGACAAGACATAGAACGAATTGACGTCCCAAGTCCACGCCGCTTCCGACAAATCTCGCGAAGCCGACACCCTTCGCCGAGGTGCTCTTCAAGAGACTGCATTTTACCGCGCAAAAATCGCTGCACTAGAGTCCAACTCTGCCATCGACCTCAAGCGTCTCGAACAGGACCGCACGGCTGAGCTCGAAAAGCAGATTGGAGTCCTCGTCAATGAGAACGCAGATCTACAGAAAGAGCTCGAGCGCGAACGCGATAACGGAGTGCAGACGAGGGATTTGCACTCTTCTGCAACGGAGCGAGAGGCAGAAACGCTAAAAAGGGCGGAAGAAGCGGAAGAAGCTCATCGAGGAGCCGTAGAGGAGCTCGAGCAACTGCATGCGCGATTCAGTAACCACGAACAATCCATTCGCGAGCACTCGGAGCAGCTCGTCACACTCTCATCCACCCTGCAGCAACGCGAGGCTGAGCGAGAGACTTTATTGTCGCAGCTCAACGACGCTGTCACTTCTCGAGACCAGCATATCCTGTTGGTGGAGGAAGCTCAGAGGGCCGTGGATTCCGGAGGGGCAATGGCGAGTGAGATGGAGGCCATGTACGCTCAAGAACTGCAAAAGGTCGCCAGGCTTGTGGAGCAGCTCGCTGAGACTCAGGCGGAACTTGAGAAGCGATCTCAGCTAGCCGAGATTGCAACCGAGCGTCTACAGGAGATTGAGAAAGCGTATGCCATCTCTCGCGAGGAAGCTGATTCGCTTCGCGGGTCTGTCAGCACCCATCTCGGTGCTATCCTCGACTCTCACAAGGAACTTCGGGCCGATGAAAGCCGGCTCACGCGAGGTCATCAAGACAAGCTTCGCGCTTTGGAGGTGGAAGGCACGAGTCTCAGGAAGATGCTGAACGAAGCCGGGCAAAGGGTAGATGCCGCTGAATCTGGTGTCAGCCATCACCGATCCAAAGCTCGAGTCCTTGAAGGCAAGGTGCAGGCACTCAGGGGTGAACTTCGTGCTGGCCAGACCAAGCTCATGAGCGCTCAGTTTGAAGTCACTCGCTACAAGGAGCTTAATGCCTCTCGAGACGAAGAGTTGAGAGAAAAGGAGCTGGCTGTGACAGAGGTTGAGACCAGGTGCACCATGTTGCGCAATCTCTTGGCTGAGCACGGCATCGCCATCAACAGCACCGACTTGGACAACGTCGAGACTCCATCCAGTCGCGAGCTCGAAACACAGCTTCGAGACCGAAACAGAGCCAACGAGTCTGCTCAACGAGAGATTCAGAGCCTTCGTGCCAGAAGCGAAGAAGCCGAGGACAAGGTGGAGTCTCTCAGTCGCCTTATTGAACGCATCAAAGATGCTCGAAGTCCGACAAGTTCCAGTATGCGTTCCCCCACGCCCACGGGTGGGGAACCAGGTCGAGTCGGTGAGCTGGAGAAGAAGCTCAATGACATGACCAAGGAACATAAGGATAAGGTTGCGGGGCTGGAAGCCGACTACCAGACCGCTGTGAGGTATGTGAAGGGTACGGAGAAGATGTTGAAGCGGATGAAGGTGAGTTCCGGGCATCTTAATGTTTCGTTTCAACATGCTAATAGTATAATTAGGACGAGTTGAACAAACAGAAAGCGACCAACGCTACTGTTCAGACTGAGCTTGACCATCTTCGTGGCAGATCATCTGTCTCTGGCCGTTCCACACCTTCTTCAATGCTCGAATCCGATGTCCAGCGCCGCTTCTCCACCCTCCAAACCCAACATCAAAAGCTGCAAGAAGATTACTCTGCTTCTCAAGACGTCTTGTCGGCTCGAAACCGTGAGGTCGACCTCTTGCGGATGAGATTAGACGAGGCCGAGCGGGATCTGGAAAGCTTGAGGGAAGATTTGGCGCAGGCGCAGCATAGGATACAGACGCTGTTGGATGTGAGAGGTGTCTCGGACGATGATGAAGCCGAAGGTAGCGAGGAGGCCACTTTGGCGCTGGACAAGGTGAATAATACTCTTCGGGACAAGCGCGTTCAATACTGACAACCATCGCAGTTTACAAAAGAACTTCGACAATGGGAAAGAAGTCGGTCACCAGGGGGCACCAGCATTGGCGGCTCCTCCGATGAAGACGAGACCATTCACATGCCCGGTCAATCGAAAAAAACATCCCAAACTACCGCTGCCACGAAAGGCCATCAACGCAATAGCTCAGAGTACAGTGGTGAATGGGCTCGTTGAGACGGGTTGACGTTGGTGAAAACTTGTGTATAATAACAGACTTGTCAGATGGGCTCTTGTGTTTCCTTCCTCCGTTCACGTTTTTTTTTCTCTAATGCCTTGGAGTATACCACAATTGGATACGATGATCTTGTTTCGGTCTTTCACGAATGGTTTACGTCACGGTTTGAATGAATGAATGAGTCTGTGATCCTGCACTGTGCTCTGTTGGATTTCTGAGCCACATGTGACATCATTGGGTGATCTACGAGAAACAACAACGAACACTTTGAGGATACAATCTTTACCGGAATCTTCTCTGCCTGAATATTCTTATGCTACAGTTGCTCGTGAACTCCTGTTCTCGCCCGATATCGATACGACCATCCGTCTCCATGTCCTCCATTTGCACCTTGACCTATAGCGCCCCACTGACATAAGCCACCGAATCCAGCCTCTCACCCAGCAGCTTTGCCTTTTTCCTTGGGCTCCCCTCTTCAGCCACCTCGACCTGTTGCGCCACAGTCACCTCTCGGTCAAGGGCTTGAGAGCCAATATATGTACTATCGGTACGGCTGGGCTGGCACGGGGAGGGACTTTTTGATTGAACGCAACGGCCACTCGAAGAGCCCAGGACGAGCGGCACGAATACTGAGGTCTTCTCTGGCTGGTCCACATCTTCGACATGCGTCGCTCCTATCAAACGACTTCCTGTTGGGCTGGGTATATCCTCGTCGAGACGGAGCGCAGCCAGGGGCGCCGACGGGCTCAAGGTGGCGTCGGTGACCACGACAGAAGGGGCGTGACTGGTAGCGGGAGGCGCACTGGACTGATGTCGATGACCTAGGAAAGGGTTTTCCCTCTTGGCTTCTCTTCTCGTCCTCGGGACGTCCAGCAAGTCTTGAGTTCCCTCTTGCGTCTCACTACTGTCGCCACCTTTGCTCCTCTCACCAAGACCATCCTCTCCCTCTTCATCTCCAACCGCTTCTCCAACATCTCTGCGCCAGACGAGCATGTCAAATGCGGTGCGAGTAGATCCAGTCTTGGCCCCGTTGGCACTGCCACCAATTACAGCCTCGATTGAGGTGATGCTGCCTCGAATAGCACGAGTCTCGCCCGCAGAGCCGGTGAGAGTGGTGGCGTTTTCTGACGGAGGGATCAAAGCTTCCGAGTAGCTTTGCGGCGGTTGAGTGGGGCCGTTGCCCAGTTGATGGGATAAGGATTTGATGGCATTGGGACTGCGAGGGGGTGTGGCACTTGAGCTGACTTGGGTGGCTGGAGTCAGCGACTGAGCCAGAGCAACGAGACGTCTCGTAGCGGTAGAGAGAGCAGGGACCCTTTCATCTCGAAGGATCTTCAGTATTTCCTCTGCTACTCGAGGGTGGTGGTCGACCTGAGGGTGTAAGTCGTCATGGGCTTGCAGACCGAGCGTAGATGAACCGAAAGAGGAATGTGGCACTGCATCCTGGGACACGTTGGGAAGGGGTTTTGTCTTGTTGGTTGGAGTGATATCCATGTCTTGCTGGTCGTTTCGCTGATCAGAGTCGAAACGGTGCAAAGCCGTATCTGTCGAAGGTATGCTCAAGGGAACCATCTCAACGATACACTCGACGACATCGGTGTCGTTCTTCAATACTCCCTTGCCCTTTCTCTGAGTCATTGGTGAGTTCAAGCTCGTGATTAAAAGAACGTACCTGTTGGGTGAACCAATGCTGGTAAGGCATATCTTGATCCGCGGCGACAAGCACCATGTACCTCCCTGCGTCCTGAAACTCTTCCAACCCGGTCTGATGCACCACCCAAGTCCGAATCTGATCCTCTGAAACCAAACCCTTCTTGACCCGATAGAAAGGCTGCAGCCCAAGCTCAGGCGTCATGATGACATAGACGTACACCTGATCTCGCTCCCTCCGAGAGAGTAGATCATCCATATCGATCAACATGTCCTCTCGTTCTGCCAGCTGCTCGCGCAGGGCGTGGATGTGGTCATGGAGGTCATGAGTGGTGGAGCGCACGATCTGTGCCACCTCCTGGTGAGAGTAGGTGTTGCCGCCTCGAGAGGGTGGTACATTGTCCGAGGGTGAATCGGGCTCGTCGATGATGAGGGGTGGGGTGATGAAGCCGCCAGCCGTACGCGTATAGGCGTCGGGCTGCTCGACCTCGTTGGCCATACGCGAGAGGTCCAAGCGGAGGCGTGGGGGGTGACTGGGTTTCAGTGCAGGCTGTTTATCTGCAATTGCTGGTCAGCATAACGGCATACCCAGCAGCAGTCGACTCACCAGCCCCAGCAAGAACACCCATCACGACCGCTTGTACATCTTGAGGAAGACCGAAGGCAACCCAAAGCTTGGTGTCCTCGCCCCCAAACTTGATCCCCCTGTCCACATTCCTCCGGATCTCTTCCTGTAGCCACGGGTATCAGCTTGCCATTGACGATGGCTGGCAAGCCGGGTGGCGAGGTACTCACACAGACATGCTCGAAACGTTCGTACTGTCCCGCAAAAGGTCCGCTCTGCACAAACAACTCGTGCTCTTCCGGGATGAAGGTCTGGACCAGCATACCAAACTGCCGCGCCTCTTCTGAATCCATGTGCTTGGGGCGATCCCGGGGGTCGGAGAGGGGGAAATCGGTGGTGAGGATGAAGACGTTGTTGTTGGGGACGGAGCGAATGTACCATGTGAAGCTGACGCATGGCTGTGGTAGGGGATGGGATGCGGTCATGGTGCCGAAGACGAGGCTGAAGAGAGAACGATGGAGAGAAGAGATGAAAAGGCGACGAAAGAGCAACAAGGTGGGGAGGAACGTGCCTCGCTGCAAAATCACACGCGCGAAAGCGTCGCACCGAGTTGAATGAAAAGAGTGTGCATGATAGCCACATGGAATCTTTTAACAGATATACTGTATTCGTACTGTAGGAACGAACGTAAGGATTCTGTCAAGTCATGAAGGGAAAAAAGACACGCCCGAGTGCTGCACTCTTCTGGCGAGAGAACAAACACATGTATACCACCACCTATAGACAATCCAGCACAATAGCTTCTAGACGAATCTAGTCTTCTACACGCGAATCCAAACAATGAGGTGACCTCGTTTACTTGGATTCAGTCATGTCGACACCAGAGTCGGAAAGGTTGCCGCTCTCCTCAATGGGCACACGTTGGGCAATACCAGCCGCGTTCTTGTAGAAAACAACGTCCTGGTCATCCTCGACAAACTGCAGGAATTGTCAGTGATAGGAATGGTGTGATAGAGAGACGACGCACCAAGCAGTCTCGGTAAGACTTATAGCAGGCGACAAACATGTTCTCGTCCGACTTGTGGTAAGCAGGACCGAGGAAGTTTTTGAGCGCCTCCGTAGCCTCCCAAGCGTTGTCTGTCAATGATCAGCATACCGCCCGTCGCCAATGAACTTTTAACTTACAGTGAGGGATCTTGGAGGAGATGTGGTGCGCGACGTGGGTCTCGGTGATACCGTGGAACACGTGAGGACCAACGGGACCCAAGAACGATCGGTCGATGGTACAGAGCGCACCTCGGGGGAAAGTCCACTTGTTGGCAGTGTAGTGAGGGAGGACGGGGTCGGTGTGCTGGAGGAAGGTGATAAACACGAGCCAGTTGTTGACCCAGAGGTAAGGGATAAAGTAGATGGAGATCATCTCCTTGATGCCCCTCTGGTAAGACCAGTAACCAAGGGCAGCAAGGACGATAGAGACACCAATGTCGGACCAAATGATCTGGGCAAAGTGATTGGCCTTGAAGATGAAAGAGCGGGGGTTAAAGTGGTTGGTGCCCTTGGGGTAGTGGCGCTGGCCAGAGGCGTTTCGGGCGAGGTACATGGGCCAGCCAAAGAGTTGCTGGAGGAAGAGGTTGTAAAGAACGACGATAGGAGAGTCCTCGAGGGCTTCCATGAGTTGGGATTGACGCTCGGGAGAGACGCTGAGAGGGGTCAGTGCGCGTTGCCCAGGATTGGTAGCGGACTCACTTGATACCGAGAATTTCGCCCTCCTCTACGATCGCGGGCGCACCACGCTCCTTCCTGGTCTTGGGGACAAAGACTTCATCACGAGTCAAGTGGCCAGTGGCGGCGTGGTGACGGGCGTGGGAAATTCTCCAAGAGTGGTAGGGGACAAGAAGAGCAGAGTGCAAGACCCATCCGACACCGTTGTTGACGTCCTTGCTGGAAGAGAAGGCCTGGTGGCCGGCCTCGTGGCTGCATGGGGTCAGAGGGGACCAAGAGTAAAGGGAATGACGCACGCAATGACCCAGATACCGGTGCCGAAAAGACCAGTCACGAACCAGTAGGCGCTCCAGAGAGCAGCCTTGGCGGCGTAGAACGCGACGTTGGAGAGAGCGCTGCCCGCGCGATGAGCATTCAGACCCGTGCAGCGCCGCCAGACTCACAATCGAGAGAGGAAGGAGTCGATGTGGAAGGCTCCATAGACGAGAGCGGTGATGACAGCGACATCTTGGAGGATGTAGAGGGAGGACCTGAAGGCGGACCGCTTGAAGCAGTGGGCGCTGTGGGGGATGAGCGGCTGGGGGTACGAGATGCAGGGAGTGACTGACGGGATGGCATCGAGGAGCTGCTTGATGGTGAAGTCGGGGACGGCGAAGGTGTGTCCCTGAGCGTCTCGGAGCTGGTCCTTCTCTGCCTGGCCAGCAGGGGGCGAGACGGGGCGCTGTCTGAGGGCGGACATGGCGTTGTGTGCAGATCGACCCACCCCATTCCCACATTTATACGCCCCACCAATCCTCTCAGGGACCACGGCGTCCGCCGCCACACCCATCGGGCTGCCATGCCCAGTCGCCCCACCCGTGCCTGGATCCTCTGCACCTTCTGCCTCTTTCCAGCCCAGATTCAAACCAGGCTGGGAATCTTTTTTTTTTCCTTGGCCCTGCGGCCACCCCCGCGTCCTGGAAAAGTGCCACACTCAGTCTCTGCCGACGCTGCAGCCGGCACTGCGCATCACACCGCCCGCTACCTTGTATGTATGCATAGAGTGCTGTTGGCTATGGACAGAATGATGTAGATGAGCCCAGAGTAACCCAAAAAATAGAAATAGATGTGATATATCCGGCAAGGGAAAGACATGATGATACAATCCACCACCCAACGCGTGGACACGCCTCACACGACAGGCCCACTGTAGGCCATAGATCCGCGGTCCACGGAATGCAGTCGCTGGAGCTCTAGAAGAAGGCGGAACGTCTCCAATTTCTGTCAGTCCACGCTCCCATCCATCGACCTCGCACTCACATATGCTTGCATATCCAACCACGACCAATGATCCAGCGCAAACCTCTGCCCTGCTTCACCAATCTTTTGCGCGAGATAGTCGTGTCCTTTTTCCGTGTCGATATGTCCCGCATCGTCCAGAGGACCGACAAAGAATGCCATAATGTCGTAAAGGTCAGAATAGTCGGCTTTGAGAGGAATGTAGTGGAGCCAGGGGGTGAGCCACTCCTGCACAAAAACTGAGCCTTGCGCTGGTGCATACGGGTAGACCTACCATGTGCCACTCGGGAAACATTGTCATTTTAATGATCGGACTGCCCGAGCTCAACAGTCTGTGGAATCGTGAAGACCACCCGTTGCCATCGACATCGAGATTGTATTTGAACCTGACGGCCTCGTCGGGCCACACCTTTTTGCCAAACTCGATGGTTTTGGATACCTCGCCGCAGAGCTCTTCAGAGGGACACTGCTTGGTGTCAGCCTCGCAAAAACAAGTAGGAGACGCACCTGCACAGGCACTCCGGCCAACTTGACATCCGCATAAGCCTTGCTCAGCACCCGTTCCCACCTCCTCACGACATTGAAACTGCCCTCTCCGTCTGGCACCATGACATCCCGCAGCTGCTGATCCCACCACGCATCTCCTCCCTTGGGCCCATTTATCATCAAATGCAGCCTCATCCTATGACTCTCCTTCCAATCCCGCTGCGTACCGTACCCGCCCGTCGTGGACCCGCGCCAGAACAGACGGTTGTCCGTCTTGTCGGCCCACGTACCGAGGTAGGGCAAGTCATCGGCAGTGATGTTGGCGTACCCCTCCATAGGAGTGGTCTGGAAAGAAGCATCGAAAGGGAATTTTGAAAGGACGAGAATGGGTTTGAGAACCGAGGGAGAGCGGTTGACATAATCGTACGACATGGCGCCGTGGAGACGCTTCAACTCGGGATATTCGCAAAAGTCCATGGTGGGGAGATGGTCATGGATAAAAGATTTTGCTGGCGGGTGTCAGCTTGGGTATGGGGTGTGCGATCAGACTCACGAAGAATGTCCTCTGTCGCATTTTCGGCCCCTGGACGAATATTGGCGGGAGAGTCGAGAGGACACGCTTTCTGCAACGGCATAAGTAGAGCTTACGGCTCCCAGCGCTAGACTCACAAACCAGCCCCATGCGGGCGTACGATTGGGGTCTTCATAAGATTTGAGCTCGTCCTCCTTAAAGTCTGTCTTGAATCAGCGCGAGCATCTCACAGCACCGCTCGACTTACGTCTGCCTTGGCTCACGAGCTCCATCGCTCTCTCCCTCTGATCCTTCCCAAGCACTACACTTCCCGTATCGTGGTCGCTCCCCGTGACACGCAACCGGAATCCACTCGGAAGATCGTTCATGAATCCCGAGATCAACGATTGGAGATGCTTTGGCCTGTCGTGGCTAGATCTCTCGCCAGAGATCCCCACGCGGCCTTTGTCAATGTCGAGGGTATACGCGTACGCCGCACCCTCCAGCGCTTTACTCCGGGCGATAAACATGGCTGGGGCAAGCGCATGATGCGGGAGGACATCTTTCATGAGCTGGTCGTACTCATCGATGATTTTGATCCCATTCTTCTTGCAAAACGCAAACCAGGCATCAAACCCAGCAGGAGGCGGGATCCCATATCGCTTTCGGTACTGCCCTACCGCCTGCTGCAGCGTCTTTGATTGCGAGGCGAGCATGTCTGTCCAGCGAGTCTCGGCATTTTCCATGAGCTCGTAGATGGGGTGTTCCTGGCGGTGCCCGGCCTGCGCTCGTTGCAGCACAGACATGCCCTTGTCGCCCCGTATCAGGCTACTGTGTCGTCCGCGCCTGCCGCCCTTGATAGCGTATCCCAGAGGAAAATCTTGCAGGCGCTCGCGACCGAGACCATGGCGGATGCCGAACCAGTAGAGGAGAAAGAATATGACTGCGAGGTAGATGATTTTCTTTGGGCGGCGGATGGGGCGGGGGACGGGTGGCCCGCGGGGGAGGATGTTGGAGATCATGGGGGGTGGGCATCGCAGGGCATGAATCGCAGGCAGAGCCAAACACAGCGGTGGTGGTGGTGGTGGCGGGACCAAATTGCTCCACATCGGGATAGGCCAGGGTGCGGCATGCGCCGAAGTGACGTTGGTGAGGTCATTCATTCCATCTCCTTTCTCTTTTTGTTCTCTTTTCTTTCCACCACTCACAGCCTCTTAGTCATGTCCCGCCCCGTAGACCTCTCCATGTCCTCCGTCAAGAACCACTCCCCCCTCAACCCGGGCGGCTCAGGCGGCTTCACCCCCGTCTTCGAGGCCTCCCCCGCCGTCTCCCCGGCCAGCTCACGTCGCCCCTCCATCTCGCAGCCCGTCGCAAGGAGGCCCTCCGAGTCTGCCTCTGCCTCCCGACGCCCCTCCATGAACCAGTACTACAGCAGCTCCCAGCAGATCCCCCAGCAGATCTCCCAGCCCCAGCAGGCCCTCTCCCGTCGGTCGTCCATGGCCTCCGGGCCGCGACCGATCCGAAGGGGCGAATACTCGGGCCCTGCTACCCCCTCCGTCCTTTCTCGAGCGGGATCGCCTACCTTGCCTTTGGGCAACGAGTTCACCCAGGCGCCCAGGTCGTACTTTGAAGGTGCGGCCGGATACACCCCATTGGGGGGCGTGCGGGAGTTGCGCAATGGCCAGTTCATCGGCTCTCTTGATTGCGGTACCACGTGGGTTTTTCGGCATCGTTCCGTGTTCGGTTTCTGACGCCTTTTCTGTTAATTCTTCAGCTCGACCCGATTCATCATCTTTGACAAGCGCGCAAAGATTGTTGCCGAGCACCAGACCGAATTCGAGCAGATCCTGCCCCATGCAGGCTGGCACGAGCATGACCCCGAGGCCCTCGTCGAGGCCATGAATGAGTGTATCATTCGCGCCGTCGAAAAACTCGAATGGATGGGCTGGTCGAGGAACAGTTTGAAGGGTATCGGTAAGTACCTTTGTTTGGTTTTTTGTGCCGTTTAGCAGTTTCTGTAACGGGATGCTGCTGAGCAGGCCGTGCCCATGCATGCGGATTGCGGGCTGACACGTCAACAAAGGTATCACCAACCAACGTGAGACTACCGTCTGCTGGTCTCGCTCTACCGGCAAGCCCCTCGCCAATGCCATCGTTTGGGACGATGCTCGTACCGTCAGTGTCGTCAAAGAGATGGAGAAAAAGCTCGACGAAATTGGTATCCGTATTGAGAGTGCCGAAGAGGACGCCAGAACCGCAGACACTGCGCTCACAGAGGAAGTTGTTCTCGGTACTGGCGGCGAGGATGCCGCGTTTGGTGACAAGGGCGAGGTTGTCGACCAGGCCGCAGGAGTCACCGGTAGCATCGGCAAGGCCATGGAGGGGCTCGGTATCGGCGGTGGCAAGGATGAAAAGGAGCCTGTGGTCAAGGGCACAAAATTCAGGAAGGGTAAAGAGGGTCTCGTTGACGTGTAAGTTGCATCTCATCGTTGCCGCTCCTGCTGACAAGACAAAGCACTGGTATCCCCATGTCTACCTACTTTTCTGCCATCAAGCTTCGATGGATGATTGACCACCAGAAAGCCGTTCGTACCGCTCACGAGACCGACGACTTGATGTTTGGTACCGTCGACACTTGGCTCGTCTACGTAAGTCTTGTTTTTTATGAGCCGAACAGCATCTGACAAGCCCTGTAGAACCTCACTGGCGGTAAACAAGGCGGTCTCCACATCATGGATGTGACCAATGCCTCCCGAACCCTCCTTATTTCTCTCAAGACCCTCCAGTGGCACCACCCCCTTCTCGAATTCTTTGGCCTTCGAGCCTCCATCCTTCCCAAGATTGTCTCGTCTTCTGAACACTATGGCAACATTCACGAGTCGACCAACCTCCCTATCCCCGGTGTCCCCATTGCCGGTATTATTGGTGACCAGCAGGCTGCCTTGGTCGGAAACAAGTGTTTACGGAAGGGTGAGGCCAAGTGCACTTATGGCACTGGTGCTTTCGTCTTGTTCAACACTGGCGAAGAAATTGTCAGGAGCAACTATGGGTTGATCTCGACCGTGGCTTTCCAGCCTGGTCCTGATGCCAAGCCTGTGTATGCGCTTGAAGGTTCCATCGCTGTTGCCGGCTCTGCTATCAAGTGGTGCGTATTGTTGTTGGTCCTGGTATCACTGGCTGACATTTTCCAGGCTCCGAGACCAAATGGACCTCATCGAGGACTCTTCCGAGATGGACATTCTTGCCGGGTCCGTCCACGACACTGGGGGTGTCTACTTTGTGACCGCCTTCTCTGGCCTCCTCGCCCCTTATTGGGACCGTGAAGCTTCTGGTACCATCATCGGTATCACTGCCTACACCACTTCGGCCCACATCGCCCGTGCTACCCTTGAATCCGTCTGCTTCCAGACCCGTGCCGTCCTCGACGTCATTGAAAAGGAATCCGAGTCGAAACTTTCTACCCTCAAGGTGGACGGTGGTGTGACAAATTCAGACTTGGCGATGCAATTGCAGGCCAACTTGGGTGGCTTCAACGTCGCCCGTCCTTCGATGCGAGAGTCGACTGCTTTGGGATCGGCACTGTTGGCTGCTAGCGCGCTCGGCCTCTTTGGTTGGGACTTGAGCAAGCCCGAGACCCTCAGCGAGGTCAACACTGCTGGTGTCCACACTTTCGAGCCCGAGCTTCCGGAGAAGAGCAGATTGAAGAGGGTCAAGGGCTGGAACAGAGCCGTCAGCAGGGCCAGCAAGTGGCATGAAGAGGACAGTGATGATGAGGATGAAGAAGAGTACGAAAAGTCGATGGGGTTTGAACGGATCAACAACTAGAGTGAGCACGCGCTTGATGGATAGATGCTGGAGGTCAAGAGGCGCTTGACATGTAGATAAACAAGATGAAAGATTATTGGAGACGCTCTTGGGGTTGTATATCTAGCCACTTACACTTGGATGAGAGTACCACGATGAATATACCCATGCGAGCTATATAGCACCCTGCTCTGGAATGTACGAGTACAGTACGAGCAGTGTGTTTGGCGTGGTAAGTGTGCAGGAAGCGTAGACCATGGCACTGTGCAGACCTCTTGGATGTCATTGCGCAGATTACGGATGATACAAAGTCCACAGCAAAATCTTTAAATCTACCCTCAAGCTAAACGGCGGTCTGCTGAGGCTGCTCTTCTGCAATCTTCTCGCCCGGCAATTGTCCACCTTGCTGGTGCCCCTCCGCGTCGGCCGCAGCCTGGCGCTTCTTCCTCTCCTTTGACCTAGAGCACCGTTAGTAGATTCCATGTATTTCAGTGAGCTCCCCACCTCTGGTACTGCTCAGATGGTCAGTTTAGCTCGTGAATAAAAACGCACGCGTTGAATGAGATGAGTAGGTCAAGCACCCGCCTCGAAGCCGAAGGATCTCTTCAGAAGATTCTGGCTGGTAGTAGGTGTAGGGGGTGTTCACTAACCTTTCTGGTTAGACATTTGGGTCGTGGTTAGATGCCGATATGGGCTCACCGCTCAATGATGGACCCATGGACATGTTGTGAGTCGCCGGAGTGTCGCTGGTGATACTGGCCGAGACCATTCTTGCTTTGGGTGGTGGAGCTCGCGAGGGTTGTCTGTCTCTATATATCTCTCCTGCTATGCTATTTTTGGCCAGTCGGCCATGGCTGATAGGAGAAAGATGAATGCCAGACCGGGGCCGTTTCGTTGTTGTTTGGTCCCTGGCCGGCGTCGCTTGCCATTTCGGCTTTCCTGGCTCTTCAGCGGCGCAGTATATGACTAGATTATCCTGTAAGCTGAACAGGATACAGCATACAAGTACTGATATGTACAGCGTCGTCAGTACGCACACATCCCGTCTGCTTAATGATTGTACAGGAGATGTCACGAGACACGATGATCCCGGTCGTCGGCCATCCGACGATCACTTTGTTCGTGTTGTTCCATATCTTTCTTCGATTGCAACTTACAAGTCATGACACAGAGAGAGGGCGGCTCGCCCCAGATGTACAACGAAGACTCCATAGTCGCATCTTATCGTTATAGCCACATGGCCCGAACAACCAACCAGACGGCAAGCCCTCGTCGAAATTGTCTTTGTCTGTTACCATCGTTGATATCATGATCTCGCGCTCATTCTAGCTGCTTCCGCCCCCACATCCCCCTCCTCCGCCGCCCCCGCCGCTCCGGTATCCTGTGTTCCAGCCACTCCCACAACCACCCCCATTCGCATGATGTCCGCCGCCGACCGCACCACCGGTGTCAGCAGCAGTCCCTGCACCAGCCCCATACGCTCCAGCGGTGCTGCCACCGCCGGTCCCCGTGCCCGAATATCTCTTTCCGTTAGTATCGGCGTCTTGCAGCGATTTGTGGCAGAGTGTCAGCGTTTGATGACTCGTGGCGAAAGCGGGATTCACTGACAGGGCGGAAGGACAAATATTGCCGCCACCGCGAGCACCTGATGCTCCGTCAAGCTCTGGCTGCACTGCTCACGATGACAGTCAGCTGGTGTCAAGGGTATATGTCGTAGAGAGCGACTAGCTTTCACTTGCGAAGGGTATAGCTGAGATGGCTCACTGGACGGATGGAAAAGAGGAGAAGTGGGCTACACATTCCGCGAATGCAGCAGCGTGGAAAGAGAGGGAAGCCATATCTTCGATGGATGGGAAAGGGCGTTGGTGTGGGGGCGATATAGCAGCTTGATGGCAGAGATAAGTGTAGAAATGTGTTGCATACTTGTGCGTAGTAATTGCATGACGCAGTCCAGGCAAGAACAATAGAACAATAGACAAGGACAAGGACAAGGAGGACAGCTGCGTGAGGGCAAAATCAAGGGCATGGCACGGCGGCCGTATTAAATGGGTGCTCGTCTATCGGAAGGAAAACCCCTTTCCTCAATCAAAATCCAGCGCTAGTCGTAAGACCCTTAACTCCGTTACAACCGACAAGAAAGAAGGCCAGTGGGCCACCTTGACTGAGGAGTGTCTCCAATACCAATGCATGTTGGGCCAGCTATCACTACTACCAAATCATGCGGATATCCTCGCATTCTGCTCAGAATGTGACAGAAATCGTGAGATAAACCTGAGTCGTCGTCGGCCTGGCGTCGTCGGTCTCGTCGGCAGACCGACGCGACGTACGAGTATACCAAGAGCAGCTCGGGGCAATGCTCCAAGAGGCCGGCTATGTCAGCTTGAGCGGATTAACGAGCATATATACAATACTTGGTGCCCATTAATGGGCTAGTCCGTGGGCCGCCCCCTTTAGCCCACTCTGTCCATTCCCGTCTGTCCCGACTTGCCACATCCTTTGAGATGCCACCATACAAGCCCCGCTTGACGCTCAAGCGGAAGGCGCTGGCCCAGCTTTCTCGGAGGCTGCGACAAAAGGGTTGACGAGCGGCTGGGGTCGCACAGGGGTCGCTAGCCGAGAAGAGCTCTTGGCTTTGGCTTTCGATCTCTACAGCGTCTGTCAGGAATTGTGCCCCCACCCAGTAGAGAAGGCCTTACGCCAAAGCAGCACCATATAGACGACCCGGTATCGTCCGAGAAGGAAAAGACGGAGACATCGTCCTCGCCCCGGGTATCGTTCGAGTGGCGGACAAGATTTCTCTGTTGTGCTGTCGCGCGGGTCAGTACCTCAGGCATGCTCTGGGTGGGGGGCTCACTCATGGTGGTGAGGGGGCGTGGTTGAGAAGTGTTGACCTGCAGAGAGTGCTGCTGTTGGGCGGGGAGGGCCATGGCTGGTGGTGACTAGCAGGGGCTGCGGTGGGAGCTAAGAGGAGCTATATATACTCGGTGAGTCGGTGCAACACAACACTTCAACGCACACCCGGCCTCGGCGATGGCGCACAGCCTCGAGTGTATAGCTGTATGCATCCGTCTACGTATACACCCCTCATCGGTCCCGTCGTGATACAGGAAGTCGTCAATTATGAGATACAGTAGTATTATTATCGCCGCGCACATCCATATACAAGTCCTCGGCTGCCTCTTCGTTCCCCAGTCAGATCTCCCGGCCATCCCACTCAGCCACCGCCTGCTCCTGCCCCGCCCGTCGTGCCCCCGGCAAAAGACCCGTTCGGCGGTGCATACGTCTTGAACGCCTCGTCCTCCTGCCTGGGGATGAACAGCAGATTCGACAGCGCAGGTCCAGACAGTGTCGTACTGACAGACGCCGTCGAGTCCGTGGCCCTGTGATTGGATCCCAGGGGGGCTATAGGGAAGGGATCGGCATGGGTGTAAGATGGGGGTGGGGGTGATTGCTGGGTACTTTCGGCCGTAGGGCGATATCGCCTGACGGGGTCTTGGTGGCTATAGAGAGTCAGCTTGTGGTGATGAATCATGTGTTTTCTACGCACACGTCCAGTTCAAACTAGAAATGATCGTCAGGCCTGATCCGGGAGCGGGGTAAGGGCAGACTCACGCAAGTACAGCCAAAGATTCTTTGGAAAAAGCTCTTTTTGGGCGGTTGTGGTATGTATGTCTCGTTGGACTCTTCAAGAAATCAGTGAGGCCATGCGAATTGAGACCAGAATAGCTCACCTCTTCTGCCCGACTCGTCGTGCGAGTACGGGTGGTCCTTGTTCTTGGCCATCCCTCCGCCTTGCTGGACGCTCTTTTTCCAGTCCCGGGTATACGTCGAGTGGGAGGAGCGGCGGGTGTCGTGCATATTGAAAAGAATTGAGAGATGTGCGTGGGCAAAAGCTGCTGGGGAGGACGGTGCGCAGAGCGTTAGGCGAGGCGAGGGTGCTGGGGGCAGTGCGTCTGTTTGGTCCCCGAGAAAGGTGTGTGTGTCTGGGTGGGGTGTTGCTGTCGCCGGAGGGTTGAGATGGAAGGGCTGCTGTGGATAATAAGGGCTCTTATATATCGGCAAGTAGATGGGCCTTAACGGTTAACCTGAGTGATGGACAGGGATCTTACCCTGGGCTAGGGTAGTGCTCTTCCCGAAGACTGTCGCCGAACGCGATATGTCTCCCTGTCGCTTGGTGGCAACGGATCTTGTAGATCTACGTAGCGTAATGGCAGCGGTGAAAATAAACTAAAAAGTACAAAAGAGGCAAGGATCTGCATATGTATGGGTGGATCTCGGATCGAGGACGCATGACGAATCTCTTGTTGACATGATGATCAGCAGCAGTAGCCCCGACATTATGTAAACACGAACAACCTCACCGCGTATAAGGCGACCCCTAGACGGCCCTGACTACCTTTTTCATTTTGCTTCGTAGAAGACGTTCGTGAGGTAGATGGGAGCCTCGAGGGGGTAAGGGCGCGTGGAGCTTGTCCCAGATGGTTGAGAGGAGGGGGCGGTTCTAGCCTCTCGAGAGAAATAGGAGGATGCAGGCGAAGCTTGTAGGACCGAGAGAAAGTGAGGATCTACGCCAGGTAGATATTGACGAGCCTCCAGGGGGTCATAGCCGCGGGTTTCCAGTGACTTTTTTGAGAGGCGGGTTATGATTGCATCTGCAGAGTTCAGCGTGGATCAGGCGGTGAAATGACGCTGGAAGACTCACCAAGTACATGCCACCAACAGAGAAAGGGTCTGGTGCCAGGTAGTAGAGATATCTGAATTGCCCCGATTTCCGCAAAATCCTTCTTATCCGTGTGGAAGATTTTGGTCCGTCCTCCTCGCTGCCTCGCTGCACGCTGCCCTCCCTCTTCGGCCTCTTTTCACTCATGCCGTACATCTGGTATCATCGCGCGATCAGATATGCGAACCCAATACAAGCGGGGACGGCGATGACGGGAGCCATGTATCAACCCAAACGCTTATATAGGGCTGCTCCACGCTCCACCCCAGAATGACATTTTCATGGAGCGGACTACAGGCACATCTTACGCGCCGCCCGCCTTATCTCCTCTTGCATCCTCGCGCGTATTGCTTGCAGTGCAGTATGAAGCTCGACATTCTGGACAGCATATCCGTCTTCAGTACCCCGGCAGCTGTGCATGCTGCCTGTACGCGCGGAAACTGGCCCAATGGTGCTGCCAAGCAGCTGCAGCCTCGAAAACACATCTCTCACTTCCGCCACATCCGCCCACTCTCCATCATATAAGGCGATGTATTCCCAGCTTGCCCCCGTCTTCCTAATCGCCACCAACAAGAAATAATCACAATGTCAGACCAAACTCCCAGACGTCGATACTACTTGACCATCGCATACCTCCACCCGCCCCACGAGGGCCAGCTTGTCAACTTCCACCTCGACCTCACTGACAGGGGCGGACTCGTATCTACAACGAGTAGCAATCTCAAGCACGAGCACGAGCTCAAACAGCGATTGAGTGGCAACAAGCGTCTATGGATGCGTATCTGCCAAGGTCGCTTCCAAGGGGACTTTGAAGACTTTGAGCATCTGATGGTGAGTGACTTTACGCATCATGTTTGATATGGCTGATACAATGTCAGGGTTACATCTTCCGAGATGCTACCGCTAACAGGTACTATACAAGCTACTATCACGAAGACGATACTATGGACATTCTCTTGGGCACCATTGAGGAGATTGACCATCAGTGTGCGGCCATTCAAGACTCCAGACCTATTGTCAACGGCCCCGAACGTCTTCCGAGCTCGCCAGCCAGGAGCAACAAGACCATTCCAGAAACAGCTCTTGAAAGATCAAACTCGAACATCAGCATCCGCGCAGTCGTCGGCCATCCCCAACCCTCACGAGCACCCGATCTCAAGGCAAGCCAGTCCCAAGTCGAGGAATCAAGCCAGCTGAAATACTACCGCCGCCAAGCCCTGGACCTTCAGCAACAACTCGAAGCGCAAGAAGCCCTCGTCGACGACGTAATCACCTCTGCCTCGCACCAAAAGTATCTCTTCAGGATTCATGTCGCCGGAGTGCACGATAGGCAGAGTAGTCTGAAAGTACTGGGAGGACTGCCTGATGAGCTCAAGGTGAGAATGTGGGCGACGAAGAGCTGGGGTAGTGATATGTTGGATCAGACAAAGTGGGCGTTGAGAGTATTGGGGGGTATGGATTATGAGGACTGGAAGGCTATTGAAGTTGTAAGTCGGGTCCAGTATGGGTTTACCTCGCTGACGATGGCAGGCGAGCGACAAGAGGACGGTCAGCAACAGGCGCGAAGACGTGCCCGAAATCTATCTCATCTTTAGCTCCCGCACCATCAACAGTTCTGAGCTTCGTCCACAGCAGCCACAGATCACAGTCAGCCAGGAGCCTGCTCTCTCTATCGTTGTCGCCCAGACCAACGCACCTCCCGAGCCAGCTACTTTGGCCCGAGCTCCCACTCAAGCCATCCCTTACCTCCGCGTCTCCGACATGCCCACCATCCCGAACCTACCCCCGTCAAGCGCTCTCTCCTCTCCTCCAAGCTACCGCTCCGGATTATCTACTCCCAGCTCTCAACCATCCATGGCCAGCTCCTTCCAATCCACCGTCGACGGGCAAAGGCTGAGCCCTCCCCACCCAGAGAGATATAGGATCGCTTCGCCCAGCCCAACTCCTTCCATGTATCGCGCCGCCGTAGCTGCGGCACGCTTCAACCTCCCAGTGTCAAACTCTTCCAGTCTTTCTGGATTAACTCTTGAACCTCGCGGTAGACAGCAAGCCCCTACCTCCAGTCCTGCTCGCAGTGTACCCTTTTCGCCTCCCGGCGGCTTAAGCAACAGCGTCAGCAGCCTCGCAAGCGACATCATCCTCACCCCCCACACTTCTCCTTCCAACAGCGTACCACCCACCCCTTATCCTGCTCCTTCCCTGACTCAGGTCTACCAGGGAAGCAACGAAGGCCTTTGGAACAGACTTGACAAGCTGGGACCGATGATGGATGATGCAAAGCAGGTGGCAGCTTGGATCAATACGAACGAGGCTATTGTGAACCATCCTTTTGCGGGAAACATTCCGCCCGAGAGCTCAGGGGTCACACCGCCTGCTAGCCCTCCAGCTACCCAGAAGCTCAGGGGCCCGAGGGTGTTTGCGAAGGCGAAGCCTTTGCCAACGGCGATCGGTACCAAGGGAGTAGTCTCGGGTCAAGCCGTCATCGAGGACGATTCCCGCCTTGTTCACAGGCCTCCTCAAGGGTATCCCTCTTCTTCTAGCCGTAGCATCAAAATCTGAGCATACATGGGAATGGTGATTATAATACGACTCTCGAAAGTTATCGGTCATTTATACATTTTGATATCATATCGTGATAGTGACAGAAAGTGACATGTGTTGGTGATATGTATAGAGGCTGTACCTGTTCAGGTTTCAGTAGATTCCTAATCACTTCTCCAAAGAGCCAGCAGACACGACAGATGCGCTGTCCTCGTGTCGAAATTATGTCCAGCTTGACGTTGAATGACAATCATCATCATCCTTTTGTGGTTGACTTACGTCGTACCAGTTGCCATCCCATCTGCTGATAATCTGATATCTTCACTTAGTAGGGAGGAGTACCATCCCAAGCCAACGAGAATGTCTAACACCATCGGCAGACATCGATTTTACGTGGGATCTTTCTCTACACATAGTCGCGGCCGCTCCTTTCAAACGGCTGATGCAACAAAACCAGGTACCCCTTGTGACTCAAATTACCTTTACGTGCATGTATGACCTAGGAGTACAGACAGCTGGTGTCGTTGAGAAGGCGAGATTGCATGCGGTTACGTATATGGCAGAAGCTCGTTGAAGATATTCAGGTGGGCTGGGACCGACAGATACGTGACATAATTGATGGTAATAGGTTGCATCCAATTAACTCTCCGTAGTTTAGTGTGGTTTAGAGCGTCAGACTGTAATTGGTTTCAATATTCACATCTGAAAGTCGTGCGTTCGACTCGCACCGGGGAGATTTTTTTTGCCCCTCTCTCTCTCTCTTGTGCATCCACTCCATGAAAATCACGCCACAAAGATAAATGAAGCCAAGCGTAAAGTTGTGCGAGGTTGGATCAATGCAAGTGCATCGCAACGCACATACTGGGGTAGCTAGCGGGTAGTGGAAAGCTGATGCTATGAAGTGAACGTGCCTATACAAAAAAAAGTGGCATTTCGCTGGGTATGTATATCTATATACTAGTAGCTGATATTATGTGTACCTCACCCCCTACTCCGACAACACACGGCGTTTACTGGACAGACACGAGTTTGACGTCAAACTTGAGGGTGGAGCTACGCAAATATTAGAAACAAGTTTGATAGTTCAACTTTGTACTCACCCCTTGGGAATACCGCCAACCTTGGCGTTACCGTAGGCCAACTGAGGGGGGATCTGTTCTTGTGATTAGCGCAATGCCTAGCCCCAATTCATATCAACTCACAGTCAATCGCCTCTCACCACCGACATTCATGCCAGCCAAACCCTCATCCCAGCCCTTGATGACCTCACCCCTTCCGAGAACAAAGGAGAAGGGCTTGCCAGAGGTGTTGGCGTCGAATTGCTTGCCGTTGGTGAGCTTGCCGATGTAGCGCATGCCACATCGCTTGCCGTTCTTGGCGGCGGGGCCGTCGCCGACCTTGATGTCCTCGATGGTCAAACCAGAAGCGGTAACCCTCTGAAGAAAGCGTCAGTATGATGATCTCATCAAATCTTAGGAGGGCGTGTTGGGGAACGGATAGTCGTCAAAAACAACTATGCATTTATATTGGGGGTGTACAGTCAAGCTAGACCATTTTTCGTGATGACAGAATGGGACAAGAGCGGAAGCAGGATTACTTCCTCACCTTCTTGGGGGCAGCGGCGGCCTTCTTCTCAGCAGTGGGCTTGGCGGTAGCCTTCTCCTCAGGCTTGTCAGCCTCAGTCTTGGCCTTCTTCGCGAGCTTCTTCTTCTGGGCCTTGCTCAGGTTCTCGGTGGCCTCAGTCTTGGCGGGAGACTCGAGCTCCTCGGCCTTTCGCTTCTGGGCGGGCTTGGCCTCGACAGCCTTGACAGCCTTCTTGGGCTTGGGCTCCTCAACCTCGGTAATCTTGCTATGATGACGGTCAGTGGGTGTAGAATATAGAAAGTGCCGACTTACGCAGTGGGCTCCTCGTCGTCAGACTCGAGCAAGTCCTCAGAGTCGTAGATGTCAGAGTAGTCGTCGTCACCCTCAAAGTCAGAGTCGTCAGAGTCGTACTCGTCCTGGTTGATGTAGTTGCCCATGAGGTGGACGGCGCTGGGGAATGTAAGTTGAATGATATGTGGCGCACGTGTTTTACTTACTTCTCGCCGGTGACCTCAAAGAGGGCGACCTCGCCACGGACAAAGGTAAGGTTGAGAGAAGCTTGCTCGGTCTAGAAGTTGTCAGTCAAAGCACAATGGTCACAGAGAGCAAACCAACCTTGCCGGCAGTGAGAGAACAGAGAACGTTGGTCTCGTTGAGCTCGTCCTCAAAGTCAGAGTCCTCCTCAGAGTCCTCCTCGTCGTCGTCCTCCTCCTCAGCGGCAGCGACCTTCTTCTCCTTCTTGGCGGGCTTCTCCTCGTCCGCCTCCATGTCCTCGTCATCGTCCTCATCGTCAGAGTCGATCTCGCCGTCAAAGTCAGAGTCAAACTCAGAGTCAGAGTCGTCGAACATGGCGGGGTCGATGGGGCTGTGGGTGACCTTGACGACGGATCGGCCGTCAGTGGATCGGAGCTCCTCGCCGAGGGCGGCGTTGGTGATCTGGAAGTCTCGTCGAACGTAGACGGGCTGGGCCTCTCCGGGGAGAAGGGTCAAGCTCTGAACAGCCGTTAGCGAGCTCCGCGAGTGCGGTGGAGAGGCAGCGACTCACCCAGAGGTTCATCTTGATAGACATTTTGTGTGGATGTATTATTTTGTTTGGGGAGAGAAGAAGGGATAGAAACAGAGAGATGTGGAAAGCTCTGGTGAAATCTGCGAATCATAAAAACAAACGCCTCCACCGGTGAAAAATTCACCACGTGGGCAGGCGGGGGGCGCCGCCTGAGAGGGAGCGCGGTGATAGCGATGTGGCAGATGACGTTCTTTTGCTCATTCAGAGTGCCCCAGGTCATCCAACATGGTGAGCAGCCCCCTCCTCCCCCGCCCCCGCTGACACCGCCAGTCAAACACCCTCCGCCCCTACCTCAACGCAGTCCGCGCAACCCTCACAGCAGCCCTCACCCTCGAGAACTTCTCCTCCCAGGTCGTGGAACGACACAACAAGCCCGAGGTCGAATGCCAGTCCACCCCAGAGGTCCTCCTCCATCCATTAACCATCTCCAGGAATGAGAGCGAGCGCGTATTGATCGAGCCGAGTGTCAATTCCATCAGGCTGTCGATTGCAATCAAGCAGGCAGATGAGATTGAGAAGATCCTGTGTCACAAGTTCACGAGGTTTATGATGATGAGGGCGGAGGGCTTTGTCATTCTGAGGAGAAAGCCGTTACCCGTGAGTGTGGATCCTTCGAGCCGATCAAGGCTGATATTGGGAGCAGGGCTATGATATCTCATTCCTGATCACCAACTTCCACTCCGAGTCTATGCTCAAGCACAAGCTTGTCGATTTCATCATCCAGTTCATGGAGGACGTCGACAAGGAGATCTCGGAGATGAAGCTGTCGTTGAATGCTCGGGCACGAATTGTCGCAGAGAGTTACCTTGCCACGGTGCGTCCGCGGTGAATGCTTTGACCTATGCTGATGCCCTGACAGTTCGCCTGATTGATAACGAAAGAGATTAAATAAACCACTTGTATGGCATGTAATTGTACATTCGGCTTGACGCTTGGATGTCTACAGATGCATCGAGGCGGCAAGTACTGACAGCTTATCTGACCTCAATCTTCTCCACCAAACCCTTGCCCAACCTCGCAATCTCCCCCAGGATCCCCTCCTTGTTGACTTTGACCAACTCCGCACCGCTCTCTACCGGCCGGCTGTTCCATCCCAAGAACGCCTTCATCCCTCTCGGGCCCTGCTTGGCATTCCAGACACCGCCGACCACTTTACCGCCGTAGATGTCATGGAACACCATCAAGCCGTCGCCGTATATTTTCTGCAAGTCGCGGACAAACATCGTGGCGGGGTCAAAGTCGACCCGAACGGAACCCTCGCCCGCCGAGGAGAGGTTGCGGAATTTGAGGTGCGGTTCCCAGAGAGACGGATCTGGGTGAATGGCGAGGGCAGAGCGAGAAAGATGGGCGGCATTGAGGTGAATCAAAAAGTCAAAGTGTTCAACAGGTGTCACAAACAATGACTAAGATATGTTAGCAAAGCACAAGCAAACGGTATACGATACTCACCCTCACATCCAACGCTCCAGACTCGACACCACTCTTTGCTGCTTCCAGTGTCGCCCTGGCCAACAAAGCAACCCTAGCAGCCACACCCTTCCCGAGCCCTTTCGTCCACCTCAATCCGTCCACATCCTGCTCCGTGCAGATCACCCACGGGTGTCCGGCATCCTTCTCCTTGGCACGCAACGACTCGAAGGTCTTGATAGCTTCCTCCTTGAGCTCCGCGGGGAAGCGGACGCGACCAGATGCAGATGTTGCTGACGGGGAGGAAGCGGTGTGAATAGGGACAAGCATGGGCTCCGATTTGTAATCCCACCCTCCTAGCAGCTCAATCGCGTGCAAGAAACCAGCAACAGCAGACGCAGGCGTTTTTCCCCTTCCAGGCTCCAGATAGACCCCAGCCATGATGAGCTCAATAACCTCCTCTCGCACAAGCTCCGGGCCCATCATCATATGAGCGCTGAACCAGCGCTTGAGCAGCCGGGTCGAGGAAGAAAAGTTGGGATAACGGTGGTGCAAGGGAGCGAGGGAGGAATGGTGGGCTGGAAGATGGTGGAAGCGTTCAATGTGTTTGGCGAGGGCGGGGACGGCCAGGCGTCTGGGGGGATTGGGGAGGGAGGTGGCGAACGCGGGCTGGTCGTCCTCGGTTGCGCGCTCCAACAGACCCTTTTCTCGCTCATAGTAGACTCTCAACTTGAAAGCCACACCCTCCGGCACGACCACCTCCAAAGCAGCTTGATCCTCAATCTCACTCGCCCCGTCATCAAACACGATGCCCACCGTTGCCTCTCGTCCTAGCTTCTTTTGCACGACTCGGGCAAGCTTTTCCAACAAGGCCAGCTTTACCTTTTGCACTGCGGCAAGATCATCCGGCCATTTTGGCGAAGACTCGAATTGAATGACGACTTCGATATGTGGCGTATATCTGATACAAGCAGGGGCGGAAGGCAAGCGAGGGACGTCAATAGGGTGCGGGACGAATGTTGACGAGTATCGCATCAGAGGAGAGGCGGATTGGATGTTGAGGAGACCCAGGGGTAGATCCGCGTCGCTGTTTTTGAGAATCTTGTAGAGGGCATCATATGCAGTGATTGTGGGCCTGAAACCGAGCTTCTCCGACCCCTTGACGCTGACGGCATCCCGGGCGCTTGGGGGTACTTGAATGACACTGAGCCATCCTTGAGAGGTCGAAAAGGAGTCAATCTTTTGCTCAGACACCGAAAAGTGTCTCTTCAAGACGTGGTGAATGATTCTGGTAGGTATCAGAGCTGCGTCTTCCGGTCTGGATACATCCCAGACGACACTTTCAGCTATGCTTCCGTCTTTAAACCTCCTCAACTCTGCCTTTTCTCCCCAGAGCTCACGGAACTCGGCGCCGGCCTCGGCCTGTTCGGGCGAGGGGCCAACGTCAAGCACGCGGGTGGCGTTGCTGGAGTTGAGGAGGAGGCCGAGAGCAAGCTTGGTCGAGGAAAGAGGAGATAGGTAGACAAGGTCGACGCGGTTAGACAGGGCGCTCCGGACAGTAGAGGCGAAGCGAGCGACCGCAAGAGAAGGAGCGGAAGGGTATTCGGAACGTTGATCAAGTGTAGCGTCGATTTTGACAGAAGAAATGTCCACTCTGCGCATTGTGAGCTCAATGAAATCCAGGAGAGGGGCGACTCACTGGATGTACTCGTCAAACACGCCAGGACCAAGCTTGAACTCCTTTAAGAAGACGTCCCCGAATCTCTCTCCGCTCTCGTCTTCCAACATTGCAAGCGTTTCCCGGGCGTGATACCTCAAAAAGTCAATCTCTCCCTCTTCCCACTCGGCAAAGACATTCACAAGACCAGTAGGGTCCGTGAAGACATGCTTGAAGGGGAAAAAGTCGGAGTGAGGGTAAGAGTTGGTCGTTCCCGGTTGATGCAGGAAGACTGGAGTAGCGTTAAAGTCGGTGTGGGCCAAAAGCTCCCAAGCAGCCCTAATGGCGCCCCAAGGGCCCAAACTCTTTCCGAGGCCGGCAACCCTCTTCACCTTTTCCCTCTTGCCTCCAGCCCCACCGATCCATCCACCATTGACAACCCACCCCAGCAGTAACCCGGCCAGCCATCCACTTCCACCACGCTCAAGCCTGATGCCTCTCCGTTTCGCCCAGATCCTCCACAAAGCGAGGAAAGAGTCGACTGTCCGCGAATTGGCTGGGAGGATTTGAGAGAGACGGTGAAGGTGCAAGAGGTGGGGTTTTTGGAGCGTGTCATGGAGTATAGAGGTGTTGTAGAAGGGTGTGGGAAGAGCGGCGTGTTCGCCAGAGGTGGGAAGGGAAGTACGGACGAGGCACTTGGAGGGGGAGAGAGAAGACAGGGGGAAAACGGTAGAAGAGATGGAGGCGTGGATGCGAATTTCGAGCTTATGTTTGAGGCCTTGCTCTTTGAAATTTGTCAGTGATTGTTGGTCGGAGCTGTCTTGGACGTACCCTTGCCAGCAGAAATGCTTATGACAGGACGTCTATCGTCGCCCATGGTCGTGGTCCATCCCACCTTGGCACCTTTCAGATCACCCTCCGAATCCGCCAGAGCCTGGATCTGCGCACAGATCACAGCAAGGTAATGTGATCGCTTGTGGAAGTATCTATAGTCAAGTCTGTCTTTGGCTGAAAACATACTCTTCACCAAATGTCAGCACAAAGCGAGTGACATTGACCTTGTCACTTACAGATGGCATTACAACGACCAGATCTACACCACCCATTTCACCCTTCCCCTTCTTGTAACCTCCCACAACTCCCCAGCTCCCGCCAATGACAATTTCCTCAGGCTTCTCCCAGCCCAGGGTCCACTTGATGTCCTTGCCTTTCTTTAACGGGGAGAACTCTTCAGGACCAACGATCGGCATCTTTGTCTTGCCGAGTCGCTTGGAGGCTTTGATGGGAGCTACAGCCTCGAGCGAAGGCAAACCAAGGATCTTGCCATGAACAGCAGAAAGTAGCGATTTCAGGGCAGGGTGGGGAGTTGTGGGGAGCAAAGTCGATTCCAAGAGTTCGGAAAGCTGCAGAGAGAACGTAGCACCACCGGTCTCTTCGACTTGTCGAAGCTGTTCCAGCTCGGCGACGGTGGGGGCCTTGTAGAGATTTTTGTGAGGCTTGGAAGAGCTAGCTGCAGGTTGGTCGGTTGCAGAGCCGTCTTCCTCTTCCTCAGAATCTTCATCATCAGACGAGTGCTGAGGGTCAATCATGGGATCCTGCAGGTCGCCCATGGCTTCTTCATCAAAGCGGAGCTGCGACCCATTCTCGAGATCCTCGAAACCGGCATCGCTGACCGCCGGGGAAGGTTGACGTCGCTAAGGATGCTCAGCACGCTATCGTTGGAGTCTTTTCAGCTCACCTTATTGCCCGTGCTCTTTCCGGTGTCTGCCTTCCTCTTGAGTGGCTTCTGTGCGACCATTACGGAGTTCTGCGCGAGTACTATGGGAAATTAACATCTGATGAAATTTCAAGAAGTCAAAAAGAGTGGAGGTGAGTGTTACGTAAACACCCGCGACGGCTGTCAACAACAAGACTGCTGTCGTCTCAAAGTCACTCCATCTGACTATCCATTGCCCGGCTTCCCAATCGCACCCACAAGACATTGAAACATCCTACATGGCGTCCAGAACGGCCAGAGTGGCGCAAACGGCTGCAGCGGTCACCACACCGCCCAAACGCACAAAGAGCGCCTTTAGTGAAGGAGAGAAGCAAGCGTTGCTGCAGAATTTCGATCTCGAAGGTGAGCAGGCGGACGACGGTTACCCGCTGTCATCTAACTTGTTGTACAGTGCAAGACAAGGTCGCCTACTTTCGCTCGATGCTGGCTCAAACGCTCGCTTCTTTCCACATGCGCGAAGAAACAGAGATCCTTGCTATTCCTCGCGATTTGCGTGGTCTGACATTGAGAGAATTGGAAAACAAATGGGGAGGAGGATGGGCTGGAACGCTACATCGGATAAAGACAGAGAGATTTGAAGTGGAACAGAAGAAGAGGGAAGAACAAGAGGAGAAGGATAGAGATGAAGTTGTAAAGGGCAAGAGGTTGGTATGGCCTTTTCCTGATGTGCATTGCATACTGATACCAGGTATAGAAAACGCAATGCTACCGCGTCATCTAGGGGAAATTCCCCTACACGTTCAACCAAGAATCGCAAGTCAGGTGAGGACGATCGGACAAGAGACTGACCAGAATTCAACAGCTCGTCACGAGGCGCATACATCAGCTTCCAAGACTCCTGCTTCTCACGGAGCTTCTTCTACCACTCGGGGTAAGGCCACGGCGAGCAAGAGATCAACTCGAGCCCAACCTTTGTCTGCCTCCAAAGCGACTAGTGTAAGCCACATGTTCGGACTGCCCTCTGCCGCCTAACACTCTGAACGTAGTCGCTTCCTCAAGACCATGTCTTCAACCCCACCCTTCCACCAACGCCCTACCGTTCTCAACCCTCCCCTCTATCCCACTCATCACATCCTTCCCGCGCCCGCGCTCGATCCAACGCATCAGAAAGCGGATCCTCATCTGGAGAATCTACAGAGCAGGATGAGTCGGATGACGACGACCTACCAGATCCCGAGGCTATAGAGGCGCGTTTGCTAGCAAAGGAGAGGTCCCCGGGATCAAAGAGCAAGTCAAAGAAGAAGAGGGCGCCATCTCTCATCTTCCGGCAATCGCTTGGTCCAGGCGCAATTGCGCCCAAGACTCCGGGACCGTCGAGGATGGTAGAGGATTCGGACGAGCCATTGGCCACGATTGAGCTGTCTGATGGACGTACCATCAGTTTCAACCCATTCTCGTTGACGCCAGGCAGAGTAGAAATGGAGCTAGAAGAAGGCGGCGTGAGTAAGGAGGAGAAGGCCCGAGTGCAGAATCAGGTGCACACTGAAGTTCTCAAGTGTCTGCAGGCGAGGATGGAGAAGTGGAAGGTGTAGAAAGACGTCACGCGAAGCGGCCTAATGCTATCTGTATCATGTATATTTATGATCTCATGCCGGAGCGTAGCGCCTGGTCATGTTCATAGGCATTGCATTTTACAAGGCCCCGATAGCGGCAAGAATATAGCGAGAAAAAGAACAAATAGTATATTTTACACATGCTTGATTGCCCCCTCTACACTCAGACGCTCATCTGCTTGATCAATTCTGTCAGATGGGCAGACTCGCCGACATAGTCGGGAAGAGCCACCTTTCTGCACTGGTATCGCACTCGCACTTGGTCCTGTCCAGCTTTGTCAGCATTGCCCCGCGCGTATTGATGTGTCGACTTGCCTGGAAAGTGTCTTGCTTGGCCATCATCTGCAAGTTGTACGTTCTCCCAACCGCCCTGACGAAATAAGACACAAATTTGCCTTCTCCCTCTTCCTCGTCGTCCTTCAACGCCATCAGGTCATTCGCGCTGATACCCATGAGCTGCTCCGCAGTCTCGTTGAACGCCGTTATCCAGAAGGAACCGGTATGGTCCATCACGTTGATATTGAGAATGTATCTATTGTCATTTCAGCTTGCCTCCGCGCACAGAAATGCACGTAAACATACCGGTGGATAGGAGCATCATAGTTGCGATCGCACTTTTCACAACGCCACGAGCCACCGTCCTCGACAACCTTCTTGGCGCAGCCCTCCTTGTTGGCACATGCAGGGTACGAGAACGGTTCTTGCTTGATAAACGCAATGGTGGCCTGGGTGCTGAAAAAGTCGGTCTTTTCCGACATGCCGAGTTGTTCCTCCTTGGACTGAGCAATGGTCTTGAGCTCTGTAGGCTTGACGCTGGCACTGGCTCCAGCTCCGTCACTGATTCCCGAGTTGGTGTAGGCAGTGAAGCTGGTGCTCTGGCCCTCGGCGTCGAACCAGCCTCGGAGTGAATGGGCCTCGGCGATATCAGGCGAGATGACCATAGTGGCGTTGCTCATCATGGAAAGCGATCGGCCGCCAAAGTCACCGACCTTCAGACCCTTGAAGGCGATGACGGGGTGGTCGTCACCTTGGAAAGACTCGGCCTGCTTTCCCCAAAGAGTGAGGCGCACAGACTGGCCAGATTGGTCGACGAGCTGAATGTCTCGCTTGGCGAAGGGCTTGTTGGTGCTCTTGGAAGTGATGGATCCGATATCCCCAACGTCCTTTACAACACCAATGACATCTGGGAGATGTCAGTGTTTGACTGTACAAAACCGAAAGTGACTCACCACACAAGTCATCCTTTTGCAGCTCTCCGAGCTCGCCGATGCCCTTGAAGTTGTACTTGACCTGGGGAACAGTGTCATCCTCGCAAGGTTCGATTGAAGTGTCCCTTTCAAACATGATCTCGTACTCGTTGTTGACATTGCTGAACTGCTTCTTGGCAATGTTGATACGAGCCTTGGAGACGAAGAACACTTTGCCAACTTCAAGCTTGTCGTAAAAGTTGTCGACGGCATCGTTGAAGCCAGTCGCGCGAATTTCGCCCTATCAAGCAGTTAGCGGAATGTCTAAAAACGTTTCGGGAGGACGCACGGTCTCGTCCATGAAGGTGACACTGAAGAGCTTGCCGTCACCGCGTTGGTTTGACCAGTGCTTGATGTCGGATTTTTGGATAACACGCGCCTTGATAGTCCACCTGCCGCACAATTAGCACATGTACTTTATCGCAATCGCGTCGCCACTTGCTTGTTTTGGTAGGGACTCAGTCCTTCGATAGGGTACAGGGCGGAAGCTTCTGTTTTGGAACCCTTACCATAACCCGAGCGGCCAGCAACAGGCCGCGAGTTGTTGGCTGCGCGAGAGGCTGCAGGAGGAGGAGGAGCAGCGGCTTGAGGCGCAGGGGCAGACTTTGACGCGCCCTCGATACTGACTGGAGACCCGATTTTCTCGTCGCCACCGCCCGGAACGACTTCCATGTCGAGGATGATGAGAAGCCTGATTTTGTCAGACCTTCACACTTGAAGGTTGCTTGCGACTCACTTTCGGTTGGCGACATTGTTCACGGAGAAATTGTTGACTTTGATGAGGGTGTGCTTGTCCACGAGCTTTTCCTCGACAAAATGGTTGAGCTGGGTGGCAAGCATCGCTTGGCAAAAGTGGTCACCGTCAGACACAATGGCACTATCGCGGGTCATCAGCGTGTGCCAGACATGAGCGGGACATTGCTCACCGGAACCTGTCGATGGCGGATTCGCTGCCGGCGGAGATCCTCTTGACGTTGAGGACCTGGAGGACGGCGCCGAAGCACTCTGAGGGGTCGTCGAGGGTGGTGGCCTTGACTGCGAATCCTTTTGTGAGGAGGTTGGACATGGCGTGGATGATGAGGTGGATGCGAACGCGACGACGCGATCCAGTCAGCTTTTTGACGCGTCGCTGCTTACGTAACCCCTCATGATCCCATACGCGACTTAGCTTTCTCAGCCATGGCGTCTACTCGACACTGCGAAACCCCAACCATGCCTGCCACATACGCATCCACAAACATCAACGGGCACGGCTCGTCCTCCGCCGGGCCATCCAACGGGGCAGTCGAGGACATTGACATGGAGGATGACGAGGCGCCCGTGGGTGATCTGTCTGATGACGAGGAGGGCGAGGAGGAAGAAGAAGCAGGATGGACAGAGGCGACGTTTACAGACAAGCCAATTTCACGGGCTGGCGCCAGTGTCGTGAGTTTTGCCTCTTCAGCTGTGTAGAGCCGTTGCTGACCCGATGATTAGGTGCGGGGACTGTCGGACGCAATGAGAGACGCGATCAAGCGGTTGGACGATGTGGTAGACAGTATCAAGGAGACTGCATACATTCTGGAAGAGGCGGTTGCGGATGACCCAGTAAGTATTAGCGCCTTGCATCCATATTCTCTTTCTGACGAGACTCCCAGGCCCTAAAGAATGTCGAGGCGTCACTGTTCAAGGCATTCGACCAACGTGCCGTATTGAAAATCAAAGCAAACGCCCTAGACGAGCTCTCGAAGAGACTGCTCGAGGGAAGAGAACATGTGCGTCTGCCTCTTCTCAATTTCTACGTCTAGCTGACTGGTTTCAGACCAACATTCAAGCGGACTTTGAAAACCTGTCTGAACCTCGTATTCAAGAGTACAAGGGCAAATCCCAACACGCGAAGTGTACGTTGTTCTTTCTTTCAGGTGGATACAAACTCATTCCATTCCAGTCAAGAAAGACCGCGAGTATGCAGACTTTAAGAGCGAGCTCTGGTCTCGATCACACGAGACAGCCTGTCCCCCCATCTCCACCTTTCTCACAAAGGGTCCCAACGATGAGGACGACTCTGACGACGATATCGATATGGGTGGTCAGACCCAAAATTACAGGTGTCCTATCACCTTGACATTATATCAGGACGCTGTCACAAGGTGAGAAGTTGTCGGGCGCTGACTTTACAGAACTAACACCCATCAGTGTCAAATGTAACCACACATACTCGAAGGAAGCCATTATCAACCTCATCACCAACTCTCAAAAGAACAGAGGCGTCGCCAGATGCCCAGTTACTGGTTGTTCCATTGCCATATCCAAGGCTGACCTAAAGGTGTGTCCGTCACGAATAACGCCGGATCTACGCTAACGCAGCCTGAATAGGACAATCCTGCGATACAAAAGCGAGCGAACGACTTCTCCCGTCGCCAACAAGAGAAAGAGGATGATAGGGACGATGATGCGGCGAGTGTCGAGGATGACAGCGATGGTGAATAGAGGTTGCCGAAACCGTTGTACTAATTATAGAGTCGCATCTGGTGCTCTGAATGTATTTTCATACCAGATGATCCATGATTGTCTCTACATATGCTGATACACAAACTCAAGATATCCAAAATGTGCAATTGATGCCGACTCTCTATGGCAGCATGTCCCCTCCAGAATGACTCGCGCCCTCTCCATCTTCCTTCTTTGCGGCTTCATCCTTCTCGGGTATTTCCAACAGATTCGCCTTCTTGGCCTCCTCATGTCTCTGTGCGACCAGCCGAAGGGATTCCTGGGCCCCATACGCTGGACTAGCAGATGTGCTCTCAGAGGGCAAGCGACGGGACTCGGAACGACGGACAGAAGATATCAGAGTATCATCGCTTGGGGGTGATGGATCTGACGACTTTCCGTCGATGAGGCTACCCTTGTCGGGGACAGGATTAGGCCTATTGGGAGACGTACGAGGGGGCGAGAGAGCGCCAGGTGTAGAAGATATACCAGAATGGGTAACATCTCTAGACCTATCCGAGTCTGCAGGAGAAGGTTTCCTCCCTGGTAGAGGTGGCGGGAGGCTGGTAAGTGACGAGGGGCGAGGGGGAGGCACACTCCTAGATACAAGCGTATCATTTGCCTTGTCACTAACACCATCCGTCGACTTGCGCGGTGGCAATTCGGGCGGCTGTCCCACGGTCAGCACTTCCGGCTCGGCATGCTCAGCGCCTTTATCTTCATCTGCCTTCTTCAAGCTCGACCCGATCTCCCCAGATTGCGAACTCATATCAGAGCCGAACCCCATGACCTGCCCCGGTCTCTTTGGAACTCGGGGAACGACCATGCTCCGTCCAGAAGTGGGCTGCAGGGATATGGCAGTGGCGTTGGAATGCCGGCGCGAGTGGCCTTGCGTGCCAGAGGCCGAGATGGAAGACCCAGGGGATCCGACGGCATGATCATCTTTGGCTATACCCGTGGTAGGCATACCAGCGGTTGGGATCCATTGCGAGGGGGAGGTAGAAGCAGACGCCCTGGGACTGGCTGCCCTTGGCGAAGCAGAGAACAAGCTGTGTTTGGATGACGAGTGGGATCTATTCCGCCCGGGAATGGACACGCCCTGGCCACTCGGGGATCTGCTGCGAGGGAGAGGAGAAGCCCCAGTGTCGTGTGCAGCAGCATTGAGTCTTGCTTGCAAGCTCCTTTGGGAGCCCACAGAGAGTGGTTGAACAGGCAGAGGCTCGTCATCTCTCGCATCTTCTTCCTCCTCTCTTGGCCTATAGAGGGCCCGCAGCCCTGCTTCGTCCATATCCACCACTTCGTCTCCTGCGCCAAGATCGCCTCCTTCCCGTGTTGCCTTTCGACGAGCAGCAAAACTGACACCCCATTTCTTCACCTGATCTCTTGCGCTGCCCACTTGAGCTTGTATAGCCTTCTTGTCTCGGGAACGGAAGCTGCTGATAAGAGAAGCAGTGCTTGCCTGCGGGGCGGTGGGATTCGCGGTTTCGGTGCTACTACCCGAGAGGGTTGATGACGTGTCGAAACCCTTGACCGAGGAGGGACCACTGGGGACAGTCTGCCCAGGCATGCTTGTGATTGAACCGTTGTTGTTATGCCCTCTGATGCTCTCTGCACTAGGCGTAGTACTGGACGATACTTCGACAGGGGCCACTTCTGGCTGGTTTTCCCAGTTACCCGTCTTTTCTGACGAGTCCTTCGGTATACCGAGAGCTGGCGCACTGGAAGAGGAAGCAGCCGCTGCAGCACCTTGACTTCCCACCATCGCTTGTGCCGCCAAAGAGGGTGATTTCGGGCCCGTCTGGGCAAACCATTTCTTAGTAGCGGCGAGGGCTGCGGCCTTCTTAACAGCGGACGAGTTGGCCGTCGCTATAGCCGGAGGGGCAGTATCGGTGCGGGGGATGGGCGGACCGCTGTCGGTGGAAGATTGGGAAGCGGGCGCCGGGAACACTGTTTCACCCTCGGCAAGCTGAGATTTCTTTTTCTGTCTCTGTCGGATGCTGGTTGTAGTGGGAACAGCAGAGTCGGGATCTTCTTTCGATACGACAGGCGCCTCAACAGGCGGCTCTACCTTCTCGCCAGTAGCATTTCTCTCAACCTTGGCAGCGAGATCAAATATGCCGCCTCTGATGGGAAGGCTGGAAGTGTCAAAGAAGGCCAAATCGTCCATATTGGGCAACACGACCGACTCGGCAATCTTGATGACAGGTCAGCAAAAGTCTTTTGTGGTGAACAAATATCGTACCGCATCCTTCAGCTGCTTCTCGATTGCATTGAGAACCATCCCCAGCTGAATCTTCCGCTCGCTCACAATCGGGATGATCTCCATTTCCATCTTTGGCATTTCCGTGAAGCCATACCAGATTCGGTTCGAAGGCGGCCCTTTGATCTCCACTCTCATGTTTCCCTCAATGCTCTTGAGAACGACAGCAAGCACGATCTCGACGACGTAGGGTTTGAAGCCGGTGGGGATGGTGACTGTAGTGGCAATAGTGAGGCGGATATCCGAGCCTGGCTGAGAGGCGCGAGAGCGATGTTGGACATGGACTTCGAAAGCTGTCGATCCGTCCTTTTCGAGATTCTTCAACATTGGCTTGGAGAAACTGTCATTGCATCAGTATAAATGTGTTGGGAGAGGTCATTGACATACAGGGGTGGCGATGTTCCAACATTGACTTCGCGCACGACGATAGGACCAAGATAACCAGGTCTCGTCACTTTGGATATCTTCTTCATGATTTTTGTAATGATGAACTATGCTATGGGTCAGACACTGTCCCCACAACGCTCATGAAATGCTCACCTGTTCAAACGTTTCCGTCTTGTAGTAGCCAAAGAATACACGTCCGAGCATCGCATTGAACCAGCGCATGGGGATAGGGTCGGGCTCGGTGTCGATAGTGTCTACGAGGTTCTTCATGTCGTCCACGGCGAAGACTTGATCCCACGTCAAGTGATCTGTCGATACATGCAGGAGAGCTATATACCAATCTTCCATCCTGCATGGGTATTAGCAAAGGTTGGATCCCACAGCGAGAAGCCCCTCACTTGGTATTTGATTTGGAGAACAGGTAGATGGGGCTATTGGCGAGTCCGAACTCGGTCTGGGTTGCTTCCATGCTCTTGGACAGCAGAGGCATACCCTTGCCCGGCTTTCTGATCTTGAGGACGATACCATGGCGCTTCGCAAACATCTCTCCATCCTTTCCCTCAAACATGCCACTGGGCATCTCGATGCCGACAGAGTAGTCATCAATTGCTATCGCATGTAGACAGTTGATCTGGGCTTCGTCCTCATAGAGGTAGAGCACGGAGGATTTGAGTACGCCAAAAAAGTATTGTCGAGGTATGGGTGCCTTGGTCTGGCGGGGGAGGATGGTGCGGTACGTCTGGGCGATACGCGTAGTATAGGGAACGTAGGGCATCTTGCCTCCCTGTGCATCCGCGCTTCCGGGAGTCTGTTCCCCCGACGACGGCGTATTCGCCTTTCCCCAGCTCTCTTCCTCTGCCAATTCCTCCGATGGCGATTCGGTAACGGGGGTCGAAGTTCCCGTCACTTGGGATTCTCCACCAGGCTTTCCGTTGCCTATAGTCCAGCCATCGGGATTGAACGTGTTCCTAACAGTGATCCAGCCAGAGACCGTGGGCGAGGTCGAGCTGGGTGCCCGATAGCGCTGTTTTTGTAGTTGCTCTGCCCGTTCGGCATCGTGCTGCAGAGTTGCTTTCTGAAACTTGTAAGGGTCCTTGTCTCCGATTGGGGTGGTTCCGTATTGGTACACATAGACTGCAGGGGTGTCAGAGGGCGTGTGGCGGCACGGGGAGACTTACCGAGGACGACGGTGAGAGCGAGGGGGAGGAATGTGAGTCCGCCGCAGAGATAGACGATGAGCCACTGGAATGGCCACCACATTGGAGATGCTGGGGAAGGAGCGAGGTAAGAGATCAGATACATCTACAACTTATCTACAACTTACAACGGGTGGACAATGCCTGTAAGCGCAGGTGGAGGCACAGCTGGTGACGTTGTTTCCGCACCACGTGGCACTATGTAGCAGAGGGCCCAGTTGCATGGATAGACTTAGATAGACCGGCATTGCATAGCAGCACTGGGACAACATATGGAGAGGCGTGCCGGACGCGTTTCAGCAGTAGGTCTGATAAAGTATATATAAACACCACACGCATGAGCCTGGCATAGTCACGGTCATGAATCGGCTGGTCTAAGCCATATACTCTTGTATCTTCGCCTTGACAGCCGCCTCCTCTACCCCGAGAACGCCGTCGTTTACACCCTCTATTACCCGCTTCATAGCAAGCGTCTCACTGACTGTCTCCGCCTTGAGCCAAACCCGGCCGTTCAGGCCAATACTGATTTCAAAAGGGAATGCAGAGGCAATAGCCGGGAGGAGAGGGTAATTTCTGTTGAGCAGTCTGCAATACAGGGTCAGACGATGCTGGATAAACGACTCGGGCTGGCAATACGTACTGGCGACATAACTGCAGAGTGCAGTTGATCATCACGCCGCCTTTCAACTCTCCAAACCCATCAGATTTGCCAGTATTGGCATCAAAACATTCGAGCTCGGGCTCCATATCTCTGCTCGCAGAAATGACTCGTGCAAATACCAAGGTACCGACCTATCGATCCAAGATCAGACAGGATGATCAATCGCCACACTGAAGCTTACCTTCAAATTCGGCTTGCTTCTTTTCGTCGCTCCTTCAAATGACAGAGCATCTAGCTGAGCCATCTGCGCTGATCCAAGATCCACCCTGTACCCTTCAGAATGTCTAGCGATGATTACGCCCAGCACCATATCCTTTTGCGCCGGGATATACTATAGCGAGCTCTTGAGTATGAATATAGTATTCACTTGCAGCTGACATACCCGTTTGGAATTTCCTTCTATCCAGACCTTCTGGCTCTTCTCCTTTCCTTTGCCAGTATGCAGCATGCCGAGCCTGGTGGCCACAAGAGCCGGGGCAGAAGATGGGGAGGCATTGTCTGCTGCTGCGATGCCTGGGCCGATGATGATATTTCTTGAAGTAGAGGGGATTGGGATTTGATCCCCGGGAAGTACGAGCGTGGCGGCCATTGTCGATGGTGGTGGCTGGGCGTAGGTAGACTGACAGAAGTTTCAATATGCGGTAGAAAGAAGAGGCTCTGGTGGAGGCATGCTCGGCGAAGGCCGCTTTTGAAAAAGTTGACGGCCACCACAACAAATGCTGGACTCTTGCTCGCATCTCTGCTTTCTCAACAACGCTTATCTCGCAATGCCTGCCGATTTCATAACGACAATAGACTCGGACGACGAGGTCAGCAACTACGGCGGAGAGGCCAGCAACGCCAAGAAGGACGATGACATCAACCCCGACTTTGAGTTTGACTTTGGAGGCGGCCGGTCAGAGGGACTTGATCTCTGGGGCGGAGACGAGATCCAGGGGGTAAAGAAAGGAAATGAGGTGAGAATCAACACATCTTGTGGATAATTTCTGACTCGGAAATAGCCCATCAACGTGGACGACATTATCGAAAGAAGACTCGGCAAGCCCATCAAGGCGTACAAGGACAAGAAGAGAAGGAGACAGGACTCGGACGACGAGTCTGATGACGAGTCTGAGCAAGATGACAGCGAAGAGTCAGAGGAAGAAGGGGACGATGAAGCGGAGCTCGAAGGCGAGTTCGAGGGCTTTGGCAGCGAGAACGACGAGATGGAGGTAGACGGTGCCGTTCAGGGCGGGTCAGACCCCGAAGACGACGAGAGTGGAAGCGAAGAGGAGGAAGACAGTGATGAAGAGGAAGAGGAAGAAGGGGACAGCAGCGAAGAAGAAGAGGAAGAGACTGCCGCCGAGAAAGCGCGCAAGGAGGCTTTCTTCTCGTCTGAACCCAAGAACGAGGAAGACCCAACTCTTCCTTCTACGTTCGCCGCCATGAACCTCTCCCGACCTCTTCTACGCGCCCTCACTTCCCTTCAACTCAACACCCCCACCCCCATTCAGTCCCGTGCTATTCCCCTTGCCCTCTTGGGTCGCGATATCCTTGGTTCTGCCGTGACAGGTTCTGGTAAAACTGCGGCGTTCATGGTCCCTATCCTTGAACGACTGTGCTACCGAGACCGAGGCAAGGGTGGTGCTGCTTGCCGAGTGCTTGTTCTTTGTCCTACCCGAGAGTTGGCTGTCCAATGTGAGGCTGTCGGCAGAGCCTTGGCCGAGAAGGGTGGTCTGGATGTCCGTTTCGCCCTTTTGGTCGGTGGTCTTTCTCTCAACGCACAGGCGCACACTCTTCGTACCCTCCCCGATATCCTCATCGCTACACCCGGTCGTTTGATCGACCATCTCACCAACACCCCCAGCTTCACCCTCTCTGCCCTTGATGTCTTGGTCATCGATGAAGCCGACCGAATGCTCGAAGCTGGTTTCACGGACGAGTTGGAGGAGATTATCAGGGCCTGTCCTCGGTCTCGACAAACGATGCTCTTCTCTGCTACCATGACGGACAGTGTCGATGAGCTGGTCAAGCTGAGTTTGGATAAACCTATCCGTGTCTTTGTGGACCCCAAGCGAAACACCGCCAAGGGGTTGACTCAGGAGTTTGTCAGGATCAGGTCGGATGACACAAGATCACCCAGTCTGTTGGCATTGTGCAAGAGGACTATCAGGGAAAAGTGCATCATCTTCTTCCGAAGTAAAGCTTTGGCGCATCAGATGAGAATCCTCTTTGGTCTCTACGGTCTGAAAGCTGCCGAGCTGCACGGAAACCTGACACAAGAACAAGTATCTTTTCCATAGCATCTACTCGTCGCCGGCTGACAATTGTGCGCAGCGTCTTCAATCACTCAACGATTTCAAGGCTGGTTCAGTCGACTATCTGTTAGCCACTGATCTCGCCTCCCGTGGCCTCGATATCAAGGGTGTCGAAACTGTCATCAACTACGACATGCCCGGTCAGCTTGCGCAATACACTCACCGAGTGGGTCGTACTGCCCGAGCTGGTAGAAAGGGTCGTTCGATCACACTCGTGGGTGAGGCGGACAGAAAGATGTTGAAGGCTGCTATCAAGCAGTCTGACGCCGATGAGATCCGTCACCGAATCATCCCTTCAGAGGCTGTCCAAGCTGTGGCGGAGAAGCTTGAAACTTTGAAGGAGGACATTCAGGATATCATGAAGGAAGAAAAGGAAGAGAAACTCGTATGTCTTTATCACTAACCCATCTGACCACCGCTGATTGATTTGTAGATGCGACAAGCCGATATGGAGTTGAAGAAGGGTCAAAACATGGTTGAGCACGAGGCAGAGATCTTCTCTCGACCTGCGCGAACATGGTTCCAAACCGAAAAGGAGAAGCAAAATGCCAAGAGTGGGTTATCCGCATACCTTCTGCAACTTTCACTGACTCTCTTTAGCTGCGAGCAAGGATGCTTATGTCGGTACCTTCCCCAAGGCCAAGGGCGGCGAGAAGGATTCCAAAGACGCCAAGGAGAAGCTCAAGCGAGGCAAATACGACGGTCTCTCTCGTAGACTCAAGAGAAGAAAGATGGCTATCGAGGAGGATGCTGCCGATGCCGCTGCTTCCCGTGCTCAGGATATTGCCATTCGATCAGCCAAGAAGAATGCTCAACCGAAAAAGATTGGCGAGGCTCAGCCCAAGAAGGTTGATAAGAAGGGCAAGAAGGGCAAGGTTGGAGGAGGAAAGAAGAGTGCGTTTGACGACGGTAAAAAGTCTCATGAGGGTATGAGGGCGAAGCCTACCAAGGTCAACCTTGAAAAGGGTGGCAAGAAGGGAGGGAAGGGGAAGGGGAAGAAGTAGAAGTAGGTGTACATCTTAGATTTGTTTCCCTGCATGTTTCATAATTGCCAGCATGGATTCTCTAGCATCCAATCTCCGCCATTCAATATGATCTCCGGATACATATGCACATGCAAGTCTCGATAACGCATGTATGATTGTACCAGCACTTGCAAATCCAGACACGAGACCGTGAAGAAAGAATATACGGGAATAGAAAGTCACAAATGACAATAGTTCATTAAGTCGAGAAGGTTCCGAGAATACTGTAAGGAAGAAAAAGACACGCCGGATCGATGATAAAGATGTCTATAGTGAGTGTATTGGAGCGTGTGTATGAGCTACAGGGTACTAATATTAGGAAAACCTGGCATGAAAGAAATGATAATGTCGATGAATGAACTGAAAGAAACAACTGATTGTCCGTTGTGTGATGTCAAGAATGATAGCCTAAGCCAAAACAGGCGCATTGACCGCCGTAACCTGGTGAGGCAACAACGTCTCGTCGGAGTCCTTGCCGCTCTGCTTCTCCGCGGGCTGCACCTCTTCGCCCAAGACAGGAGCACCAACGTTGTCCTTGTCCCTCGAACCGTCCTCGCTCATAGCCTCAGACCCGGAGAGCGAAGTGACGGGGGTCACTTCGCTCTTGTGCGAGCTGCGACTCTGCATATAAGATAGCTGAGAGTCGTCGCCAGAGGTGGAAGGGGTGACAGGGGCGGCAAGTTCGCCCTGCTCGGTAGAGAGAGCAGCCAGCGAGGTCGCTCTGGAACGGCTAGTATCCGAAGGCATGGGTCGGGGACCGCTCACCGATCGCCTGCCATTGATCGAGCCCTCAGGCGAAACGGGCTTTCGAGGGATCTGATGAGAGTTTCTGCTAGGCGAAGGAGAGGGGGAAGAGGGAGCATTGGCCAATGCGGAGGCTACATTGGGTCGCACGGTAGAGGGCGAGTCCACAGGAGACTCTTCAGCAACTGCCTCCGAACCAGGAGCCTGGGATTTGCTGCTGGAACCCCGGTTGACGGCCATCAGAGAAGTGCGCCGGGGAGGTGGGGAGATGAAGTCATCCTGAGCTTGAGCCTGAGCCTGAGCAGCAGCACCGTTGGGCATGGGAGGTACAGGAGACGCCTCGCAGTCGCCCTTTTCCACAACATTGGACGACAATCGCTTTCTCAAGGTCCCAAAGAATGACCGCCTGAGCTTGACCTCGGGTCCCTTTTCACTCGAGAGACTAGCGCCGGCCTGTTCGCTAGAGAGCATACGTCCTGCAGGCATAGAAGATCGAGAAGGACGCGTAGACTCGGCGACACCTGATTCGGGAGTGTTGACATTGGCGGCCGAGCGCAGTGTGGTGGGGGTAGAGGGAATGGCTGATGATGCCCGGGCAGGGGTGGCGGCGGTAGGCGCTGGTGACACGACGCTGCTGGGCGTTGTGCCGGGCACAGTCTGAGCAGGAGCAGCCTTGACCGGTGTAGCCTTGACCTGAGCAGGCTTTTGCTTCAAATCCCCAGAGGCCGCCGTTTTTCTCAACACACCATTCTTCTTGTCCTTCTTCTCGGCCTTCTTCCTTGCCTTTTCCTCCTTCTCCTGCCTCTTTGCGTCTTCCCTTCGCTTCTGCTCATCTTCCCTTGCCTTTTGCTTCTTGGCCAACTCGACGCGCATTTGCTCGGCCTTGGCACGGGCAGCAGCTTGAGCAGCGGCTTGTTGCTCGGCTTTTTGAGCCGCTTTGGTGTCCTTGGCGATCTGCCTCTTGGATCTTTTCTCGGTAACAGCAGGGGCGGGAGGGACTTTAGCGGCAGCTGAGGCAGGCGCGGAAACGAGGGCAGACTCCTCTTTGGTAGCAGGAACAGCAGCTTCCGTGACCTGCGGGGCATTGGGCGCAACAGGCGCTTCAGGCGTAGGCGGGATGACTTCCTCTGCACTGGTCTGCTGGCTCAGCGGACTGGGGTTTGGAGACGCCCTCTGCACCTGAGCAGGCGCAGGGGAGACTGAAGCAGCACCGTGGGGAGTAGAGATGGCGGGCATAGCACCCTCGGGCATGCGAGGAGCCTCGATAGAAGACGTATTCGAGGGGTCTGAGGTGGGGGGCGGGGCTGAGAGGTTGGAGGCGGTGGTGGACGCCGAAGCAGTCATGTATGGTCGCCCATAGTTCTGTCACAGAGTCAGCCACGGTCGGGTTTTGAGCGAAAGATGGACTCACTTCACCACCGTCAAGACTCCATCTACCCATTCCAGTGCTCTTGGCCATGGGCGCCCTTGCCCTGCCTCCTTGTTCGGCATATGAACTGCGTCTTTTGTTGTCTGTCGCCGTGATGGTCCCGGCGGCACCCAGCCCACCACCCAACTGGGCAGCAATAGCATAACCGCCTTCTCTCGGCGCCAAGCTACTCAAAAAGTCTCGCGAGTAGTATGTCGTAGGAGGAGGAGCCGCCCCACCTTTGCCATTGAGAGCAGGGAAAGACTTGCTGGAGGAGAGAGCCTGGTGGGAGGAGAGAGAGGTAGAGGACGAATGGGCAGATGACATCATAGCCTGATTGGGGGCAACGGGAGAGACGGGCATGGATTGAGCACCGGCCTTGACATTCGGCTTGGTATTGATGGGAGGTGTGTCTGAGGTCCGGCGAGACTTGCTGCGAATAGACATGCGTTTTTTCCCGGGCGTATTGATGCTGGTGTGTGACTTGGCTCTGGGAAGTGGCGCAAAGTCGTCGACAGGTGGAGCCGAGGGCCCTGGAGTAATGTTAGCTTGGTCGATATCAGAGATGGCTTCGCTTACAGATGACCTCTCCAGGCAAACCACCATGGAACGCCGCTTCAGAGATCTTGCTCTGTCTCCTGACAGTATCCAACGGCCTCTCTGAAGCAGTGGTATGAGGGTTGCTCATGTCCGGTACGTCTTCCCTATTCAAAATCCACAGCTCTTCACTGGTAAGCGTGCTGAGATCTTGGCTACTCGAGATAGAAGAGCGGGCAGAAGGGCTTGCACTGCCGTCGCCACCGCGCCGTCTGATAAAGGCAGGATTGGGCAAGGCGAGGTTGTCCCCCAACGAGGTGGACGAGCCGTGGGGCGAGGGATCGAGGGAGGTAGGGGCGCGAGGAGGGACAGGAGCAGGGGCCGCGGCGGTGGTCATGGCTAGACCTGGATGTCTTCGCGAAGGTGGTTGAAAAATGCGGGCAGGTATGGAAGAGGCAGTGGCCGTCGACGATGTAGAAGGATTCGCGCTGTGGCCTGGCGATTCTGAGGCTGCACGAGGTGCTGCAGCGGGCTTGCCGGCGGTGATGGACGAACGACGTTTCCACGCGGGCGGGGGCGAACCTGAGAGGCGACTGTGCAGCGAGTTGACCGGGGAGGGGGGCCCGTTGTTGCTGCTGTTGCGACGAGGATGGAGGGAGGATGTGCGGCGGGGGGCGAGGGCGAGTTCGTAGGGGTTTTCAGAGAGCTCGTCGGTGGGGGAGGGTGATTGATGCTGGGGAACACAGAGTTAGCGGGGGTCGACAGCAGGGCCAGCTGCGGAGAAAACAGACAAGATGGTGGGATGCAGGGAGATGGAGAGAGAAGAAGGAATGCAGAAGAGATGCGATGGAGGGACTTGCTGAGGAGGCGTTGCTCGAATGCGGGGGTAAGGGTGGCAGGGAGGAAATTAACCAGGTAAGAGAAATAAAAGCATCTGCCTGCGAGCGGCGATGGCCCACATGCCCTATAAGGGGGAACTGTCTGCACTACCCTCGGCGAGATGCCCGTGCATGATGTATAGGCTGGGACGGGACTGGGGACCTGGATGAAAGGGGCAAGTCTGTGTCGAGGAATGCGGGGGACAGGGCTGGCAAGCGACGGACACTCACCTCCTCGAAGGGTTGCAGCTGGCTCGCGTAGAATGCCATGCTGGACGGGGCTTGTCTTGCACTCTGACGGTCTGACCCGGGTTACTAGCTGCCTGTCTCTGCGATAACGTATAATAGCGTCCTTATGGGCCAGGACTGCCTCGAGTACAGATATTGCGATGGCAGGATCGGGCTGCAAACCTGCGGATGGATGTCACAAGCGTGGGGCGGGTATCGGAGTGCTGCGAGCGAGTCACCGGGGTAGTGCAAGGGGTCTCCTGCGTCCTGCTGGATATGGAGGCAGTATAGACAGATGGAGATGATAGAGGATATACATTTCTGCATGCATGCGCTCACCAGCACGGGATGGGCATGTGCCAGATGGCCCAGGGACAGGGCAAAAAATTTGGACAATCACTAAAGGGTACGGCTCAAACCCTGGGTCTGACGTCATCCACCACCACTCCTGGAACTCTGAACTCTCGGCTCTCGGCATCCGGAATATCACCCAACTGTGCAGCGAGAGCTTCATCCGATGCATCCGACGATACCGCGGCTTGTCATCTCATGCTCTTGCTCATGCTCTTGATCTCCTCGGCTCACAGTTGTCTCAGTGGGGGGCGGCGTCTATAGCCACTCTATGCCCGCGTGCACAGGCAGACCAAGCAATGACCAAGACACACTCTGTCTCCCGACGATTCCAGCGACGGCCCTCGTCATCACCCATGATGATTGCTCCATACCAAGCAGGCTATAGATTCATGCGAAGCAAGCTGCCAAGTGCCAAGGTGCACGTCGCGAAACACAGTGCCACAAGGGGAAAGGCCGAGGAGCGGTGAGGGCCGGGCGGCCATCGCCGAGGAGAACGCGCCTGTACCAAAACACGTAAAGTCACGTAAAGTAGACTATTGAGTGCACTTTTGAACGATTGAACGACGCCGGGCACCATGGCAGCGCACGAGGAGACGCCCCCGCACAGCACCCTCCAAGAGCTCCCCCTAGAGACCGCCCACGAGCCCCAGCCAGTCGGCCTCGGCATCCACCACGGCTCCCCCGGCAAGGAGCTGCCCCCCTCGCCAAAGACACCCACCACGGCTCTCGAGACCGAACTCACAGATGGCAGCCCGTTAGACCCAGAAGACATTGAAGTCTCGCCTCCCCCGCAACTACCCCCGAAACCAGAGAGAGCGGTGCCCATCAGGGTGGACAGCAAGGAGACCCTCGATGATGTCGAGCTGAGCAGAGCTGCCACCCCGGCCGTGGCCCCGAGCGATTCGACTAGAAGAAGCACCAATGCCTCCGTGGCATCTCTTCCATCTATTGTATCGCCTTCACTTCCGTCGACGCCATCCAGGCAGCAGAATCTCGGCCGCCCGTCTTCTGTCACGTCCGGGCACCACTCTCGAACGTCGTCCGTCGCCACACTTTCCCTCTCCAATCTCGGACCCAACTCCGCCGGGCCCCAACTCTCTTCCGTCCTCATCACTCCCCCGCTCCAGATCCTGGTCAACTCGAAAGAAGCAAAGAAATCACCTTCATTCCACGCGGCTGCCCAGCGCGCTCTGGAATTGTGTCAAAATACTGAGGGGAGCAATGTGGCCTATATTCATCCGAGAGAGATCTTTGAGCCCCTGCGACTCGCCATCTCAAATCCGCAGACGACTTCTGTCCCTGTCCTCGTCACCTCCCTCGACCTCCTCTCGAAACTCGTATCCCACTCCTTCTTTTCAGAACCCAACGGCCCGCCTCCTGGGCTACCGCCCCTCCCCGACCTCATCACGCACACCATCACGCTATCTTACTCTGAGACGTCTTCGCCACAAGTCGCGTTACAGGTCGTCAAAGCTTTGATGGCTATCGTCCTGTCAACCGACAAGGGCATGCTCGTCCACCAGTCCTCCCTCCTCAAAGCTGTCCGTACAGTCTACAATGTCTTTCTCCTGTCCAACGACGGTGCCAACCAAGTTGTCGCGCAGGGAGGACTGACGCAGATGGTACATCACGTCTTTGGGAGGGTGGTGAGGCCGGATATCAAGTCGGCCGGGCGAGAGAGTGAAGGAGGGAGTGTCAGTGTTAGTGAAAACGAAGCCAGGCGGAGAGGGGAAGCGAGGTCGGGCGAAACAGGATCGGTGCCACCTACGCCAGCGCCTGATGCTACCGAGCAGGAGAATGGAAAGTTGACATTGTGCGTGGGACATTATCTGACCGACTAGTACTAAGTCCTCTGTAGAGAGTCGTTTGCTGCTCAAAACCCCAACGACAACATTCCAGTTGAGCGTTCTGCCCTCGGCGATGGTGCTGAAGATGTCGACCCCGACGTCGAACAATCAACCCCGCGACTCCCGCAACATACCGTTCCCATCCCTGTTCCCAATGGCGATGCCCCTTCATTCAATGTTGAGCAGAATGCTGAAGCGAATGGTCATGGAGACGAGGATGACGGAAATCTGGATGCTATGGGCAGACCGATACCCGTGGAGCAATTACTGGTCAAAGACGCGTTCTTGGTCTTTAGAGCGTTGTGTAAACTGACCATGAAGCCTTTGGTGACGGACAGGTAAGCTTTTCGTCTCCAGAAAAGGCGTAGTGCTGACTGTGATTCAGCGAAAAGGACCTCCGATCTCACGCTATGCGTTCCAAGCTGCTCTCCCTCCACCTTGTCCTCACCATTCTCAAATCCCACTCCGACCTCTTTGTCAACCCCTACGTCTGCATCCCGTCCAACTCTTCTCTCGAAATGACGCCATTCTTGCAAGCTACCAAGCAATACCTGGGATTGAGTCTGTCGAGGAATGCCCTGAGTCCGGTGAATCAGGTGTTTGAGCTGAGTGTAGAGATCTTTTGGTGTATGCTGAGTGACATGAGGGCGCAATTGAAGGTGAATCGTCAATGAATTCGCGTAGGGCTAGCTGACACCTTGGACAGAAAGAGATTGAAGTACTTTTGAACGAAATCTTCATCCCCATCCTTGAAATGCGTCACTCGACCATTCGCCAAAAGTCTGTCATCCTCGGCGTCTTTATTCGCCTGTGTCACAACCCACAAGCCCTCGTCGAGATATACATCAACTATGACTGCGACCGCGCGTCTCTTGAAAACATCTACGAGCGGTTGATGAACATTGTCTCCAAAATTGGACAAACGCACTTTGCACCGCCGAGCAAGGAGGAGCTGGCCGCCGGTGGGTCAACAAAGCATTCGGGTGGGTCTGCAGGACCGGCCATCCCGGCGTCTTTGGGCACGGCGGCGCTGGGAGGAGACACGGGGCCCAATTCACCTCATTATGCCAATCTGCCACCCGAGGTCACACTTCGCCGGCAGTCGCTCGAGTGTCTCGTAGCGGCGCTCAAGTCGTTGGTGGCCTGGTCCACATCCAATTCAGGCGCTAGGGGGCAGCAACATGAAGATCTACAGCCAGGAAATGAGGATGGTCTCGGTAGGCATCACTCGTCGGGATCAGTGTCAGGTTCCAATGCCGAACTTGCCGCGCCCACCCCTGTTTGGCCAGCCGACCCCAATCTGAGAACGCCTAGCATCTCCGGTCTCGCATCCGGACAAAACACGCCTGATCTCGGCGAAGACGATGTGAACCGATTCGAGTCTGCCAAGCAGCGCAAGACCAATCTCTTGGAGGGCATCAAAAAGTTCAACTTTAAACCCAAACGGGGTATTGCCTACCTGGTCGAGCAAGGCTTTATACGCTCAAACGCCCCGAACGACATTGCCCGATTCCTGCATGGTAATGAAGGTCTCAACAAGGCCATGATTGGCGAGTATCTCGGTGAAGGCGACGAAGAGCATGTCGCCACAATGCACGCGTTTGTCGACATGCTCGACTTTTCCGGTATGAAATTTACCGACGCGCTGAGGACTTACCTCCAATCATTCAGACTTCCTGGCGAAGCTCAAAAGATTGATAGGTTCATGCTCAAGTTTGCGGAACGTTACTTGCATAACAATCCGTCTACCGAGTTTGCCAACGCCGATACCGCCTACATCCTTGCCTTCTCTGTCATCATGCTCAACACCGATGCACACAACAAAAACTTCAAGCAGAAGCGAATGACAAAGGCCGAATTCATCAAGAACAACAGGGGTATCAATGACGGTGCAGACTTGCCCGAGGAGATGTTGTCCGAGGTGTACGATGAGATCACTTCCAATGAGATCAAGATGAAGGATGAAGTGGAGCTCCCACAAGCGCCGGCATCGGGCGGGCTTGCCAGTGTTGGAAGAGATTTGCAGCGAGAGGCGTACGTGGCGCAATCTGAAAACATGGCAAGCAAGACCGAGTCGCTGTTGAAGGCGATGGTGCGCCAACAACGACGGGGTGTGGTTCGTCCCACCGATCACTATCACACCGCCTCGCGCTTGGAGCACGTCCGCTTCATGTTTGAGGTGGCTTGGATGCCTTTCCTCGCTGGCATCTCTGCGTCGTTGCAAGAGACGGAGGATATGGATGTCGTCGACTTGTGCTTGGAGGGTCTTCGTGCGGCTATCCGCATCGTGTGTCTCTTTGACATGGAACTTGAGCGTAATGCCTTTGTGACTACTTTGGCCAAGTTTACCTACCTCAACAATGTCGCTGAGATGAAGCCAAAGAACATGGAGGCTATCAAGAGTCTGTTGGACGTTGCTGTCACTGATGGCAACTATCTCAAGGCGTCTTGGAAAGATGTGTTGGTGTGTGTCAGCCAGTTGGAGAGGATGCAGTTGATCTCGAGTGGGATGGACGTGCCTGATTTGAATAGGACAGTGTAAGTCTTGTCCTACCTAGCGAAGGTCTGTAACTGACTGGGATGTAGAACGTCATCCAGCGATAAGCGAAAGTCGACAAACAAAAAGAAGGCGCCTGCCGAAGAAGTTGCCGAAGAGTCGAGGTCTTCCCAGGTGACAGTGGCCGCAGACATGGTGTTTTCTACCAGTAAAAACCTCTCTGGCGTATGTCTTCTCTCCCAATTCAAGGCCGACAGCTGACCCACAATAGTCTGCCATCGTCGACTTTGTCAAGGCACTCAGTGAAGTGTCTTGGGAGGAGATCCAGTCTTCTGGGTCCTCCCCCCGCCCTCGCATGTTTAGTCTGCAAAAGCTTGTCGAAATCTCCTACTACAACATGGGTCGAATTAGGCTGGAATGGTCTCATATCTGGCTAATTCTGGGGGAGCATTTCAATCAGGTCAGTGTAATGGTATCTGACAAGTATACGGACTGACGTGATCAGGTTTGCTGCCACAACAACCCCAATGTCAGCTTCTTTGCTTTGGACGCTCTGCGACAGCTTGCCATGAACTTTTTGGAAAAGGAAGAGTTGTCTCACTTCCGATTCCAAAAGGACTTCTTGCGACCATTCGAGTACACCATTGTTCACAACAAGAACTCGGATGCCCGTGAGATGGTAAGACGATTACTCTCGTGAAGCTTGCCCATCACTGATCACCTGTAGGTTTTGCAATGTCTTCAACACATGCTTCAATCCCGAGTACAAAATCTGCGATCCGGTTGGCGGACCATGTTTGGCGTCTTTTCTGCGGCATCCAAGGTGCTCACTGAACGAGTTTGCAACTATGCTTTCGAGCTGGTAACGCTCGTGTACAAAGACTACTTTTCCCTCGTGGTCAAGTTTGGCTCTTTCTCAGACTTGACGACCTGCATCACCGATTTCTGCAAGGTGTCAAAGTTCCAAAAGATCAGCTTGCAGGCTATCGAGATGGTGCGGGGTTTGGTGCCAAAGATGTTGCAGTGCCCTGAATGCTTGCTTCCTCAACCGGGAGACGAGGGCAAATCTCAGCAGGGTGATGATCCAATGGTCAAGTATTGGCTGCCAGTGCTTCACTCATTCTACGAGATCATCATGACTGGCGAGGATTTGGAGGTTCGCCGACTGTGAGTGATGTCGTTATTCAAATGTCCAAACTGACACCCATTTGTAGGGCCTTGGACTGCCTTTTCGATACCTTGAAGACCCACGGTTCAGGGTTCTCCGTCACCTTCTGGAGCACCGTCTGTCAGCAGGTCCTGTTCCCAATTTTCGCCGTCCTGAAAGCCAAGTCCGACGTACGATTCAAATCACCCGAAGACCTCAGTGTCTGGCTTTCAACAACCTTGATTTCAGCACTGCGAGACTTGATCAATCTGTACACTGTACACTTTGAAGTAATGCAGCACTACTTGGATGGGTTGCTTGACATTCTGGTGGCTTGTATCTGTCAAGGTGAGGTTTGGGCTTGTTGCGAAGGGGGAGAGATGCTTACAGACTCTATAGAAAACGACACGCTTGCGCGGATCGGTACCTCTTGCTTCGAACAGCTGCTCGAACAGAATGTTCGCAAGCTCAGCCCGGAGAAGTGGGAGCTTATCGTCTCTGCTTTTGTCCAGTTGTTCAAGACGACGACTGCTCTCCAGCTGTTTGACCCTGTCATGTGTTCCGAAGTTGAGCCTTCGGGCGACCTCCACGACGCTGATCGTGAGTTTCTATATCATCAAAAAGAATGGCAATCTGATGATACCCAGCTCCGTTCCAAAAATTCGTTGCACCTGCACCTTTGGAACCTGCTTCCGACAAGTCGGCGTCTCTACCACCCAATATCACCTATGGTGAACAGCGACGTATCTTCAAGCAGGTCATTGTGAAGTGTGTCCTTCAGCTTTTGCTTATCGAGACAACACATGAGTTGCTACAAAACGATGAAGTCTACAACACTATCCCAGCGGAGCACTTATTGAAGCTGTTGGATGTGTTGGAAGGTAGCTGGAGTTTTGCCAGGAAGTTCAATGCGGACAAGGACCTGAGGATGCAGCTATGGAAAGTTGGTGAGTAGCATTTCTTATGTGGGAACGGGAGCAGCGTTGATTCTCGACAGGCTTCATGAAGCAGCTCCCCAACCTGCTCAAGCAAGAGTCGAGTGCTGCGGCCACCCTTGTCGGCGTACTTTTGAAAATGTATAGAGACCCCAGAGATGCTCATAGGGCGACAAGGGATGATATTGTAGATAGACTTGTCCCGTGAGTTGAGCACATGCTCGAGAATGTGGAGCGCTGATCACCATCCAGGTTGGCAACCGAGATCATGGGAGATTTCATTGCGTTGGAAGCAGAGAGTCAGCCCAGAAATATTGCTGCTTGGACTCCGGTCGTGACAAATATATTACAAGGATGTTGCATTCTGGAAGAAGCTCCTGTAAGTGGCGTCTCAATCGTACAACGTTCAAGTCTGACTTTTGAACAGTTCGAGAAGCACATCCCGACATTCTATCCTCTTGTCACTGATCTGCTGTTGAAAGACGTGGCTGCAGAGATGAGGTTGACAGTACGAGATTATTTGAGAAGAGTGGGACAGGTCAAGGGGGCTGTCAAGAAGGAATGAGTGGAGACTGAGGGTACTCGTAGAGTACTGAAAACACAACATAAAACAGCTGAAGACCCGGTGGGCCAGCTCTTGTATCTTACTTGATAGATGCGTACGACAAGCTTTGAAACCAGGGAGACGAGCTGGAGGAGAAGGAAGAAGCTTGGGAATGAGATGATATCTCCACATAGAGTACCCGCGAGACCGGATTGTATGAATTGTTCATGATCATTATTCATCACTTACCAGCTGTGCTTTGACGGGACGCATGATCTGCCTCCACTTTCGGACGTCACTCCCGCCGAGCCCGCCGGCAACGTTACTGATATCATTCATATGGATACTCTGCTCTCTCATCCAGTTCGCCAAGGACTGTACCGATGATAGCTACCAAGATCTCGCCCCGAATAAACCTTCTGAAAACTACCACGAGACAGCTCTCCACAACACCATCGTAGGTCCCACCCCAGCTCCACTTCTCCGTGATATCAGTGACCAATCCTCTCCCTTCTATTACCCATCTGGCATCAACAGCCGCAAGATGAAAGTAATTCCTTACCAGGCCCGCTCCGATAACTGGATGTACCTCATCGTCGACTCCTCCAACCAAGCTGCCGTGGTCGACCCTTACGACGCGGGCAAGATCTCCAAGGCAGCCAAAGAAGCCGGGGTCAATGTGACGAGTTTAATCACTACCCACCACCATGTCGATCATTCGGGAGGCAATTCAAAGTTTGTAAGTGCTCGCTTTGTATGCTGGGGACGGGAGGAGTGAGCATACATGCTCGAGTGAGCAAGTAGGCAAATAGGCAAATAGGCAAATAGGCAAGACAAGGGCGACGATGAAAGCTGGAGAGCAAGGACTGACGTCCACCTACAGCTGTCTTTTCACCCCCATCTCAAAGCATATGGAGGATCTACACAAAGCCCAGGAACCAATATTGTGGTGAAAGACGGCGATACTTTCACCATAGGAGACGATATCTCTGTCAAGTGAGCGACACCATCTGCTGCCATGACCTACAGCTAATGTGTATCCAGGTGTCACCATACTCCATGTCACACCCAGGATTCAATCTGCTTCTACCTTGAAGACAAGAAGACGGGCGAGAAGGGCGTGTTTACAGGGTGCGTATTACACTCTACGATTGGCAATGCTGGCTCTGATACTGATATGTGACAGTGACACCCTCTTCCTTGGTGGATGTGGTCGTTTCTTTGAAGGTAACTTACATTGTAGTACCATCTACCTGCCACTGTACGCTGACCTCAAGCTAGGCACCCCCGAGGAAATGCACACTGCCCTCACAAAACTCTCCAAACTTCCTGAGGATACGGTCGTATATAACGGACACGAGTACACCCAAGGATCTGCCAAGTTTGGACTCACGATTGAGCCGGAGAATTCTGCTCTCAAAAGGTGAGTCTCCTTGCCCCAGGCTTCGTAGTCGAGATGTTGATCATAATTGCGGTAGTCTGCTAAAGAAGGCGCAAGAAGACTCGTGTACCACTGGCAAATCGACCATCGGTGATGAGAAGACTTGGAACGTCTTTATGAGATTGACTACACCAGAAGCCAAGTACGTGTATGATCCTCAGACTGTCCTCAGAGCTTGTTATCCGAAGAATGTGTCAGCTGACACGAATGCCTCAATAGAAAGGCCACTGGAGAGACCGATCCTGTTGCGATTATGGGCAAGCTGAGGGAGTTGAAGAATGCTATGTAGATCTGTTTGCTATGCAAGTAGTGGTCAATGAGGCCATGATATGTACATCCTCTACGAATGCAGCCGAAGCCGGGTCGAAACAACAACATGGAGTCATGGACGGTTACCCCGGACTCGTCCGAGATGCGAATGCGGGGAAGGCCACTTTCTTGTCCTTTCTTGCCTTTCTCTCAGCTCGAATATCTCGCACCCCATGGCTTACGAGACTCCCAGGACAGACCTGTCTGCGTGGCGCCTCGTCGTCGGCGAAGACTCGCACGGCCAACAGAAATGGGTCTACCTCTCCGACCCACACCAGAGGGAGCAGTGTCCTCAGTCCACCGTCGAAAAGTACTGGCTTGGCCTGGATACCGTAAGCCCAAACTCTTTGCATCAATGTAATCTAATCCACCTCAGGATCTTCCCGAGCTCGAACGAGCCAAGACTCCCCTGGAAGCAGCGCGCAACGGCTACCGCTTCTACAAACAGATCCAAAGCCCTGACGGTCACTTTTCCACAGAGTATGGAGGACCACTCTTTCTCATACCTGGTCTGGTCGTGGCCCTCTATGTGACTGGACAGTCTCTGAGGCCAGAACAGCAGCTGGAGATGCGACGCTATGTGCTGGGCAAGAGGCGAAAGGAGGGTGGCTGGGGTCTGTGAGTGGTCTTTCAGCCGTTACCAAACGCCATCCTGACCTTGCATCAGTCACACTGCAGCTCCGCCTACTGTATTTGGTACAGTCATGAACTATGTCGCACTGAGAATACTGGGTATGGGCCCAGACGAAGGGCCTATGAGCGAAATTAGAGCTTTGATCCACAAGATGGGTGAGTCACTTGCACCCGAGTTGGTGCGAGTCGTTGATATCATTTCAGGAGGTGCGACTGGTATTCCAACTTGGGGCAAAGCGTGGCTTTGCATCCTCGGTGCGTATGAGTGGGACGGTGTGGGGTCAGTGCCTCCAGAATTGTTGTTGCTGCCTGACTGGGTGCCATTTGCGCCTTGGAGATGGGTGAGTTCATCGTGTGAGCTGCTCTGGCCAAACTGACAGGTGGACCCAGTGGATCCATGTTCGCAACGTCTGTAAGTAGTTGTTAACAGTGAATTGTGCATCTAACCGACTAGATTCCAGTCACCCCGATGAGTTACCTTTACGGTACCCGCTTCGTCGGTCCATACACTCCTCTTGTTGCGAGTCTCCGTCAAGTACGCTCCTCCTGCATTGCGCTATTACCAACTGACACTGTCCCAGGAACTCTACACCCAGCCCTACGAATCCATCCAATGGTCTCGCCAAGGGTCCAACATCTCCCCATACGACGTGTACTCTGGCCACTCTCCCGTTTTACGCGCGGCGCACAAAGTCCTGAGCGTCTACGAAAAGCTCCCCCATGTTCCCGTTATCTCTTCTTCTCTCCCCCTCCGCCAAGTCGCCCTTGACAGAGCTTACCAGTTGATCGTTTACGAAGACGAAAACACCACCTACCAAACCGTTGGCCCCGTTTCCAAAGCCTTCCACATTGTATGCCGCTACGCCCGTGAAGGCGCCGACAGCGATGCTTTCAAAGCCCACCTCTCCCGTGTGGACGATTTTCTTTGGCTGAGTAAAGGTGGCTTGATGATGATGGGCACAAATGGCTCCCAGCTGTGGGATGCAGGGTTCATGGCGCAAGCGGCAGTCGAGACCGGCTTGGCGGAGGAGGAAGAGTTTAGAGATAGCGCTCTGGGGACGCTTGATTGGCTTGACAAGGCGCAGATCAGGGAGAACCCCAAGTGGTACAAAGCGGGGTATCGGCACAGAACCAAAGGAGCTTGGCCGTTCTCCACCCCGGAACAGAGTTATACCGTCAGCGACTGTACTGCGGAAGGTCTCAAGGCCGTCATGGGTCTTCAGCATCTTGACTATACCCCGGAGGCTGTGTCGATGGATCGGATGAAGGATGCTGTGGACACGTTGTTGAGCATGCAGAACGCGAACGGCGGATTCGCGAGCTATGAGCTCAGTCGGTCGGGCACTTATTTGGAGCTGCTTAATGCTGCCGAGGTATTTGGTGAGAATAGCGAGGACTTCATGATAGACAGACGCTGATTGCAATTCAGGAAACATCATGATCGACTACACTTACCCCGAGTGTACGACTTCAGCTTTGTCGGGTCTGAAGCACTTTTCACTTCTCAACCCAACCTACCGCGCCGCCGACATATCGTAAGCGAATCAATCAGCCTTGTACTGCTCATTGACACTATCTTGCAGCCGGACAATTGACCTGTCCATCAAATACCTCCATGATATACAGCGCCCCGATGGCTCGTGGTATGGCTCGTGGTGCGTCTCACTGACTCCAAGCACGAGTATCAGAGTCACTAACGCTTTGCAAAGGGGCATTTGCTTCACCTACGCTACAATGTTCGCTCTCGAGTCGTTGTCTATCGCCGGAGAGAATTGGGCCAACTCGGATCGCGTCAAACGAGCTTGCGACTTTTTGGTGGCTCGTCAGATGGAAGATGGGGGATGGGGCGAGACTTATATGGTGCGTCTTTCATGGCTTGAAGATGCTACTCTGACAACGAGCAGTCTTGTGTGACGGGCGAGTACACTCAACATGAAAGATCACAAGTCGTCCAGACCGCTTGGGCTATCCTCGCCCTCGTCTATGGCCAGTGCCCCGACAAGACTGTGATCGAGAAGGCTACTCGATTGATTATGAGTCGACAGCAGAAGGACGGGAGATGGGAGCAGGAGGACACGGAGGGTGTGTTCAACAAGAATTGTGCGATTGATTATCCTGGTAAGTTGCTGTATTCCGAGCCGCAAATATATGTCGCTGAAAGCAATGGCCAAGCATTCAAATTCATATTTTGCATTTGGGCATTGGGGAAAGCCGACAAATACCTGCGAAATTAGATCTTGTAGATCTACACATGGGCACAAGCCGAGCCACAAACAACTATCATCATCATTCAACAGACGAGTAAAACAAATAAAAGAAGGATGTCCATAGGCATGTGAAGTACGTACAAAAGGCATGGACTTGGGTGGGCGAGTACGACAGCAGGGACGTATACTCTGGCAGCCATGCATCCGCTGTTATATGCAGACTGGCGCAGAGGGACAGAAGCATAGGAGAAGCGGGTGGAAACATAACCGATCGGGGAGCTGCAGCAGGCACGTCGAAACTACCCGATAGAACCGATTTGTAATGAACTAGAAACATTTTGTAATGGTCTAATGAAATGCGGATCTCGAAAAAAGTCGGCGTGGCCCTTGGTTGTTTGTGGCCTCTCTCTTCACTTCTTCCGCCCATCTCCTCTTTCTTTCGTCAGCCCCCTCGGAAAGACGCCCTCTCCCGCCCCGAGCCATCTCGCCCCGCCTCACCCTCCCCGCCCCCGCCCCAGCCGCAGCCCATCGAGTCCCTCTTGGCACCTCGGTCTTTCCGACGAAAAATCCCCATTAAAAGGTCAAAATCCACCCAAAAACGTTCACCCAACGCCTCATACGACAACAACATGGCCGTCGAATCCGTCGCCGTACACTCTGACGCCACCGGCACCCCTCAGAGCCAAGCTCCCATCAAGAACAACGCCTCGGCCGACGTCGACACTTTGCAGGGACAGGTCAACGAGATGAGCCTGGGGAATACCGAGTTTGACTTGCACGCTGCATGTGCGGAAGGCAACCTTGACCAGGTCAAGGCTACTTTGAGCAAGGGTACCGACAAGCTGGAGACTTTGGGTGAGTATCAATGTCTTTTCCTCTTTCCGTCATGTTTCTCGTGTCTGAGGTTCGGAATGCTAACGTTGTCGGACAGATGTCAACACTGGGTGCACTCCTATCGTTCTCGCTATTCGAGGAAACCAGTATGATGTTGTGCGAGAGTTGCTCGCCGCCGGTGCCATCGTTCCCCCTCCCGGGCTCACCACCGACTCGACCATGCTTTCCATTCTCTACCCCCAGCCCGTTTACAACATGCCCCCCCAGTTCATGACCATCCCCCCTCAGGAGTACTACCCTCAGCCCAACTACTTCCCCCAGCAAAACGGTGGCGAGAATCAGCAGCAGTTTGGTTCTCCCAGGAAGGAGTCTGTGTCTGCCCCTAACGGTTCGAACAGCAACCTTCCTCCTGCCGATGTCAGCAAGTCCATCCCTTGCCGAAACTTCCCCAACTGCAAGTACGGCGATGCTTGTGTCTTCCTTCACCCCCGTGCTGCGGGTTTCTACCCCCCTGGACCTGGTCCCCAAAGCGGCTATCCCGCTCCCCAAAACTACGAGGGCTTCCCTCCGTACCCTCCTGCGCCTGCTCCGTACTTTATGCCTCACGGCGGAAACGGGTTCCAGTCGTTCCAGGAGCAACAGGTCGCCGGTCAGGTGGAAGGCGGTGCCGCCCCTGGCCCTACTGGCCCCCACGTTCCTTCTGCTGTCGCCCCCGTCTTTGTCCCTGGTTTCCAGCCCGGAGACATGATGGCTTCTCCCCCTCCTTCTCATTTCGGCCTCTCGCCCATGTCTCCATCTATGCTCGGCACCTCTCTCCCGTCCATTCCACCTGCTGAGGTCTTCTTTGCTGCCTCTCCGCCCAACAACGGTGGTTTCCTTCCTCCACCTCCCATGGCGAACGGTGCCCCCAGACGGCAGAGCGTCGGTCAGCAATTCGGTGCCCCGAACGGTAAGCCTTTCGGGCATGGAAAGAAGCCCAGCTTCTCTGGCGGCAAGCCTTGGGCCGGCGGTAGGCCCGCCAATGCTACGAGCAAGTTTGGTACTTGGAAGGACGGTGTCCCCCCACCTTGTGCGTTCTTCAATCAAGGCAACTGCAGGAACGGTGAACTCTGCAAGTTCCCCCACCTTGACGCTGAGGGTCACGACTGTAAGTCTAATCGAGCAAACAGTGGATGATACATGTTGACGTGATCACAGGCCGACACCCTGACGTTGTCCGAGGCGTCCTTCCTCCCCTCCCTCCTCTTGGTAACGGAAAGCGAAACATGAGGTCTACTGGTCCTAACGGCGGGTTCGCCCCCTTTGACCCTTCTTTCAGGCAACAGCAGCAGTACCAGCAACAAATGCAGTTCTTGCAGCATCAGCGAATGGCTGCCGCTCAAGCTCAGCAAGGACAGGCTGCTGCTACCTCCGCCGAGGGCAAGGCCGATGAGGCTGTTGCGGAGGAAGGAAACACTGTCGAGGGCGCGGAGAAGCAGGCTGTTGCCCCTGCCGCTACCCCCGCCGAGAACACCCTTCCTTCCAAGCCCCTTGCCGCACCTATGCCCACCATTATCCGATCTGCTTCTCAGCCTGGTGTCCAGCGAGTGCATGCCAACGGCCTCTCTTCCCGATCTCACTCTCCTGCGCCCTCCAATGTCTCCTTCCACGGCAATGGCCACCCTCGCCGAGCGGGCCCAGTCCCCAACGCGAACGGTGTCGCCAGTGGTCGATCGGCGTCGTCCGGCCCCGAGAAGAAGGTCTCCCAGCGAATCCCCGGTGCCGACGAGTTCCCTGTTCTCGGTACCCCTACCAGCGAGAAGAAGGAGCCGGTCTGGGGTGTCGCTGGAAAGACTGCTGCCCAAGTTTTGCAAGCGCCCGCTCCCGTCAAGCCCGTGACCGCCAAGTCTGAAGAGGATAACCAGGTGAGTCTCCGCTTTAATATCTGCACATCGGAGAGGCAAGTATTAAGCTGATGTAGCCCGGACAGAGTGTGACCATGGAGTCTGAGGACGACTCTGACGCGGTCCTCGTTTCTCGAAAGCCTTCATCCGCTACCACCCCTGCCTCCAGCACCTCTCCCGGCCCTCCTGTTCTCGAGACTGCTTCCAAGAAGGCCGCCCCTATCAGCTTTGCCTCTGTCGCCAGCTCTGCTGCCCCCGCTGAGACCGCTGCCGTTACTGTCAAGGCTTAATCAACCAATCTACATTGATCAAATACAACAACAAAAAGAGTGCCCATGCTCTATTCTCTATCACAGCCTTTTGTTATTTTCGGCTGCCATCTCTACCATCATGTCCGTGTATATCTGTCACTGCATTACTCAAGAAATTTACGTTACCCTCGGAGGGACATTTAGATTCGTTACTTGGTCTCTTTTTTCCTTTTCTATTTCCGTTTCGTTTTGGACTCATCTTTATCATGATAGCTCTGTGACGTGTCACTCATGTCCTTCTTCGTCCTATACACTATTGGGGCCAATTCATCCCTTCTCTACTCTACCATAAAAAAATCTTCTATTCGTTTGCTCAGGACTCATATGCGGCTAGGCATCCGGGGGAAAAGTCCGATGTAGTTATCTCCTTTTTCTCTACGTATCCGTAATTTCCATCGTTTTCGGGTTTGGTGGAGGAGTGTCGCCGGGGAGTGTCGATTTGACTATGTATCAACCATTTGCTGCTTCCTAATGAGGATGGCAACAACAAGGAAGTGAAGCGGCATCCCCCGCCTCCACTCTCGCGGTCAAAAGTTCAAAATCAGCATGAACTGTGGTGCTTTGTTCCTATCATCAACCCGAAAAATGTCCACAACCCTCACGAAAAAGCAGCAGAAGGCTCTCGCCTTCCGTAGCAAACAAAAGGCCAAAAAGTCCGGTACCGAAGTTCCTGAAGATTTGCCAGAGCAAGATCTGGACGACAACGATGAGAACGAGCAGCCCGAGGTAGTGGTCAAGGCAAACGAGAAAGAGAAGAGCGCCGGCAAGAGAAAGCGCGACGACGAAGAAGAGAAGGAACCATCAGCAGACGACGAGGATACCACTACGAAGCCAGAGGATAAGGGCAAGGGCAAGGAAACGAAGAAGAGAAAGACGGCTTGGGACGAAGAGGAAGAGGGGAAGAAGAACAAGGGGAGGAAGGATGCCAAGCAACGCTTCATTCTCTTTATCGGTAAGTGATAGACTCAAGGTAACATGCGACATGTGCTTATGTGTTCCAGGCAACTTGACTTTCAAGACGACGCGTGAGGAAATACAAAAACACTTTGAGCCTGCTGTTGGTGAGTCGCTCAGATCCTCGATTCACGGTTCATAATTGATCATTTCGCAGGCCATCTTCCTTCTGTCCGTCTCCTGACGACTAAAGCCACCCCCACCCAACCTTCCAAATCCCGAGGAATTGCCTTCCTTGAGGTCCCCTCCTCCACAGCTATGCAAGCCTGCCTCAAACTTCACCACACCACCATCAATGCTCGTACAATCAACGTCGAGCTCACAGCAGGTGGTGGTGGTGCGGGTGAGGAAAGGAAGAAGAAGCTCGATGAGAGGAATCAGAGGGTTGGAACGCAAAGAGAGAAGAAGGCGGAGAAGGAGCGGGAACTCAATGGTGGTGAAGACCCAGCGCCTGTGGAACAGCCTATGGCCGATGGCAAGAAGACGCGGGGTGGCAGGCGAGTCAGGGCTAAAGCCGTGAGTGCTGTCAAGGTGGCAATAACGTGTCCAGACTGATCATATCGCAGGGAGACCAGGCATCCGGAGATGCTTCCTCGAGGCCATACCAGCAATCGAGTGGAGGTTATGGCAGAGCTGGTCAAGGGGGACCTCAGCAGAACGGCCGTGGACCCTACCAAAAGAAGAAGTGGGAGCCTACGGGATCCAACTTTATCACTGTGGCGAAACGACAATAGACATCTATGTGCTCATACTTTATTATCAGACCTTTGTATGTATGAATTTGACGGAACCAGTACAACGACTTGGATTAGTCGACCGGCGAGATGAGCCGCAGAAAGAGTGTCGATGAGGCGATTGGTTTGCAACGTGATCAATGCTCGTACCTGACAAGTGCTTCGCAGACAGAACAGTGAGATTGAAAAAAGTAGCATCTACAAAAGCCCAAATGTCATGACATTACATCGTCGTCCACCTTCAAATTCACCTTAGAGCATGAAAGAAAGGGGCTGCTCCAAGTACTCCCTGAAAGCCTTCAACCACCTGGCGCCGACAGCACCATCCACCGTCCTGTGGTCCGCGCTCAAAGTCACCTTCATGACTTGCACAGCCTTGAAACCCTTGGGGTCTTCAGGCGCAAGCTCGAGCTTGGTAGAGGTCTTGCCGACGGCAAGGATACAAGACTGAGGAGGGTTGATGATGGCGGTAAACTGGTCAACACCAAACATGCCGAGGTTGGAGATGGTGAAAGAACCGCCCTGGTACTCTTCAGGCTTGAGCTTGCCGTCTCGGGCACGGAGAGCGAGAGCCTTGGTCTCGGCGGAGATGGTGGCGAGGCCCTTGGCGCCAACGTCCTTGACGATAGGGGTGATGAGACCGTTGGGGGTGGCGACGGCGATGCAGATATCAGCCTTCTTGTGCTGACGGATGGTCTCGCCGAGCCAAGCAGAGTTGGCCTCGGGAACCTCGGCAAGAGCCAAAGAAGCGGCCTTGACAACTGAGAAATGTCAGCTTTGTGGCTAGTCCAGATGGCATGGCGCACCAAAGTCGTTGACGGAAAGCTTGGTCTTGCCCTCGCCAGCCTTGTTGAAGACTTCCCTGAGCTTCAAAACTCGGTCTGTAACCATGTTAGCACGGGAAGTAACGTAGCACACATCGACTTGCCCATGTTGACCTCGACGGTGACGTAGTAGTGGGGAAGCTGTTGCTTGCTCTCGCTCAATCGCTTGCCGATGGTTCTACGCATGTTGGAAACGGGAATGTCCTCATAGTCGGCGGCAGGAGCAGCGGCGGGGGCGGGGGCAGCAGCAGAGGACGATGAGGCAGAAGGCTTGTACTTTTGCACATCAGCCTCGACGATCCTACCCTGGGGACCGGTACCCTTGATCTCGCCCAAGGGGATACCCTTCTCCAAAGCAATCTTCCGGGCGAGGGGGCTGGCAAAGAACTTGGGCCTGTCGCCCTGGCTGGGGTGCTCGGGGACCTTGGCGGGGGAGGCTTGTTGGTCGCCAGCGCCGTACTTTTGCTCGCCAGGGGTACCGACAGCAGGGGTGGTGGCAGCCTTACTTTCCTCCTTCTTCTCCTCCTTGGGAGCCTCCTCCTTGGGGGCGGCAGCCTCAGACTCGGCAGCGAAAGCGTCAACCTTTGAGAGGTCGTCACCCTCCTCAGCAAGGACAGCGATGGGGGTACCGACAGGGATACCCTTGCCACCGTTTTGAATCTGCCGCGCGTTAGAGAGCTCTGCATACACGCCGATGAACGACTCACGATGATCTTGGCCAAGATACCATCCTCCTGAGCCTCAACATCAATAGTGGCCTTGTCGGTCTCGACCTCGATAAGGACGTCTCCAGCAGCAAAAGAGTCGCCCTCCTTCAGCTTCCACTCGGCGACACCACCCTCAGTCATGGTGGGAGACATGGCAGGCATGCCGAACTTGCTGAGAGCCGCGTTGGGGGCAGAAGTTCGGATGGCTAGCGCTGTGAGTTGTTGAACGACACGTGAGGTTTCTGTACTTACATCGGGCAGCTAGAGCTTGCCTCCTGAGACCTCCTGCGACGGAGCGCTTTGCGAGCTGGGCGAAGGACAACATGGTGTTTTTGGGATGTTATGGGTGAAGAAGCTAACTCGGGCAAATGTCTGAGGAGATGCGCGCTGGCGCCGTGCGCCGTCGATGGGGCTGCCGTTCCGCGTGGGAGGCTTAAATAAGTTATCACAGACGCCGAAATGCCGCCTGCGAGGCATAAGGGTGGCGTCTGGACGGCGAGCCGTGTATGACTGATGATGGCCTTTCTAATCTAAAAGAAGCTCAAAAGACTGTCAGTGATCCAAACATGCATACATTTCAGCATTCCCCTATGCATCACCGGATCCGTGACGACATGCTCAATCCATTGAGCCCTTCAGTTCAATGCTCGACGTGAAAAACAAGCCACATGGAGAAGTTGATCAGAAGCACTAAACCCGTAATTGTAATTATATGCATTATAAGAATACCATTCCATGAATCTAGAGTATCATGAGCAGGCATGAAGCCTCGAAACTGCATACAAAAATGAACACGAGAGGAAGAAAAACAACCCAACAATCCTACACACAAAAAAGAAAAGATGATTCAACCTTAAGCCTTCTCTCGCACAGGGCTCGCCGCCCTGTCCTCGATAAGAGCCTCAGTTTCTTGGAGCTTACCGGCCTGTCTATCGGGGTCGGCAAAGTCTCGGATCGGGTCGTTCAAGTGCCTAAAGTATGTAGGGCAGAGGACGGCGCAGATCATACAAGCAACGGCGAGAGCAACATAGGGCCAGATGAGGTAAGGGTCCTGGATAGCGTTGGCACACGCAAGACCGATGGCAGAAGAGATAGCCTGGTTGAAAAGACAGAGGGCGTAGACGAGACCCTTCATACGGGCGGGAGCTCGAGTGTAGGCAAGCTCGTAGGAGGTGACGTTGACAAATATTTCACCGATGGCAGGGAGAGAGTAGAGGGGGATCTGAGCCCAGATGGACCACGAGGTGACGGTCTCACAGGTGGAGGCGTAGTAGCCGCAGTCAGAGACCTCGTAGATCTTCCACTGAATGATGGCACCGTAGACCATGTTGGCAGCGCCCAAGATGAAGCCGATGGTCATGCGGGTCATGGGCTTGAGAGGGTAGCCGATCTTCTCGAAGAAGGGGTAGAGGCCGTAAGTGATGATGGGGGTGAAGATGATGATGGTGAGGGGGTTGAAGTTGGAGATGACATCGTTGGGGGCGTCTACGGGCTGTCAGTTTGGGTCAAGAAAAGAAAGGCTAGTCAAACTCACTGTTCAAAGTCATGGAAGTAGACATGTCGTTCTCTTGAGAACCGATACCACCATCGGCAAGGTTGAAGATGGGGATAAGAGCAAAGACACCACAAGCAGCGATAGACTGCCTGATCTCATCCACAAACTTGTCGTCCCAGAAGACCTTGGTGTGGTCGACTTGACCCTCGGTAGCCAAGATGTAGCTGGGCTTGGCCGTCTGCCAGAACGCATCGCCGCCCTTGAACATTTTGATGATGCCTCCCTTCTTGATGATCATGGTGACAACCTTGATAGCCTCAAGGGTAACGGAGCCCTGAGGAGGGGCCTTGTAGAGCCTCTTGTAGCAAACCACAAGGACGATAGGCATGAGCATGTAGACGATACCGGGGAGGAGGTAGGCGAGCCAGAAGCCGACAAAACGAGCCGAGTAGGAGGAAGCGATGGCAAAGAAACCGCCGACGTTGATACACCAGTAAAACTATAGACCTTGTCAGTAATGATCGATACCTTGAGTATAAGACTTACCACGAGGAGGTATCGCTGCACGGTAGTCTGGGGATCGAGAATGACTCGCTCGCCAGTCTTGGTGGTGGTAATGGTAGGCCTCTTGACAGGCGACTGATCACAAAGCAACGTGGCCAGACAAGGCTTGATGAAACCAGCAGCGAAAGAGAGGATGTATAAGAAGGGCAAGAAGGCGCCGAGGGCAGCGGTAGATCCCTTGGCGAGGACTTGAGGAATGGTGACCACGACCATGAGGACGTGGGCGACACCGCCGATAGCGGTACCGACGACGACAGTCTTGAATCGACCCCATCTAGTGTCGGCAACGATACCGCCCATGATAGGGAAGACATAGGCCAGGAAGACGAAAGCACTGGAGAATGTCAGTAAAGGCGGTGGCATATCACGATGAGACTCACTTGTAGATGGCTGACGATTGCACAGAGCCACGGCCGAGAGCACCGGCCGACTGGTTTTCACCCGCAGAGCCAGGAGCAACAGCGCCAGCACCGTTACCGCCCCTGGGGAGAGGGTTCCTGACAAAGTTCTGGACGACACCAGTGATACCATAGTAGGACGCCTATGCGGACGTTAGACATTTGTAATTCGATCTGACGGAGGCCACTCACTCGCTCAGCAAGCTCGATCAAACACATGGCGATACAAACCCAAGGCATCTTGCCTGGAATCCTGCTTCAGGTCAGCAAAAGCTACTTGAAGAGCGGACGCGATCTCACTTTTTGAGAATGGCGAATTCCTCATCGGTAGGTTCGACCTCATCAGACACATAGTCCAAGGCGCCAGCAGCGCCCACAGAGACATCGGGGATGGACTCTTTCTTGTCACCGCTGTAGGTGAGAGTGATGGGGCCGCCAGCAGCCTTGGTGTCGTCTGTAGAGGCGGGCAGAGCGGAGGAGGGGACCGGGGCAGACTCGAGGTCTACGATAGCGTTGGTGTGCGCGGCTGCGGAGGGTCAGACAGGAACCTCGGAAGCATGGTAGTGACCACTCACACATCGTAAGCGGCCGTCTATTGCAAGACTTGTCTTGCGGGAAGTGGATGATACTTTCTGGGTGGGGAGGAAGAAAAAGAAGAGTTCTAGTATATAAAGCGCTCCACAATGTTCCGTATCGCGAGTCGTGCTCTTCCGAGAGTATTCTTATCAATGTCGCAATCCATCGCGGCGTCCAATCCCGTTGCGTTCTGTGTCGGACACAGAACGCAGGAGAACCGAGAGAGTGGTGCTGGGGGGACCGCGTGCGACATTGAGAGCGAGAGAACCCGGAAGGCGCTTAGAGGCGAGAAAATATGTCGGGTGGAAGTGGCAGCATGGAACCAAAGGGTAAATCCAGGGCAGATAGAGTTGGCCGCATGGTGCACAATAATATATTGCCCTGCCTCCACCTTTTGCCACCAGATGAGATGAGATGGCAGGAGGAGAGGGGGTGGAGGCAAAGGGATGCGCAGAGACGTGTCCGTGCCCGCCCCCCTTCTGGGACACAGACACACACAGATGCACTCGCGAAGGACACACATGCACAGGATGCTCTGTTGGAAAGGCAGGCAGCCCGAAATAGCGAACCTTATCGCTGGAACCAAACGCCGATCTCTCCGGCGTACGTAAAAAGGTCCCACGCGGTGTCAAATCAATCAAATAAAACCCCGGGAAGCTCAGAAGACTGATAAGAGATGAGAACGAGTGAGCGATGAGCAGCAAGTGCTTACGGGCGCTGCAGCTCAGCCTGCAATCAGCCGCTGTGGCTGCCTTGATCCGTGACTATCCACTTGCCATGGGGTGCATGAGGGCACGCGGAGTCTCCGTACACGGCCTGCGAGGTCAGGAGCAAGTCACCGCGTGGATCCATTGCAATTTGCCTGTGCATGGATAGCCGGCGCTGCTCCACTGCCGTATGGCGCTGCTTATCTCTTATCAGCTGATGCTGTATCCCCGGCCTCTGTGACCTGATGAAGAGCACCACGCGCGTCCACCTTCGTTGATGCATGATCCGCCCGGGTGTGTGGGGCCTCAAATTGATAACCTTACTCCCAGCGCCACACTGCGCTCCAGCCCCCCTGTGGCCATCGGCATCGGCATCGTCTTCGGCACCCAAAGCTGCGGACCTTTTATTATTCTCTTGGACTTCAGTGGTTCGTGTTGACAACGTTATTTGGTGATCATTGCCCCGTCTTCAGCCAGCAACAACAGCCCGCAGCCAGCACATACAGCATGTTGGCCAAACCGGATAGAACACACTACTCAGATCATGTACATCACAAGCTCACTTAATTCTTTTTCGAGTCTCATTCTCTTCCCATGCATGGCCAGCCAAGCTATAAAAATATCAGGCCCTCTGGTTTACCTACGCTTTGTGTAGTACTCGAATTCTCGTGCCGGTGTACACTTCGCCATTGACATTGGAGTTGCTCAATCATCAACAGATCCATCAGCGGCGCGGATACCAGCACTTCAAGCGATCGCGCTCTTTTGTGAAGGACATACTCAAGACGGTATGACGAGACCGCAGCAGGCCGCAGGAATGTTATGATAAGGCGTTTACCGTCGGCGGCTTCTTGTGGGACTTTGCGGAGAGCGGAGACAAGAAGGAGCTTGGCTAGGGATACGTGTTGTCGGCACCGAGCAGCGCCATCATCCTGTTGACTGATGTCAGAGGGAGACTCATACACGGGATATAATCAAATACTCCCGCTTCATGGTTCATGGTCCCCCCCAGGTACCTTGTCATCACACGGCTCGATTAGAAAAAAGTCGTATCGCCTTGACGTCCCAGACTCCAGGCCATGACGAATCGATGTGCCCCACCGCAACGGGAATGTTTCAATTCGACATCGTTCAACCTTGTCGCTGGCCTTCCGGAATCGCGCGGCTTGTGTCGACCCAGACCTTGTCGGCCATTTCCGTTGAGCTTGATATCAATGATGGTAAGGATGACGATGGGCTATCGCAGCCTGCAGAGTGCAGAGTGCAGACTCCGTCATACCTTATTTCTGCCTATGGGGCCTCTTAACCTGGGCCTTTTGCCACGAGAAGAGGACGCTGCAGCTGATAACGCCAGGTGCGCCACTCCAAAAAAGGGCGGGTCTGAACATGATTGCATTATCAAAGAGGAGCAGAATAATACAATACATATAGATAACGATTAGAGTACAGTAGACAACTAACAACCAATGCGTATACCTAATATACCTAAATCATAGAATAGATTTTGACAACGACCTTTAAAAACCCCAAAAGAAAATAGAATCTATCAATTTACAACGTTGATCTCCTACATGATCGCGTTCCACACCTTTTCGACCCAGTTCTTGGCAGGCGCCTCTTCGTAGCACTCAGCCTCGATCTCGGCAAGGCCAGTGAGGAAGTCCATCTCAGACGCGCGGACAAAGTGGGTCTTTTTGGTGAGCTTGTAGCCGATCCAGAGGATGGGGAAGAGCCAGAGAGGGAGGTAGTTGGTGACGAAAGTAGCAGTGTCCCAGTTGTCTTTCAGGAAGACGCTCCAGCCGCTGAAGAAGAGGATGATGGTGATCATCGTGATGGCGTAACTGCACCAATGTCAGTTGCAGGTAGAAGAGGAATGCTAAAGGGACGTACTAGGCGGCAGAAGCTCGAACGTTGAGTCGGGAAGCGTAGGGGAGAGAGGATCGGGCGATACCCTGGGCTCGGAGACCCTTTTCGAATCGGATGTAGATGAAGCAGATACTATGACAAGTCAGTCTAGGTTCATGAGCCAAGGCGGAAGCACTTACCCCCACCAGGTCATGAGACCCGCAGCCGCTGTAAGGTTGCTAAAGTATCCAAAGACTTTACCAGCGGTGGACTGGAGAGACATGAAGGCGAGAAGACCGAAAGCGGCACAGAGCGCCAGACTGATGTAAGGCAAACCCTTGCGGGTAGTCCTAGTAAAGATCTTGGGAGCCTTGCCGGAGAGAGCAAGACCGTAGAGAGCTCGAGACGACGTGTAGAGATCAGAGGAGGCGGCAGACCAGGCAGAAGTCAAAAGACAGGCGTTGATGATGGAAGGGAGAGCGGGAATACCAGCCTTCCTGATGGCAATGACGAAAGGAGACGCGAGGGCGTTACCAGAGTTGAGACTAAGACCGTCCTCGTTGGAAGGGCAAATGAGACCGATGATGAATGTACCACCAAGGTAGAAGACCAAGATACCTGGCTTAGCGTTAGTCGAGCAATGCATACGAGACGAGAAACACTTACGGACGTAGACTCGCTTGATGGCTCGGGGAAGATTTCGTCGGGGGTTCTTGGCTTCGGCGGCAGCGATGGCGACGATCTCGGTACCAATGTAAGAGAAGGCAGCCTGCGTTAGAACTGCCCAGAAGCCAAGAAAGCTTCCGCTGTGAGAGGTTAGAGGGTACGGGGAGGGATGGGGTAGCGAGAACGTACAGGCTGCCTTTGATGCCTTCGTAGTGGACGAAAGGTCCGGGGTTGCGCCAGTACTCGAACCCGATGCTCGTGTGATCAGGCCCACCGCCCGCAGTGATGATGATACCGAGCTGTCGCCATATCAGCTTCTTTGCTGTAGTGTTTTGTTGACACGAAGACTCACGATGATGAGACCGACGATGGTGAGAACCTTGATTGAGGAGAACCAAAACTCGGCCTCTCCATACGCAGCTACTCCAAAGAGATCTTTGTGAACCGTCAGCATGATATGCTTCTCAATCTCGCTGACGATACGATAGTGTTTCTGCTTGCAGACCCCGCAAGGCGACTTACTGATGATGACGACAACGATAAGGCAGATCGAAATCCAAAGACTTATGTAAAGGTCAGCAGTGGACTAACAGAAGATCGAGGATACTCACGCATTGTTGATGGTAGCATTCCAGAGGTTGATGAGGACGGCAGCAGCAGACAACTCGGCAGGCAGAATGATAACCCAGTTGTACCAATAGTTCCAGCCCATAGTGAAAGCTGAGAAGAAAAAAAAATCAGCAGAGCACAGGAACAGCAGGGTACGACATACCCAAAGCAGGGTCGACGAATCGCTCAGCGAGTGTAATATGGCCACCGGGGACGGGCAGGTAGGAGATCTGCAGAAAATGAGCATTCCTGTGAGTCGCGTTGGTTGACGATATGAGCGGAACTCACCATTTCACCGAGACAGAGCATGACACAGAGACAGATACTTCCCATGAGCGCGTATCCCATGAACAGACCGAGGGGGCCACCGTTGGCGAGAGCGGAACCGGTTCCCAAGAAAAGACCCGTACCGATTACTCCACCGATACTGATCATGGCCATATGTCTCGCCTTGAGATTCCTCTGGAGGCCCTCCTTGGGGACGACCTCCTCGCCATCGTACTCGCCACGGGTGACGGCGGGGGCGATTTCGGAGCTGAAGCCTTCTTTTTTCTCGTCGTACTCGAGAGACATGGCTGTTTGTGTGGATAGACCGAGGATGGGATGGGATGGAATGGGAATGGGAATGGGAATGGCTGGTTATATATGCGGGTGGATTTGCCCCTCCGGTTTCCGTGATAAGTAGGCGATGATAAGGTGGCAGGCACGGTGTGAAGGAAATTACCTGGGTGCCTGGTTCCTCGCATGTCCCTGAGTATGGTGACCAGCCCAACGTGTTCTCTTGGCGGGAGGGAGAGGAAAATGGGGAAAATGAGAGAAAAAAGAGGGAGCGCGTGGTAACCTCGCTTATAGTGCGCGGGGCCAAAACGTGCCTCTCGAGATTCCACCGCGCCTCCGTAAAGATACGACGCCAGGTCCCAGAGTACAGAGTGTGGCGGATAGAGGGAGCAGGGGCAGGAAGCAGGCTCATCAAGCGTCCGTATCCACGTCGACTGCTGTACACTCACCTGATCCCCGCATATCCGCCATCTTCTCTCTCTGAGTGCGCACTGCTTCTCAAGGCGATCGTACCGTACTGTACCACCATCGGCCACCGGGGCCACCGGGGCACCGGCTATCGACATCTTAAGATACGAGTACATAGGTACCCAGACGGTGCAAGCGAGGTGATATCGGCGATGGCGAAAGTCGTTGACAGCAACATTTGGTCATCTCAAATTCTCAACCGTGAATCGTGCCTCAGTCAGATCATGATCAAGCCTTGAGCTTCTTTGGCTGTTGGCTGCTTGATCGCTGATCAGACGTATGACAACGGCCCGTGCCCGTGGTCCACATGCACTCTGTTCCCGGCGGTGATATTTGCTGTACATATTCATAAGTGCATTTATGTGGGGCCGGAATCTGTCGTTCAATGGCGGCTGCACAAGTGAAACCGCGCTCCTCATTTCGAGATCCCAACCGGTCTCTCGTTCAATTCCTGCCGATATAACCCAAATTCACGTACTAGCGAACCATTTGATAGCGGCACTGCCGTCTCTTTCGGTAAGATATGAATCAGATCTCTGACGAGGATCTGATAGATACGGTAACTTACGAAATGATACGAAGAGTGCCTTGGCACTTCTTGCAAGCTTTCCGTACCGGGCATCCCGCCCGACTTGTCTTCTGTCTTTGTGGCCCTGGTGGCCTGCTGCTGGCCCTGCTGGCTAAGAGCCTGTCCGGCAACTACATTTCGCCCCGAAATGTAGATTTTTCCCATACAAAATTGCTTCCGTCGCGACATTTTACAGCCGTGTCATTTTACATTTTATGACATTTCGTCTGCAGCCACCCCAACCTCGACTGCAGAGGTCCCCAGCCCTTTTTCTCTTCAACTTGCATATAACTATCGTTCTTGCAGATGAGCAGCCGGTTGTAGTGCCGGTCCCATCTATATATGGCAACTTGGCAGGCAGTTGATCGAGTACTCCGAACGGTACATAGACAAGCTCCACTGGTCAGCTGACGACGATACGTTGGACGGCGCGCAAACCACTGACTAGATATGACTTGATGATGAGAGTAGTGGCCAATCTTGTGGTGACTGAAAACAGGACGTAAACCACTGCTTGAAGCAAGTCACAAAGTCCCTCATCCAAGTCCAGATGTACAATGACTTGAGTCAAGACAGCATATCACAACCTCCCAAAAGGCCTAATGATGAGGCTTGATATCCGCACCGAGCCACATCCCCGGTCTTAGAACAACCTGACATATGATCATGCTCAGCAGTGCAGCCACCCCAACCTCGACTGCAGAGGTCCCCGGCCCCTTTTCTCTTCAACTTGCATATAATTATCGTTTGAAACCCCTGAAGTCTGGAAATGGTGGTTTCGGTCCAGACTCTTGGTGCAGTCATTGCTCATGGTCATGATGCAGGTGCCCAGTCGGATTAAATAACGACGGCTTATTATTCTCCGGTCTGCCCCGGTTTTCGAGGACTTTTCATCGCTGTCACAGGGCGCCAAGACACAAAGACGAGGTAATGCTCACGCATAGCTGAGGACAGCTCAGTGTTCGATGTTTCCTCGTGCAGCTCGTTTACGGGAACAACAGAACCGGCGGAGGGAGGCAACAATGCGGACGGAAGGAAGCTGTGAGGTGACTCACCGTGCCTGCCCCGAGCGTCTCTATTGTTCTTCGGGTTTTCTTCGAGCTGTGGCTGGCTGTTACAGCTTGTTTCACAGTCCTCTCTCTATTGTCCTCTTTCAGGATATCCAGCTCACAGTCAGGATATTCAGCTCGCTCCTGACGCAGACAGTAACGAGCACGGGGCCGGGGAGCACTGTATGAGGGCGGTGGCCCCTCGCGTAAGCCGTTTACCAAGGGACTCTTGTCATCCGTGCGGCCGTGTGCTGAGGGTTCTGTGCATCGCTGTGTCCTGATGATTTCCTTCCGGTGCAAGGTAGCAGTATATATAACAGCACAATCCCCCTTCTTCCACTCACCCCCGCTACCTGTTCATAGTCAACACTTCCCGCCATGCTCACTTTCAGCAACCTGCTGCTCATACTAGCCATTGCCATATTCTCTCTCCTCTCTTCCACCCTCGCCGCCCCCATTGAGCACGAACCCGAAATCCTCCAACCGAAATCATTCATCACCCAAGAAAGCAACGCCTACCCTCCTCTCCGCTTCCTCACCCGTTTCCGCTCCCATATCCCTCCAGACACCAAAGTCCAGCTCAAGTGGGCTGGGGGAAGTGGAGAAGGCGTGGAAGTCTACTACATCCCTCAGTGGCCTGGGCAAGAAGACTATGCTGTATGTTTACTGCGCACAAATGGCTGGAGCTTTCGATCTGACGCGCAGTATAGCCTATTGATATTCTGCCACCTACCAAGGACACCACCAGCTATGTGTGGCACACACCCAGCCAGAATGCGTATCCTGAAGGGACCACATTGTATGCCCTCTTTGATCTCCGTATGTATCCTCGTGCTGACCAGATGAGCAGCATCGTTGGGATCAACGACGTAATCCCAAACATAGGTGCAGTCTGGTATGACATTACTGGCCTACTCAGTTTCAGAAAGTAGATAGACTACGAATGGTGCATAACAGACTCGTCTGGATATTATAATGAGCATGCATATATATAGTCCGTAGCTCAGTACACGGATCAGGTGATGGTCCAATCAACACTATCCTGCCATTCCAACCTATCCCAGTTGGCCAGGTGGATAATCTGATAGGTATTATTGTACACATCTTCAAGTTTGAACTCGTCTGTTGAGCCCCAACTATTCCTCGCCCACACCGTCTTGGACCCGTCTTCATGCACCGTACCATTGAAGACAGCATAATCGTGACTGTCACCCAGCTGAGGGTCCGTCACCCCAATACTGTCCAAAGACACGGTATTGAAGATGACGGGCGTGCTCTCATTCGCCCTCGCCAGGTCCGTCCAGAACGCATCCGCATCCGCATAGTCACTCGTCAACTTCGACGCCGTCTCAAAGCCCGTAAGCACCTGCAGCCCTGTCAATGCCGACCCGCTTGTAGGGTCAAAGGTCCCATTGGGAAAGATGCCCGCAATATCCATTTGGGTACCGAGGAGCTTGATAGACTGGGAGAGAGAATCGTGCCACCAGTTACCGTCGACGTGGTCTTCGGTCTGGCTCTTGTTGGCGACGACCGCGGTTTCGATGACGGGTGTGAGCGTATCCGGGTTCCAAATTTGGACCTGGACGCTGCCGTCTTGCGGCCAAGAGGTGTTCACCATGGAAGCATTCTGTATCGGGGTCAATTGATGACAGAAGATGGTAGCCGGGCTCACATTTCCATAGCGTATCATGCTCTCGATCCAGTTCTGCGAAGAGATGAGGACGGCAAGGGAGCAAGCTGCCCACCAGCAGTTGAGAATTTTGACTGATTGAAGCGTCAGTACAGCAAGAAAAACAAGGGGAGGAACTTGCCTTGCTTGACATCCGTGACCACAGGGCCGCTTTCATTCCAAAGACCGATATAGTCACGTTTCAGTAGATCTCTCTCTTCCACGACAGGGCTAGCAAGAGCTGAAAGAGGTCAGGGATTCACCATGGTATACCAAGCAGAGCCACTTACCAAGGCCTAGGAAGAGAACGATCGAAAAGAGCGAAAGTGAGAGACGACGCATGTTGGCTGGGGTCGAGGATGGGCGAATAGAGAGTCTAGGGTGAAGGGTTTGAAGGATTGAGGGTCCTGTACAACAGTTAGTAGAAGGGGGCCAATATCAAGAGGTGAAGGTGTGGTTTATGAAGTAGTGGGCCAACCTTCCACCTATTTTCGATACCACCGACAAACAAAGGAGCCAATGGACAGCTGTGACTTGTCAGAGACAATGAAAGGAAGTACGCGGCTGCCGCCGAGAGTATTGACCCCTGCTTGTACGGATACAAGCCCTAAAGGAGCTGCCTTCGCCTGCCAGATTATCATTGAGCCTTGGCAGGGGGATGCATCGCCCGGCCTTCACGCCCGCCTTCTCTACGATTTCTCGCTTACCGCCCCGGCAGCCTCTTCCTGCTTCCTTATATCCTGCTCGAGCGCGTCCGGCAAAACAGCCCCGTCCTCCCATCCTCTCCAATCGCCGTCCCACTCCTTGCTCGCCCATCTGGGCATCGGAGTCTCAAACGCACCAAGCTTGTCAGTCGTGTATCGCAACGCATGCAGATAAATGAATAATGTCTCGGGGTCTGGGTCGTCTGGGACGGGCACAAAGCATTGGGGACAAAACCCAGGAGGGAGGTAGAGGGGAGCTTTGAGAGGAGAGGGGGTGTCATCGGGGAGAGGATCAGGCAGCTTGAGAGCTTCTTGGCGACCTTGTAAGCGGGGGATCTTTTGTGGCTTGGTATCTTTCGGCTTTTCAGCTTCCAGGTCATCTTGCGCCTGTTTGGTGTTGAAGATGACTTCTGACCACCTGAATGGCTGTCAGCTCGGAAGTGCACGTCAGAAGGGGACTGACTTTATCCAATCCTCCGCGGCGTCCTTTTCTCTTCTTAGATTGGCGATGATGCCCCTCGCCTGGTTACTCAATCGGATAGGGCTATTGAGGTCGATGTTGTCGAGCTCTCGATCTACATCGTTCGTCTGGGGCGTCGCCGTTCCCGCCCGCGCCTTGAGCGCTTCTTCGCGAGACACACCACTGTCGGACGGGACGAGATCCACACCGCCCTTGCCCAATGACGGTCCCCAGATTGCAGTCGTGCCATACAAGGGGTCGTTAGCGATAGGGTGGCCGAGGTACTGCAGGTGAACACGAATCTGGTGGGCTGTGCAGGTGTCAGCCTAGGTCAACGCATTATGTCTGATGGAGGCCTACTTCGACCTGTTTGTGGGTAGCCTATAGAGCGGTCAGCTATCGCACACTTGAGCGAGACGGAGACTTACATCGCACAACACTTTGGTCCCTTACAGGGTCGTATGAAATCCTTTTAAAGATGGTAACAGCTTCCTTGCCTTCAGGAGTGATGATGACGAGGCCCATTTGGCGGTCCACAGTCAAAAGAGGTTGATTCACCGTGATTTCTTCCCTGCTCGCGCGATCAGCCCGCACCTCTCAACATCATTGGCAACTCACTCTGAGAATTTACCATTCACTCTCGCCACATATTCCTTCTTGACGGTACCCTTGGAGAATTCTTGAGCCAACTGACTAGCCGTCTTCCCTGAAAGGGCCAAAATCATCAAGCCAGATGTGAGACGATCCAATCGGTTGACAGCTGCACTCGGCATCAGTCCCAGCAGCGACGTCTCAGCGCAGACGTACAGAAACACTTGAGGCCATAGTCAGACTGCAACATCTCGAGGACTGTATGTCGAAAATATCTTCCTGCAGCATGCACAGGCTGAGGTTTCATTAGCAACGCAAGATGATCGTTTCGGTGTTCCGACTTGCAAGACTGCCCGGCTTGGAGATGACCACAAACTCTCGCTCGCGGTCTATATGGAGTACCAGTATAGGGTCTGTGGTAACTGGAGGCTCATGGCGATGGACCGTGTTGCTGTATCCTTGTAAGCTGGGAGGGCGATGGGCACGGGTCGACTTACTCGAGGCGATCGCCGTTGCGCAGGATCAAGTCGGGACGAGCGACCACTCCGTTGATCCTAGTTACGCCAGATTCCAGAGCATGTCTCTGTAACAGTGTCAGAGCGTGCCACGGGCTCACAACGTGTACTTGCGTAGTATTCCATGGACCGGTCTCGGAACTCTGTAGTGATGACCTCAAGCAATTGCCGTCCTATCCATCTGCGAGATGTCAGATCGCCGGCCGCTTGATCGCGGGTTTAGCATACCTTTCCTTGACATATGTCTTGTATGGCCACCAGTATGGCTTGATATACCGAAGCCTGGGGTTCATTCCTCTTTCGTATTGCGCAGGCTTGTCTGCAGTGACGGTTTCGCCTGATTGTTGCTCCGCTGTTGGGGTATTAAATGGGGATAGTTGAGCTGTTGATTGCGGGTCAGACATATCTGGGCGTAGACTGCTCCGGGCCAGCGAGCGATGCAACCTAAATGTACACCAAGTGCAAGGCGAAGAGATGTTTTGATTTTTTGTCGCTGGAATGTTTGCGGGGCCCCGCGCTTGCACAAAATTACTCTCCTCTTACATTTGCCAGCGTCTGTTGATTATGTGCATCTACAACAATGGCACCCAAGAGCAAGACAGGGCCGCCATTGTGCGAGGTGTGCTCTATTTCCCCTAGCAAGTACCGCTGCTCGACCTGTCCCACAAGATAGTACGTTAACGACCCCGTCTCCTACCATATGCTCATGTCTCCTGCAGTTGCTCCGTAGTGTGCTTCAAAGGGCACAAGGGTACGTCTCGTCAAGAGTTTCATATAGATATAAACTGATGAACTGTCAGTCGGTTGTAGTGGTCTCAAGGCGGCGAGACAGGGCGCACCAGATGCCCAAGCTGTACCAGAGCTCGCCCTCGATGTCCTACTCCCAGATGAAGACGAGGTCGATGTTGTAGAGTCGGAGGAAAAGGTGGTAGCAGAGCCACCGCAGCAGTCTCTCAAGTCATTATCCTCGTTGAAATGGCCCCCAGAGCCCGATCCCACCATCTTTACCGATCCCCTGCTGAAGGACGACCCCAAGCCACTCCGCCACGAAGAGCTCTTGCGGATAGGCAAGTCGCACTCACATGAAAAAGTTCAAGTGCTGATAGTGCTTTAGCTCAATCAGAATCATTAAGAGCTCTGCTAGCTGATCCCACATTGATTGCCATCCTCCAACTGCTCGACACCCTCCCCCTGTCAGCACGCCACGCCACCTTATCTCGCCTGGTTGGACTAGACACCCAATCACTCTCCTCCAGCTCAAAGACGTTAGTCAGCGGACGTGACTCTCCTCCGCCCCTTGACGAGCTGCTCGAGGCATTCTCGGGCACCAAGAAGGATACTTCCATCGACGAAAGAGACGGGTGGTGGCTTCATGGGCCTGACGGGAGAATATGGATCACGGAGAAAGAGCGTAACCTCATGAGGCTGTTTGCGGGTGGAATCTGTCTCTCCATTGATGGCAAGGAAGAGAATGGCGAGATTGCATGGGGACAGGGAGATCTAGCATGGGACGCGTGATGTACTATCTGAGTGGGTGAAGCCCTTGTTGTATGTATAGCTTCCCGACTTGCTTTCTGTCCCCACCAATGGAAATAGCTGCTCGCCGTAAAGGAGAAGAAGAAAAGGCATTGTCAGCACTTGGGCGACCTACTCGTGACTCTATCCACATCCTTTGTCAGAAGGTGAGTTTTTGAAGCTCGTCTTCGAAATCCCCATATGATAATGTCGACTCTTTCCAGAAGCATAAAGGATCAAGCTGCAAATGACGCTGCTCAAATACCGTATCAGACCTTTCATTTGCTTGCATATATACGCTAGCCTGTTACTCCGCGCTGCTTCTATTTCGCCACTCATCTTCACCAAAGCAACATGTCAGCAATCACAACGTCCCCCTCCACTGCCCTAGTTGGTGGGCACTACGACACCAATACGTCACCCCACACCAAATCAGACTTCATTTCCCCGGACGAAGCTACCACCGTCTCTCGAGGTTTCGACGCCACCTCCCGGCTCTTGTCTGCTGGCGGTTCTCAATACAAGCGCATCAAAGCAGACGTTGCAAAGCATCTATACTCTGAAATATTTCAGGGAGATGGGACCGGGGCGGGCTTCGACCGAGCGGAGCTTGAAGCAATCAGTCGACAGGATAGAGAAACCTTCCAGCAGGCCAGCAATGCCTACGACGAGCTCGAAGGGCTCAAGTCACAGTTGAGGGCTATTGATCAGCGTACGGGTGGTGCAGTATCTGGCGGATTCGCCGAAATCTTTGTGAATTTTGATCAGGCCGTGAGTGGACATTTGGGACATCTCTTACGATAGGCTAACTTTGTTTTGAAGGATCGAGATGGACCCAGGGATGGACCCACGCCAAAGCAGGTGGGGGAGTATGCTGCCCAGCCCGAGGGCCGTGAGCTGGCCGGACGACCTGACGAGATCTACGAGGGCTATGACCTTTCTTCCATCGAAGACGAGCTCGCTCTGTCGTCTCTGTATAACAGCAATGGCGAAGCCTCGGATTTGTCGACTGGATGGGACAAGAGCCTGACTGGTCCAGAGTACAAACAAATCCAAGGTCCGCCTCCTCCCCGCCATCCTGAGCACAGCGAGATGACGGCACTACCGGAGCGCTCCCAGCAGCAGATTTCCTACCACATGGGCGAAGACGGACTTGAGTCGCAACCGTCCAGCAGGGTTCAACGTGGTATCACAGCCCCTCCTAACCGTTCAAAAATGGACTTCAACGCATTGAAGGACTGGTATCTCACCCGAGTCTCGCGTCGTACCGGAGAGCCAAAGACTATGTTCGATCTCAACCAGACTGTTTTGGAGCCGCTATCGGTGCCCGACTTTGCTTCCCGCGCACCCCGCGCCCAGCCTAGGACAGACCGAGGCTACGCCCCAAGCGCTGCTCCGTCCCAGGTCTCAATGATCTCTGGCGCAGCTTCCAACGACTTGGACCGCTTCTTCTCCTTTGGCGGCGACGCAACTCAAACAATCCAATCCGCCCTTCAATCCGGTGCCGAAGGGGAGTTTGCCGAGATGGAGACGGAGGATGGGGGCGTTGTGACGAGGGGCCAAGCGTCTGGTGTTACGGCAGATGGAAGAAAGTTTACGATGATGGTTTCAAAGTCCGTTTCTTCAACAATGGGGGGGACCGGCAGGAGTCGGGCTGCTAGTCTCTTTGGCGGACCTCTCACAGCACATAGATCTTTCATGTAGATATCGAATGTGGTAGCTTGGTGATATGAGAGAGGAGTTAGAAACGGAGGCCGTGTTACAACAACAAGCGGAAAGCGGAAAGTGAGGGAGGGATGTGTTCACGATTGTTTCTTGAGGATGATATCTCGAAGTCTCTTTTCTAGATAGTGTGCACATACTGGGCAGAAACCTGACAGTATTAATTAGTCACGTACAAGCCGCGTCGAGGTGATGTACATACTGGGGTGATTGACTTTTCTCATGAGGCAACCTTCATTGGTCTAGAGAAACATTAGCACCATACACTCAACGGAAGAAAGTCGTCATACTGACGGGACGCAGTCGTACCCGTCCATCCATGGCATAAGTCGGGAACAGTCCGATGACGCCCTCGGTGTGATTGAACCTATGAAAGCGCGTCAGCACGTATCATTGCACAGCTGCATCGGTAACTCACCGCCCCTCTCCACCATACTCTATAATCTCTAGACTCGTGATCATCTTGCCGCCTTTCCCAGCCTGAGCTTTCTTGCCATTCTTGGTCAATGATAGGTTGACCCTGTTGACGCCACTGACAAGCTCTCGCCCATGTACAAGGTCTACCTCAAGCCACCGTCGATCCAGCGATCCTTGCCACTCTGGTGGGAATGTTTCTGTGAGATCAAGTGTCTGGTCGTTGATGACGAAGGCTATATGGGAAGGGTCTGGGATGGAGGAGACAGACGCTCGGAGTAGGGCTGTTGGGTAGTCGATCAGGGCAGGATCAGAGTTTGACGAGTTGAAGGAGACACTCCATGGTGAGATGTCGAGGTCATACCATCTTTCAAGCCCCTATTAGTTGGCGGGAGGACGTTGGAGTACAGCAACACATACGGGTATTCTTGGAGTGGCACCTTGGCATCCTCAATCCTTGGGGACCCCGGTTCAGAGAGAAAGTCCTTCCACTTGGCATTACCATGCTTCTCTGGCTTCTCAGAATTTATGCCAAAGTATGCGTTACCGCCTTCGTACTCTTCACCGACATCGATGAGGCTGTGTCCAAGCTCGTGACGAAGCACCACCGGACCATTGAGGAGAGACGCAGTCACCACACTGCAAAAGATTAGAACATTCCAGTCGCCTTACGAAAAGACGTACGTGAACTCTCCGCCGAGACCGCCATACAGAGGATCGTTACCTATAAACCAGTAAGCCGTTCACTCAGCTGCAGAGTTCTCGCGGTTGCGCACCAAGAAGTATCGGCTGATCACATCCTCCATCTTCTCTGCCTCTCTTGCCCTTGTACCACCGACAAGCTGCCCGCGCCCTGCTAGGCCGGTCGACAAAGACAGCCCTCAGCTCCGCACCAGGCCTGTAAAGACCAAATGCCGCGCCTTCGAGAGGTTTGTCCCGCGTCCCTACACCCGACTATCTCCATTGAGTCAGTCTGGACAATCAAACATATCAGGGCATACCGTCTCTGAGGGGACAAAGGTGGCCCAAACGTTGAGGAGATGGGCCACATCCTTCATAGCTCCATGGGCCGCAACAATGTCGTCCTTGAGCTTTGCCGCGTCATCCACAAATTTTGTTTCCTCTTTCTCCGTATCTGAGTACACCATAAGTTTCAGATCTCGGCCTGGGACTACTCACATCCGTCAGAAAAGAACATGAGATTGACACGATCTTCCGAAGGGCCCGAGACGTGTAGAGGATACAGCACCATGCCCTCAGGAGGCGGACTTGTCCCATCGTCATCAGGATCCAAAGCAGTGTAATCAACATGAGGAAATTCTGCAGGATGGCCCGAATTTCCCACAAAGTGATCTTCGCGCTGAAGCTCGAAGGGTGCTTGGAGAGCGGCTTGAGCCCATGTAACGAGGACGATCGTCTTTGAGATGGCTAGGAAGCTGAATGCGGGTCAGCCTGATGGCCTTGTTGACACTACGCACATCTTACATATGCTTCTTCATGACTGTTAGCAATAGAGATCGTGCGTCAAGGGCCGTCGACAAGACAGTCGCGCTGCTTTCATCTCAGCCATGATATGGCCATGATCGGAGCTCGGCCGTCGCCGGGGGTTTCATCATCCTTTGTCATCATCATCATCAACATTCCAATGTTCAACATCAGCAACACGACAGTCTGATGTACAGCTTGCCCAGACTCATTGTGTCAAGCTGACACAGGAGAACGCAACAACATTCCCTCGCAGTGCTGTGAAAGTCAAGAGAGACTAAGACAGTGAAGAATGAAGCCAGCCGATCGGGATCATGCCTCAACTTGGCGTTCATGTTCACGGCGAGATGTGTGAGTGGTCTAAACAGCTGTCTTAAGGAGAAGCATCTCTGCAAGAAACGGCAGTCCTCCGGGGCGTGGGTTCGAATCCCACTCTCGTCAGATATCTTTTTGCATGTCTCCTTTGTGCTGAAATGTCCGTACGGGAGGCTATGGCTGGCTCGACGCAAGCCCACGTACGCAGCTATGGCGCCCCTGTGCTTATTAGCGAAGAGGGCTGACCTTGATGATGAAGCAACTGACTCAAGATCTAAGCGCGATGGGACCCGAGGCCCAGGTCGTTGATAGAGGGATCTACGGTCTGCGTACATACTCATACGAACTGGATCCACACTGCTGGATCAGAGTCCTCCCACCGTGTCTATAAGTATCTCTTGCGTCGTCGGAGCAGACGTTCACGTAAACAAGCACCAAAGGGCACGACTTGTTGGTACCGGCATTCCCGCCAGCAGAATGTCCCACTCCATAGCTCAGACCTTGATAATTTCCACCATCATGATGATTTCTGAGTAAGCCTTGCTCGAATCAGCCGAGATGAAGATAGCCGATGCAATCGAGTCGAGATCAACAAGCCATATAAACGAAGATTAGTCCACATACATCATCCGCCCGACGTCAGACGTTCGCTTGCGTCAAAAAAGATTGCCGAGCGCCAATTGTTGTGCAATGTGACTGGATGCTTGGCCCTTACGTCCTTGATAATCCGATGGGATTGATCAGCTGAGTAAGAGATCGGGCGTGGAGGCTTGCTAATGTACGACGGTTCAAACTCCGGAACATCGCGAGAGCAGATACGACTCGCGGACGAATCACAGCCCGCCCATTTCTCACACTATATAAGTAAATTGGATCTCTTCTCTTGATTCCTCACATCTGCAACTCGCTCTCCACCATGTCATTTAGACCCGCCATGCTCAGAACAGCCCTCGGCCGCAGAGCCAACCCCGCCCTCAACCTCAAAGCACCCGTTCTCCGCCGCCGCTTTGCGACTGAAGGCGGCCCAGAAATTGTAAGTCTGCTTTGGCCAGCGCCCCGGCCCCTGCTCACCACATCACATCACAGCCTAAACCATCTCCTCCCGGCGCTTCCGCCACCCCCTATCTTCTCGCTGGTGTTGGTGCCGCTGCCCTCGGCGCCGCCTACTACTTCTACGGCACCAGCGGAACGCCCAAAGAAGCCGCCCGAACAGCTGACACTGCGGTCCGTAGCGCCGCAGCTACTGCCGAAGGCAAGACTGGCCTCAGACGAGGGCAGGAGGAATACCAGAAGGTATATGACCACATTGCAGACACTCTCGAGAAGGAGGGCTACGATGGTAAGTCTTGTCGCGTCTCTCTATCCGACGAGTACTTATCATGTGAACAGATGGATCTCTCGCCCCTGTTCTCATCCGTCTCGCTTGGCACGCTTCCGGGACCTACAACAAGGAAGATGGTACTGGAGGCTCAAACTATGCTACCATGCGATTTGAGCCTGAAGCCAAGCATGGTGCGAACAACGGTCTTGTGAGTCTTTCTCCCATCTTTACGTGTCTCGCTGACTGTCTACAGAACGTGGCTCGCGAACACTTGCAAAAGATCAAAGAAGCGCACCCCTGGATCTCTTACGGTGACCTGTGGACCCTTGCCGGTGTCGCTGCTATCCAAGAGTGCGGCGGGCCCGTCATCCCCTGGAGGCCAGGACGAATCGATGGGTTTGCTGCCCAGGTCACACCTGATGGAAGGCTCCCCGACGCTTCCCAAGCTCAAGACCATTTGAGGTCCATATTTTACCGCATGGGGTCAGTCATCTGCTCATGGTTTGTTAAGAGGTGGCTGATCGTTGTACAGTTTCAATGACCAGGAGATTGTTGCACTTAGCGGTGCCCACGCCATGGGCCGCTGTCACACCGGTGCGTTCCCACTACACCAAACACAAACTCACACTGACACACTGCCATAGACCGATCTGGATTCGATGGCCCTTGGACCTTCTCCCCCGTGACCTTCTCCAACCAGTACTTTGCCCTTCTCAAGGACGAGCCGTGGCTCTGGCGCAAGTGGTGCGTTTCTCCCCTCTTGCCATGCACACGCATCTGACACCAGATACAGGAAGGGACCCGCCCAGTATGAAGACAAGAAGACAAAGACACTCATGATGCTTCCGTGAGTTGACTTTGTTGACAGTCGGTCAATGGCCGTCGGTCGCGTCCGCTCGCTTTATCGCTGGCGAATGACATGCCTCGTATTTAAAGACGTTGTGCTGACACCACGGACTCTAGAACCGACATGGCGCTCGTCAAGGACAAGTCGTTCAAGAAGTGGGTCGACATCTACGCCGAAGACGAGGAAAAGTTCTTCTCAGAGTGAGCCCATTCCATCCATCTCTCCATGCCTGGCTGACAGGTGGATAGCTTCAGCAAGGCTTTCGGCACGCTTATCGAGCTGGGTGTTCCCGAGAAGCAGTGGGCTGGGAAGCCGTGGACGATGGGCAGCCAATAGGTCGCCCACACTAAAGTCGTTAGCCTGTAGCCATTGTACACTTTATGAATATGATTGCGATGATGGTTGATGGATCCGGCGTTGTCGGTTATATCGGAAAATAGGCGGATGGAGGGGCGTAAGAATGATTAATAACTGAGGCAAACACGGCGGGGGGGAGGCCGAGTAAATCCGAGGGCTGGCTGTGGAAAGTGGGCGCTGCCATTGGCTGAGTGGCCATGACCGCCTGCTTTTATAAACCCTCCCTCGTTTCCATCTCTTTCCTCTTTCTTTCATCAACAAACAGCCATTTATTCTCTTTTTTAAATAACATCTAGCCCCCCTCTCCCCTCCCACCCCAGCTAGATTCTCCATTCATCCACGATGGTCTCCTCCCGGTACCTTGCCAGGGGAGCAAACTCCCTCGCCCAGTCCATGATTGCCAAGCGATCCATGGCTACTGTCCAGTCTTCTATCGGCGACAAGAAGGTCGCCATGTCCAACCTCGAGTCTGGCAAGTTTATCAACTACCAAAGAATTGAGAACAACCTGCAAATTGTCAGGTCTCGGTGAGTCAATCTTCCATTTGATGGTACATGCACTCGATGGGGGAGGGTGAAAGGGATGGGGAAGGGCTGCTGGGCTTTCCTGGGGCGGTTGAAGGATGTGAAGAGAGGAATAGAGGCGGATGGATACACCGCCACCGCGTGGAGCCATCAGCCACTAATGTTCCGCGCATTCCACAATCCACGTTTCCCCTGCATACGCTTACATTATCTCTCCAGACTCAACCGCCCCCTTACCCTCGCCGAGAAGATTGTCTACGGACACTTGGACGACCCTCACCACCAGGAAATCGAGCGCGGTGTCTCTTATCTCAAGCTGCGCCCTGATGTAAGTGGAGCTCTCCCCTCACGGTGGGCATTCGGAATAATCAGCTGACGCGCTACCTTTTTCGCAGCGAGTCGCTTGTCAAGATGCTACCGCCCAAGTAGGTTTTCACGACTCGAAATAAAAATTATGCACAGGGCTGACGTCGCTTGCAGATGGCCATCCTCCAGTTCATGTCTGCCGGTCTCCCCCAGACTGCTGTCCCCACCTCTGTCCACTGTGACCACTTGATCCAGGCCCAGATTGGCGGCAAGCCTGATTTGGCCCGAGCCATCGACATCAACCGAGAAGTCTACGACTTCCTTGCTACCGCCTGTGCCAAGTACGGTATCGGTTTCTGGAAGCCCGGATCTGGTATCATGTAAGTTGCCGCGTTTGGTTACGATCAGTTACCGAATAGACTGTGCGGGACGCTCACCCGCGTCATCTGTTTACAGCCACCAGATCATCCTCGAAAACTATGCCATCCCCGGTCTTATGATGATCGGTACCGACTCGCACACCCCCAACGCTGGTGGTCTTGGTATGGTTGCTTGCGGTGTCGGAGGTGCCGACGCTGTCGATGTCATGGCCGACATTCCTTGGGAGCTCAAGGCCCCCAAGGTCATCGGTGTCTACCTCCACGGTAAGATGAACGGCTGGACTACTCCCAAGGGTGAGCAAATCTACATGTTCTTGTCTGTACCATTCTGACGCTGTCCCAGATATCATCCTCAAGGTTGCCGGTATCCTTACCGTCAAGGGTGGTACTGGTGCCATCATCGAGTACCACGGTCCCGGTGTCGAGTCTCTCTCGTGTACCGGTATGGCCACTATCTGTAACATGGGTGCCGAAATCGGTGCTACCACCTCCCTCTTCCCCTTCAACCACCGAATGAGCTCTTACCTCAAGGCTACCAAGCGACCCGAGATCGCCAAGTACGCCGAAGAGTTCAACCACAACCTTCAGCCCGACGAGAGCTGTGAATACGACCAGCGAATCGAGATCAACCTTTCCGAGCTCGAGCCCTACGTCAACGGTCCCTTCACCCCCGATCTTGCCACTCCCCTTTCCCAGTTCGCCGCCGAGGTCAAGAAGCAGTCTTGGCCCGCCGAGCTCAAGGTCGGACTTATCGGTTCTTGCACCAACTCTTCTTACGAGGACATGTCTCGATCCGCCTCCATTGCCCGGGAGGCCGCTTCCCACGGTCTCGTCGCCAAGTCCAAGTTTACCATCACCCCCGGTTCCGAGCAGGTCCGAGCTACCATCGCCCGTGACGGTATGGTGCAGAACTTTGAGGACATTGGTGGTGTCGTGCTTGCCAACGCTTGTGGACCTTGTATCGGTCAATGGGACCGAAAGGACGTCGCCAAGGGCGAGGCCAACTCTATCATCACTTCTTACAACCGTAACTTCACTGGCCGAAACGACGCCAACCCCGCTACCCACGCTTTCGTCGCTTCTCCCGACCTTGTCACCGCCATGGTCTTTGCTGGTGACCTCACCTTCAACCCCATGACCGACTCTCTCAAGGGTGCCGACGGTAAGGAGTTTAAGTTTAGCGAGCCCGTTGGTTTCGAGCTCCCCGCCAAGGGCTACGACGCCGGTGAGAACACCTTCCAGGCTCCTCCCGCCGACGGTTCCTCCGTCTCTGTCGCCGTCTCCCCCACTTCCGACCGACTCCAGCTCCTCAAGCCCTTCAAGGCTTGGGACGGTAAGGACATTGTCAACGCTCCCGTCCTTATCAAGGCCAAGGGCAAGTGCACCACCGACCACATCTCTGCCGGTGGTCCCTGGTTGAAGTACCGAGGTCACCTCGAGAACATCTCCCAGAACTGTTTGATCGGTGCCATCAACGCCGACAGCGGTGAGGCCAACACTGTCCTCAACCAGGAGACTGGCGAGTTTGGTGCCGTCCCCACCGTCGGTGCCTACTACCGAGACCGTGACATTCCTTGGGTCGTTGTTGGTGACGAGAACTACGGAGAGGGTTCTTCCCGAGAACACGCCGCTCTTGAGCCCCGATTCCTCGGTGGCCGAGCCGTTATCTGCAGATCCTTTGCCCGTATCCACGAGACCAACTTGAAGAAGCAGGGCATGCTCCCTCTCTGGTTCAAGGATGCTGCCGACTACGACAAGATCTCTGGTACCGACAAGCTTTCCATCTTGGGTCTCAACGAGTTCAAGCCCGGACAGGACATCAAGGTCGAGATCACCCACAAGGACGGCTCCAAGGACTCTTTCCTTACCTTTACCTCTATCAACGAGGGCCAATGGGGTTGGTTCAAGGCTGGTTCTGGTGAGTTGCATCTTTGACTGCTGTGGAACATTTGCTGACTCTACCATAGCTCTTAACATGATGGCCGCCGCCGCCAAGGCCCGTGAAGCCAAGGCTTAAATCACTTAAGCCCTCCTTCTCGGTCTTCGCCATCTGTTTCCTGCATCATCACAACCAGCATTGATTCGTCCCTATAGCATATTCTTGTATAACGCATTGCATTAACTAGCCTCCTCTATCTTTCCTATATCTTTGGTTTTGGTTTTATCGTTTTTTCTTCTTTTTTTCCGTTTTGGTTGGGAGATTTCCCTAGGTCTGATTACCCGGAGCGTGTGTGCGTCGTATAGGAAAGACGGGGAAGCGGAAAACCATTGTCGTTGTCTTCGTACAGACAGTTTGTAGCAACGTGATGCCAGCATTAACTCAAACGTCCCTGTGAATTGCATCTGTGCATTGTATCTGCCCATTGCAGCTGCAGGAGAACGTCCATCAGGGGACTGTGGAACAAAAGTGATAGAGGAGATGAATATTTTTATGAATTTCGCGACATTGTCCGAGAATGTAGAAAGGCCATTCTCTCTTTCACGGCTGGATGACTACCGCTCTTTCCTCACCGAGATGCGTCGAATCCCGTCCCAGATCCCCTCCGCCGTCTCCCGCCTCCTCCAGGGCCACGTCCTCCAAACGCCCCCCACATGGTACACCCCCGCCCTCTCCCACCCCCCTCCCCAGCTTCCCCCATATCAAGTCAAGCAACGCGCTCGTCCCCCCCTCCCCTCGTCGTCCTCGCACTCTACAGGCCAGTTCTACGACACTGCCCCCGTCCCCTCTGGAGAGCTCGAACGCCGGGACAAGCTGAGAGGATACAAGCAACGCAAGTCCAAGCCCGCCAAGGTGTTTTATGAAGAAGACAATGTCAGGCGACAGTTTTTCAAGGATTTCCCGTATGAGGCGCTGAGACCCGTTTCTTTGGTGGAAGGGCAGGAGATTGATATGCGGGAGAAGATCAATGGGCTGGAGTGGGAGAGGCTGGAGCAGAGGGGAGAGTATCCCTCTGTTGAAGAGTAGGTCTCGTGTACTATCCGGTGGGGCACAAGCTGACAGAGGAACAGCTGCGTAGAGTTTGTCGTCAACTTGAAAAACACTCAAGGCCTTCCCATCACTGAGGCGTACGAGCAGGCGACCGAAGAGTTTGTGCAGCTGAGAGCGCGACATCAGTTGGCTACTGTCGGTGCCGAGCTCGAGGCGAGGCATTATGGAGCTCAGTTCAAGCGTGATGCTTTTGTAGGTTATACCCAGACCTTGGTGGTTTCGTGCTGACAGATGTGCAGGAACGCCACTTTGATCTTGAAGAAAAGGCGCTCGACTCGCTCGCTCCCAAATCTCGTTCGCCCGCTACCGCCAGTTTGTCTGCCCGCGTAAAGCACCGCGCCCAGCCCCGGTACCAATGGACCAACTCCCTCTCCCAAGAGGCGCTCCCGCAAGATACCTTTACGGGGGGCGAGGCGTACATGGCGAGGTGGAGGATACCAGCACCTGTACAGGTTGAGGGGGTGAAGAAGGAGGGCGATTTGGTCAGTCTGCTCGGAGGTGCGGGTAGTGAAGCCAAGGAGGGGGAGCAACAGGCGGTGCAGTCGGATGAGCTGGACTTTTTGAAGGCGGCGTTGAACAGTGCGAAAGCGTAGAGGTTGCATTCATGCATCAACTAGGATTACTCGTGTTGGGCTACAAAACACCACTATCTTACACTGATACACAGAGCTGGACTATCATACATGTGAAGATCGTGCTGGACTTGGCTTGACTACTAGAGCTTTGCTTTCGCAATGGGGTCAAAGGTTACTGGTGTTCGCTTCAGCGCCGATCCCATTGCTTTCGGCGTGTCCTGTATCGCGGGGTCAGTAAAGAGCTAGAGACGAGGACGGTTGACACACCTCAGATTGGAGCATGGCCCTAGTGCAGTTGTCAGCTTGGTTGAAACGAAAGAGACCACATACATGTTCCATGTGGCTACATATTGCAGACCGTCGTCGACGCTATGGTCTCGAGAGTCTACAAGGATCAGCGGAATCCTCCCAGTCAGGAGAGATACTCACGATTCATGACCTCCTTGGTACCGATGACTGCGATGGGGCTTCTCGAGGCAATCATCTTGGCCTTTTGAAGGGCCAGTTCTGGGACGTGTCAGCAGATACAAGTGATTGACGCAACCTACCTATGACCTCTTGCCGTCCCCCCTGCGCAACCTCACTCACAAACCCAATCTCCTCCGCCTCCTTCGCCCCAAACGGCCTCCCGATCATTGCCAGCTCCCTCGCCTTGCTATCATTCCCTATAATCTTGGGAAACCTCTGCAGTGTCCCGATATCTGCCGCAAGTCCAACATTGACCTCGAATATGCCAAACTTGACGTTGGAAGCGCAGACCCGGATATCGCAGGCCGAGGCAATGTCGATGGCGAGCCCGACGGACGAGCCAAACAACGCACAGACGACGGGCTGGCGGGCGCGGGATAGAGAGGTGATGGCGGCTTGGAACTTGAGGAGATGGGCACGGAGGGAGGTCGCTCGGCGTGCGGGGTCGAGAAAGGTCTTTCCGGAGGACAGCTCGCTTTTGGTGACTAGGAGGCTGTCAGTAGTATAGGTATCATGTGAAGAGAGGGCATACCGTCTAGCCCGGCGGTGAAGGCGTTCTCGAGTGCCGAACTGAGGACGATACATCGCACGTCGGGGTCATTGGAGACGTCATCGACGATGCGATGCATCTCTTGCCACAAGCTATGCTCTTGGTAAGCAATGGCCATGCCTCTAGAGATGACACTTGCGCATCGTGAAAGGCATTGACTGGAGCCCTAGAAGTGCGATCAGCTCTTGGTCTTGGGAGGATAGCGACTTGCCTGTTGAACTCGAGGAGGAGGACGCCGGTCGAGGGCTCGGAGGCCCTGTGGAAGTCGCCGGTGTACTGCGTTGGGTCCATGGTGGATGGGGGCTGGAGATGGGCGGGGTGGATTGTATAGGTATGCAAGATGGATCACAGACTGGATGTCGCTGGCAACGGCGCCATGGAAACAATGCATCCCGCATGTCCACATACCCGGGTCTCATCAGCCATGGCGTACGCAGCAGTGGCCAGGGTCGGGGGCATGCATGGACAGGCAGCAGGCAGCAGGACAGCCTCTCACGGAGAACAACGATACACTCGGAGGGACTTGTTCACCCTCTCACTCGCGTTTGGCGCTTGATCCTCTCTTCCATCTCGACACCGTCCATCCCATCCACCACCCCCTGACCCCCCTCCCAGCATGTCCACCCTGCTCTCAGACCGGCAGAAAGATGAGCTGTAAGCATCCCACACACCCCCATGCCCAACACCCCGGACGCTGACCATCGTCAACTCGACATTCCCCTTCTCATCCTCGTCCTGCCTCCTCGTATCCTGCTTATCATGGGGCAAACCAACCACAACGCCTGCAATGGATCACTCCCCCCCAAAGACACAAGTCCATGTTATCCTACCTCCATGCGACCGGGATGCAAGATTCCTTTGAAGCGTTAAAACGAGAGACCGAGAACGACGACTTTGTCATGGACGACCCCAAAGCGCGATGGGTGGGATTACTGGAAAAGAAGTGGACCAGTGTCATACGGTTACAGAAGAAGGTATGCAAATCACCTCGCAGACGGCATATTGACATTGCCCCAGATCATGGACTTGGAATCCCGCAACGCCGCCCTCCTCGCCGAGCTTGCCTCCCCAACCCGGGCTTCAGCAGCCTCCTCCTCATCTTCACAACCCTTCATCCCTCGAGCCCCTGCGCGCCAGACCCTCACATCACACAGAGCACCGATAACAAGAGTAGCTTTCCACCCCAAGTGGACGGTGCTGGCGAGCGCGAGTGAGGATGCGAGTGTCAAAATGTGGGATTGGGAAGGGGGCGAGATGGAACGGACAGTCAAGGGGCATACGAAGGCTGTGATGGATGTAGACTTTGAGCCCAAGGGGAATCTCATGGGTGAGTGCTCTCGCAAGACAGCAGGCTCGGGACTGACGTTTATCAGTGACATGCTCTTCTGATCTGACCATCAAACTCTGGGACACTTCAAACGAATACACAAACGTCAAGACCCTCCATGGCCACGACCATTCGGTTTCCAGCGTCCGCTTCATGCCCGACGGAGAGAAACTCATTTCTGCGAGTCGGGACAAGACGATTAGGGTATGGGAGGTTGCGAGTGGGTATTGCACAAAGACATTCTCTGGGCATGCAGAGTGGGTCAGAGAGGTGGTAGCTTCAGAGGATGGTCTGTGGCTGGTCAGCGCTTCGAATGATCAGGTGGGTTCATTCTGAGGCCATATGGGGATCACGCTGAAAGATGTTAGACATCACGCATATGGGACTTTTCAACGGGAGAAACCAAGATGGAACTTCGGGGACACGAACACGTCGTGGAATGCGCCGTCTTTGCGCCCGTCAATTCATATCCCGCCATCCGAGAATTAGCTGGTTTGAAGGCGAGTCGTATAGCATCTTGTTTGAATGGAACTGACCACAGAGTGTCAGGCGCCGGCAGCTGCAGACACGAGAGCAAAAGCTCCAGGAGCATTCGTGGCTACAGGTTCTCGAGACAAGACCATCAAGCTATGGGACGCCTTGTCTGGTCAGCTCTTGCGGACATTTGTACGTCAACTGTCAATGTTCGTTCATTTCTGACCCGTACGCAGGTCGGCCACGACAACTGGATCCGCGCCCTCGTCTTCCACCCCACCGGCAAATACCTCCTCTCCGCTTCAGATGACAAGACCATCAAGGTCTGGGATATCGCCACTGGCCGCTGCGCTAAGACGATCGACGCTCATGGGCACTTTGTCACGTGTATGACTTGGGGACGGGCAACTGTAGGTGGCTCAGCAAGTGGAGAGGGAGAAGGGGAGAAGAAGGAGGCTGTCAATGGGGTGGAAGGGAAGAAGGAGGAGCCGAGAAGAATTAACGTGCTGGCGACGGGCTCGGTGGACCAGACTGTCAAGGTGAGCACATGGCTTGCCGGCTGATACTGAAGCTGACGCTACGCAGATATGGACACCATAGCAGTCTGACCATGATAGGCAATCTGTATATAATCAATACCCGGTCAATGATTACCACCTCCTTAGAATCAGCCCCCCCCCGTGCATATATCATCCGGTCCGTTGTCCTCCAGCGCTTTTTCAAGATAGCCTGTCCGTCCCTTTCATATATAAACGGGTCGGGGCTATTAGTCATATACGGGTTCTTTAACGTGTGCCATGTAGCACATGTCTTATTGACTCAGACAGGACTGAGTCATCAACACTGTCGAATGGGATGACGGGGTAAGAGCGGTGTACGGTAAAAGTACTCGAGTACAGTGCATAGATGGAACATCATCAAGTCATTACAGTCATAAATAGCAATCATCTAAAAGCCCACAATGATTCGTTTCCGACATCAGATATACCCGACTTGGTCGACACCCATAGATCTTCTTGCGACAACGACCGCTACAGCCTCCTTCAAGAACTCTTCCAGAATGACACAGTTGTCCAACACCATACTCAACGACACTTGCTTTCTTTCCTTTTGCTCCTCTCCCACATCCTCCTCGCCAGCTATCATTGACAGCTCCCCGAGCTCATCAATCTCGTCCCTATCCCCAGTAGTCTGAGTGAAAGCGTCATCCCCAGCCATACTGATATCCTTGACACTCCTGTTCCGTCGATGACGCACATTATAAGAAGGAGCCGGAGCAGCCCATGGGCCTTGGACAATCACTTCACCACTGGACGCGTCGGAGAGGGAAAGGGTTTGTAGTGTTTGGTCGTAGTGGCTTTTGAACGGGGCAGCCGACTGGCCGGGGGGCTCGGCGCTGGTGAAGGCAGGTCGGGAGAAGGGGGAGGGGATTGTCGACGGATCCTTGGGAGGCGTCTCTGGTGCTCGGTCATCATCGCCCAGCGCCATACCAAGACCCAAGCCAGACGCCAGCGAAGGTGTCCTACCAGTTGGCGAGAGAAACCCTGGTGTCCCACTTGGAGTGTTTCCTGGCGTCTTCTTCTTGGGTGTCAAGAACGACTTGATTGAGCTCGCCAGCCCGCTCGTACGCGGTTTGAGCTTGTTCTGAAACAGATTATGGGGTGTGTTTGGGGTGTTTGGAGTGCCCGGGGCGGGAGAGCCGAATAGGGTGGAGGGAGAGAAGGTATCGACGTCGAGCATGACATTCATGGCTTCGTCCAGGTGGTCTTTGAATAAGAGGCCTTGCCTGCGTTCAGCCAAAAGACGATCAAAGAGATCAGGATCTTCCAGGATGTCGGAGCGGATGTAGGACAGTTGCTTCGTAAGAGATCGAAGAACTTGGTACAACGCTGGAAGGGAGAGGGAAGCGCGAGCGTTAGGCGCGCTCGATGCCTCATCAGACATCGAATCGTCAGAGTCAGAGTCTGCGTCAGACAATAGAGACTCGGATCCCGCTTCCCGATCGACTTTTGCCCAGGGATCTACCTCTCCCCTTTCACTCTTGTCATACAACATCCACCCCGCCAACGACCTCTCCGGGCAAAGTGCCAGACTCGTCAAAACGCCCGTCATGGCCACATTTTCATCCGGAATCTTTTCCAAGAATCTCTCGAATTCGTGGAGAATGGTGCGAAGAAGAGGGTCGGAGGGGGAGAGGCGATGTTGAATAGGGTCGGCATCGATGATATGGCGGGAAACGCGAGCCTTTTCACTTTCGGGAATGAACGGGAGGGCTTTACGGTATTGAGAGAGACGGTAGGAGGGATTGGCTTCCAGAGCAGATTGCATGTCTGTCAAGTACCCTGCGAATCCTGGTGAAAGCTCTATTGATCCCTGCGAGGGATCGATGTGAGATAGAAGGGAGCCATAAAGCCCGGTCTCTTGTAGTTGGATATCCACAAAGTTGACTGACTGGGGTAGGAGAGATTCTCCCGGTGGTAGCAGGTTGAGCTCGCTGGGTATTGATTTGCGCGCGAGGGCCGTGGCCGCCGAGTCGCGCACAAAAGACAACAGGCCTTTCGTAGATTGTATAGAGTGCTCGGAGAAGAGGGTATGCAGAAGCCTCAAAGCGGCACTCGTGGCTGCCCAGTCATCTGCGCGGAGATTATCGAGGATAAGATCCTTGAGTGTGAATCGCCCCTCGGCTGCAAAATAGTCGGTTGTGGTGGTAAGTTGACCCATAAACCCCATCGCGCCAGTCTTGCGTTTCTCCTTCTTTGACATGGGAGCAGCGGCAGGCACAGCTACCGAAGGACCAGTCGCGTTGGTGTCCATCAAGAAAGACACAATCCTATCAAGGACAGGTCCATCGTCGACATTGGAAAAGATGGCGTCGAGATAGGTGAGGATGGCCACAGAGCTACCGTCAAGACTCGAACATTCCAGCACAGCCGGATAAAAGACGTTGTCTAGGAAGGACGATTGTATGGCGTCAAGTGTTGATTCGACGATAGCTCCCCCAAGGACGAGGGTCGAGCTCACTTCCGACGAAGCAGGGTCGGCGTGCAATAGTGGAGAATTGCACCTGTGGATGATGTCTTGCAGGAATCCGAAGAGCTTGAGCAAGAGATCAAGCTGGAATTGGACGTGTTCGTCGGTAAACGAGGGCATATCGAATTCGTCTTCGTCCACTGTCAGACTAGATCCCAAAAACATTCCGCCTGCCGTTGTGCCCTTGTCGTCCTCATCCGACATCTGCCGACTGGCCAGTGAAGGGACTCGAAGCTTTGTAGGCAGCATAGAGTATACAGCGCCGAGAGCTGCCGCCATGACATCCGCAAAGTCTCCGTCCAGGATAAACTCTCCCAAGACATCTCGAGCATCCTGCAGCGGGTCCACGCCATCTTTTCCGCCCATTGACAAGTTTTCACCTCCCTCCTCGTTTGCGGTCAAGAAGGCAATGTCAAAGAGAAAGATCAGACCAGCGCGGGCAAAGTCTCCCAGACGGCCCTCCCGATGCACAAATCTGAGAAGGTAGGAGAACAACAGGAATTCAAAACTGTGTTGGGCTTTGGTGGACGCCTTTGTTGACGGGTTGGACATTGTAGAAGGGGTTGGAGACATGACCCGCTTATGAGCAGGATCTGTTGAGCGACCGGGTTGTAACCAGCCCTTGTCGTGAAAGAAGATGAGTAGTAGTGGCGGACTGTACATAAGCACCAGGAATAAGGACACCATAGCGCACTCACTAAGCTCTCATCTTTGAGCAGAGCACACACATCAGATCCACCAGATCCCCTTCTATATCTTCGTTACCAGCTCTTCTTTCAGCCATATCACTCATCCCGGCAGCCCCCACAACTCTCGCACCACCATCAACCTTTTCCTCTGGCTCGTCTCCTATGCATGACCGTAGTAGCCTTCTCAAAGGGCGGTGGACGGCATTATGAATGAGGAATCGTTCGGAGAGGAGGACGACGAGGTTATTGATGGCTTTCAGAACCTCGGCTGGATATAGAGCGTTAGTTTCCGGGTGGTAGACATTGTAAACGGCTCACCCTTGATTCCATGCGGTCTATCTCTTTCGCATAATCTCTCTAGGTTGGCAAGTATATCATTCTTGAGAAAGTATTCGAGACAAGCGCCTGTCGTGCTGTTCCGGTATCAGCTACACTCCGCGAGAGAGACTCCAGTGCGGACTTGCTCTTCATCTGTTCTATTGCTCTCGTATACAAGAGCGTCTACAATGTGCCGGAGGTGATTTGGAACTTGAGTCGACGTTATACCTCTAACGACCCGTCAATAGTGGCCTGTGCGCCTTCATGTCGACAACCCTTACCTAACCAGCTGCCTCTCATCGGGGCGCTCCAAGGTCTCCTATACAACTGTATCAGTGCCAGCTTCCGAGAGTGTAGAGCTCGCATGTACCTTGATATCAAGCCACGCACGGTCAAAGACCTGCAAGCTGTCGGGAGCTGCGGTGGGCTGTTGCTGCTTTGGGGTCTGAAGGAGACGGGTGAAGAAGGATGAGACTTCCATGGTTGGCCCTCAGGCTCCCTGCGCCGTGAGTGGGAAGCGGGTGGGTAGGGGTGGTGGGTGTTGAGTTGCCAGGCAAGGCGAAATGGGAGAGGATGGATGGAAACGCGACTTGAACGCGCCGTCCCTTCGTCCTTCTGCTTTCAACCGCCATTCACGCAAATAGTGTCAGATGTCTCCAGTGCCCCATAAACAGCCCGGATCGAGCACAAGCTCGGATGCTGCTCAACGTTATCCCCTCCCTTCCTTCCTGGAATCGATAACCTCGAGCTCTTCATCGCCCCTTGGAAGATTACCTCAGGACCCGATCGTTGTCGGCATCATCTCTGCTTTTGGGGCGAGCGCCCTCACTTTCGGCTCCATCATTGCATACAGGAGGTACTGGAGGAGAATCAAGAATGCTGATTCGGTTACTATGGGTATGGTGGAAAGAAAGATTTGGGTCAGGGGTGTCGTGACCAGGTGAGTCATTTCAGTCTGAATGGAATGCGTGCTTAAGGAGTCTAGTGTGGGAGATGGAGGTATGTATCTATCACACAAAGCTGCCTACTCTAATCAGGTTTAAAGACAACATGAGGCTGTTTCATACACCTGGACCGTTCTACCGATACCCTTTCAAATTCCGTTCAATACCCACAACGCAAAAAGGTCATTTATCATCTCTGACTACATGATGGAGCTGACTTGGCTTTCAGCGCTGAAAAACGAGACTTTGAGCATCAGAATAGCAGGCGTCGATGCCCCTGAGAACGCGCACTTTGGCAATCCTGCTCAACCACATGCCAAAGAATCTCTGGAGTGGCTTCGATCTACTATTCTTGGCAAACGGATGAGCTGTCAGCTGTTGTCCAAGGATCAATATAACAGAATTGTAAGATCTGCCCACATAGATCCCGTCAACAACTGACCAGATACGACAGGTGGCAGTGCCATACATCTCTCGGACATTCTGGTGGGATCAGCCCCTGCCCATCTTGATGTTGAAGGAGGGCATGGCCGTGGTATATAAAGCTGGAGGTGCCGAGTACGGTCCTTGGGGTTTGGACGAGATGCTCAAGATCGAAGAACAGGCTAGGTAGGCTGAGAAATAGAGCGTGGGATGACTGCTGATCTCACCTGTACAGAAACGCCAAGAAGGGCCTGTGGGCAATGAAGAAATACGAGAGCCCTGGAGACTTCAAGGCGCGTATGAAACTGAAAGACAGTGCGCCCGAAGAAGAGGTAAAGACGAAACGACGGAGAGCTGCTCCTGCTGGATTGTGGACCCGTTTCAAACAATTAATGTCCAAGGCATTTTAGATGTTACGACTGCATACGCTTCTTAATGACCCGTTATGCAACATGACCGTTCTATTTTGCTATAGACTGTGCGCCTCTCAAGCAGACTTGCCGGCGATAAGGCGGGCACCTTCAGGGGCGTCCTTGTTACCGGCACCGTACCAGTCGGGGAAGCCCTTTTCTACGTCAGCGCAACTCAGATCAGATCATGACACTACTCACAAAGTCAGATCCCCAAGGAGGGGCAGTAAACCTCTTCTGCTTGCCACCCTCAGCAATCTTGTCCAACCTGGCCAAGTCCTCCTCGTCAAGCTTGACAGTCTTCAAGTTATTCTTGATCCTAGCAGGAGTCACACTCTTGGGCAAGACGACAACCCCTCTGTTGACCTGATAGGAGATCAAGACTGTAGCAGCAGTGACGTCGTGCTTTTCGGCCACAGCAAGAAGCTCAGGGTCCTCGTGCAAGGGAGAAGACGTTGATCCCAGAGGAGAGTAAGCCTCGAGGAGGATACCCTTCTCCTTGGAGTATTTCAAGAGCTCGTGCTGAGGGTTGTAGGGGTGGAGTTCGACCTGGTTCACAGCAGGGACCACGGTTCCGGTCTTGATGATGTGGTCGACAATGGGGATACCAGCGTTAGAAACACCGATGGCCTTCACCTTGCCCTTCTTGAGGACGTCCTCCATCTGGGCCCAAGTCTTTGACTGGTCCCAGTCCCAGTCGAGGTTTCGGGAACCATCAGGCTTGACGGGGAAGAGGGGGTGAGTGCCGTTAGGCTCGAGACGGACGGGCCAGTGGATGAGGTAGAGGTCGAGATAGTCGACGCCGAGGTCCTTGAGGGTCGTGTCGAGGCTCTCCTCAACGCGGTCATGGAAAGATGACCAGCTAGAGACGTGTCAGAGCTGTGTCACTTGCAAAAGGGCAGAACCGACTCACAGCTTGGAGGTCAGGAAAACTTCCTCTCGAGGGACACCGCTGTCTCTCAATCCCTCGCCGACCTCCTTCTCGTTCTACATTCTCGCATCAGTTGGCATACTCCCATGACAGTAATGTTGTAGCTCACCTGGTAACAGAGAGCACCGTCGATATGCCTGTAGCCAGACTTGAGTGCGTGCGATACAGCGTCCTTGACCTCTCCAGGCTTTGCCTGCCAGGTACCTAATCCGCACCCTGTCAGCGCAACCCTCGACGACGGAACCGTGTCAACGCACCGAGTCCGATGGCAGGGATGGAAGCGCCAGTGTTGAGCTTGAAGGAAGTAGGGACAGACATTCTAAGTAGCTTTGTGGGTAGAATAGTGAGATGGTAAATGGAAAAGAAAGGCGAATTGGGACGGTTTATATACATTCCGTGACCAAGGTGTCATCCGGGCCGGGCTCCGGGCGGCGCGGATGGCTGCCATTTTGGGTGTTCACGTCATCATACTATCTTCCATGGCGGTCTGCAACGATGATCAAGCACGCACTGCAAGTTGTGAGTTGCTGGAGACGGCGATCATGCCATATGATGAGTACTCGCCCGAAGAGAACCACGCCAGCGCGCAGAAAGGTAGCTGACGACGCCGAGAGTGGGATTCATTCTCATCCCTGTACGTATGTATGTTGGGGTCACACTCGCGTCAGAGTCGCATCTGAGGGGGCTTCCCGGACCCTAGCACCATAAGTACTAGGGGAAGGGGAAGGCGGTGGCGGTGTACAGCTGGTGGAATATAATATCAGTTGCTAGTCGTATCTTATCTGCCGTAGGCACTATCGGTCAGGGACGATGATGACGTGGCAGTCCGAGACGGAACAGAAATGTTGGGCTATGTTGATGGTTGCGCTGTCCATCAATGGACGATCATCTATACATAAAGTATATACATATCTTGGGAAACTAAAGTACACATTATGACAACTATCAAACAATACCCATTACACATCCCCTTTCTTCTCATTTTCTTCCTTCAGCTCACTATCCAGCAGCTTTTCCAGCACAAGCTTGTTCTGCAGTGCTAGCCCCCACGGCATCTTACTCAGCCTCTCCATGAAATGTCTCAATATTGCCGGGATGGTCCATGTGGCAGAGGACCCGAGGAAGGGGAAGGTTATTGGGCCACCGTGGGCTATCCACATGTCAGGCGGGATGATATCGAACCCTGTGCAGCGTACATCAGTCAAGGTCGCCGAGTTGCTCTGTGAAGAGGTACATTTGGCATCAAAGAAGACTGATTCTGTTGTTGAGGACATCAACTGATGAGGGCCGTATTTCAGAATGACCCAGAACATCAGGGCGCAGTCGAATGTTAAGGACATGTCTGCGGCCGAGCTATATCCATGTCAGCTTCTCGTAGTAGTCCCACCTATATTGGCTCACTTTCTTGGAAACTCCACCAGTAACGCTCCAAGTACCCCGGCATGCCAAAGCAATTTGCGCACCTCCTTCCCATCTGCCATCCACGTCTTCAACCAAATCAACGACCCCTCCTGCGTCATATCCGGTTCATATTTCCCCGACACATGTTTTATGCGTTGGAGGAGGCCCGGACGGGTGAAGAACATTTGAGCGTGGTGATAGACAGAGGAAGGAATCACGCGAAAGTGAACGGGAGATCGGGAGGACATGGAGGCTGTCGCGAGGCGGGTGAGTAGGAGGCCAGGTTGGCTGCAAGATGTTAGCTTCATTAGTGTCGGATATCATGAGAGCGGACCTGTCGACAATGTGACAGTCGGCCGGCTGAGATGGCATATCCATCCCATTCTCCGACATTCCAACTCCCAGCGCCTTTTGCAGTAGTCTTTGGTCAAAAAGCATTCTGCAGCATCGTCAGCCAGGATCTCGTTACATATTAAGAATACCAACCTCCAAGCGGTAAAAGTCAACAGTGTCAGCGTGAAATCAGACATCTTGATGCTGATGCTGTCTCCGGCCAGACACATGGTCAGCAGTCTGGAAAACTTGGGTCGGGTCGAAATGCGCGGGTCTACAGCTTCGCCTCGTTGGATGATAGCAGCCCAAGCTTCGGCGTTGGGGGCGTTCCACAGAGATTCTTCGGAAGGAGGAACGATTCGAGCTTCCGTCACTGTGAATATGGGCGGTAGGGACAAGAGGGCGGTCATCTGGGCGTCGAGGAGCTACCTTCATTGTCAGCCATGTAACGATTGGGCGCAGTATAACTCACATAAACACCCCATCCCAAACGCCTCCTCCGTTCATCACTCAGGTAAGCCTTATATCTCTCTTCCACACTTGGATTGCTCCCCTTCATATAGAGCTCCTCGGTAGCATTATCAAGGCCACGCAGCAGGTGTAACCGGCGGCAGGTGGTGACGATACTGCAGCGAAATATTTCGGCGTGATAGAACATTTCGCGGGAGCCGCAAGAGCATCCGAGAGCAGTCTGAAGGGTGAACGCGAGTAAAAGGCTGTGGTCGAATTTGGCTCTTTGGTCGCTTCCTCGCTAAGTGCAGAGTTAGTGGACTGATCCTGACCGATAATGAAAGACTTGCGACCCAAGTAATCATACGTCTAGCAAGCTCGCAAAGCGCCACAGCCAATGAGCTGTATTCTGGCCCCGAAAAGTTGGCACCTATAGCGGCCACAGAGAGCAGAAGTACCGCGGGTATATCTTCCGAGACAAATGTGGGTCTATGTATGATAGGAAAGATGGGATGAAATTGTTCGAAATATCTATCCACGAAATGTGAAAGGGTATCGTGATCTGGAAAGTCGTCGACTTCGGGCATGAGCCATTGCGGTTGATGAGAGAGGTAGATCAGAGAGAGCATGGCGTTGCGGGAGGACTGGGAAACGAATTCTGGGCCGGTGTTGGGCAGGGGAAATGTGACGTTCTTGACTTTTAGAGGGCGATCTGGAACATTGGGTTTAAAGACATTCGGCTGTCTATCACGTCATCATCATTCAATAGACAGCAAAGAGCGCGCTCACCCATGGACCTTCTTCCTTTCGACCCTCAATCTCTATCGATCCATCCTGCGGCTTGATGTCTGAAACAGGGGTCGTTGCCCGCGGGGTTGAACAGAGTAGCCACGCAGCGCTGAGTGTATCGGTCGAGCTGCCGTGGCCGATAGTATCTTTCTGAAGAAGACTGGTCTGTATGCCAATATCCAGATCAATGTCCCGATCGCTGCCCCAGCCAAACAGCTGGCCGAACCATTCCCAGTTGGGATCAAAAGTGAGCAGGTCGGTGGATGGATCTGGCAGAGCTGAACAAACGTCAGGGGGTGTAGTTTGAAATGCGCGGGAGACTCACGCTGTGCGCTATACATGGGAAGCTCGTCGGTGATGACTGGATCAATCATATTCAGATTTGCAGGGTCGACAAATCCCGTGCCAGGAATACTGTTGGTAGACATGATAGGTGGTAGAGGGATGATGGTACTGCCCGAAGACGACAGAGAAGCAGTCGATGATCCCGAGCTGCCAGAGCTCAACAGGCCACCGTGGAAAGCTGGGCGAATGTTCGCTGGAGGGGTATCAGGGTGGATATGAATGTTGGATCTGCAGGGGTGAGACGAAAAGATGATGGGGCTCGCGATGGGTGGCATTGGTGATGACGTGGGCTCATCAGAATAGGACGACGAGAGGGTAAATGCCGCGGAGGCTCTGCGTTGCGGGGGAGGTTGAGTACTGAGGCCTGCGAGATTCGAAATATTTGTATCTAGAGAGTGCTTGCGTATTTTTCTGAGGGAGCTTGCGTCAGTAAACGGTGTCGCCTAGAGCACTCGGTGGACTCGCCGTGGTGGCTCATCTACGTTGCTTCCATCGAGCTCGTCGCGGTCATCATGAGCGACGTCGTGGTCCTCGTCGCGATGCATGGTATTAACATGCTTTGACCTTACATCACTGCGGCCAAATGCCTTGTGGCAGTGGGGGCAGGGGTAAGGGGTGCTTCCGACGTCTGCGAGGGTGTCAGCGGCTGTGGGCGGGCTCAAGACGTCTCGCCTAAATGACGGGTAGTAGAGATCTCATATGGGGATCTTGCCGAGAAGGAGGAGTACGCAGACGGCCGGGATTCGAAATGAATTGTTGAAAAGAGCCGAGGTAACGAGAGCGTGACGACTTACGAGTCTTCTCATGTCTTCGGACGTGGCCGGCAGTGCCAAACTTCTTGGTGCAGCCTGCTAACAACATCAGCATCTATGCACAGACTCAGGAGTATGGGGGGTGGCCGTGGGAAAGAGATGGGAGCAGAGACAGCCCTCCTCCCCGAAAGAGCGGGACGAAGAAGGTGGGCCGAAACCCGAGGTGCCGATGGATACCTGGCTAGTCTCTTGTCTATCCACCAATCCACATCGGTTGATTATATATACACAATACTCACCTTCCCATGTGCATTCGAAGATGGTTTCTCCCTTGGAGTTTGTGTCTTTGTGTCGTGGGCCGGGTTTGAAGGGCATGTTGATGGGGAGGGGGACGGTGCAGAAGCAGTGGAGAGATGAGAAGATGGGGGGAGGGGGTGTTATATGGGGCGGGAGACGGGGGCAATTGTGGTGCATTGATGGAATAAGTCCCGTATTAGCTGAGTGGGCAGACCGGACATGCCTTACGGCACGGTGGATTCGGTAGATGGATACCCCGGCGCACACCGCCGCCCTCACATGACTCGGCCCTCCGATCCGTAATCACTACATCGTCATCAACAGTCGTTATAATATGTGTATAGTCTGTAGGCAGTCCATAGCATCGATCAATCCCTCCCTCCGCTCTTCCTCAATCCTCCCAAGATCCTCCTCCGCCCCGGACTACTCGGCCGTACCCCAAAGTTCTGCGCCGGGTTCATACTAGCCACCGCGCCACCTATGCTCACTATCCCACTCCCACTCCCCCCGCCTCTTCTCGCTGCCAGAGGCACGTCCCCACTGCCTTGTCGGGAAGTGGTGTTTGATGCAAGAGTGCCCTTCTTCTTGGCTGTGCCCGCTTTGCCACCCGCCATGGAGGACAGGGTCGCTGTACCAGGCCCAGAGGTTGGATATGTCTGAGACGGGGAAGAGAAATGCACGGAAGCGGTGGCGGGGCCGATGTCTGTCGAGTGTAGCTGCCGTCGTGCCTTTTCATGGCGGTTCTGGACATTTCGGAAGTCTGCACGGATAAGCACGGGCCACATAATCATTCCCTGCATACTTACGCGACAAGAGCTCCTGCCATTTGATCTCTTCCTTTCCGATCTTTGACCTCGCAGTGCCAAATGTGGACGAGGTGGATGGTTTGATGGTAGTCGGCACATAGCCCGAGGAATGCACTACCTGCAGTCTTGCTCGGAGCGAGATGAATGCAGTGCTTTGTGGAAGAATCATGAGAAGACCAAAGAGACATTTGGGTAGCCATGGGTATTTGTCGGGTTCCAATAGTTGCAGTCGGAGGTCTACAAGGCCGTTAGTTTTGCGGAACAGACATTCAAGGATGCACTGACAGGTAAACACCGGTGATTCGAGCAGCATGACCAGCTTGTCGATTTGGACCAGCAATGGTACTGTCAACTCCAGGTCGGCGCTGTTGACACTCTGTCAGCTTGCGCTTTAACCAACGTTGAGCAGCTTACAAGATTTGGAGCAAGTTTGAAGCATGCTCATACGCCTGAGCCAAGAGACAAAGTGAGAAGGCTGCGACAGCGTTGTGGCACCAAGACCTGTATAGAGACGAAAAGAGCATTTGCCCATCCTGACACGTTCATCAGAGGGGCACAAAGGGGCAAGGGTGTCACGCACTCTAGAGTCGAGGTTTTTGAGCCGTCTTCTAAAGTCGTTCAGTTCCGGAGAGGTGATCAAGATCATGTTGAGCTTGACTACCATCATACTTGCAAACTCCAAGTCCTTCGAACTTATTAGCACATTCACACAAAGATTATAAGGACTTACATCATCCTTCTCCAGGATATCCGCAATCGCCCTAAAGATCCTCTCCGCATTCAGGTGCAAACACAGCTGTCTGATGATCAGACTTCCCCTCGTCTCCAACAATCTTCTATCCGTGCTGAACAGCTCGAGAACTTTGACCATGAAGGAGGTGAAATAAGAGTCTTCAGAGGAGGAGGATATCTGGGCAAGGAGTTGCAGGTCGTGTTTGACAACGTCTTCTGATGGGTCGGAAAGGGTTTTTAGTAGCGCTGGGAATGTTCCACTATCTCTCGAAAGGATCTATAATTTCGTCAGTGTCTGTCCTCTCATAGTCCTCGTACTCACCTTGTCCGGTGCCTTGAGATGCAACATCAACAGCCACTCTAACGCCGCAATCCTCGTCTCGGCATGATCGCTCAGAAACTGCAACGTCAACACATTCACCGTCTCCCGTACATCAAACGGGTCCACGTCTACCGTCTTCTCGGCCCCGCCATCACCTTGCTGGCTCAAAGTAGGTGACATAGGCGTGTTGGAAGCCAACGGTGGAGGGGGCAGAGCGAGGGGTTGTTGATTTGGCGGAGGAGCGGAAGGGGGCGACTCGGGGCGGGATTTGGTCATGCGGGAGGCAGGGAGGGGAGGGGCTCCGGGAATGGGCGCGAGAGACGGGTTTTCAGCCACAGCAGGCGTCGGCGGCTCCGAGCCATGTGCCGAGACTGACTGCCTCGCTTTATGTCCCAGATTGGTAGCTGAAAGGCTGTGCGACATGTTGTTCTTTCCCGTAGCCGTGGGAGGCGGCGCGGGTGGCGCCCCAGCAGCATCCAGAGGATCGTTCACAGTCAACGCCGCGGGCGACCTTACAATCTCTGGTGCTTCCATCAACGCAAAATCCTTCTTGCCAATCCCAGCCGTGGGTAGCCCGCCGGGGATGGTCAGCGATGAAGGCGGAGAGCCTGCGAGAAGGGGAATGGATGCAGAGGTGGGCGGGTTAGTGGGAGCTGGTTTTTCGGGGTGTTGGACCTGGAGGGGTATAGATTGGATGACGTGGTAGAGACTGGAATTCGTGTCATGTGCGGCTAGTTTGATTTGGGAGCTTTGAGGGGTCAGTAGGAGGTTTATAGAGGTACGAGAACTTACTGGGGTGACGCAAGGTTGGGAAGGATGGCGGGGATGATTCGAGGGGTAAAGGCCACCACCGTGCTCTGGGCGAATTCCAAAAAGGTCAATATCCATTCCATTGCTGTCGACTGGACCAGCTCGTCTTTTCCTAGGTCAATATCGCTGCCAGATATAGTAGCCAAAGACGTACCGTCATATGTCAAGTTGTGAATCATGATCTCCATGATCGCCGCATGATCGACAAACACCCCCTGACCCGGCACCCAAGCTCCCGAGCCCTCGCCTTCCCAGTCCCTATCCTCCTCGTCGCCATCTATCCGAGACTCTGTAGTCACACTCTCCCCTTCTTCATCGTCCGTTTCAATCACAGACTCGTTGCGGATACCACTATACCGGCGATGAGCTTTGTGGTTGGGTGCGGTGCGCTCGTGTACGGCTTGCTTTTCAGCGATCTGCGCAATGTATTTGATTTCGCGAAGAAACTCGGCAAGGACGTTTTCGGCGGCTAGACGAACGTCGACGTTGCCGTCTGCAAGGTATTTCCTGATGCAAGAGTCAGCCCGTGGTACACAATGCGCGATGCCAACTTACAAAAGTCCATCGAGGAATTCTGGCAACCACGCAACGAGCTCGAGGTCGGGGATCGAGTCGAGGACAATCAGCCAAGAGACGAGGTGCATCCTCGTGAATGGCGATACGACGTATATCCTTTCGGACAGAAGGGGAATGAACCGCTCGAGCGAGAACGCGCGTTTATCTTCATACGCTTCTTGATCGCCATCATGGCTCCCTTCACCGTCTTCGGGGAGCAATCCTAGCCCAAACTTTGCCCCTTCTCTCAGAGGAGAATGCGGGGGTAGGTTCGGGTTGCGGTTATCGGGATAGATAGAGACGTAGCTCGGGGCCGCTTCGGCGACAATGTCCTTCATGAGCCTGTCAAGGAGCTCTGCACCATTCTTGACAGACATCTCCGAGTCGGAGGAAAGCTTGGAGAGCGCATCAAAGATCTCGTTGAAATGGACGAGGATTTCGCCTTTGCTGACCTTGGCTCTGCACGCGCGTCAGTGAATCCAAACATCAGAGTATCAACGCGGCCGTACATGTTGTACAGACTCTCACAGGCATGGTACCGTAACCTGCTTTCGGGGTCCTGGAAGCATGCTAGTACCGGCGGTATTATCCTTCCCAAGTAGGGCGCAACGTCCTGCCCCAGTGCTATGGCCGTGGCGGCAAGACCAATGAGACCACCATTGCGCGTGTGGAGGGCCGAGTTACTGGACCCGAGCATTCCGCATAGCTGGTCGATGATTGCAGAAATCTTTGGAGAATCGGATGCCAGGACCTGCTTCTCCAGCTCGAGGGCTGCTGCCTTGCGACGGTCGTATCTAAAGACAGGGTCAGCGCAGCCATGGGGAAGCGGGATGCATACATCTTGTCATTGAGGTCTTTGTGTGATGGTTAGCTCGGCTGTGCGGGAGAGGGGCTGCTTACTCCTGAGGATGGCGGGGTCTGCATTGGGTCAGCGGTGCGCTGGCGGGGGGGACTTACCCATTGTGGCCTCTGACTACCCTGTGCACAAGAACAAGGAATGATGGAGGAGATGATGACCGGCGTCTGCCGCGGCCCTCGCCGAACCTCACCTACTCTTCTCTATCATTCATCTGTCTATCCCTGTCTTCTCTATCTTCTCTATCACCCCCTCCAGACTCCCTCCCCATCCACCCCCTCCCCCAGCGAGATGCCCACCCGTCCCGCCCACCTCGCCACCTTTGTCTTCGACTCGGCCCTTCCGCTGCCCCAGTACTCCAAGCTCATACAGCCCCAGGGCCCTATCCACAAGCTCATACAGCGTCTCATCGAAAAGCATGGCGGGGAAGAACACGTGAGTCATCCCATGAACGGTCGTGCCTCATGCTGATGACCCGTGCAGTTGTCGGTGTCCATGCTCGTCACCCCCGGAGACCAGGTCAAGACCGGCTCAAAGAGACCTGGAAAGGTGTACAGAGAGGAGTTTAGGTCGCCATCGGCATTCTTGACATCTCTCCCCAAGCTTGGGGCTCTCTTTGCGACGAAGGCATCGCGCAGCCTGCAGTGGCCAGGTTTCGGTCAAAAGACCAAGGCGGACTCGTTGCGGGAGAAGAAGAGAAAGAGGCTCGAGGAGAGTGCTCTTTTGAATGCCGTCGTGGGTGGCTTGGAGGTAACTTGCTCGATATATATACCAGGGGACGCTGACATGGCGTTTAGCTACTGCAACGGCCTCAACCCGACCGCCGACATCTTCCTTCAAAGACATTCATCTCCCTCACCCCGTCATCCGCAAGTCCTTTCCTCGATTCCGCCTGCACCTCTTCTTCGTCGCAGACAAAGCCTCTCCCACCCTCACAGAGGTACATGGTGGTCATAACTTCCGGCACTCCCTCGCGCGAAGACCAAAAGCCCGTAGAAGAAGACACCGAGGCCGTGCTGGTCGATGCCAACTGGGATCCTACCTGGGACGGACAAGGTTGGAATGATGTAGCAGAGGCCTTAAAGGTGGGAGATGTAAGGTGCTCGACCGTCGCGTTAGATACACACTGTCAACTGGCTATCAAAGTGAAGCAGTTATGTCAAGAGGAAAGTTGATTCTACTTCATACCGACTGTGTGCTAACCTTACATCAGACATCGAATGATCCAGAGAAGGTATGGTTCTCTATCCCTGTGGGTATGGACATCCATCTGTCTGGATTCGCTATCGAGAGTCATGAACCCAGTACGTCCCACTCTGTGTACTGATGGCCAACGACTGATTGGATTGTAGCCATACCACCCCCCCAACCGACAGTCCAAGAACCCCAACCACAACCTCCAATTATCCCTCAGCAACCTCCCGCTACCAATCCACCAGCTTCCGCCCCGAGCGGCATCTTCAATCAGGCCAACCTCGCCAAGATGGACCCCCAGATGATAAACTCCATGCTCACCACCATCCGAGCCCAATCTCAACAACCAAACGCAAGGCAAGATCACAGGGTGCAGCAAATCATTACAATGCTAGAGTACCAGCTCAGAACTTCTGCTGCCAAAGCGGCACAGGGGCAGGGGAATGCAGCGGGGCCCTCCCAGGGGCAGGCGGACGTCAAAGTGGCGGGACCAGGGGAGAGTGTCATGCTGGCGATTCAGCAACAGAGGGAAAAGCAGGCGCAGCTGCAGCAAGCTATGCAATCCATGGCTCCTGCTGCCACTGCTGCTGCCCCTCCAGCCCCGGGGCCGCCTCGGGGACAGCTGGTGTGGTCTGGTGCTATAACTTGGGGCAACCCTACCAGTGGTGGATGTGAGTGGCTCCCCAACGACGTCTGCAAGATACTAACGATGGACTCTAGCCATCCCCGTGGATGTCATGATTGTAGGAAGCAGCAATACTGATTCCATATACGTCAACAAATGGCCCAAAGAACTTCTCATCCGGACCCTGGCGCCAATTGACCTACAAGTCATCTCCTCCTATGCTCGCGCGAATAGCACACCCATCGTCAACATTGCTCCTTCAGACAAGGGCGGACTTGTCAATGATCCTAGCTATCGACAGAAGTATACCCAGCTAGGGATCAATCTGGGAACGAACAAGAGGGTGGCGCTGGTAGAGTTTCCAGGCATGCAGGATAGGGGCATCGTCATCTTTCCGGCACCACTGAACAGCGGAGAAAAGGCATTCAGGTTAATGGGGCTGATATGCATGGTGAGTGATACTACTGTTGACATGTCTGAGACTGACAATCATCAGGCCACGCCATTCCCCCAACTCCCGCGAGCTGCACCTGCAACTGTACCACCCCAACGCGCCCCTTCGGGCTCCACCAACATTCCCAACCAGCCCCTACCCCAAACAGCGTTTCGCCCTTCGACCGTGCAGCCATCGGCTTCAATGTTGAACAAGATCAGCGGGGGCACGGCGAATAGTGGTGTTGGAGGGCATCAAGCGCAACAGAGTCAACAAATCAACATGTTGATGCAGCAAGCCCAGGCGCGTCAATCACAGGTCGCCGCCACCCTCGCCCAGACCCAATCCCAAAACAACCCTGCGAATGCGCCTGTACAGAATCGCAACCTGTCAGAGTCGGCCCAGCCCCAAAGCAGAGAGTTTATTCAGGCCCAGTATCAGCAGCTTGTTGGGTTTGCCCAGAAAATAGGCTTGACCATCCAGCCTCAAGATCCAGCGACAGTGACACCACAAAAGTTGCAGGAGCTTATGGCGGGGCTGAGGCAAGCCGACGCAAAGATAAAGCAGAACAAGCTGCTGCAGCAACAGCAGCAGATGGGTGGAGGTGGGCAGCAGGGCCAAGGGCAAGGGTCAAGCCAGATGTCACAAGCCCAGGTGGCAGCACAGATGGCGAGGATGCAGCAGATGATGCAGCAGCAGCAACAGCAGGGTGGGTCGGGGATGGGGATGAGGGGGTTTGGGCAGTGAAGACTGGCGTTGCTTGTTTAGTTTTAGATTGTGATGTTGTGATGAGTAGTGTGACGAGCAATTGTATAGTATGATTTGCATTATTTTCTCCATTTGCTCACATGGTCCCTTTCTCAAGCCAGTCGCTCTCTATGGTATGGAGAGTCGACTTTCTTTCCGACCATGCTTTTGACTACTCAGATGCAGCTGCACTACTGGTAAGTGGTATTGTAGGCCGTACTTGCTGAACACTTAAGTCCGTGTTACATGAACACATTAAGTCCGCGACTTCGGACCAACCCTTGGAGATTTCTCATGTGTTTGGTTCTCACTTTTCGGTCCGTCGCAGTTCTTTGGCTCGTGCCGGCCATGTCCAGTATAAAAGCCGGCCTCAGATCCTACGGCGGCCCATTCACCCCCACAGACAGCAACAATGAGCCCCACCGCCATCAGCGACAACTTCCAACAAGTCGACTTCCAAGACCTCAAGTCCAAGGTCGTCGAAGGCCACGTCGAGCTCGAGGAGACCCCCAAGCCTTCCGTCGCCGACGACTTCATGTACGACTTCAAGTACAACCATAGCCTGCCCACCACCGACGCCCTTGGTGTCTCCATTCCCGAAGACGCCGACCCTCAGGCGGCAGCTGAAGAACTACTCGCCAAGCTTTCACAGGCTTTGGGCAAGGGCGACGCACAGGCGTTCACTGGCTCGTTTCTTGACTATGGTGAGCTTCAGGTATCAGATGGCTCTTGCATTGGTACTAATCCTTTACAGGTGTTTGGAGAGACAAGCTCGCCTTCTCGTGGGACTACCGCACCTTCAACTGGGCCGAGAACATTTCTCAGGCTGCTGCCGACCTCTTGCCCACCAATCGCTGTGGCAAGTTTGAGATCCTCAAGCCTGCCCTCCAGAAGCCCTATCCCGACCTTGGCTTCCTCCAATTCATCCTCGCTTTTGACACTCCCCTTACTCGCGCGTCCGGTCTCCTCATCGCCGAGGGTTGGAAGATTTGGACTCTGCACACCGTCGCCGCGTCTCTTCTCCAGTTTCCCGAAGTCGACCCCAGTGATGGACACATGACTGGATCTGTCAGCTGGGAGAATCAGAGAGCCGCCGATGACGATCAGATCAAGCCCGATGTTTTGGTGGCTGGTGGTGGTCAGAAGTGAGTAGCTGTTCAGATGCGTGCGCCCACATACTGACCCATACTGTGCAGCGGTCTCGCTATCGCGGCTCGACTCAAAGCTTTGGGAGTCTCCAATCTCATCATCGAACGCAATGCCGAGATCGGCGAGATCTGGAGGAAACGATACGAATACCTGTCTCTCCACTTCCCCCCATAGGGCCGACCACTTGCCCTACTTTCCCTTCCCAAAGCAATGGCCGACCTACACGTCTGCCCAGAAACTGGGTATCTTTATGCAGTGGTATGCCTCTGCTCTGGAGCTTCCTGTATGGACCAAGTCCACTATCACCAAGGCAGAGCAGGATGTCGACGGCAAGTGGACCGTCGAGATCAACAAGGATGGAGAGACCAGAGTCTTGCACCCCAAGCACGTTGTGAGTAACGGGCTATACTGTTCTTTGAACTCTTCTTACATGAGCTCAGGTCATGGCTACTTCACTGTGCGGTGTTCCAATGATGCCCGTCGTTCCTGGTATGGACAAGTGGAAGGGAACGTCCGCCACTCTACTGCCAACGATAGCTCTCGCGACTGGGTCGGCAAGAAGGTTCTCGTCGTTGGCACATCCTCCTCCGGCTTTCACACTGCCTACGACTGTGCCGGAGTAGATATCGTCGTTACTATTCTTCAACGCTCTCCGACATATGTCATGTCCTTGACCCACTCTGTTCCCCGTGGAATTGGAAACTACGAGCCCAAGAAGGGTCTTCCTCTTCCCGACTTCGAGGAACAGGACAGGCTTTTCCACAGCACGCCTCTCGGCCCCGGCGAGCCCCTTGCGCGACGTAACTGTGCTACACTCGAAAAGCTCGACAAGGAGCTGCTCGATGGTCTCCATGCCAAAGGTCTCAAGACCTATGCCGGTCAGCGCGGTACCGGGCAAGTCACCCTCGGCTCTACTCGAAACGGAGGCTTCTATTTTGAGGCTGGGGCCTGCGAGCAGATCATCAAGGGCAAGATCAAGGTGGAGCAAGGATTTGTCGAGTCGTTCACCGGGGCATGCGATTGTTTCTGGCGATGCGGGACTGGTCCTTGAGATCCGGTACTCGAGGCATATGTATACTCAAGGGGTATTTCGGTACGGTGCTCCGTCAAGAATTTTCCTTCGGGCGACAAGGGATACAGCGCAAGAGATCCGCCAAGATACTAGAACCGTCAGCCTAGGTCCGTCTGCCTCTGTATACAAGCAGACCCACGGTGGCAAGAGCAAGTGCAGACCTGTCTGACAGAACCTGGACTACCTCAGGATCGATGATTGCCCTCCCGACTCACATTGTGTGGGGGCCCGACTTGTGATCTCCAACTCCTCGCCATGCAACTCGAAAGTAAACACCTCGCCGACCTCTTGACCTTCAGAAAGGGCAAACAGCTTATCGCATGCTGCCCCATTCTCTCGAGCGAATGGGGATATCTCCAGCCAAGAGCAGTTGTACGGTGCCGGATAGTCGTGCTTCGTTGACTTGCAAAGGACGAACGGGATCAAATTGTAGGGTGGTGAACGTTGAGCGATCGCCCGAGATAAGCAATCTTCTCTTCTCCAGCGGCATGACGGAAGTTTCCAGAGACTCGGGTAATGGAGAGAAGACCGGCGCTTCTTATGTAGGGTGCAGACTGCTATGGGCCGAACACGTCCGTGAGCGCACATCGTAGGCCGGTTACAGTTATGTCCGCGATGTCGGATCCTTGGTACGTTGCCCTTGGCTCATATATAGCACATAATTGACAGCCTGTACAAATCAAGAGTGTTATACATAGTCGTATGCATGTGTATGGCTGGCGTGAGCAGCTCTTCGTGACTATAATATGGAAATCGCAATTGATCTAAATTGCCCGTGAATGTCGACCTGCCATTCTAAGACTGTTGTATATACTATACAAAATTGAATCGACCTAAAAGAACACGAAACGGAAAGTCCGTCATATATATACTTGTACTTTTCGTAAAGAGTCATCATCTCGTCAATGTCCCCAGCACACCTAATCTCCCTCCATCTCCGCTCAGCGCCTGGCAGTATTGATAGCTCGGCACCATTGTATGATGATATCCCGAGTGTTGCCAGTAAAGTAGTAAATGGACTGTAAACATATCGTCAACATATATTCCTCCAGTCGGCCACATCCAAGACTCACATTGTTGTCCACTACTCTCAAGGTACTACCCGATGTCACGCTAGCTGGCTCCTGCAAAGTCCCCATTCTCAACACATTGAAAACGTTAACGGGTCCCTCCCATCCATCACCTCTCTGTGTAGCAAGCACCATCATATCCGAACACAGGATCAACATGACTTCCCTCTCCACCGACTCAGGCACGACGTGATCGACAGGAACTACGGTCTTGCTAGACGTAATGGTCTTGTCTCCATCGGTCTCGAGCATGATTTCACGCTCGGCAAAGTTGGACGCCTTTTTGACGATCCGAGACAGAGTCAAAGGCCCCTCAAACATGAGACGTCGGTGCGGCTGCACCAGAGGGGAACGTCCAGAGTTGGTGAAACGCTTCTGCCAATTGATCAATCGCAGTCTAGAGTCGGCATCGCGCTTCTCCTCGTTCATCAACGATGCGAGGCTAGAGATTTCAATCAGGGCGTCATCGAGAGTATCGCGAAAGCCGTCGGCTCGGGCAGGTGTGCACATGGCAAGTTCAGTGAGCTAGATGCAGGTCAGTGCCAAGGAAACATATGTTGCCACTTTGACTTACGAGGAGCTTGTATCTCGGGATTCTCTGAATCGGAAGGAGCAAGTAACTCTCGAGACTGATCTGCGAGTGCATAGGGTGGTCCTTGCCCTTCTGCAAGAACGCCTTGACCCTCTTCTTTTGACTGGATGACATTTGTGGACCAGAAGCAGTCGGAGCAGCTGCCGGAAGAGAAATGGCACTCATACCAGCATTGATAGCCGTCGAGGACATATTGGAGCCTGCCTTGCCAGGGAATGTTGGTGTTGATGTACCAGAAGGCGTACCGGACCACGTCTTCATCCGAGCAAGGGCATTGTCAAAGTTGGTGATGTAGGTAGAGTACTGCTTCATGTAGGCGATGTAGGTCCTGAAGACCTCACCGACGCGGTACGCAGTCTCGATCGACATCTCGCCGTCATCGGCCTTGCCTTCACTCTCAATCAATGTCTTGACGACCTTTTCTAGAGCTGGCAAAAAGTTGTCTCGGTGGATAGCGAGAATACTCTCAATGCCGCCGAAAACGATTTTTCGCTCTGACGAAGGCACCACGGTCTCGAAAGCAGACTTGTTGGGGTTGATTACCTTGGCAGAAGGCTTGACATAGATGGTCACAAGTTCCCCAAGGTTGCGAACGTAGGTGCGCTCAGTCTCCCAAATCTCGTGGATGATCTTGGCCCGTTTGGATTTGTCGTTCTTGAATTTCTTGCCCGACAGCGAAGGCTCCTTCTCGCCAAGGTCCACATATCCACCACCGCCATTCGACAGCTCTCTAGAGTCTCGTTCCAAGGTGGGCCTCCTAGCACGATGTACGTCGACGAAAGAATCGCGACCCACGGACTTGGGAGATCCGGGATGCTCAGAAAGCACTGATGACGTAGTGTAGCTGCTATCGGCACTTCCGACCCCGCCCATGGCCGCGAATGTGTCATGGGGAACAGATTTGCGCGACAGGTCATGGAGATCCCGAAGAATAAGCTTGATAGTGTCCAAGCCCTGATCATACTTGGCATCATAGTCATTCTCAGCGACAGGAGACTCGACAAGGGCCTGAGACATTATCGAAGGCGGGGCAGTAGCCAGAGGAGTAGGAGCTTCCATGGTCAATGTTGGGACTGAAGTTTCCGCAGCATGTGGGTCAGGAAATTCGGACGTAGGGATTTGTACGTTGATCGACGGAGGCCCATCGAGAGGCAAGAAGCTTCTTCTCTTGCCATGAAGACTGGTGCTGTTATTGCTTGTGCCCATCCCGGACATGCTTGTACCCATCTGTGAAGGGAAAGGTAGCCCGGCCAAGGGCATAGTCGAAGGCCCGGTGGGGACATGGCTCACGGGCCCAAAGTCTGAGATGTGCAGATCCGTGATTTTGCGAGTGGGCAACGTAGCTGACGACATGGCGCCCAGCATCCCCGGCCGTATGGCGACAGGTTTGATAGGATCTGAATGCTGATGACGCATCGGCGGCAGAGCGGGCATAGTCTTGAGATTGCTAGAGGCAGAGCTTGCGACAGCCGCCGTCTTGTCCTTCTCGGGGCGAAGGCGGTTCATAGACATCTTCCGGAGGAAGCCACCAAGCTTGCCCGGTTTTTGAACAGAGCCTTTGCCAAGCCTTGAGCCAGTCGGCTCAGAAGAGTCTTCCGTGTAGTTGCTCATGGCGCTCGCCGCTCGTCGTCCATCGCTACCGCCCAGACTTGCAAATCGATCTGTCGTGGGCGGGCTCAAGTCTCGTGGGCGGACGTTCGGAGATTGGCTGCCCACAGACTGGTTCATCTTGATGAGCAATGCACCCGCAGAACGCATTTTCCGCAGACCTCTCGAAGCTTGAGCTTCAGGCATCATTCCCGGGAATGGGAGATCCTCTCCATCCGCTCTGATAGGCGCAGAATGAGGGTGATTGTCTTCCGCGATAGGCCCCAAACCCGCTGGGTGAAAGGACGATTGAGCGGATGAAGAAGGTCCGCTGGCCATTCCCTGTTCTGTATGACCAGCCGATGAGGTGGGTGATGTGATAGGTGTCGCCGATACTGGTGTTCTCAGCCCGTTGTTGATAGAGAGATGGCGGTGATGATGGGAGTTTCTCTTGCCAGCAGCCGGGAGTATCCGAGGTGGTGGCTCGAGGATAGGAGGGATGATGTGGAGCCATTCGGGGGTGAAGGGATTGTTGTCGACTTTGAGAGTGTCTAGTTGAGCCAGAAGGCATAGCCATGTCGGCAAAGCCACCAATTTATTTCGTCGGACTATTAACGATCAGTCAAGTCCAACACCATGTCTAGCGCCATACTCACCGCAGATCGAGTGAAGCGCATGTAGATGACAGATCTCTTCGGGCAGACTCGAGATGCCACATCCATCCATGACCAGCACACGCAGACCAACAAGAGCACCAACCCAACCAGGGATATTCCAAAGGGGATTGTCCGACAGATTCAGCTCTTCCAACGACGTGCAGTGCTGCAATGTATCGGGGATGGCAGACAGGTTGTTGTTTGACAGATCAAGCACAACCAGCGAAGGCGCGAGTACTGAGAGTAAGGGAGAGAGGAAGCCGAGTATCTGCGGCCCACACGATGGAAGAAGCAGATGGGTGATGCCTGAGACGCGTCAGCGCTTTCCCTATTGATACCAATAAACTCACCAGCTAATGAATGGACCATGTGCTGATCTATAGCTTCCACACCCCCTAGAGCCTCAATCTTTTCAACATCCAGTATCTTCTCTCTGCCCTCCTTAATCATCGCAAGCGCTTCCGGCTCCGCCTGTTCTCGCTCATACGGTAGTAGACCATCATAGTCGTAATGGAAAGCTCCATCTTGCATATTCGCTCGACTTGACGACCCATCAGAAGCATCGGTGGCGGTTGAAGCGACAGTGAAGGCAGAAGAGGCTGAGCCACTCCGGAGCCTGGTAACCACGTCTCGCTTCCATGGTCGATGGGGAAAAGTGTTCGAAGGGGAGAGGACTGGCGGGCGGCTGGTTTGCGAAGAGGCCAAATTCGCCGGCCAAGAGTACTCGGTTGAGATGCCCAGACCCATGGAGGAGTTGTGGCCACTTGGCATCTGGGGTAGAGGCGGGGGGTTTTGCTGGTAGATCTGGTCTCCGTAGGCGTGGTAAGAATATGGACCAGAGCCGATGGACGACTCTGCAGAGGAATACGTATTTGCGCCACGACCTGCTGTTGAGCGTAGCCGTATTTTGGGCTCGACTTCATCTCTCCCCTCTTCCACTTGGCCGGGAAAGCTATATGCCATACTCATGGGGGGCGTACCCGCGGTAGAATCATGGGTGGACGCAGTGACAAAGCTCAGCGTCGGTTCCCTATCCTCCAATGGTTCCTCCTCGGTTTCGAACCCAGTGTTGGAGTACGCATCGAGGTCAACGTCTAGTTGGTGTGAATCACCGCTCTCTTCATCATCACTTGACGGAAGGTGTGACACAGGCGTCGGATCTGTATACTTTCGCGACGGTGGGTGAATGGGGTCTTCATCGTCTTGAGGGTACGCGCTAAGGGGTCTGCGTGTCGACGGATTTCTTCTACGCGGCATCACGGGCTCAACAAAGTTGATTGAGGCCACTGACCCCGGTTGTTCGCCGTCTTGCACAGGCGGTGTCGGTGGCAGGTAAGGCTGTGGAAAATAGGACGTCTGTTGCCAACTCTTTGACGGGCCGGCGATTGGCTGGTCCTGCTCTGACATGATTGTAGATCTGCTCGTGTTGAGCTCGGCGCTGCTCTGCATGGTAGGCGAGTGTATCGACGGTGTTGGCGTAGGTGGAAGGGGCGTGGGGAGAGCAGGCATGTCGTCTGATGTTTGGGAAAGAAGGATAGACGGCGGCGGGGAGCGGGACGTCGGTCGTGGACGAGGTGAAGAAAGCACCCGACGACGGGGGGGACGATCAACATCAAACACGAATGGCGGCGGTGTGAAGGAGAAGGTGGACGAGGTCGAGGTCATGATGGATATAGAGGAAGAGCGGCGCATGGCGAGAGGGGTTGGTAAGTGGTAAGTGGAAGACGAAAGACAAGACGGAAAGGATAACTCACGGATATGCAAGATCTCGAGCCTGACAGCAAAACCTGTTTTGTGTCGTGATGCAGAGACCTCGAGGGGGTTTGTGGCCCGAGCGTTGATGCGTTTCAAATGCCGCTGGAATCCACGAGAGGCCACGAGTCCGTCGCTATGCTGGAAAAGGAAAAGATCAGCATTGCTACACAATCGCATGGGCACCCCCGCTTGTGCGGGGCTCGACAGGGCGGAAGGGAGGGGGTCCGACGTACAATTGCCGAGAAGTGACAAGCGGAGTGTAGCAGAGACAGAGCGTGGACAGTCAAGCACTCTGGGCCTTGGGACAGCTTGTTGCCGGGTTGATATGAGCTAATTGAGGTCACTCATCAGCCAAGTCACACAGCCAAAGGAGGCCACAACAGTCGAATTCCCGCCTCTCAGCCAGATGGGATGGGAAAGGTAACGCTGTTAGAGGTGCAAGGGCTCTGGGGTGGCAGACTCAGGTAGGGCCGTCTCCATAGCCCAAGGCGCTCCCCACTTGCCTCCCTACCGCCCCACGAAGACTTGACGAGGGAGTGAAGTCACTCACAAGGTCGACCCTTGTTCACTGATCTCCAGGCAGTCCCTTGCGAACCTCTGACCTCCTGCCTATGATCTCAGATCTTGAGTTGGCGTATGGGGGTGTATAGAGACAGAAATGGCGAAGGGGGGTTGAAAGGAATCGAGAGGGGAGTGTGGAAAGTAGAGATCGGCAGGCCGTCGGGTGAAGAGGCGGTGTCTTTGTGGTGGGTTGTGACTGCCTGCGGTTGGCTGACGTGAAAGACTGGGAATGAGGCCGGGACCAGAGAGGTGAATGCCTTTTCTCCTTTCAGGGAAAAGCTAGAGCGCACGGCGAAAACGAGATGTGACGGAGAGAGGAACGAGAGTGGAGGCGCGCTGTGTGGAAAGAATGTCGGATCACTGCTGGGCTCTGTCGGATGTCGAGGGGATGGGAGAAAGAGAGTTGTTTGTTGATCTTGATGCTCGAGGTGACAGCAAAAAATCAAGAAAAATCTCGCAGAAGACTGCACAGAATTTTGGACTGGAAGCGACAGGACAGCTGGCGGCGGTGACGTTTGGCCCTGATAGATTTGGGGTTAGAGCGCGTTTCCCGATGCCCCGGAGTCGGACGTTGAACGATACAGCAAGGCGCAAACAATAAAGACAGACGAGAGAAAGAAAGGTGTTTGGATGCAATAGATGGGCAGCCAGCGAGGCCACCGACCAGGCCACCAAGCATAGGCAACTTGTTCAGGACTCGCGCCCCATTTTCTAGACCATGAAACAAGTCACTCGCGCCTCGCCCCTCTCCCCTCTTATACCCGACGACCGACCATCGTGAGGTGCAGTTTCACTGGGCTGTTCGTGAGGTCCAAGGTCCATATGCATGGCCATGCCAGGTACATGACGTCGGTCCGCAGATGAAAGGATTAGATCCCCCGACCGGCTGCAATGCGGCCTAGAGAAATCTGATATAGCACAGCTGATATGCTTCAGATGTCGCCGCGACCGTTGGGAAATCTCCGATGACATCCTATATCACGAAGATCTCTTGCGTCTGCCCGGATTCTAGAATTTGTACATAGACCCGGGCTGTCGAGCAACGCAAGGGAACAACACGTCGAACGAAGAACCATTCACGCCCGCCCCTAACCAAAGAACACCATATCACGCCTTGCCTTCTCGCATACTGGCCGTTTGCGACTACACCCCAAGGGGCCAGCCTCCATCCCTCGCAGAACGCATGACTGGTAGCCGTGACTCCCGTGAGTCCCTTGCTATAAGCGGCGATATCCGCACATCTTATCCCCTGAATTACGGGAGGAAGTGGCTTTCGGTCTAGCGAGACACAACAAGAGTCTCGGCCCACCAGATGGGCCATGAAGTGAGAAGGCCAAGCTCCAGCAGCTCCAGCGAGGCCAGCGACAACAACAAGGACCATAAACAGGGAAATGGAACGAGAGACAAGAGGAGAGTGGGATGCTTGAAGCATCACCACAGACATGAGACACCAATCACGCTCTCTATCCTTCAATCGAGTGACCCGAATCCCGCCAGACCGCAAATCACTAAAAGCTCTTTCAAATTGTCATAGGCCACCGGGCACTGGGCCTACTCGATGGGCATGCCCAGCAGAAACTGAACATCATTTCGACGGGGCCCCTCACGAGCACGGAAGACACATCCGAGATAGGCCGCAAGATCGCAAGACACGGCCAGATCGCATTCGAAGCAAAAGTCTGTGTTCTGTGAAGGGACTCACCTTGATGTAACAGCCTGTGCCGGGAAGAGTGCAATGGTGTGCAGTAGTGGATTTCGGCGGGTATGCTCTTGCGGTGGGACGCGACGGAGATTGAATGCGATTGGCGAATGGTGCAAGTGGGATGCCGAGTGAGTTGAGTGATGTTGATCAACAAGCCGAGAGATGTCACGCCTCAGTGCTTTCTTTCAGATGTTTAGTTGAACGATAATGAAGAGAATCAGATTTCTCTTGTCCTGATACCAGTCCCCTACGCGTGAGGCAGGCTCATACGGGGGCTGTGCATTCTGTTACATCAGACACAATCGCGTCAATACCTTCTACGGAGTATTTCAGAATATGTTGTTGTGTGTACAAACATCCGCAAAATGCGAGGCAGGCACGGGCCGTACGGGTTTCGTTTGAGGCCTGAGGAGAGGCTCGACCGACGACCAACGACGATTTCGGATAGGGTCAAAGGCGCCCCAACAGGAGAGTCACCCCTTTAGAGCATTGGCTTTACTTGTCAGCCCGAATCGTTGTCTAGACACTGACATGAGGTGCGCCCACCCTCTGGAAGAAGTCATCTTGGTCGCATCAATGCAGAGAGTTGCATACCTGGAGCTTGGAGTAATCCATCTGGACAGTCCTTTGGAGAATGCTCAGCTCTGGATTGGGAAGTGGGGGTCTAAAGTACATACGGCCGGTATATGTACCGCGTTTGCAAGGCTGACGAGAATTTCCTTTTGCGGAACAAAAGGATGTCCATCGTCAACGCGCGCTCTTGTCCGTGCACACATATGCAGATGTGCCTGTTACAGTCGATCCGATCCGTACGTATGTAGGCCCAAGGTGACTACTTTATCATGCCGAAGATACATACATGGTATAGCGCCACAAGGTGAACGAGATGCGACGAGGCGAGTCAAATCAACTTGAATGTTTACAGTAGGTACAATTTGCATATGATGAACGGAAGATGGACAATTTCTATGATGACAGAGTCGTTAATGATTTATGTTGATATCAAGCTGAGATGTTGAACAAGCGCAGGAACTATTCACTCCAACAACCTAGTCCCTTCCCCGACTTCCTCATGCTCCTCCGTCCTATCCCACTTGCCATCGGCTCCAACTTGGCCATGCGTTTCCAACCCGAGCCGCTCCCTCACTCTCTCCACCGCCCTCGGCCAGTTCGCTCTCCACACCAATAGCGCACTGAGCAGACTGGCATACATCAAGGCCACGCTGAGGCCGACCCAGAGGCCAATCAGACCCAGCTCGAGAGTGGGCGTGAATGCGAGCCAAAGACCAAAGGGAAGACCGATGATGTAGTAGGAAGTGAGGTTGATCAGAGCACCGGTAGCGTGGAGGCCGAGGGAACGGAGAACGGAACCTGCCGTGGCGGCTACGCCGTCGGCGATTTGGAAGAGAGCAATGTAGGGCATGATGGAGGCTACAAGCTCGACGACCTCGGGGTCATTGTTAAACATGTACCCCCAATTTTTCCTAAAGATGATACAAAGAGAGCTATACAGGGTCAATAACACTTCAAAGACCGGCACGAGAGACTTGCCTGTTGAGGAATGCAAATGTAATACTCAAGATCAAACAAGCTCGACTGGCCCACTTGGCTTCCCAAGCTCTGCCAGCACCCAAAAGATTCCCGACTCTAACGGCAGATGCGATACCAAGGGAGGCCGGGACTTGGAAGAAGGTGGAAGCAGTCGACAACAATACTGATTGCGCCGCCAAGGTCACGGGCCCAAGGATAGATGCAGCCAAAGCACACGCTTCCCAAGCCCACCACTCGGAAGAGAGCATGATGGTGCCTGCAAGACCGAGCGAGGTGCACGTACCAAGCTTGGAGAAGGCATACTTGAAGCGAATGGGGTGGAAGGCTTCGCGAGGGCCGTAAAAGATGACCCAGAGAAGGGATATGAGGAACTGTGACAAGTCAGATTGGTCGTTTGGGGACGGCGCGACATACAGCAGAGTTGTAGGCCAGAGCAGTGGACAGAGCGCCACCAGCGAAACCAAGTCGGACGGGCTCGGGACCCCAGACCTGCGAGGGTCAGCATAGGTCGAGTGTCATGAAGTAGACCCACAAGAAGCCAGTTGAGGAACAAGTTGAGCGGGGCGACAATGAACAAGGTGTATGTGGGAACATGCATCAAGTTTTGCGCCTGCAAATACTTTTTGACGAGCATATTCCCGCCATACCCGGGGATACCAATAGACAGCCATCGCAGATAAGTTCCTGCGAGTTGAGCAACATCGGGCTCTATACAGGCGTCAGCACGGATCTTGCACGTGTACGCATGACAAACCTTGACCGAGCTGGATGAGAATGGGCGTAATGTTCCACCAGAGGACATACATGGGAATCATGGCGAAACCCATGACGACAAACATCCTCTGAGTCCACAGACCGACCCGAGACGGGTCTGAAGAGGTCCAGGCCGCTGGCAAGAGGGTGTCCACTGGCAACACTATATTAGCAGAATTCTCATGACGCAAAAGGCTGCTTACGGGCAGTGGCCAAACCCTGCAGGATAGAGAAGCACGACACGGAAGCAGTCATGGAAGCAAGACTGAATGCGGTTAGCGCCGGTAGGTTATTGACCCGTTCCGGATAGTATACGCACGAAGAAGCGGCCAAGTCAGCGGTACCCAGATGACCGATGGAAATGACGGAAGCAAGAACCAAAGACCACTCGGCCATCTGGGTAAAGAATACGGGCAGGGCAAGACGCAAGATGACTGGGAATTCAGCCTATTGTCGCGTCAGTGGTGTTTTCTAGAAAAGTAGCCACTCACCTTGATAGCCGCCTGCCATTCTCGGACTTCTTTGCCATCTTCATCGACAGGAACTTCGAGGTCTACTGCATCCAACTCCGTCACAGGATCAAGATCCATTGTGGTGAGCTCGCCCACCCTACCGCTGCCGGCAAACACTGCATGTCCACCGGTCGCCAGCAACCCCCTGGCCAGATCGCCGCCTTCGTCGGCAGAAGATTCGTTCCCGAGCCTGATCGCGGTGCTGTATCGGCGAGAAGAGAATGAGGTCCGAGAGAGGGGACGCGAGCTGTGTGTGCGGCCTCGACGGGGGGAGCTCGAGTCGTCATCGGAAGAGCTTTCGCCTTCTTTGCGCAAGTATTCAACATGCTGGCGAGGGGGCGTTTGTGCTTTGGATCGAGAGCGACTGGTGCCGACGCTAAAGTTGTCCATAGATCGGTGTCGCCTGGTAGAGTCTGTGAATGCGCCCAGTGGAGCGCTCGTGGCACCATATGACCTGCGGCTTTGACGTGACCCGCGGCGTGTCTTCCAGCCTTGCGGCAGGAGCTTTGATTGCTCGTCATTAAGATCATCGTCGTCTTGGAAGATGAGCGCGTCCTCGTACGAGGCCTCCTGAATGGTACCTACGCGTGGGGCGTGGCTGGTGTTTGAAGGCCGGCGCCGGGCGGGGGTGGCAGAGGCGGCTTCTTCGTGGTCGTGGGTGAGGGCAGTGGGGGAAGGAGGCTCGAGGTCGCCCCCAGAGACGCGGTGGGGGTGGGGGTGGGTGCGTGAACGGTTGATGAGGGTTTCGAGACTGGACTGGACGGCTGGAAAAAGTGAGCGGAGCAAGATGTGAGGGGGGACGGCGTACCGTAGGGAGAGGTAGAGAGGGATGTAGCGATGGCGGCGCTGTGGGGAAAGTTGGACATGTCGCCGTACGGGGGCGAGTTGCTCGCCTGGGCAGTGGTGGGATGCGGAACTGCGACAGAGAGAGAGGAGAAAAAGACGAGGAGGAGATGGTTATCGCGATCGTGCGGACGTGCCTAGCGGTTGGGAGGGCTGCGGTTAGACTTTAGAGTGACAAGGTGGACAAGGGGTATGCATGCATGGCCAGGGTATGCACAGAGGAGGCAGAGGCGGCCCTCAGCGCAGGCAGGGTCGGCACATCCATGCTGGCACAAATGTTCTGCGAAGCCAGAAAAGTCAGAAAAATAACCATAGATCTCTCCAGCGAATATTTGCATATGCGGGGTCAAGCGAACAGGGTTCGTCGGGGGTGGACGGTGGGCGGCTGAGGGAGGCCTACGCTGGCTTGCTGGCTTATGGCTTATGGCTATGCTATGATGCTGCCCTGCGTGACTACCCTCTGCATACTCTCGCCCTCGCTCGCATCCCATCCCGTGTCTCGCCCAAATTGCCACCTTGGAGCTTAAGCGGCGATTCGCCGCGAGCCGATGAGCGGGACCTCTTACTTCCCTTCCATTTCTCGATTCTCTCGGCATCTCCCTCTTCCCCTCTTCTCCTTCTCCTGTACATATGCCCACACACCGATAATCCACCCCATCCCCCACCCCACCCCCCATCCCCCCCACCCTGCTCCGACACGCAATGCCCCCCACCGAGCAGCAGTACTCCGATGCCGGTACGTCCCCCGGCCTGCTCCCTGAACACTCTGCTCACAGTCCCAGGTTTTACCATCGTGCAACGCCGCGGCAGCGTCCCCTCCATCATCCTCTGCCAGGTCTGCTATGGCACCGACACCAACAAGGCCTTCCCGACCAGCACTTACGGCAGCCACATTAAGGGCAAGAAGCATCTGATGCACTTCCCCAGATGGCGCGACCAAAGAGTGCACGAAGAGCAGGAGCAAATCAGGTGGCGGGGCCACTACGAACACCACTCGCCGTATAATCTGCCGAGAGACCAGCAACAGAGGCCGCCGCCCGTCACGATACCGCAACGATTCCCGTCCGACGCGCCCCACACCCCTTCGCATCTCTTGCCCAGCAGTGCGAGTGCGAGTGCGAGCACCATCTCCCCGATCTCTCCCATATCCCCCGTCGACTCGCATCACGGCGTCATGGCCGGTCAGCAGGCCATGCTTTCACCACCTCCGCATCATATGTCATCATACCCACAGATGATGGGCTACCCACAGTATGCCAACGTCGCGCCGTACCAGCAACAACAGGTGCCCCAGCAGTACCACCACCCTGGTGCGGTTGATCGGAGAACGCAGTACATGGTCGAGTCGGATATCGGGATGGGACGGATGATGTGGCAGCAGGGATACGAAGACGTGCAGTACGGGCGGACTATACCAGGACTCTAGAAGAGTAAGTGTCAGGTCCGGAGTAAGAGCCCACGCTGACGTTGGTCAGGATTCAGACATCGATACACTGAACGATGTTGTACAATATACACTGTTGATACTATACACGCAAATCAAACACACCCGAGCCTTGCTTTGACTTTTTTTTTTTTTTTCTTTTTCTTCATGACTTATATGATATACAAGCTTTATAAGTTCATCGGCCTTTTCATCCTGTACAATAAACACGTCACGCATAGTATCATACACGACGAAAATGCATTAGGGCATTCATACAACATGAATCTGTCCATATAGATATATCCCTTTTGCACTCATTTTTCAAACCAAAAGACACCCGAGACAAAAGGTTGGGGCGACGATTACTTCTTGTTCTTCTGCAAAGGCGCGTGAGCATTGGCCGGAAGCTTGCTCGGGGGCAGCTTACGGGGTTCTCGGGGCTGCGTGATGGGATCAGCAAACGAACGATCAAAGGATGGGGCAACTTACGCATTCTTCCACTCGGCGGCGACCTTCTTAAAGTTCTCCTACAAGTGATCGTCAGCGCCACTCGAGCGAGTCGGCATGTCAAGCCTTACCTTGTGGTCAGACTTTTTGCCAGACTTTTCCTGCTCCTCCTTGATCTTGGCGAGCTGGACCTTCATGTAGACGTTGCTAGGGCACGGTCAGTTGACGCGTCGGGATGATCGTGGGGGAACCTACTAGGCGGAGGGGGCACCGGCCCTCTTCTTGCCAGCGGTGGTCTTAGCTGGAGCGAGGTCAGTGGATGTTACGCGTCGAGTGGATATGGCAAGTTTGAAAAGGTGGACGACGCGTCAAGCTCGGTGTTTCGGCCTGATGTCCCGCCACCTGTTCTCGATGCATCCATCCATTCCATGCACACTCAAAGGTGCGGAGGACATCCAGGAATGAGATAGGACACGTACCCTTGGCTGTAGAAGCGTCGATGCAAGAGCAAACCATTCGTTAGCCTTCCGCGACATGGGCAACAACATCCGCTCCACCCCTTGCGAGCGCGACAGGGAGCGAGTGCATGTACTCACGAGCCATTGTGTGTTAGTAAAAGTGTTGGTTTGGGTGGCTGGGGTGAGTTTGGGGGAGGATAGAAATTCGGTGAAAAACAAAAGAGTCGGTGGGGAAGAGGATGGAGGGGACAAAGAGGGCTTTCTTATACACCGACGCGCCCGCCAATTCATGTTTGGCGCGGCACGTGCCGCTTATCACCTCTTGCATTATCGCGTGAGGTGGATTTTATCAAAGTCGCCAATGTGGCACATGACACTTTGGATCTCGAGTGGCAGTGGCTTGCCGAGCAGGAGCAATAGCCGTTGGTGGCCCCCAAAAAATATACATACAGATACAAAAGATGTCCATCATTACGTCTACTGCATCTCCACGTCCCCTCCTTCCTCCGGTCTGGGCGCGCCTCTTTCCACAGAGTTGACAATCTCCCGCCGGATCTCGTGGCTGATGGTGGGGTGAGGTCTGGATCGGATGACATCGAGAAGCGCGTCCTTCTGGTCGGGTGTCAAATCCGACGCGTACCTATATACTAATCAGCCATGGAACCAAACAACGCCGACGAGACGCACCTCTGGACAAACACGAGCAAACTCTGGTGCCACAGCACCGGCAACTTGTCTTCGCCGTCTTTGCTCCTCGGGCTGTTGGCCAAGCGGATAAAGTGAAAGACGAGGGCGTCTACAACCTTGTAGGGCAGGGCGTACTTCTTGTCGAGCAGGATACGGATAAAGAGCGAGTTGGGGCCGGCATAGTCCATCGAGGCGAGTCGGAGAAGGGCGGCGGCAGAGTGGAGGACGGGGACAGAGACTTTGGAAAGGACCGACGCAAAGATGGCAGCTTCCTTCAACGTACAGCTGGTCTGGAAAGAGGTCAGCTATGTCCGTTTTGGCATGTGATATGCGTACCTCGCAGAGAGGGAACAGGACGCCCTTGAACCACGCCGCAGGCTTGTACAGACCCTTCTTCAACGCCTCGTACAGGTGCACGTTCAATTTCCCATTGTTTTCTCTCATGTCATCCCTGCACTTGTCCAGCAACACACCCTCCAAAAATACCCTGACTTCTGTAGGCTTCAAGTTTGACACAAAGATCTTGGTGCAGGCAAAGGTGCCGTGAGGAGTCCATTCGGTAGGGTTGGTGAGCGCAAGGAGCTGGGCCCAGTGGGGAAGGGAGGGGAGAATCTTGAGGGCTTTGGGGAGGGGACCAGACTTGTAGCGGGAAAGAAGGAAGCCGACCTTGGTGTACACCTCGATGACTTTGGGATTCAGACCCTTTCTGGGATCGGGAGGCCCTTCGTCTGCACAAACTTAGCCATGTTGACACACAAGCCAAGACAAGACTCACGCTCTTCCTCGACGCCCTTGCTCACAGCGCCGCCTTCCATCTGGCTGAAGATCAGATCCGCCAATGTCTTTGGCTCTCCAGGCTCCTCGGCATCGGCACCTTCTCCCCTGTTCAAAGCATCCAGCGTAGCATGGTCGGCAGGGTCGATCTGCAGCTCGGCGTATTCTTCACCGCCAGAAACATCGCCGTCGGAAAACTCTTCGTCTTCGTCGTCGGAAGCTACTTGCGCCATTTCACGGGGTCGCTTTGAGCTGCATATATCTGGTCAGCTAGTCCAAGAGCGGTACTGGGCGGCTTACGGGTCGACCTCGGGCTCCTCGTCGTCCTCCCATTCATCGTCCTCTCCGAGCTCTCTGGCAATCTCTTCCTGCTGATCCCTGGCCAGATCCAAGATCTTTTTCGACATGCGCGCATCTTCCGCTTTCTACGAGCAAGTCAGCATTCCACTCGACTTGCTCCCCCTCGATACGCACAGGCTCAGTCTCGACCTCATCCTGCTTGGGCTTTCTCTTTGGGGCCTTTGCAGCGCGGCCAAACTTGCGGATGGACTCGTCGGCCTCGAGCTCGACGTGGAGAGGGTCGTGTCTAGCTTTGGTCTGCTTTGCGACTCGGGGCATGGCGGTGTGGTCTTGCTGGCGGTGCATGTCCAGTGGCCGCAACTTTTCGCACTTGGACGGTGGAGGCGGCAAAATAAGGGTTACGTAAGGGTGTGGATGAGGGGCGGGGTGCGCCGTGCGGGAGCAAATGAGATGACATCACGACCTGTTGATATATACGTGGGAGGTTCCCAGTAGTATGCCTCTGTAAGTGCCATGTTGCCGGATCTCGCCGCCAGCTCGTGAGTGAGCCCCCGGCACCCCGCCATCGCTGACCCCAGGAACCCAAGCAATGATGCGCCTAGTGCTGCTCCGGAGATGCCGGAGAGCGCCGCCCAAGAGCTCGAGCCCACTCCAGCCAAAGCACAGTCCATGAAAGAACGCCTCGCCTTCTTTGCTGCTGCCCAGGATAAGCCAGCCCCGCCCCCTATCAAACCCAAGCCGGCCGCCGGTGGCCTGACCTGGTCCCAGCGGCAAAAGCTCAGGCAAGAGCAGGAGGCAAAGGAAAGGGAGGAAGCCGCAGCACGAGGCGAAAGTGCCCCTGCTCCCGTCTCTGCCGCGCCTGCGCCTGCCCTGCCTGAACCTGTCCAACAAGCGCCCACGGAGCAGCAGGAAGGTGCAGGGATGTCGACTGCAGATGCCGTCAGCTCTATTACAAAGGGCGGCTCGCTCAAGGATCGAATGGCCGCTCTGCAAGGATCTGGGGCGTTCGGGCAGCAGCAGGAAAAGCCCCCGCCTCCTGCTCCTTCCGGCAAGGTATGGTCAAGGCCCGCTGCTCCTCCCCAGCCTGATCCCGAGGTCGCCGAGGGAGAAGAAGATGCTTCCCCTCTCGAGGGAGATCAAACCGTCCCGGAAGGCACCGAAGCAACTCATGACGACGAGGAAAGCGAAGAGGCTAAAGAAAAGGCTCGGAAGGCCGCCATCACTGCTCGACTCGCCAAGCTGGGTGCGCGGGGTCCCATGGGCGTGATGCCCACCGCCCCGCCCGTCAGAAACCAATCCACCAAGAGCGCAACCTCTCCCAGTGTGGAAAAGGCTGAGCCTGTAGCTCCCGAGAGTTCATCCAACGACGATGGAGCGCCGGTCGCGACACCCCTTGCGGCTGCGGTGCCCAAGGAAGCGCCCGAGTCCGAGACAGAGAGTGCTGCACCCCCCAAATCCATCCCCATTGCGGCTGTACCCCGACGTACAGCGCCTCCTCGACGCCGAACAGCTCCCCGTACGACATCTTCCAACCCTGCGCCCGAGTCCGAGACGCCTCCCATGTCCGAGAGGGATGTCAGACTCGAGACCAAAGACGCCGAGGGTCATCCTATCCCTCCTCAGCAGGTCATGGTAGCAAACGAGGAAGCGCCCTTGCCCAAGACCGAAGAGCAGCTCGAAACTCAGAGGCAGCAGGAGCAGCGAGGAGGGGGTATCGGTGGACTGCAAGGTGCACAAGCAGCGGGTATCGCAGTGGATACCACTGGAGATGGAGCTGAACAGCCCGAAGAAGTCAAACCGGAGGAGGATCGCGAGATTGTTGAGAGTCCGGGAGAAAAGCCTGAGCCTGCTGTTGCTTTTATTGGCCCCGACGATACAGAGAAAGAAAAGGCTGCAACTGGGCCCGACCCGATCGAATTGATCCCTGCTGAAAAGGAAGCGGTCAAAGGCGACGAGAAGGACGTCGTTCCTCAGGAAGCGCCACAGAGCATTCTTAAAACCGACAACCTTGACCGTGACTCTGCCGATAAAGATCACAGCGGGCCCTTGAGTCCCAGCCCCGTCACCACTGTCCCCCTAAGGCCTGCCGGTCCTGATTCTCCAGTATCCCCGGTCAATGCGGAAGAGCCACCTCTGCCCCGCGCGAGGAGAATGACTATCGAAGACATGCCCCTGGACGAAGTGGAGAGGAAGCACATGCACGAGCAAACGCACGAAACACCCGTACAATCGGCCCCTCTGGCTCGAGACCCTTCCCCATCAACGACGGTAGAAGAAGACGCCGCCCCTCCTCCTCCTCCGAGGAGATCGCTCGATAAACCTGCAGGCCCCAGGCCACTCCCGTCGGCCCCGACTGCTATCGTATCGGAGGCAGCGCCTGCTGTTCCTGCTCGTAACCCCGACCGACCGTTGAGCCAGGTAGACGCTCCAGAGCATCAGGCGCGAGCCCTGCCGCCTCCTCCCCCCGAAGCTGTCTCACCCCAGGACGAGGAAGAAGAGGGACAAGCAGTTGGACTGGGAGATGAAGAGGTCGAGGCAGCGCCCGACGAGGAAGAAGATGAAGAGAGCAATACTCCTCCCCCACCTCCGGCCAGAAAGGAGACCTTGCCGAGCGCTGTTCAAGTTGGCGTCCCGACACCTGCTAGGGCGCCGCCAGTGCCAGGTGAGTTTAAAGGCCACGTCGAGAGGTATGAAGCTGATGCATAGTCTAGTCTCTCCAGTCAAGCCCAAGATGGTCGACTCTCCTACCCGCTCTCGCACTCTCGAGACATCCCCCGTTACCGCACCCGCGGAAGGGTCTTCTGAAGGCGCAGAAGAGCTCAATCGCCGTTCTAGTATTGCGGCGCGCATGGCCAAGCTGGGCGGTGTCAAGTTCGGCATGCCGCCTCCACAGCAATTCAAGAAGCAGTCCTCTGGCGCGACATCGGCTCGAGAAGTAGAAGAGACGGGTGAAGTCGCTTCCGTCGACAGGCAGGGGACGGTGCCCGACAATGCGGGAGCTGCTCCAGTCGAGAGATCCGCGGAAGAAGAAGAAGAAGAAGAAGAAGAGACACCCGAGCAGGAAGCTGCCAGAAGGCGAGCCACACTAGCCAGGCTCAGAGCTGGCGGAGCGTTGGGCTTTGGAATGTTCAACCAGGGCGCGCCTGGGGCCGAATCCGTCGAGGCAGACAAGCAGCATGTTGACGAGCGAAATCTAGAGAGCGATTCGGTGGCAGAGGAGACCAGAGATGAGGCGCCGCCTTTGCCTCCCTCCAGAGCCCCTGCCGCCCCTCCTATTGAGACAGAAGAAGATGAAGAGGACGCCCCTCCTCCCTTACCTGCAAGCCGACCATCCATGTCAGAGTCCCACCCCGAGTCGCCTACCTTATCGTCGCGTCCCCCGATCCCTGCTACTACTCAACGTCGTAGCTTGCCTCCTCAGCCCAGAAATGCAGATGCAGAGGATGCTCCGCCCCCTCCTCCTCGTCAATTGCACCAGGAGCCTGAAGTGCAGGAGACCGAGGAAGAAGATGAAGCACCCCCACCCCCTCCTCCTATGAGGATTGGACATGCCGCTGGGGCTTACGGGGAGCCGAGGACCAGTACCAGCGGATCTCGACCTTCAGGGGCATGCCTTGACCAACCTCGTGCCGCACCTGCCCCTCCTGCGGAAGAGAGGACGGCTCCCAGTCCCCAGGCTTCTGTCCCCGCGCACGGCGCGACTCAGCCCAGAGCCAGCAGTGAGCAGCAAGGGAGACAATCCACGACTCTGGGTACCAGGCCAGGGTATGACCAATTGAGAGAAGCTTCGGCCAACTTTGGTGCTGGACTCGTCCGATCTGCCCACGCAATCTTCCAGCAGGGCAAGCGTGGACAATATGGAGTGAGTCCAAGTTGCTCGAGTACGAGTTCGGTGTGCTAACCTACGATAGGATGGAAGCTCGACAGGCTTTGTGCTTTTGGCGATGCAGAATGCGGGCATTACACCTGCAGAAGGATGGGGCCAAGTCATCTTTGAACAAGAAGCTGGTTCCATCTTGCGCCGCTACGATGAAGTGAGTAAAATCTTTAGCCGGTGTACTTGTTGCTGATGCGCCAACAGCCTCGACCTGGAGATATCGCCGCCTTCTACGATGCCAAGCTGAAGGGTAAGAAGGGTCTCTCCACTTACTCGCAGCATGTTGGCTCGGTTGAGGAGCCTCTTGTCGGTGTGGTCGCCGAGTTTGAGGAGCGCAAGCACAAATTGAGGGTGCTGCAGGTCGAAAGAGGCGTGGCAGAGGAGGTCAGCTATAGGTCAGAAGACTTGAAGTCGGGGAGAATCTTGGTAAGTGCCCCGTTGTCAGTCTATCCGCCATACTGAATTGTTCTAGGTCCATCGCCCTGGAATCTAATGGGATCTTTCCTAAAGTGTTATGAAAATTGTCAAGGGTAGTCTCGTATCAGCATGTACACATGAATCTCAGTGCGACGTGACTGTCGAATATGCGTGGATGCGTTTTACATTATATATACGTAAGAGTACCTCGTGCCCCCGAAGATCATTTTCTGCCATGTACCAAGAGATATCCCCTCCCGGTCTCCCCTTTATTCACTTTCCATCCGTCTTCATCCAACGCCTTCCCTACCGCTGGCCCAATAACAGCCACTTTGTTCACTGAATGATTTCCTGCCCCAACAATGATCATCATTCTCCCGTGTGCACCGGTCCTCTGTGATCTCAATTGTTTCTCTTCGGTCCACCATTTCCCCACATTCTCAAGCGCCACCGCCACCGCCTCGTGCACGTAGAGATGATGCAGGTCAATGACTCTGTTCCGATTTCGATCACCATTCCTGGTCGTCGGTCTAGCAGAGTTGCTGTGCTGGATTGCAACGGCTTGATGGGCGTTCCGAAGCTCTATGGCTCTGATGCGATCGCCCGCCTCCCGGGCCTCGCGTGCGTAGTGGCCCATTACAGACCGTTTCATGGCCTTGTTGCCGGAAACAAAACTTCGACCAGCAGCGCGTATAGCAGTCATCTGTTTAGCACGCTCAATCTGGACCTGACGGACAGAATTGTTGTATTCGGTTCCTTGGGACTGTACTGTAGGCCGGGCAGAAGCAGAGATGGCACTGTGTTTCGCCTTCGCCTTCTTTTCGCCTGCGGCAGTCTGCCAATTCTCTGGGTGTATTCCGCCGGCAGGTGCTAGGCGTATAAGACCAGGCGACGGCGACGCGACACCAAAGTCATCTGTGGCGTTTGGCACGTTAGAGGGTACAGCCCCCGGAATATGTCTTTCCTTTCTCGCCTTGGCAGTTTTTGGAGGTGGGCGAGCGACAGGTCCAGGAAGAACCGATTTGGCCAGCTTCGGTGCGATTACAGGCGGTTTAGCCCAGTTGGCGTCCTTGCCTGACTCTTGCCCATCTTCACCTCTCGTGTCGTCCGATGGCAAGTCCCCCGCATCGTATTGCTCTCCCACAAACTCTGCTTTATCTTCTTGAGCCTGAAACTCGCGCAGACTTTGGAGAAAGTCCATGAGGTCAATGATTCTCGATACATCCAATCCAGAGACTTTGATGCAGACAGCAAGGTCATTGAATTTCTCCCTTTCTTCCACAGATACGTTCCAGGGGTTGTTGAAACCACCTAGATCAACATCATACATGGCCTCGAGAACGGTACGAGTTTCGATGTACTGCTTGTCGGTACTCGGAGATGAGGGAGAAGCTGGGTGTTTAGGCAGCGCTTCGAGGCTAGCTCTGGCCGAGGAATATACTGTAGCATATTCTGAATTCGTGAAAAAGTCCAAGAAGTGGTCCACGGGTTGAGATGGCACACAATCGCGGAGAAAAGTGGCGATGGAAAAGGCAGATGAGTGCGGTGATTTGGCACCGCGATTTGGGCGGGGCTGGGATGGGGCGATGGAGAAACTGTATGCCATCGACGTAGGGGGTCGAAGTTTAGTTTTCGTGAAGGGGTTTGCGCCCTTGTTTGTTCCACCGGAAGGAACGACGTTGATAGACATGGAGGAAGAAGAAGTTGACGCGGTAGAGCCGTGACCCTTGCCCTTCTTCTTCTTCTTGGCCTTGGGTATGACTGGCACAAAGGGCTCCTCTTCGCGATCTAATGGCTCGCCAGGCCACCCATGCTCGTCATCTTGTCGTATGAGATCAATCGAGAGGAGGTAGTCAATAGCAGCTTCGAGACCAGCCTGAGTCGCTAGAGCTTCCTCTACTTCGGTGACCGGCCTATTCAACGTTAGTTTCGACGTACACTTGATGCGATTCGACTGACATATTTGGAAACAGGACCTTCAGCAGTCCGATCTCTGTATCGAAACTGGCATCGCTTCCCCAGTCACTAGCCCCCTCTCCAATCTCCCTGTCCTGGCTCTCACTAGTGGACTGCGACCAAGACCCCAATGTCGAGCTCTTTGTTTTGGTATTCCACGAGCCCGTACTCGTGCTATCCCCGCTCTGCTCGTTGTCCCAAGCCACATTCATCCGGCCTACACGCTCATCTAGATCTGCCAGATCCTCAGCCAGCTCTTTAGAAGCGCTTTGTCTGTTTCCGCCCCATGATTCTTCCAAGGCGTCGCCAAGCTCGCCGGTATCGGGGACCATGGATGCTTCCAAGATACCGAGCTGGTCTCTGATTTCGTCCAGCTTATCGGCCAGCTCTTCTGGAGCATAGTCGAACACTATAGAAGAAATGAGAGGCTCATCAAGAGATTGAAAGTCCACCTGTTTAGGTGAGCGATGGATACAAGGTACTCGGCCTTTGACTTACCGATAAAACTGCGACGACCGATGAAGGATCGAGAGCTGGCATGTTGTGAATTTAATCAATACAAGTCGCTGAGGACCTTTGAATGAGAGATGTGTTTCAGAGGGATGGGGATGATCGGTCAGGGCGAGAACAATAGGCGTTCCGGGCGATACGAAGAATGAGATCTGGGGATGAGGGCGAGACGCTCATTTTGGGGGGCTGGGCCTCTGGATGTGAGCAAGCATGATGGTACGAAGAGTGGATAGTGAGGCAGGGAAGTTGTTGTGGCTGTTGATGATTTCGAGATGAAGGGAAAGGAACTGAAAAGGAAGAACAACGATTGATCGCGCGAACTGAGAAATCCTCGCATTACCACTCGTCATATGATATATACTCGTCTCCCCGCCTTCGATGATGGGCATCGTCCATGCTTTGGCAAGGATCAGGATGTGGCATATACGAATGCGTGGTATTTCAAGCTTGGAGGAGCATTATATATGCATGCATAGCCGAAAACCCTCTTCTGTTGTGCGCGTTCTCGGTTTACATTCAGCATTCAACGACCCCAAAGATGATGCCTCTGCAGTGCCCATAGAATACAACTGGCTTGATATAGGCAGAAGACGAGTAGAACGCGATGCTATGCATATACATTACAATGACGCCATATCGTCAACCTCAAGCCTCAAGAGACTTGGTAGCCATGGCCACCACACCCTCATAGGTGGCATTACCCCCAATGAAACCACTCGCATGCACAAACACACCCCCAGGGATACCAGAGACCTCCGACAGAACCTCATCCCTCATGCCACACCAAGGCTCGGGCATCGATTTTCGGTTCACGAAAGAGTCGGGCGACTGGGGAACGCATTGGATACGCCACTTGGCTCCAGGGGCGTCGGATTCGGGGAAGAGGATGTAGAGGATTTGAGAGGGGGTCTTGGGGAGGATGGGCTCGAGGTTGAAAAGGTGGTCTTTCCAAGGGACGGCCTAGAGAGTGGATTAGTATTGGAAAGTGGTGGAGTGGACAGGGCGTACCTTTTGGAACACGACAATGGCACCGCTGGGGTGAACCTCTGTTCGCTTCTCCAAGGCGGTCTTGACGATGTCTCGGGCGGGTAACCAGGCCTTGGAAAAGTAGTCCAACTGGGACAAGAACTCTTCCCCAGTGATCTTGGAGGCAATCTCGAAACGTCTCTGTGAAAGCTCAGCACGCCATGCCTTGCCCGAACGACCATGCAAGACCTACGTCGTACTCCTCATCGTTCACAGACTCGTACCACTCGGGGTTGATCCGCTTGATTCGGGATGAGAGGTCGGTCCTTTGAGTGTAGGCAAGAGGGCCGGAGGCAATGTTGACACCGTTGTCGATGCTACGCTATGTCAGGAACATGTCTGTTGAGTAAAGCATGATACCCACCCATCCACAGACTCGATTAATTCCTGTATGTCGTCAGCTACCTCTGATGTAGACACAAAGCACGACCCACAGAGTACAGTTGCAACCAAAGAATCTCCACATTCTCGTCCTCAACGGGCACGCCGAGCCTGTTGGCAATCACCTCTTTTCCGAAATGTTTGTACACCAAGCCTGCTGAGCTGAGCTTGATCTTGTCGAATCCGCCGTGACCAAAGACCTCGCTGAAGCCACGTTGGTGGTGGTCGTATCGGTTGGTGGCAGGGTCGTAGACACCTCCGACGTCGACAACGATATCCAAAGGAGCCACTGGGATAGCTGTTAGTTCTTGGATTGTCATTATCGAATTGCAGCGTACACTTGGCAGGGTCTCGCGACCTCACGATGTCTATGGCAACATCAGCTATAGCACATTTGACATGGTTTCAGACACTCACCAGCGTCCTTGAAGTCGTTGGTCATACGAAGCATGAAGATTGCAAGGGCCTCTTCGTCACAGGGTCAGCTTCCATTTGCCCTCGTATATGGAACAGCGCCGTACCATCACAGTGGAAACTACCCGAGTGGGTACCGATGACCTGCAAGAATGGGTCAGCTCTGTTCACACCTTGAGTAGATTGAGCGGACTTTTGTAGACTTCATTCTTTTGGCGAGGGGGCTAGTGGACATTGAAAAGCGGGTCGATAGAGGGGCTGAGAAGAAGACCTTTGCAAAATTTATATTCCTCGAAAGCATCAGAGTGTTCTCCTCACAGCCAATCCAAGGCCGAGGGAAGCAAATAAAAACAGAGATATTTCACTTACGTAATGACAGGACGCGACTGACTTTTCTCCGGGCAGCAGCCCTGCAAACCTAGCTTGACCGATACTGTCTTTTTCTTGGTCGCAATGTTACGCAATCGAAACAACAGAATAGATACATATACGATGAATACACTTGCCCCCAGCAGCACTATAAAGAATCCCCAGATCAACCTTGAATGATCTCTTCCACCTTCCGAGCTACTTCTCTTTCAGTCTCGTCCATAGGCATGACTTTGTTCACCAGTCCCGCTCTGTAGACTTCTATCCCCTCACTCGCGCCGTCAATTTCTGACGTTGTTTCATGGATGGGCGCACCGTTGGACATGGGTGTTGGATCTTTCTGGATCCGAGGGACAAGATGAGGTTCGGAGATGTGGTTTGATTTGCCCTCTTTCGGTGCTGACAGGTTCACCGTCACCGAGTCCTCCGGAAGCCTAGGAGACACAGAGACTGAGGCAGCATAGCCATTCTCCAGAGCAGTAAAGTCATTACTAGATAAGGCTTCTTGGAAAGCAATGAGACGTTCAGTGAGCTCCGTCATGAGCTGGACGGACTTCCGTTGAGGCGCTTCGGCAGAGACTGGAGGGGGGGAGGGCGTTCGCCCCAACTCTGGTAGTGCTTCGGCCTCCTCCATAGAAGTGTCCCCTTCTCCATCTTCTTGCGCGCGCTCGAGCCTTTCCCGCTCCTTGTCCGCTCTTCTCTCCTTTTCCTCTGCATGCTCCCTTCGCTCCTCTCGCCGCTTGATCACACCTGTAGAAGTGGTTTCGATCCCGATCAACTTTGCCCTCTTCACCCGATTGCTCTCGTCCACTTGGTGCTTTCCCACAAACTCGAGCATCGTCCGTATCCGCCTTTTGATATCGACGGATGTGACACGCTTGGGTGGGAATTTGATTCGAGCAGGGGGTTCGAGCTGAGTAGTCTGGTGACCGACAGTCTCGCGAGTCTGTTGCTCAGTGGGCAGCCGTAGCCGCCCTTGCTCATCGCGATTCTCGGTAAACGGACCGTACTGTTGGTTATGAAAGTGATTTCTGGGCAAGTACGCCATCACTCGAGGAGCAGGGACTTCCAAGGCTTCGGGATGGTCACTGGGCAAAGCCTCGGCGAAGGGTATCAGATGATCGGGCAGATTCCAATTCAAGTGGTTTGCAGACTCTACCGATAGCGGTTGGAAGACCACTGGCGCACTTGCGAGAGCGCCGGCGCGCCGAGTGCCATGCTCGTGATGTAGCGGGGCAGCACTGCTGGAGGGTACGGGAGTAGTTCCCATTCGCCGCGACGGTGAAGCGGCCGGTGCGGCACTGGAAGGTGGTTTCGGGCGGTAGGTATATTGGTTGGGGTGTTTCGGCTTGTTTGACTGACTGGCAGGTGCTCCGGATTCTACTTCTGTTGTTCATCAGCCATATTCGCGCGAAGCCCGATAGACTTACCAGGATCTTCCTCTTTTCTCCGCTTGCCCTTCTTTGGCTTTTCCTGTTCTTCCTCTTTTTCTTCCTCCTCATCTTCGTTCCGCCGTCTCTTCCCACCTCGTCCCTTCTCCTTGTCTTCTTTCTTCTCTTCTGGTTGCTTTTCCTCCACAACCTCAATATCTTCATCTCCTTCCTGCCCCTCCATCTCCCGCTTGCTCGCCTCGAGAGCAGCCTTGACTGCCTCTTCGTACGCCGCGTCCCGCGAGTTCATCGTACTCCGTTTCTTGGCCGGAGCACTTGAATTGGAAGGCTGCGGTGATGAATCATCTTCATCACTCTCTTCCGCGCCAAGCGACTTTCTGGATCGTCGTCCTTCCTTCTTGTACGAGGTTGACGGGGGTTTCTCGCGCACTGTCGATTGCCTGCCTCTCGTTCTCCGCGAGTCTGCCGTCTCAACAGGACTCGGCAGTGGGTCCTTGTCCTTTTTGTGATGTGATCTGGCCGACTTGGATATTGGTGGTGGAGGCGGAGCCTCGATAACAGACGGTTCTGACCATCGCTTGGACTGGGATGGAGGGAAAGGATCGCGATTGGAATGGAGTTGCTCCAGCTTTTCGGGGGCCGGGGGGATGAAGGGGGCAGTATTGCGGCCTCGCGAGCGGAGCCACTTTTTGAGAGCTTGGTGACGCTCTGGCTTGCACTCTTCACAAAAGTACTCTATGTTTGTGGTTAGTATGATCAGAGGAGGGGATTTGCGGGCTTACCGTCAGGCGCCTCGTCGTCGCCCCAGATACCCATGCATTCGCCATGCTGCCAGACATTGCACTGGTCACACTGAATCATCATTACGTCGATGTCTACACTTCCGTCAGCGTGTATGGAAGAGGATGTTTGGAATCTCACCTTCGCGCTTGCAGACGCAGCGAGTGATATCCTTGCCCTCTTCGTCGTCACCCTCTTCATCTTGTTCTTCTTCTCCATCACCTTCCTCCTCGTCGTCATCCTCTTCCTCCTCCTCCTCTTCATCATCTTCCGTCTTCTTGACGGTCGTACGCCGTATCTCGGCAGGCAACAAGTGGTCATCCAGCAGCAACTGCTCTTCCCCGCGCCTCTTTCTCCCTTGACGAGATCCAGAGCGGGCCATGGCTGTATCGGGAGTAGCTGAAGATGCGGGAGTGTCGTATGGTGTAGGGATGTGTGATAGACGCGAGGGTTTGCCGTTACGAGTGCGAGCAGGTGGCACAGTCTCGTCATTGTCCTCGTCTTCCTTCACTTCGGCATCGTCGACTTTGTCGTCTCCGTTGGCATGGATGGGCGCCGAGGGCAAGGGATTCTCTTCCTCTGGCTCGCTCTTGACCTCATCATCCCCGGGCCCTCTCTCAGCAGGCTGATGTTGCGGCGACCCCTGATCGTCTTCGCCCTCAGGCCTGTCGCCATCTTTGCGGCTTGCAGACCCCGCCTCGACTTCCTTCTCTTCCTGGGCCTCCAAGCCAATGTCGAGATCCATTTCTTCATTGTCGCTCGTGGGAGGCGGAGGCGTGAGGCTCGTGTTGGACCCGCTATGTGGCCCGCGCCCATCCTTATCGTCCTCGTCCTCATCAAGCACCACCGCCGACTCGTTCAGTTCAGCGGGCGCATCCAGCCCTCCCGATGGCTTCCCAGGTCGAGCAACGTCGCTCTCGGCATCCTCGTCACCCTCCATGATCTCCTTTGCGCCCCAAGTAGCTGGGGACCGCGACGATGAGCCTTCTGTGGTGGCGTGTTTCGGTTGCTTTGGGGGAAGCGGGGGGTAGAGAGGGCCGGAAGTTGGTGGGAGGGGATTTCTATGTCGCGTGGCTCGTCTGGGAGCGCCTGCATGGTCGTCAGCAGCTGCGTGAGGGTAAAACGTCGTTCCACTAGACGCCATAAATGTGATTCGCGCCCCGGTCAGTGGCATGAGCGCACTCAAAGTCCTGGCTTTTGCCCTCCAACGAGATGTCGGGGCAAGACAGGCTGGGCAGCAGTAGGGAGAGCAAGGCGGCGCGGTAGGTGATGCAATGCACCCCTCTGAGACACCTCCCATGTGCGCGCGCGCCCATCCACCATCACCCAGAGCGGGGGACTCACCTTGTTCGTCGCCGTCTGGTCGGGGGGTGGATGCGGAGGCGGACTGTCTCCTCCGTGTGCTCATGCTGGCTGTGCTGCAGACTCACCGCCAAAAACATCCTCCTCAAGCGGGCTGCATGACGCGCCGCGGACATCGCCGTCACTCCACCAACAAAACTTTCATTACGTAACTGCATCTCATTTCAACACTATTATTAATATTGCTGCTTGCTATAATATCATCAGCAGAGCAGTGCCAGCGCAGAACCACAGAGTACAGTCAGGGGAAGCTACTTTATAGAGCGGATGTCCCCCATGGTTCGCTGTCACTGCTGAGCGCTCGGCGACTCGGGGTATCTCTGTACAAGGGCGAAGGGAATAGAGCGAGCGACTGAGTTGTACAAGAGTTGTATCTTGGACGCCATGCTGTTGAGTCAAGGGACTACTGCCCTCTATGCACAGAGATGAGAAGACAGATCAAAAGCAGAATGCTCTGATTACCCCTCTGTTCGCAACGGAAACCAGTAGCCAGTCTTTCATCATCATCGTCAGCAGCAACATATGTATCAGCGGCTGGATCATACCATTCATTATATCTCATGTCAAAGCTGTTTTTCTTACCTCAGGAGTCACTTCGCGCAGCGGCATTTTAGCCATCAATCAGAGACTCCACCCGCTGCCAGCTCATCCCTCGCTCTCGCGTGAACCGTATCGCATCAGCCAACCAACGGGTCCGCCTGTCATGATCGACCGCATCACTTCTCCCTCCAACTCCACATTTATTAGGAGCCAGACTGCAACATCTATAAAGATCTCTATCCCGATCGGCTGCCAGCCTTCCTGGCTGTACGTACTCTCAAGCTCGTAGTACTCCGAATATGCCAGGGTGCCACAATGATCACGCCTTTGCCATGGAACAGTGAACAAGGTTCAAATCCGAAACTGCCCCCCGTCATGGAACCCGAGTGGCTTTGATACCCGCAGCAGACCGAAACACATCTGGACAAGGGCCGAGACAGAGAGACAACAGAGGCGACAGTTATCGGCAGACCTTTCGCTTTCCACCAACCAGAGCGCTCAAGCAGCTATACATTTCGCAGCTAGGACCCCGGCTTCGGATGAGAGCATGGCGGTGCCTAAAGCTTACTTCCAAGGGTAGATCCGACCGTCATGGAGACGTCGAGGCGCAAGAGCAGCACAAGAGCAGAGAACAATGGGCAGCGAGGCAAAGAACAATAAAGAATTGGGCAATTGAGATAAGGGACCAGTTCAGGGTACGCGAGGGTCTTTTCTGAAGGAAATCTCCTCTTTCGGACAAAAGCGAACGGCAAATGGCACGAATGGCCCAAGACAAGATACGGGGCCGAGGAACGAGAAGCCGTGCTAGACATGAGTTGGTTCCTGCGGAAAAGTGCGAGAATACATGTGCGACCAGACAATACGGACTCTGAGGCAGTCACGTTTTAGATCATAAATCTACCACCGCCATCAGAATAGCCAAGTCGACTGTTGTTGGACATCTCTATACCTCACACCGACGACAATAGTAGCGTACGAGAACGGAGAAAAGCAGTTGTTGAATCCCCGACCGCTTCTTCTCGGTTGCCCGCTGCCAATCTCGCTCCCTCTACCCTGCTCCCTGCTCGACTTTTGCCCATCCTCTTTTGTCTCCGACCATCCGCTCTTCTGGCACATTCGGCGTGTATAAATATAGAGAGAGATCCCGAACCCCACAAACGACTACAACAAACGACTACATACTTTCAAAGGAGTCAGAGGTACGATCAAAAAGCACCTGCTGGTTTCTCTCGAGTTCGACAAACTTCTGCACGGATCGGCCAAGAACCGCGTGGTGCGGCAACATCCAAAAAGAGACCAAGGGTGGGCACTAGATCTGTTCGAGGTGAGTTATGGTGCATGGCTGTGTACGAGGGGGAAGGGGTGAAGAGGGGGGGGACGGTCCGACAGCCGTAGAAGCAGCGCAGGGGTCATGCAGATCCATCCCGGGTATTCAGGAGGACAGCGTTGGTAGTATGCTGACCACGCCGTCTATAGCCCAGACGGCCAGCAGCTGAGATTCCGTTGTGCACTGTGAGTGGATTGTGTCTGCCAGGATTCTGTGGACAGTGGCTGATCCGCGTCCCTGCCTGACCCATCACTCCTCAATCCCACCCTTCACTCGCCTCTCGCCTTCACCCCATCCTCACCAGCCTCCCCTTCACCCTGAAGCATACCCCCGCCGCCCAACCATACATGCACATACGCCCACCTGCGCCGCTCATTGCCCCTTGTCGCTCACCGCACGCGACACACACCGCACAGACCAGCAACATCCTCGTCTCCACGTTATAACGTCTAACGATCTTTCTTTTCCATCTATCCCGTCAAACTTCATAATATCACAAACCGCTCTTCAAGTCCTCCAGTGCGTATTACACCACACCTTGGTGATCCCATCGATAGCTCCAGCGACTGACCCGTCCGCTAGCCTTACCATCTCCTCCCTTCACCCCCCAATCAACCACGCATACACCCACAATGTCGCAGGCTGAAATACAAGAAAAGATTGCCGCTGCCAGGCGGGAGGCTGATGGACTGAAAGACAAGATCAGGGCTGCTCGAGATCAGACCGCCGACACTAGCTGTGAGTTTCTCTCTGCAGATCAGAGATGGAATGCCAACACCGCTATCAGTACGGGCCATGGCCAACGATGTTACGCCGCTCCCCCGAGTCTCTCTAAAAGTCCGCCGCACGCTCAAAGGTCACTTGGCCAAGGTTTACGCCCTGCACTGGGCGGCCGACAGGCGACACATTGTGTCCGCGTCCCAGGACGGAAAACTCATCGTCTGGGACGCCTACACGACTAACAAGGTTCACGCCATCCCTTTGCGTTCATCATGGGTCATGACCTGTGCCTACTCGCCTTCGGGTAACCTTGTGGCTTGTGGTGGTTTGGACAATATCTGTTCGATCTACTCGCTAAGAAATGCGGCGCCAGGTGGACCTGGTGGATCGGTCAAGGTTGCGAGAGAACTGAGCGCGCACTCTGGATATCTTAGTTGCTGTCGATTCATCAATGACAGGCAGATCGTCACCTCCTCTGGTGACATGACCTGTATGCTTTGGGATATCGAGCAAGGTACTCGTACCATGGAGTTCAATGATCACACTGGCGATGTTATGAGGTGAGTTATATGTGTGAATCTTTTGACACCGCTAAACATCTACAGTATCTCTCTGGCCCCCAATGCCAACTTGTTCGTTTCCGGTGCTTGTGATGCCACAGCAAAGGTCTGGGATATTCGAACCGGCAAAGCCGTCCAGACTTTCACTGGCCATGAATCAGACATCAATGCCGTTCAGTAAGTCGACCTCATCACGGCTTGGGTCAATGCTCATCACATGTGCAGATTTTTCCCCAACGGCGATGCCTTTGCCACCGGTTCCGACGACGCCTCTTGCAAACTGTTCGATCTCCGTGCCGACAGAGAACTCAACAACTATGCCCACGACAATATCCTCTGTGGTATCACTTCCGTCGCCTTTTCCGTCTCTGGGCGAGTCCTCTTCGCTGGTTACGACGATTACAACTGTAACATCTGGGACACTCTCAAGGGCGAGAGGATCGGTATCTTGGCTGGGCATGAGAACAGAATCAGCTGCATGGGTGTATCTGGGGATGGTATTGCTCTTGCCACTGGTAGTTGGGACAGTCTACTCAAGGTTGGTTGTCTTGTGGATCACATGTTGCTCGGGACTCACGGTTTTTACAGGTCTGGTCATGATACCCAGAATCTTCTGTATGCTGGCCTCTCTACTCCTGAATTGCTTCATATATATTGTTTCAGACTCCACGACGAGCTTTCCTTGATACCCAGAGACCGAACGCCCTTCCGAGCTTCGCATAATCCTCTTTCCCTAATCTTGAAGGCGCAATTACAACCGGATACCCAAAGACTTTCAAGTCGACCGTTGTCACAATATTTAGCCGAGGAATGCATGGGTCTTTCGTATGACAGGGAATCTGGAACCAAGTCTCGTGCGAGGTCGAGTGTTCGCCCTGTGCAAGCCTTTGAATGCAGGTGTGAAAATTGTATGGAGCACGACGATCAAGTTCCTAATCTTTTTACACATTCGTCTGCTCTCTTGATTCTACTTTTGGAGGGCCTCCAACAACCTCTTCTCGGACAGGGCGGCACCATTGGCGTATTTATAAGGAATATTGGGGTCGGCAGGGCTCATCCGGAGAACCTCAAAGAACTCGAACATGACGATACCTGCGTCCATGTCAGCATTGTTCAAGGACCCAAGTGTCACACTCACCACTCCATCCCTGGTCCAAGACGGCCTTGAAAGTTTGCAAAGCATTCGCATGACCCATATCATTCCCATCCTTGGCACTCTCACCCGCATTTTTTTCCGACAAGAGGTAAAGGTCGTCCAAGGGCAGCCCAGATAAAGTAGTCGTTTCTGGTAGTGTTGCCAGCGGCTCTCCCCTCGTCGAATTCAGAGCCCTTGCCCGGAGGGACAACCGACTTGAGCACCTCGGAGAGCTCAACGTGAAAGATCTTTTCCCTTGGGAACAGCCTTGACGCGCCCGATAGAGTCGGCGGAGATGGCGGCGGTCCAGCCTTCGCCCGTGGTCGGGTTCCAGCCGTACTCGGGAGCAAGGGGAGGGTGAGCGGTGTCGAGACAGAGACCCAGGTTGGGGTGGTCCTATATCAGGATCAGTATACAAAATCAGCTGACGGAGACTGATAACATACAGCGATCTGGACAATCTTCCAGGTGTGTTCAAATGTGTTGACGCGCTCAGAGAAGCACCAGCTTTCGTAGGCAATCTTGACGGGAGGGCTGAGCTTGGAAGCGTACTCCGCAAGCCAGCGCAGATCGTCGGCAGTCTTCTCGTCAGGGGCGTTAGCCTCGGCATAGTCGTTTGATCCGACCTATACAACAGTCAGTTCTGTCTCTTTCCGATACGAAAGATCGAACTGACCTGAATCTGCTCGACACCAAGCTTGGAGCAAAGGACCAGCCACCTCTCCGCCTTCCTCCTGACCCACTGGGCCCTCTGGCATACTCGCCAAAGCCAACTTCAGTGTAGGTGAAGCCGGCTTTCTGGAGGGCATCGAATTTGGTATAGATGTCATGGATAGGGTTCATGCTGAGGGAGGCTGTCGCCACACTCCATCGAAGGCCGCTGTAGTCGTTAGGCATGGTGCAAGTTGTTGTGCAAGCTGTTGTAGGTTTATGGTAGAAGTGCTGAGTTCATGGCGGCTCGAGGTTGATAAGGTGTGCATGCAGCAAGACGCGTCAGGCAGCAAAGCGGGGCGGGGCCGTTCCGATGCATTCACCCAGCTGGGGCATCGGAACGTTCCGGGACCGGGGGACGGGGAGACTGCGCTGCCTGCCTGGTGCACATTAGCACATATAGGCAGCCAGGCAGGGTTGCACAAACAAAGAGACAATAGAAGAGACGGATTGGAGACGGAGATGGATGCAGACAGGCGGTCATCCCCGCCCGCGCACGTTCTTGCCGTCATCGAGCACCTGGTAGTGGTACTACTGGGAATCTGAACATTCCCATTATTCTTTTCTTCTCCCCCACCAGCCATGAAATTCGGCAGACGTATCAAGGTGGGCATTCCGGAGGGAGACTCGGGCGGCACTGACGCTCCACAGGATACGCTCTACTCTGAGTGGGCCGACCAGTACATCGACTATGGAGGTCTCAAAAAACAGATCAAGGCCAACCTCCCGTGGAACGACACTGCCGAAGCCGACTTTGTGCAGTCTCTCCAGAACGAACTCAACAAATGCGAGACCTTTCAGCGCAACAAATCGGAGGAGCTCATGAACAAGATCCAGTCTCTGGAGGAAGAAGTCAAGAGCTTGGTGGAGAGGGCTGGCTTTGCGAACGACGATGACGACGACGAGGAGAGTGAGACGCCTGGAGATGTAGAGAGGAATGTGAGAGATAGGAGAGACGATGATGGGGGCAGTGATGATGAGGGCGAGGACGATGACGATGCGAGCGACATTTCTGCAGACGGCATCGAGGAGAGGTTTAGGGAGCTCGAAGAGGAGGTTGCTACACTCGTCGCCGATGTGCACGATCTGGCGCTCTTCACCAAGCTCAACTTCACCGGTTTCATCAAGATTGTGAAGAAGCATGATGTGCGTGCTTGACTCTTTCTGGAAATACTTGACTGACGCCATGTGTACAGAAACTCACAGGTTTCAACCTGAAAAACGTCTTCAACCGTCAAGTCCTGGAGGCCCATCCGTTCTACCGCATGAACTATGACCCTCTCATCGTCAAGCTCTCCAAGCTTTTCGACCTTGTCCGCACTCGAGGGCATCCTATAGAAGGTGACGCTTCCGCTGGTGGGAGTCAGAACGCTTTCGTCAGGAGCACCACAAAGTACTGGGTAGGTGGACTTCGAGTGACGCGGTTGATCGTACTGAAGTTGTGCAAAGGTTCATGACGAAAACATTGTCCCCTTGAAGCTTGCTATTATGAAGCACCTTCCGGTACTCGGTCAGTGCGACTTCTTTCCTCCATGACAGTATACTGACTGCGCACAGTCTTCAACGCCGATAAAGAGTTCTCGCAGGCCGACTCGGCCATCACCTCGATCTATTTCGACAACGAAGAACTCGAGCTGTATCTCGGTCGTCTGGAAAAGACTGAGGGAGCCGAAGCTATCCGTATGAGGTGGTACGGCGACGTCACTGGCACCACTGCAAGTCCTGTCCTTTCGTTTTTATTGCAAGCTAACATCTAACAGGTGTTTGTCGAGAGAAAGACGCACAGAGAAGACTGGACCGGTGAAAAGTCTGTCAAGGAGCGATTCACCATCAAGGAAGGCAAGATGAACGACTTTCTTGCTGGTCGCTATACTGTAGACGCCGAGTTTGACGAGTTGGTCAAAAAGGGCAAAAAGACGGAGAGGGAGGCCGAAGGCATGAAGCAGTTGGCGAATGAGATTCAGTATGCGATCCTGACCAGAAAACTTCGACCAGGCAAGTGCTCAGCATGTCATTCGACTTAACTAACTTGAATGTCCAGTCATGAGAACCTTCTACAACCGAACTGCATTCCAGCTTCCTGGCAATGCCTCCGTCCGAATATCCCTCGACACGGAGCTCGACATGGTTCGAGAAGACAACTTTGACGGCCACGACCGTACGAATGGCAACTGGCGTCGAACCGATATCGGCATTGACCACCCCTTCAAGCAAATCCCCGACTCTGAGAAGGAGCTCTTCCCTTATGGCGTCCTCGAGGTAAAGTTGGCCACCAAGGTTGGCGAAGAACCACCCGAGTGGATTCGAGACTTGATCAATTCACACCTTGTTGAGGCTGTGCCCAAGTTCTCCAAGTTCATTCACGGATGCGCGAGTCTTCTACCGGAGCGTGTTGACCTGGTGCCTTTCTGGCTTCCCCAGATGGACCAGGACATCCGAAAGCCCGTATCCTCCAAGTCTCGTGTCCTGATCGAGCGACCCCATTCCAACATCCACTCAAACATGAGTCCCAACCTATCTGCAACACACTCTCCCAATGGCGAGCAGAGCACTGCTTCTCGAACCTCATACCACGAGCCTGTTTCCGAGGGGGAAGACGAAGAAGAGTTCCTTGTGCACTCTGCCAAGAATGAGGAGGACTATCTCAGGCTTCCTTCGGGTGTTGCTGCCCAGGCGCGTGCAGCGAGAGAGCACCGAGAAGCCAAGCTCCGAGATGAAGCCTCCAAACATGCTGGTAACTTTCGGGCTGGTGACGGCGAACATGAGGCAGAGTCTTCCTCTGCAGCCGGCTCGTCTCGACCCCCTCGCAAAGTCAACAAGTATGACCCCAGTCTCAGGATAGACCCTCTTGCGCCTAGTAACAGGTTTGACAAGGACGTTCAGTTGTTGGATGACAAGAGTATGAGAAAGCTGAAGGATGCCGCGCACGGGAATGATCGTCAGGATCTCTCGGAAGATGAAGAAGAGGAGGAGGAGGAGGAGGAGGAGGAGAATGGGGATAGGGTCATTTATGTTGACCAATTCCGAGCACCCGCGGGCAAGAAGATTGCGATCCCTGTGCGCGTCGAGCCAAAGGTCGTGTTTGCCGCAGAGAGAACGTTCTTGAAGGTATGCCTGATTCATATTGATGATGACATACAACTGACGCTATACTATAGTGGGCCCACTTTGCCATCCTCCTATCGGGGGTCTCTATTACCCTCCTCAACTTTATCGACCCCTCCGACCCCGTGGGAATGATCTCTGCGGCCTGCTTCACTCTCACTGCCCTTGGTGCCATCGTGTACTGCGGCGGGATGTATGCGTGGAGAATCATCAAGATGCGCAAGAGGGAGGCGGTGAATTACCATGATACCTGGGGCCCTACGGTCCTGTGTGGGGCTTTGATTGGAAGTGTGCTGGTGAACCTGGTCTTAAGGCTGAGAGAGCTCTGAGTTAGTCATCCGATCTTTCGTTTACAAATCAGGCCATCATCCAACATAATCCTTGCCACAACATACCCTATAAACTAGGTCCTCGTATAGTTGTTTGGGAGCCTGATGTGTCCTTGTGGTGACATAACGCACTGGAGAATGAAAAGTATCAAGCTTGATGGTTGGCGTAGCATTAGTCGTAGATCTCATTTCAAGCATGGATTTTGTCACAGATATCGGGTGCAGTGACTGCCGACAGAAGTCCAGCTATGATAGATGCATTTTTCACATTTTCTTGCTCAAACCACTCTAGATTCTCTTGAGAACCTCCTCGGTCACCTCAGTGGTGGTGCTCTTACCGCCCAAATCAGGCGTCAGGTACCTGCCCTCGATGAGGACGGCATCCACAGCAGCATTGATCCTGGCAGCGGGCTCAACGTAGCCGAGAGACGAAAGAAGAAGGGCAGCGGATCGGATGGAAGCGATGGGGTTGGCAATGTTCTGGCCTTCAATGTCGGGGGCGGAGCCGTGGACAGGCTCGCCCATGATAAAGTTGTCACCGGCATTGATGGAGGGGACGAGACCAAGAGAACCGACGAGAGCGGCAGCACCGTCACTAAAGATAGTCAGCGAGAGTACAGATGGGCTGACAGTGGACTCACGAGATGATATCGCCATAGAGGTTGGGGGCGACACAGACGTCAAAGAACCTACGATGGTTAGCATGGCATAGAGTAGATTCGGACAACTTACTCGGGTTCCCTGAACATTCGGTAGACCATAGAGTCGACAATCTGCTCCTCGAGCTTGACACCGTTGTACTTTTCACCACCGGCACCTTCCTTCACAGCCCTAACGGTCTCCCTGAAGAGACCGTCGGTGACACTAAGAACATTGGACTTGTGGATGATGGTGACCTTGGGCTCTCCCTTCCAGAGCACGTCCTTGCCAGCAGCCCTGGCGGCCTCCCTCTCCTGACCCCTTCGAGCAGCAATGTCGAACGCCATTCGACCAATCCTGCTGGAAGCCCGGGCACTGATCTTCCTGGTAGCAAGAGCGACCCTGTCCTCGCCCTCGCCAGAGATTTCCTCCTGCTTGACGTAGAGGCACTCGGTGTTTTCACGCACGATCACGAGATCGACCTTCTTGGAAGAGTCCTGTCCGGGGATGGGGACAGAGGAGACCGGTCGGACGTTGGCGTAGAGGTCGAGGTGCTTTCGGAGGGCGACGATGGGGGAGGAATAGCCTTCCACCTTGTGGGAGGGAGAGGAGACGGCACCGAACATGGCACCGTCGCACTCCTTCAAGGCGCTGAGACACGGTTAGCAGGGCACAAGCTTGCAACGTGCGACGTACTCGAGGGTCTCCTGGGGCATGGCCTTTCCCCTCCTGTTGAACTCCTCCCAGCCTGCGAGGAGGGGGACGAAGGTGGTCCTGGGGATGGCGGAGCCGAGGGCCTCGATGACGCGCTGTGCGGCGGGGAGGACCTCCTTGCCGATGCCGTCTGCGGGCATCATGCCGAGCTTGAGGGACTGTCTGAGGACGCTGGCCATTTTGGTGATGCAGTAGTAACGAATTTCTCTTTTCGCAACTCAGATATCGTGCGGCGGCGGGCACCGCTGCGAGATCGCCTCCACCTTTGGCTCCCACCGTACGTACTTTTCGTCCATCTCATCTCACCAGACTATCCAGGCAGCACCATGGACGACGACGACATCCCCCAGCAGGTATACATCTTCCATTTGGAGTCAGGGCTGACCATGACCAGGCTTCTCGAAAACACATCCTCCGACCCATATGACCGCCGCAAAGTGCCCATCACTCTCCTTACAGGGTACCTGGGCGCCGGCAAGTCGACACTGTTGAACTACATCCTGACTGGTGACCATGGCTACCGGATAGCTGTCTGTATGAATGGTACGTGTCCGCTATGCTCGACAAGGCCATGCTGACAAATGGACTATAGATTTCGGCGATACTACAGACATCGAATCCAAGTCCATGACTCTTTCTTCCAACCCTGCTTCTGGGTCGACTCAAGAAGACCCCGCGTCTTCTTTTTTAAGTCTACCGAATGGTTGCTTGTGTTGTTCAGTAAAGGATCTGGGTATAGCGGCGATAGAAGATATGGTAGCGAATGCGCCAGGGGGTGTGGATTGGGTAGTGGTAGAGCTGACTGGAGTGGCCGATCCTGGTGAGTCTTTTTGCAGGTGCTTTAGGGAAGAAAATCGCCTGGTGCTGATGAATACCTGTAGCACCTATCGTGCGCACGTTCTGGGCAAACGAAGAGATGGGTGACCTCATACTGGACGGCGTCATCTGCGTAGTGGATAGCCGAAATGTGCTCAAGGTATGTTGCTTCTTTGACCTCACTGTCAGAACAAGATTAATGTTGTATAGCAACTAGCAGAAGAGAAGAATTCCGGTGAAATCAACGAGTGCCAAAAGTATGATTCGCCTCGTCCCAAGTCGACCCCAAGCTAACTGGGCGTAGACAAGTAGCATGTGCAGATGTCATTCTGTTGAACAAGCTCGATCTTGTAGATAAAGCCCAACTCCAAGAGGTAGAAGCAACCATCAGGTTCGTTTTTTTTTCTGGAATACAAGCCAAGTCTCTGATCGTAGCTTGCAGAGAGCTCAACCCAACTCTCCGTGTACACCATACGACCAACTCCCGCGCCCCTCTGGGCGAAATGTTCAACCTGCGCGCTTTCAGTGATGCGGCCGGATCTGGCTCTGCCATCCTTCGCGAGCTCGCCGATCCTGCCCCCGAGTCACATATCCACTCGGAAGCTTGCGACCACGAGCATGACCAGCATCATTCCAAGATCACCACTGCCCTCATCCCTCTGCCTCCTCTTTCCACCGAGCAATACACTCTCCTCAACGGATTCCTCGAATCTTTGCTGTGGAATGGTCTCTACCCCTCGGCCAACTCGGACGAGAGGAAAGAGGCCCCAGAGATATTGCGTACGAAAGGGTACATCACCTTGCATGATGGGACTGCATTCGTCCTGCAGGGCGTGGTTGATCTTTTCGAGGTGAAGGAAGTGAAGGAGAATGGTGAGGGTAAGGGAGAGAAGGTGGCGGGAAAGATTGTCTTTATTGGCAGAGGGGTTGGTGAAGAGGTGAAGAGAGCGTTGGTGGAATGGGTCGGGCTGTAGGGATCATAGCATGCCGTGATCATGTACGCTTGCAAGAGCCAAAAAGATGCTGTATGTCCATTCGATGTGACTGATTCCCGTAAGATGAGGAGCCCCCTCCACTTGTAATAGCGGGGACCCGTACGGCAGTCGCGCGACAAGAATGTACACCTCTCTCTCCTTCTTCTTTGCATTTTGGTCACACATTAATCAAAGTCGGGACGCTTTCCAAGCCAGCCCAGTCCCTACTGACACGCTCAGTCGTGCACCAAGGTGTAAGAGATGTGAGTCCATGGCGGCAATGAATGTTCATGGCGACCATCGGCGATGATTTCGGCATCACACACAGGTACATCATGCACAGGCAGTGTATCTACTCGGAAGCGATAGCCACGTCCTCCTTGGTGCAGTCCCTGCAATGGCACACGTCTGTCAGCTCCTTCTCTCTCATGCTAGGCGATAAAGCTCACCTGGCAATGTGTCCAGTCTCCTGGCACTTGTAGCACCTCTTGCTAGACAAGATGGCTGCCTCATCCCTGGGCGCCAAACAGTGGATGGCGAGATGATTTTGGCCCTTGCATCGATGACAGGTGATGGGGGTCCCGTCCGGGTTGGCGACAGGAGGTCGGGGACGAGCACCAAAGTTACCCCCGAACCCACCTCGACCACCTCGGAACCCGCCTCGGCCGCCCCGGAATCCACCACCGCCGAAAGCACCTCGCAAAGAGGGGCAGTCGGTCTTGACGTGGCCTACACCACCACAGGCGTAGCACTGCTTGCCGTCGTTGGAGCGAGGCTGGGGGCAGTTGGTGGACTCGTGGCCGGGCTCCCTGTACCAGAGTCAGCGAAGAAGTCTGTAAAGACAGTGAAGATGGGGTGTGCTTACCTACAGTTGTAGCAGAGACGACCAGAGGCGTTTTTGCAGTTTTCGGCAATGTGACCGACTGAGATACGGATAAGTAAGAGTTGGACCTCGTAAAGGAAGAAACATACGGTTACCGCACCTGAAGATGAGGTCAGCGATGGTCTCAAGTGGCTGACGGGATTCTAGACTTACTTGAAGCAGCCCTGACGAGAACCGGGAATAGCAGTGGCACCGCTGGAAAGAGGTCAGCAGAGACGAGACATTGGACAGGCTGAGACATACAACATGGTATCTGGAAAGCGAGGGGTAAGCGGGGCAAGGGCAGGCAGGGGGCACGCACTATGTATTGACTTGCTCTGTATACACTCTCTGTCCTCCGCTGAATAGAGGGTCTATGCGGTGGGGGCAGGCGGCCGTCGCCGCGGTGCATTACATAATGCCTCGTGGGCCGACTGCCTGGTGCTGGTGCTAGCGCGGATAGCTAGCCCGATCTGGGTTGGATCTGGGTGTCGTCTGTACGTCATGGTTAGTGTGTTTGCAGTTTCAGTTTTCAGAGGAGGCCTCTTTTTGGATGCGGTGTCCTTAGATCTCTTAGATCTCTCTAGCATGCACTACAGACCTGCTACTCGCCCAGCACAAACAGCGGTACCCCCCGCCCTCCCGTACGCCTTATAAACATCCCATTGCCATCTCTCTCTCTCTTTCTTTCTCATACCATCTCCCACCCAAAGCAGCTGCCTGTCCATCCTCATCCACTTTCTTTCATTCTTTAAAATACACCACTGTCTTTCACCATGAACTTCAAGACCCTCTTCGCTACCATCGCCGTCCTCGCGACCACCGCCCTCGCTGCCGACGAGCTCCAAGTCAACTCCCCCGCCTCTGTCGTTACCTGTCGTAAGTAGTCCCTCCACACTCGGCTTTGGCACTTGCAAGCAGCTCGTCGACCATCCTCGTTATCACTCAACCTCGACGCTGACACCACTTGCAGAGCCGGTCGCCCTCTCCTGGACTGGTGGTACGGCTCCTTACATTGTGTAAGTCTTTTCCTTCTTGATTTCTCTGGCGCTATGGCTATTCTGCCTCCCTTTTTCAATGTCTTGGAATCAGAAGCCATGGGTGTGATCGATCTGACGCGACGCGTCAAACGGAGCCGGCCGCCGGACTGCGCAGTCGCGTCACGACAAAGAATTTCCATCACCAAGGTACAATTATTTGTACAACACCCTCTTTTTTTCCACTCTGCATCTGGAACATGAAACATGGATCAGAACATGATCGCTAACCCTATGCAACAGTGCCGTCATCCCTGGTGGCGATCCTACCGGTACTGCCCTCGAGACCATCTCCGACTCTGAATCTGGCACCTCCACCACCTGGACCGCCGACATTGCCTCGGGTACCTCCATCACCTTCAAGATTACGGATGCTTCCGGTTCCATCCAATACTCTTCCCAGGTGACCATCCAGGACGGTAGCAGCGACTCTTGTGTCGGCAGCTCCTCCGCCTCGTGAGTGTTTCGACCCGTTTAATGGCCGTGTGCTGATATTTGCATAGCGGCTCTTCCTCCGGATCTGCCACCGACAGCTCGTCCGCTTCTGCCACCGACAGCTCTTCGTCTGGCGCCACTGCAGCTGCTGGCGGTTCTGGATCTTCAGCCTCTGGGTCCGACAGCTCTGCCGCGTCTGCGACTGACAGCTCTGCCGCATCTGGCGAAAGCTCGTCGGCGGTGAGTTCAAAAGCTATTTGGTCATGCAGTAGCTAATATTTTGTAGGCCTCCAGCCAGGCTACCAGCGCCGCGTCCTCTGCGGCGGGCAGGTAAGTTCTTGTCGGGATGGTGCAAGACAACGGCTGACATGAGATTAGCTCTTCCGCTGCCGGTTCTTCCTCGGCCGCTGGTGGCTCTTCGTCAGCCGCTGCCGGTTCTTCCTCGGCCTCCTCTTCTTCCGACTCTTCCTCTTCCGGAGCCCTTCCCCTCTCTGTCTCGGTTCCTGCTGTGGGTCTCGCCGCCCTCGGTGGTCTCGCCGCCTTCTTCTAAGAAGATGTTGTCTTTTGTCCGTCTAGAGCATTCTGACGTTTTCTCAAACTTGTATCGAACATATAGCAACCTGGACTGGGCTTTATCATTGATAGAGTGCTCCTTTTCTTTCTCTTTTATTGCATTGTTGCCTATCAAATGGACAATCAGATCCTGTGTATGAATTCACGGTTTACACTGCACCCAGGATGGCGGGACCAAATACTCGCGCGTAAATCGCTCAGTGGCAATATTATCATTTATCTTTATCAGAGACTGCCCGTTCCCCCTCCCCCACGATCCACCATGTCGGCGCTCCCCACCACCACCCTCCTCGTCGCCAACATGCACTGCACCTCCTGCTGCGACGCCATCGACTCCCTCCTCGCCACCCTCCCCCCAGTCCGCAACGTCTCCACCTCCCTCCTCCAACGCACAGTCACCTTCTCCGTAGACACAAATGCCGCCCACTCCTCCTCCAAGGGTCCCCCGTCTGTCCCCAGGGTCATAGACCAGGTCGTCCACAAGCTGACCGGCGAAGGTGGCTTTGCTATCGAGGCAGATGACGAAGCGGAACATCCTCCTGCGCGAGAAGCCCCGAGTCTGCTCGGAAGACTGGGACTGCAGACTCGACGCGGAAGAGAAAGGAAACGCGCCGAAGACAGGCGCAGGCGTCATCTTGAACACTGTGAAGTCTGCCAAGCCCAAGAGCGAGAGCAAGTCGAAAGATCTTCTCCTTTGAGTACGCCTTCACACTCTCTTCAAGCACCGCTCGCCCCCCAAAATGCCTCGCAACACGATGGGATAGTCAAGACCACATTGTCTATCGAGGGAATGACCTGCGCCTCGTGCACGTCTGCCATCACCAATGCGCTCAACGATAATCCCGACATTGAGCAGGTGGATATAAACCTCCTCAACTCGTCCGGTGTCGTGCGCCACAAAGCCTTGTTGCCCGCTACCGACATTGCAGAGATGGTTAGTGACATTGGGTATGAGACCGAGGTCGTCGAGTCGCACAGCGAGACCTCTGTGGCCCCATCGGCCCCTGACTCCCAGGTCAAGACGGTTCTGTCGATCGAGGGCATGACATGTGCTTCCTGCTCTTCAGCCATCACAGACGGGCTGTCCAAGCACCCCAACGTTGCGTCCGTCGAGATCAACCTCTTGGGATCGTCTGGTGTCGTATTGCACAACCAATCTCTCACTCCCGACGACGTCAAGGACATCGTTGATGATCTTGGCTACGACGCTCAAGTTGTCAGCTCGGAGACGGCAGTCGAGAGAAAAAGGGACGCCAAAATCAAGTCAACTTTTGCCATCGAAGGCATGACATGCGCCTCTTGCTCTGGCGCTATCAACTCTGCGTTCAGAGGCATGGAAGGCATTGAATCCTGCGACATTGATCTTCTCAACAACCGCGGTGTGATCGTTCATGCGAGCAACATTACCGCTGGCGATCTTGCAGAACAGATTGAGGATCTTGGCTATGGCGCAGAGATCTCCACGTCTGAGCCCGTATCTCTCCAGAGCAAAGGCAAAGACAAGGAGGAGACTTTGCAGAGGACCGTCAAAATTCACGTCGAAGGACTCTTTTGCCACCAATGCGTCTCTAAAATCAACCACCATCTTTCAACCCTTCCCCTCTTATCTCACAGTGATATAGCACTCCATCCGTCCATCATCACCGTCACTTATGTACCCCATGATCCTCTGACGATCAGGGACATTTTGGAAGGTTTGACAGGGCTGGCGCCAGAGTTTGAAGCGTCAGTCTTTAAAGCGCCCAGCTTGAGTGAGAGGAGTAGGGACATTCAAAAGAAGGAAGTCAGAATGCTGGCAAGGCATTTAGCAGTAGCAGTCGTCTTTGCCATCCCGACTTTCGTCATGTATGTATAGGGCAATAATATGAGGAACGCCAAGCTGACGGTGGTATAGTGCGATCGTGGGTATGGTGCTCCTGAAAGGTCACGATGCCTTCAAGATGAAGATGATGGAATCCACGTGGGGTGCGGCTAATCTTGGCACTGTCATACTTTGGCCCCTCGCGACTGTGGTCCAGTTTGGAGTTGGCAGGTGAGTGAACCACCAGTCCCGATCGGTATATCGCCAAGCTGACATGTGGACAGGATATTCTACCAAAGAGCATTTGCATCACTGTGGCCTCACCTCAGAGGCTTACTGCCCAAGACGCTTATCCCAAAGAACCAGAGGCGACTACCTAAAAGACCTCTGACCTGGCGTTCTGCTTTCAGCTTTGGTAGCATGGGTACGTCGATCTGCGTATTGAAAGTTCCATTACTGATTTCAAGCCCAGACCTACTCGTTGTACTTTCCACCACGGTCTCTTACTTTGCCTCTATCGCCATGCTCGCCATCGACGTTCAAAACCCGTCTGGTACAGACAGCGTCGGCACGTACTTTGACAGCTGCGTCTTCCTGATCATGTTTATCCTCCTAGGCAGAACTCTGGAAGCGTATGCGAAGAGTAGAACGACGGATGCTGTCAGTTTATTAGGAGGACTGAGGCCGGATACGGCGCTGCTTGTCGGGGTGCCGACTCAAGCACCGGTCGAGAGGGAAGAAGAGACGTCTTCAGTCTCTAGCACTGAGACTGTCGCGGGCGAAGAACTCAAAAAGGAAACTTCGCACTCGACAGATGGCTCTCCCGGATCGTCTGCCACCCCTCAATCTCGCAAAATTCCCATCGACCACCTCGAGATTGGAGATCTTCTCCTTCTCCCTCCAGGTTCCCTTCCTCCAACAGACGCCCTCTTGGTGTCGGGCACCACCACCTTTGACGAATCTTCGCTCACGGGAGAGTCCAAACCCATCCACAAGCACCCCGGAGACGAAATTTTCACCGGTACAGTCAACTTGTCCTCGGCCGTCACTGTCCGTGTCTTGAGGCTAGGTGGAGATACAATGATTGAGAAGATCATCCGTGCCGTTTCAGACGCTGCTTCCAGGAAAGCTCCGCTGGAAAAGCTCGCGGAAAAACTCACTGGTGTCTTTGTGCCCGTCATTGTCTACCTCTCTCTCATAGTGCTCGCGGTTTGGCTTCCGCTCGCGTTGACCAACACTGTCGAGCCTCATTCTGTTGCCGGTGGCAAAGTATTCTTTGCTCTAGAATTCGCCATCTCCACCCTGGTAGTCGCTTGTCCATGTGGCATTGGTCTCGCTGTGCCCTGTGCCAACGCTGTAGGCAACGGTGTCGCTGCTAAGGCCGGTATCCTTGCGAGTGGTGGAGGCGAGGCATTCCTGGGGGCTACCAAAATCTCCAGGGTAGTATTCGACAAGACTGGGACGTTGACGGTCGGAAGGAGTGAGGTCATGAATGAGGTTTGGGAGGGTGCAGCGAGTGGTGACAAGGAGAACAGGCAGAGGATTCTAAAGGGTGTGTTGGAGCTGGAGAGGGCAAGTACACATCCTCTCGCCGTGGGGATGGTCGAGTATCTTGAAAAGAGCCCCTTGGCCCCGAGCGGAGAAAGAGTGGAAGTCGTGGATACGGAAGAGATTGCCGGTAGGGGCTTGAAGGCTAGTCTTCGGATTGGGCAGATTTCTATCGACCTCCTCGTCGGCAATGTCGCTCTCATGACCGACCACAATGTTGAGATTAGCGAGCAAGCCCATGTGACAGTATCCACTTGGTCCACTGAAGCCAAGTCGGTCATCCTCATCGCCATGTCCGACGCTCCTGGTTCATATGCGCTCTCAGCACTCTACTCTCTCTCCGACCACCCTCGCCCAGAAGCTGCTGAAGTGATTGCTTTCTTGAGGAAACGGGGTATTGCTGTCAACATGCTTTCTGGTGATAATGAAACCACCGCAAGGGCTGTAGGCAAAATGGTCGGGCTTGGCGAGAACGAAGTCAAGGGCGGAGTTGGGCCGAAGGGCAAGGCGGAAACCATCAGAATCTTCCAGGCTGGTGAAGGGGCAAACGAGAAAATGCAAGGAAAAGACGAGAGTCGCAAAGATGTGGTGATGTTTATTGGAGGTGAGTGCAGCTTCACATGATCTCGAAAGCCATCTGCTAATACGAACCAGATGGACTCAATGACGCGGTGGCGCTCGCGGCTGCCGATGTCTCTGTAGCAATGGGTCACGGCTCTCAAGCCACACTCGCCTCGGCGGACTTTGTCCTGCTCTCCTCTTCCCTCAATTCCTTGGTCCCCCTTCTGCGCATCTCCCGTAAAGTCATCAACCGCCAAAAGCTCAACCTAGGTTGGGCCATCATCTTCAACGTGGTCTGCTTGCCGTTCGCGGCGGGTGTGTTTTACGGGGCGGGGAAGATAAGATTGACACCTGTGTGGAGTGCGGTGCTGATGGCGTTGAGTAGTGTCAGTGTGGTGTGTAGTAGTTTAGCCATGAGATGGGGCTTATAAAGCTCAATTCTTTTGTGAGATGAAGAATTGTATCGATATATATAGAGCAGCAGCGCGGCTGTGAGCGCTGGACTGAGCAGAGAGGTTGGACACAACCATATACATCGACTTGGCACAGAAGCAATTTCACGCAGTGGCCATGAGTAGATAACCAGATCTTTCCCGGCCCTGTGGGCATCCACAGAGATAGAAACATAAGATATTATTACAGGAGATTCTGAAGAAGGTAGTTGACATGTCGCCCTTATCATACGTTGTAGACAAGCTCCGCGATACCCAAACTAGTTGTTGGCAATCGTTCCCCTGCAAACATCATCAGTTCATCGATCGACGTATCCCGAAAATCACTCACTGATTTCGCACAGGGTCTGCCATCCTAATGACCTTCTTGTCTGGCCCAGCGGTGTCGATACCTTGCATGTCGAGTGGGGTGATAAGGATGTATTGCTTTCCATCGCTTTGTTTGGCACCCTCCATCAGGTTCTTGGCAGCAACCTTTCGGTTTGCAGCATCCAGGAACACGTCCCATTCATCGAGAGCTCTGATAGGGCAAGGCACAGTGGCCCAAAGAGCGAGGAGCAGTGAGACGGTCGAGAATGAGCGTTCACCGCCAGAGAGCGACTTGGCACCCTTGTAATGAGACGTCTGAGTCATGGTTCCATCTTGAGATTCGGAAGTTGTCGAGTTGTGGATCTGTCCATTACATGTGAGCTTGCGATCAACGCACGCATCCATACCAAGGACTCACAACAAGAGAGAGCTTTTGACTTTCATGAACGAAATTAAGGCGACCTTCCATGTTACGGAAGCTTTCGAACACGACAAAGGCAGTCTTGGCCCGAATAGAGATATGGCTTCGGGTCTCGTGCCACCAGGCATGCCGGTTCTTCATGGCGCCATTGAGCACCTTGCGCAAGAATTTGAGGTCTTTGATGGAACCATTGGCCTCAAGCTGTCGGTGCCGGGCTCTTCTGAATGCGGCTGTAAGTTCCGTCAAGTCATGACCGAGACTGTGATTGATCAGCGAAGGAATGCACAAAAAGATCGAGCATCAACTAACACCAAGGAAGCTTCTTGGATGGACTTGTCCAAGGCTGCTCGCTCGGCCTCGAGGTCAGCAGAACTTCGCTGCGTCTCCTGTCGCTTGGGAGCGTAGGTAACAGCCTTGTCAGTCATTACCTAGTGGCTGTCAGTCATTTGAGTCTTCAAATCATCAAGGCGTACCTTGACGTCCTCTTCGACACTTTCCAGATGTTCCTGGGCAGCAGCGAGATTCTTCTCGTAGCCGGTGATAGAACTCATATAGTGTTTTTGAGCATTCAAAAGCTCACTCTGCTTCGTGACGAGATCTCCCAAAACCGCCTGTTGTTCGATGAGACCATGACTCTACATGAATAGGCATCACTCACGAGATACTTTGCCTTGTTGGGGGCGTGGGCATCAGATTCCTTTTGCCGCTCCTGAACTTCTCGACCCCTCTGTTCATAGATTTGCTGCTGTCTTTCGACCTCGGCGGCGGACTCTTGTATTTTGAGTTCCAACTGGACAATGCCCTCTTGCAGTTCCTGATAAGAAACCCGTCAATGCTGTGCTTTTGAGACGGCAAGATGACTTACATCTCGAAGAGCCTCGGTGGAATCCATCTCGGTAGTAGCAGTGTCAAGGAGCTTCCTCTTAGTCTCGTCGAGATTCTTTTCCAGGGGAGCGACCTTTGCAGACAGGGTTCTGAGAGTCTCCTACTCGATACTATAAATATATACCGCCATGACGTTGCGCACGTCAAGACGCACGTTGATGGCAGACATTTCCTTCTGGAGGTCTCGAATACGCTGGTCAACAACCTGGCGCTCTGTAAGAAGCTCTTGTCTTCTGGCGTCGTTCTCTTGCAATTGCCGTTCGTAACCTCTTTCGGAATAATGAGCGATTCTCCGGAACGATTGGTCCTGCGACTTACGCGATAGCACTAGTGGGATCCTTCGCGAATAAGGCTTTGCCCTTGTATTTGTTGACAGGTCCGGAATTTCGTCCGCTATGAATGGTGTCAGCTAGTAGAGAGAAGCTGCGGGCCCTGCTTACCTCTTGGAACCAGAAGTGGTCATGTTGTCGGCACAGTTGACAGTGAGGAACGGCAAGTTGGATGTCGAAAGCATGTGGTCGATCATCCTGTTACCTTCCATAAGACTGGGAGCAACCATAGTCTTCTCGATGCTACTGTGGTCAACCAGGATTCGAAGGACGTCATCGTCGTCAATCTGGTCACACAAAAGTCAGTTGGGGAGGTACAGAAGTCTTTGACACGCACTTTGAGTACGCTCAGAACCGTGGAACCGTGCTTGCTGAGGTCACCATGAGAGAAATTGAAGTGGTCGCCGGAATGCTTGTAGACGGCAGGAGGACGCGCAGAGTTGTCATTGGCAACATTACCCGGTCTGTAACCTTTCTGGAAGTGTCTCCTGATCATGTCTCCGAGTTTGACACTGTCCTCGTGGTCACGTACAGCAAATCCACAGAGGAGAGAGCCAAGCAAAGCCTGCAGTACCTCTGCATACTGCATGTCTTCCAAGTTGACATGCATCCCCATGGGTCCAATGGGTTTCGAGTGCTTCCACTGGGTGCTGTTAATCTCGCGCATGAGAGGCTCGATGTTATGGCCAAAAGCCAAAAGTCGATTGTGCTTGGACTTGTGCACGTCGTCGATCTGTCGCTTGATATATTGTCGTTGCTGGTCACAATCATCCATGGCGCCATTGATGCCCTTCAGCTCTTCCTTGAGCTTGTTTTGCTCTTGAAATTTATCGTCTCTGTCTCGTTCCCTTACAGGCCTCTCGAGCTTCATCTTGCCCAAAATGTCTTCGATCTTGTTTCGGCGAGCCAGAAGCTTTTCTCGCGCCTCCTGCTGATCGGGCTCCTTGAGGCGAAGCTGTTCAGCAATTTGCTGTTCCAATCTGCGCAAAGACATTCTCTCCTCTTCGAGTTTGGCGCCCAACTCTTCCAGTGAAGACTGTTGACGGTGTTTAGCGATAACAACTGACTTATATAGCTGAGCATTTACCTCCATTGATCTCAGCTCCATTCTGGCCTCGGATTGTTTTGCCTTTGCAACGTTGACAGCATGCTGCAGAGGTTTGGCGGTGTCTTCAAAACTTTGCAAATCTTTCTCGGTCGCCTTGGTCTGGTCGGCGAGGATAGGAATTTGTTTCTAGAGATGCGTTGTTAGACTGGTCGACTCCAAATGAATGACCTTACGTCGACTTTGTGCACTTCTGCTTGAGCACTTTCGATCTTCTCTTCAAGATCATGTACCCGGCCCTGGGCAATGTTTCGCAGCTAGAGTCATTCAGCTAGAATCATACCGCGGTCAGAAACAGATCTCACGTTCTCCTTCTCGATGACATAAGACCAGCAGAGCTCAGTCAAAAGCTGGTGATTTTTCCTTTGCTGCTTCATGACCTTCTTGGAAGCTTGAATCTTGCGCTTCAAACTTGCACATTTGTTCTTGAGGTCCGGCAGAGCCTCTTGTTGCCTAGTGATATAGGTGGCAAGCTGCTCGATGTTTTGAGTGGCAGCTTCGTAGGTGTCGAGTAGAGTGGAAAGCTGTGTACCGTTCAGGAAAAACTATAGCGAGCTCAGTCAGTCACATGACAGTACAATATATGATAAGACATACTTTGTAGAGTTTGCTGGGGTCGGCATTCTGCAAGAAGCCCCGCGACTGGTCTTGAGTGAGGATAGTCAAGGGAGAGTCGATGTTGATGTTAAAAAATTCGGAGATGGCTGTGAGCTCGGACCTCTTGTTCGCTAGAATTTTGCCTTCTCTGGTGGCCTTGAACCTGTACTGAGATGACCCATTCTGGTGAATGGTACGTTCGATTACGATATTCGGGTCAAAAACATCCTTTCGATATGCCATTTCTCCGTCATTGAAGAGAGTGACAATGATCACAGCTCGATCGGCACCTTTGCGGATGAGATCTTTGAGTCCTTGGCCACGGCCAGTAAGAGTGGCTTTGCCACCAAGGGCAACAGCGATACCAGTGAGGACGGCAGACTTTCCGCCTGCGACACATGTCAGTGGCGGTCGCAATCCTCAATCTCATACTCACTTCCGTTGTGACCAACTACAAAGTTCATTCTGGGGCCAAAGTCCACTTTGAGATGTCGATGGCACATAAAGTCGATAAGGGTAATGGACTTGATCACACCGGCCTGAGAAGCGGACTATGGGCAATTTCATCAGCTGAAGGATTCCTCGCGACCCGGAAGAAGCTCACCCCAACGTAACCCTTCTGCTCCTTCCTATACTGCCTATAGGCGGCAAGGAGATCATTATCATCGAATTCAGGCTCCTCGTAATCAGAATCGATAGACGACGCGTTGTCGTCATCGCCTTCTTCGCCCTCATCGCCCCCGTCATCCATATCTGAGTCTAGTTCCGAAGAAGGCAGATGATCTCCGGCCTCGGTCTTGGCCCGTTTGTACTGTCATGATGCGCGTCAGCCAGTGTCTCTTACGGGTTCTCACGTCACACGGCCTCAGATGAGATCAGCGGAGATGAGCCGCGGGTGGTACAAGACTCGCGGGCCTCCTACCCAGCGCGTCTCGCTCTCGCGACCCCTCGACGCGTGACAAGTAATGAACGCACGTTTGGCTGTTGAGAGTCGTCGTCCGAGTCAAGCTCGTCGGCGTGTCTCCGCCTGTTTCCTGCGGAGCCCATGGCGGTGCAATGGGGAACGGCGGGAAGAGAGAGATGCAGTTGAGAGAGACGCGTCGCACCCGAGATGAGTAGTTGGTGACATGAGTTCGGCGACCGCCGCTGGTGCCACAGGCAGTAACGCCGCCTCAGGCGCGTCGTGGAGGGAGGTGACGGCGAAGACGCTCGAGATGGCCACAACGCACCCCCAGCATCATCCAACATGTCGTTCAAGAAGGACGAGGACGCCGGCATGTGTAGGTCCACTGCGCCCCCCCGCCCGCTTGGCTGACCCTCGCAGCGTTCTATCATGACAAGACTACTGTCATCCAGGAAGCTCGAGTGTTCAACGAATCTCCCATCTCCCCCCGCAAATGCAGAGCGCTCCTTACGCGCATCGTGTATCTGCTGTACATCGGAGAGACATTCTCCACCCAAGAGGCCACGACGTTGTTCTTTGGCGTCACAAAGCTGTTCCAGCACAAGGATGTGAGTGGGGTGCCGCGCGCGCAGAGTGGATGAGACTGACTCGGGTGTAGAGTGCGTTGCGACAGATGGTCTATCTGGTGATCAAGGAGCTGTCAAAGATTGCTGAGGATGTCATCATGGTCACCTCTTCCATCATGAAGGACATGCAGCCCAATCTCGAGGTGGTGTATCGACCCAACGCCATCCGAGCTTTGGCCCGAATCATCGACGCTCAATCGGTCCAATCGGTCGAACGATTCTTCAAGTCTGCCCTCGTCGATCGATCCTCCTCCATATCATCCGCATCCCTTGTATCATCCTACCACCTGTTCCCTCTGTCGCCCACCATCATCAAGCGATGGGCAAACGAAGCCCAAGAAGCTGTCAATGCCAAAGCCGTGTCTTCCTACTCTGGTGCCTCTGCCTACTTTGCCGGCGGCAGCAGTTCCAACAGTGGATACCAGGCTGTGGCAAGCTCCAGCTACATCATGCAGTACCACGCCTTGGGCCTGTTATACTTGATGAGGGAGAAGGACAGGATGGCCATCACCAAGATGGTGCAGCAGCTCGGCGCCAGTGGGAAGGGGAGCTCTATTGTGCGGAACCCAATGGCGGTGTGTATGTTGATCAGATTCGCGAGGAAGGTCATGGACGAGGATGCAAAGTGAGTCTGGTGGATCTGGGATGTGGGACTTGCTGACATGCTGGCAGCGTCCGCAAGCAGATGCACGAGTACCTCGAGACGTTGCTTCGACACAAGTCCGAGATGGTCAATATCGAGGCTGCTCGAGCTATTGCTGAGATGCGAGACGTTCAGACTGGTGATCTCTACAAGACTATCGCTGTCTTGCAACTCTTCTTGAGCTCTCCCAAGCCTGTCATCAAGTTTGCTGCTGTCAAGACTCTGAGCAAGCTTGCACAGACGCATCCTCAAGCTGTGTCTGCAGTCAACGTGGAGATGGAGAACTTGATCACCGACTCCAACAGGAGTGTCGCTACTTATGCCATCACTACTTTGCTCAAGGTGAGCTCTTTCTACAATGTCAAATATGTCGCTAACAAAACGCAGACCGGAAACGAAGCTTCTGTCGACAGACTCATGAAGCAAATTTCCTCATTCATGGCCGACATTACCGATGAGTTCAAGATCATCGTCGTCGATGCTATTCGATCCCTTTGTATCAAATTCCCCTCCAAGCAGGCCGTCATGCTGTCTTTCCTTTCCGGGGTGCTTCGTGACGAGGGCGGTTATGATTTCAAATACGCGGTCGTGGACGCCATCTTTGACATGATCAAATACATTGGGGACTCTCGCGATACCGGTAGGTACATTGTTTCCCAGTGCAGACTGTCCTGATTTCTCTATAGCTCTTGCCCATCTCTGTGAATTCATTGAGGATTGTGAATTCACCAAGCTTTCTGTCCGAATCCTCCATCTCCTCGGTATCGAGGGGCCCAAGACCTCCAACCCTACGAAATTCATCCGTTACATCTACAATCGAGTCGTGCTCGAAAATGCCGTGGTCCGAGCTGCTGCTGTTAGCAGTCTGGCCAAGTTTGGTGTCTGCGTCAACGACCCCAATGTGATGAAGAGCGTCAATGTACTCATGAGGAGGTGTTTGGATGATGTAGACGATGAAGTCAGGGATAGAGCGGCAATGTACATCAAGGTGCTAGAGGAGAAGTCCCTGGCGGATGTCCTTGTCAAGGACGGTCAGTGTTCCTTTCCTTGACAAGAATGCGACTGACCTCGATTGCAGAAGCGCAGTTCTCTCTCGCTACCCTCGAAGAGCAACTTGTCAGCTACGTTCAAGACGAGGGGGCTCACTCTGCTGCCTTTGACATTAGCTCCGTGCCGAAAGTCAGCAGAGAGCAGGCACAGGCCGAGGTTGCTCAATCCCGACCCTCTGCCTTGGACATTGCTGGACCTTCTTCCGCTGTCGTTGCCGAGCCAACTCCGACCCCTTCAGCTGCTGAGGCTCAATCATCATATGCTGCCCAGCTCGCGGCCATCCCCGAGCTACAATCCTACGGCCCCGTGCTCAAGTCCTCCGCCAGACCTGTTGAGCTCACTGAAAGCGAAACAGAGTACGTCGTCAGTGCTGTCAAGCACATCTTCAAGGAGCACATTGTATTCCAATTCAACGTGTCCAATACCATCCCCGATACTGTCCTCGAGCAGGTTGCTGTCATCACCCAGCCCAGCCCGGATTCTGGTCTGGTAGAAGACTTTATTATTCCGATCGAGAGCCTTACCAGCGCGAGTGGGTCAGGTCAAGTATACGTCAGCTTTACCCGGGAGCAACCGGAGGAGTACGCCGTTGGCACGTTCGAATGCGGCCTCAAGTTTGTCAGTAAGGAGGTCGATCCCACCAGCGGGCAACCGGAGGAAGAAGGTTATGACGATGAGTACCAGGTGGAGGAGCTGGACCTTGGAGCTGCCGATGTGAGTTGTAACGATCGCGCCACAGGGCTGGGACTGACATGTGTTTGCAGTACATCACCCCTACATACGTCACATTCGCTTCCGAATGGGACAAGCTTGCCCCTTCCCCATCCCTTGTAGAGACATTTGCGCTCTCGTCGTCTGAGTCTCTCAAAGAAGCTTGCAACTCTCTCGTTGAGGTTCTTGGTATGCTTCCCTTGGGCGGCTCAGAAACACCAACGTCAGCCTCGGTACATACCCTCCAGTTGGCCGGTCTGGTCGTACCCTCGAATGGGGCTGAAGGGAGCAGCAAGGTGCTGGCGAGATGCAGAATGACGTTCGCGGCGGGTGAAGGGGTCACGCTCGAGTTGGGCGTCAGGGCTGAGAATGAGGAGGCGGCGAAGCTGGTTATGGCTGCCATCTAAACCTAGAAAGACAACTAGAGCATTTCCATCTGCTTTCTTTGACTTTTCTTGTGCTGGGGTATGAGACAGAGGAAAATTCGCAAGTTGCGTTGTACGATGATGAACCAAATGAATCTATTAGACCTACAACATGATATACTCTGCTCAAGTCATTGTTGAGCAGAGCAGAGCAGGCGCTTGTACCATACGACCATCCTCTATGTTTCTGGCAGTATGGAAATCTTATCAAGACAGACTCTGGATCAAAACGAGCTAGCCCTCATGGGGCGAAGAGCAAGGCGAGCCGGAATGCCGCATTGGCTCATGATGGCTAAGGAAGAAAGGTGGAAAAAGAGGTCAAATGACATTAGGGATCGGGGGAAGACAAAGGTGATACAGTAGATTGAGGCGGTCTTTCAGGCCCCGCTATTGTTAACCCAGCCGAATATTTTTTGAATTCAAGTCTCGCTCTTTTATTTCACTTTCTCTCACATACCGCAAACATGGATCATTCATCATCGCCACTCAACCTCTCCTCATTGAACATAAACGACGTCAACGAGGGCGCCGGACAAGAAGTGGTACTTCCGAGGCCAGCATCAGCGCACAGTTCGAAGTCAGAAGATTGGGACCCTGGAGAATGCATGCTACCATCAAACTCTGCTCATACTGCTTATGGGCCACCGCTTCACTTGCAACATGACAAGACCGGGAAGACCAGTTCCCTTGAAGGCCTATTATCGGAAGACCGTACAGTCATGGGTTCGTGGGGTCTGCTAGGTCCTGCTTGCTTCCCCGGCAAGGTGTCAACGCGACCGATGAGATCGCGCAGACCCGGCGGTCCTACGATTCAGCAAAAGGTTTTCAGATCGGCGTGGGACACAACGCCGATCAACGGCAAGATGCTTGATGACGATGCCAAAGTTGTTGGTGATCATGTGACAGAGCAAGCCCGGGTGACTGTCCGGATGAACGGTTTGTCCCCGATGGTCCCAGACGGCAGAGCATACATCACCACCCTTGGGCTGGATTCGCACTTAGCAAGTCTACCTGTCTCTGACTCTTCCGCCCTCACAAATATGCTGAGCCGGCCGAGCATCTACGAGTCGTACGATCCTTTACTGTGGCGGTGTCCGGAGACAGAGCACAAACTATGGCTTAATAAGTCTGGGGGAGAGTCCGGAGCGTCTTGTATCTCTTTGGGGTCGGCTGGGGCGAGTGCAGTGAGCGGTGTGCGAGCTGTACGAGGAGTAGCCGAGGAAGTAGAAGAGATAGAATAAGGATAGCCAGGAGGTTCTTCTATAGGCGTAAAGCTATAGAGAAGAGAAAGCTCCTGGGTCTCCGACATGCATCAGGGCCTACGGACGGAAACGGAAACGGAACGGAACGGAGGTATCGCCGTGACGCCGGGAGTGTGGCGTTGGTGGATGTCATGTGGCGGTCACGCTACATCACCCCCTCCCCGGGAGAAAGACTCGTCCCGAGGCTTCAAAAGAACAAAGAAAACAGACCAGGAGACCAAAAAGAAAAATCGGAAAAAACAAGTCCGCGGACCGAAACGAGGGCAGAAAACTAAACAGAAGAAAACAGAGGCGAGAACTGAGCGAGGGAGATCGGGGGGACCTAGAGGGAGATGTAGGGCACCTGGAAAGGGAGATCGCGGGGACCTGGATAGGGAGATGCAGGGCACCTGGGAAGGGAGATCGCGGAGACCTAGTCAATGTCGTTGACGGCGGGGGTGAGGACGGCCACCACGGATGTGGCGAGCACCGAGGGGTCGACCAGGGCCGAAAACGATATACGGGGCGTCCAGGTGGTTAGGGTGGGTGTTTGTGGAGGAGAGATCGCAGGTGGTGTGGCTCCCCGCCCCCCCCCGTCTATATCCGTTACGAGCCACCCACGCAGCCAGACGACAGTATGTTGGGCCCCGCTTTTTACCGTTATCACGGTCGCCTAGTACACCAGCTGTCCGTCGTGCTCGCCGACGTTTTCTGGTCCTCCGCGCATCACTGCTGGGAGTATAAGTTTATGTACGTCAACGCACCCACTCGCGCGGTGTACCGCAAGACCGAAAACAATCTGTTCCCCGAAGAACGAGCACTAGTGTCAGACTTCTGGCCACACCCCCACCCCGATTGGTCGTTCGCAGCAACTGAGGCCCTCGCTGCCCTCCGCCACACCACCTGTGATCTCTCCTCCACAAACACCCACCCTAACCACCTGGACGCCCCGTATATCGTTTTCGGCCCTGGTCGACGGCGGGGGTGAGGACGGCCACCACGGATGTGGCGAGCCCTCAAATCTACAGAATCGCTGGCCGTATACTTCGATGACAAGAGGTCCCTGCAACGCCACCTCTACCCCGCTGGCACCCCGGACGTCGACCGTATCGACGACATCATCAACGGTCTCCCCGAGTCCATGCAAAAGCTGGCGCGCATCGACGCCCGGCTGTATCCCAACCTCGATGACTTCCGCTGAGCCCTCATCGACGGTGAGCCCTCGATGCGACCAGAGCTCTCCCGCCGCCGCCAGGATAACGCTCCTCCACGTAACCGACACCAGCAACGCGAACGACCAGACCCCCTCTTCTACCCAGTCGCCCCCGAAGACTCCGTGTCGTTTTTGCCAGGGTCCGCACTGGAACCGAGACTGTCCCCAACAAGCAGCTCCACCTGCCCGTCCCGTGCAGAGCATGGCCCCGCCCGCTCAGCCGCCCTCGTCTGCCCCAGCATACGGCAACTTCCGTCTGGCTTCTCGTCCTGAAAACAATGGGCCGTCCAATTTCCGCCCTGCGTCCGCCTCCGCGAATGGCACCCCTCTTGGTAACTCGAAACCCCCGGGCGCGTTTACCGTATTCGTAAGGCCCTCTGCAGTCACGCATGAGCACCCTTCCGACGCGCAGGAAGTTGTCTACTCACCTCCTTCGTCCGACAACCAGACTCCTCGAGTCTCCCAACCACAGGTTCCCCGAGCCTCCCTTCACCAGACTCCACGAGTCTCCTCTCCTCTCGCGCTTCACGTGTCCACCCCGCCGACCGTCTCCGCGCCCAGCTCCATCGTCGTCGAACCCAGCGAGACCGCTCCCGACACCATGATCCTTGACGATGAGTCAGCCCCGTCCGAAATCGTCGACGACCCACTCTTCCTCGGACCCGACGTCGTCTCCACCGACGAAGACCGCGACATCGACATCCAACCGTGTCGTCCCGAGACCTCCAACCCTCTCGACTCCTTTCCCAGCTTGTCCATCAGCCGCGAGCCACCTGTCCGCCACGACCAGTCTCCTGCCATCGCGAAGGCCCACTTCGCCACCGATACTGAAGGCTCTCCCCTTCGCGACATTGTGATCGATTCCGGCGCGGCGATCACATTGATGAACGCGGCCTACGCAAACGAGCATTTACCAACGCTCACCCGCCATCGTCTTGAGAAGTTCCAACTCGGTCTCGGCGCCGCCGACTGCGCTTCCTTCCTCATGACCGACCTCCATTTCCCAACGGCTGAAGGTGGCAAAGCTGTCATCCCCGCAAACTTCTACCTCGCGAACACCGAAAGCGCCCGCGTCATTTTGGGCAACGACATCCTCCATCCAATGGGTGCTCAAATCAACCTTGGCTCCCTTGCGCTCCGCTTCAGACACGTCGCAGGTACCATTCCCATCGAGTGCACCACCGCTATCCCCGACGCTGCACCCACGCCGGACCCCACCACCCGACCCGACGCTTTCCGACTTCGCCAGCGTCTCACGCTCCTCCCAGGCCACCAAGCCCGCGTCGCCGTGAACACCGGTCACCTACCCACCACCAGCGTCTACCTTCTTGACCCTGTCCC